AGCGCCATCCATGTTGCTGCAAATGGCAAGTGTTTATCTTTTTTGAATGCTGAGTAATATTCCATGGTGTATATGGACCACATCTTCTTGATCCAGTCATCTATTTTTGGGCATCTGGGTTGTTTCCAAAGCTTAGCTATTGTAAACAGTGCTGCTATAAACATAGGGGTGCAGGTGCTCTTTGGAATTGATGTTTCTGTGTCCTTTGGGTAAATACCTAGGAGTGGAATTGCTGGATCCTATGGAAGCTCTATGTTTAGTAGGTCCAGAAATCTCCACACAGCTCTCCATAGTGGTTGGACCAGTTTGCACTCCCACCAACAGTGCAGAAGAGTTCCTTTTTCTCCACATCCTCGCCGACATTTGTTGTTGCTAGTTTTTTTAATATGTGCCATTCTCACTGGTGTAAGATGGTATCTCATGGTAGTTTTGATTTGCATTTCCCTGATTACAAGTGATGTTGAACATTTTTTCATATGCCTGTTGGCCATTTGCATTTGGAGGCATCACACTTCCAGACTTCAAACTATAGTGGGACTATTAATGAACGAACATGAGGAGAAAAAGAAGCAAAGATGAAAATTTAAAGTAAAATTCACCAAGAAATCATCCATTAGTTGTTTTTCTAAACCTATTTTAATACTGAGCAGACTGACAGCTTGATTATTCCAAGTATGCTAGGTTACCACGAAGAGCATCATTTCAAAGTTAATAATATGCATCAATTTAAGAATAGAATGCATTCATTTATTGATGAAATAAAGATCTAGCATTGCTTATACAGATTAACAAACATTTAGATAATATTTGTCCACGTTCCTTCTTTTAGGAATGTATTTCATTCATGTGTACATTCATTCAATAACTATTTTTAAATGTTGTTTATATGCATGGAAATATTCTTGGTGCTGAGACTGTGGCAGTGAACTAACTAGTCAGTAAAAATAATCCTTGCATGGTAGCATTTATGTCCTAATCAGACAGCTGAACAGGAAAGAAGGCTAGTAAGTTGCTCTGTTGAGAATAAACTTCAGACTGACTAGGGCAGAAGGAGGAAGACAAGCTAGGATGTTGTTAAAAATCATCCCTGTAAGAGAAGACAGTGGTGACTAGAACCAAGTATGGTATTAGTGGCGGTGATGACAAAGATTGGATTCTGTATGAATTTGGAAAATTAAGCCAATAACATTGGTTAGGATCAAATATGAAGTATGAACAAAAGAGAAGAGTAAAATATAAGCCCAACTTGGTATTCACTAAAAGAATTTGGGGCTGTGCCTCTTTTATACTATATAGTGGAAAGAATTTTATTACTTGTGAAAGTTGTTAATGGCAGAATTTTCCAAGCAGATTTGAGATTGGCCTGGAAGGCAGCAATTATTGCATTGGGGATATTTATTCAGACTTGAATTAACTAATTGAGGAAGTGGAAATCATTATGTTATCTGTCGTAGGAAACAAAAAAGAACGGGAACTAGCTTGTCACTTTTGCCAAGCAGAGGTGGAAAATGATCACACAGACCTTTTATAAAGGAAGTGGGAGAGAAACAGATTACACACAATTTTTAAAATGCTTCAACTTGTATCTGAAGATATTGGCAATTTCTAATTAGAGTTTCTGAATAACATGTCAGAATATTTGAGACACTAAATTAATTTTATTTGGCTACTGTCAGTGATTAGAATGATTTTGCTGATCTGGTCTGAGGTTTCATTGGCATTTTAATGTGGGGGGCTCTTTGCCAACCTTTAGGGAGGTAACTCGCTTCACATCTGCTGTTCAACCCCTCTTCCCTTCACACTGTCCCCTCTGTTCCTGTTGTTTAGCTTGTGGTTCACCCATGAGATCACCATCAGAGCATGCAGATACTCTGGGCTGATCCAGGAATGGGGTTTTCCTCCCTCGATTTTTCTTAACCCATGTAAAATGTCCTACCTGAAATGTACATAAACCAGAGGTGGTGGCTGCTCTGGTTCTAGAGGTGATGGGCTTTGCTTGCTTGCACAGACTTTTCAAGCTACACAGTAGACCTTCAGAGCCAATCCTTGCATTGCAACCACTTGATGCACTGGGCAGATCATTCCAGGAACTTTGCAGGGCACAATTAAGTGGCGTGACATGATTATATGTTTACGGGATTGCTCCTTCCCATGATTACATGAGCAAGACTGACCCCAAGCTCTGCAATGTGAGTTCTGGAGTTCAGAGTAATCTGTGTTGTGTGTAGATCATTCAGGGCTTTTCTAGTTTGGTTTTATTGCTGTTGATGGGTATCCAGATACCATAGATTTTAAAAACCTGGGTTTGTATTAAAATAAGACACTGTCATTTTGTTGTTGTTGTTATAAAATGTTTCAAGAGCTCTGTCCCCAAGAGGAAAAAGCATTTCATGAAAGACTGCCAAATTGGACTAATTCTAAAAGTAATGATGGTAAATAAGGACTTGGATTTTTCTTGGCATGCATTGGGTGGGTTTGTCCTTTTCTTTGCTTGAGACAGCTTTTATGTTATCTTTTTGATAGCTGTGTGATATTTGCACTGGAAGATTCCAGCAGTTGTTTAGATAACTGCTGATGAAGTGATGATAGGCAATAATGTTTCAAAGTTGGTTTGTACTTTTCCATAGTTCTCAATTCAATCTAACACCCAAAGACTCTTCCACCTTAATAAATAGGCATTTGATTGCCTTCTGAAAGCAAAGTTAAAATGATAGAAATATTTCTAGTCCAATAACATTTTTTATAATTTTGTCTATATAGGCATACACTTGTCTATGTAAAATGGCTCTATTATTTATTTGCTTATTTATTTATGTGTTCAATTGCTTAGCAGCAACACTCAGCTTTTTCTACCTTCTTCATTTACCAATGTCAGTTGATCAAAAGGTTATAAAAGATCTTCTCACATCAGAGACAATTGTGTTCCCCTGAAAATACACTCATCAGTAAGGAATGAATGTATATGTAGTCACTTAAACCTTTTATAACCCAACATGGCATGAAGCAAAGGAGCAATTACCATTAATTTATAGGGGAAAATATTGAGCTTCCAAACCCCAAAACAACCTACCAAATCATACAAAGGAACTAAAATTACAATAACATGTAGTAAAAGCAGGAATGATAGGATACACTTTTTTCTTTTGGGGAAGGGACTTGGTGGGGTCACTCTCCCTACCTGGTGCTGCTGCCTCTACAATGATTGCTGCAATACCAATGCTGAATTTGACTTTCACTTTCTGCCTTTTGTTGTGAAAGTGAATAAAAAAATTTTAAGACTTATTTTTATTTATTTATGCATACAAGAACTGGGGTGTAGGCCAGAGGTGCTGGGGCGGAGGTCGAGAGGATTCACCAGAGACAGAGTCGGGAGCAGAGCAGGCGGATCTACTGAAATACACTGCTGAGGGGAGCAGTGGGTGAGGTGGGAGAGATCTTCTGGGCTTTGTGTGTCAGCTCCCTGGCTGGGAATCAAACTCATGCTGCAGTGGCTGCAGATAGCTTGATAGCCCTGAAACTTTAACCCCTGTGCCACCAGGGAGACCTGTGAAAGTGAAAATTTAACTGGATTTCTTTTCATTAGTGAAAACCATTACTAATTACCCCTGTTCCAGGTCCTTCATAAAGCAAAGTGGCAAAGTGAGAACTTTTGAAAAGAGGGAGATACCTGTGTATGAAAAACTTGTATTTGTTCACTGAATATATCACGTATTTATGAACTTTTTCTTATTATTGCATTGTATTTAATGAATGATAAGTAGATTATATTTTAATGACTATAATTGCTAATAATTGTGTTCTTTTCACATTGAAGAGTTTGCCTTATAATGCCTCACTTTATTTTGAATAATTTGATGTACATGCTTAGAATATAAAGTCTCTTAGATCTTTGCTATATAGGTAATAAGCAGTGTGAATAGTGGAATTTAAAAGAGAATGCTTGAAAATGAAAGCTCTGTTATTTTTGAACCTGTATTTCACAGCATGAGAACAAAATGTATTCAGCTGTTCATTTTATTAAGAGAGAAAAATGCATTCGAAATTAGGATTGTACCATTCAGAGACTAATTCACGCAGTCATAAGAGAAATACAAAATCTCCATATCAGTGGGTAGAGAAAGTCACATTTCAATAAAACATTTGGTGATTAAATATCTCCACACAGATCTTTTTAATATTTTTTTTTTTAGAAATGAAGACTGTTGAAAAGTCAGGAATTCAACAATAAGCTTTTCACATGACCCATTAAAAATCAGAAAACTGGCACTTAAACCCAGGTTGTAGATGGAAAAAATCTTATTCTATGGGAAATCTGAGAACATTTCCCTTCCTCTGACCATCAATATTAGTGTCATCACATTTTTCTTTCTTCTGAGTCAAGATATACCTTAGCTCAAGGCTTGGTGAACCCCGGTGTATTAAGTATCTTAATAACTATAAAAAATAGAAGACCTTCCATCAATTTAAAACGAGCTTTGACTTATGTTTCAGTAATGGCAATGGATCAGTACTGCTAGGTCTGGATTGTTGAACTTAGGTTCCTTGGGCTTCAGTGTCACACTGTGTGAGACTTGCTAGATTCTCTAGACTGTGAAATAGAACATAGCCAGCAAGCTCGCAAGAGATGAAACTGGTGGTGCAGGGGTTAAAGTAAAGTCTCAGTGCTATCAAGCTATCGCCAGCCACTGCGAAATGAGTTCGATCCCCAGTCGGGGATCTGACCCACATGGCACAGCAGACCTCTCCTGTCTCCCCGCTGCTCTCTCAGCAGTGGATTTCAGTCGATCCACCTGTTCTGCTCCCCACTCTGTCTCTGGTGAATCCTCTCACCTCCTCTCCCCCACCTCTGGCATAAATAATTAAATTTATGAATAAATAATTAAATCTTTAAAAAATATAGAGTTTAAGGATTTAGAAATTTCTCCTACAAATTTGTCACAACGACTGGCAGAGATTTGCTAGAGAGGCTTTTTTGCATTTATTCATTTTTTATTTTATAGCGGAAGCCCCCGATGGTGATAGAGGATCTCTTTGAAGACATGAAAGATGGTGTGAAGTTGCTTGCTCTTCTGGAGGTCCTGTCTGGGCAGAAACTGGTAAGAATTTTTTCCAGTGACCCAGCTTGTCAGATTATTCTTTCCATTTGCAATTTTGGGGGCAGGGTTGAGGAGTTGCGAGTGTTAATACGTGTTATCCTTGTAAAAGAGAGTTCTTTCTTCTTTCTTGGAGTCTGAAACACACAAGAAACACTAGTCTTCTGGCCACTTCTGGAAGCAAGGATTAAATTTCCTTTCTAGTTCCTGCATACCTTTATCCACTAAAGGTAGATTGTAAACCATTGTATATAGTAGTAGCAAGCTTAGCAGTAAGAGAACTTCATTGAAAATGAATTGTGGTTCCTTCTGCATCTATAGAGTATCCAGGAAGATAAGTTGCAAAACAGTTTGCTTTGGAAAGGACGACTGGTTCACGTCTATGGATTCATGTAATTGTTTGTTGAACCTTGGGCTTGAAATCACGGTAGCATTTTTCACACCTCGAGGATACCCTCATCTTCGGTTATCTGCAGCAAGGACAACTTGTTCAGAATCATCTGTTTTTACTGTCAGCAGAGCCAGCAGTGAAAATATCAGCAGTGAACCATAAAGTATACTTTATGACATTATTCAAATACTAGAATATGTATTTTTTCTGGTGTATGTTTTTCCATTTCATTTGTGCTAGCAAAGTAAGTCTTTTGCAAACATAAACTGTTCATAAATGATGTTTAGCAGACTGAGAAAAAGGAGCTCAAAAAACAATATTCAGAGTGTTACGTAACACACTGGTCACAGGGCCCCAAACTGGGAGTACTTGTTTTCTCTCTATCTATTTCATCTCGGCAAGAATTACACAATCATCATTTCTTAGACAATTACGTTTTCTAAAAAGTGTTTTGCTTGAACAAAATAACTCTTGAAGTTTGTTGCAAATACAAGCCGATGTTAATTTTGTGGAGATCATTTATCTAATTTGAGTCATCTTGTAGCAGATGCTTTGGGCACCCTCTGCACTGTCGACCCCCATCCCACTGAGGTCGGGGTGAACTTTGCTGGGCTCTCCCACCTGATGTTGTCTCGAGGTCTGTGGTGCCCCAGGATTTGTGCTCACAGGGATTTTATTGTCAAAGCCCCCCAGTGCCCAGGTAGCGTGCTGGGCAGTGGGTTTTGCAGCTCCATCCTGAGGCCTTTCTGTGGTTGTGCTTTGGGAAGCAGAATCTGTCTTCCCAATCCATGCTCCCCACCTGCCAGCCTAGTTCAGCGTCATTCATCTGTTCAGACTTGTTTTGTGGACGTTACTCGGCTCCCTGGGTGTGGGGTCTCCACCGTGAAGCCCCAGTGAGCCCATAGCTTTTGCTCTTCTGGTCCAATTGGGCTAAGACTCTGTGCTGGGACATGCAGGACCTGACTCCTGGGAGCATGTGCTGCATTGGGCTGCCCTGGAGAAAGCCTGTCACCCGGTGGACCATCGCAGCCTGACGTGAAGGAGTGAGGGCTCCCGATCTACTGGGAATGACTTCTTGTTGGGGATTGGGGGAGAAGCAGATATGGATTTTGTCAGGCACTGGGGGGCCCTACATTCTGCATTATAAAGGTGATGGTCCCCATGCACCGTCAGTGGAAGTGGGACTCCATTAAAAAATGCTCCAGCAATTGTAGGAGGGACGCGTCTAAGTTTTGTTGTACAGAGAGTGTCCCATAGGGTCCTCGGAGTGATTGCTCCCTGCCGCCCACAGTGGAAAGCCTCAGTAGCAAACCCTTGTTTGGTTTTTCCTCCTTCTCTGTCTCACTGTCCATATAGCCTCACTCCTGCCACCTGGGATCACCTCCCTAATAAACTATGGCACCCACATCCTTGTCTCAGCTCTGCTTTGGGAGAATGCAAACAAGACACGTAGGAACAGCCCATTGGGAATACACAGACATGCATCAGCTAAACAAACTGGCTCAGCATTAGGATATGGAAGTCAGTGAATTGAAATATTATGTATACCGCTTGGTCGTCTAAAGTCGTCAGTCCCCTTGTAACCCTTCTGAATTCAGCTGTGTCCTTGAAGACTGAAGAAACCTTCCTTCTATTGAAATGGTCATTTGCAATGTTTGTCTTTAAATGTCAATACAATTCTGTGATTGTGCTTGGCTAACAGCATCCAGAAACCTCGATGGACTTTTAATTGCCGTGTTAAATGTTTCTAGAAAAAGTATATATTTTGACATAAGAATCCTGCTTCTATTTAAGTGCCCTGCTCGTTCAGATAGAGTTAGCGCTGTTGGTTCTCAGAACTCGAAGCATTTTTCAGAAAGGTTCTCACCTTTCTCACTTAACAGGTAGAGACACTGAGACACACGACAGTTCTAGATTTAACCAGTGTTAATTATATTGAGCCTTTCAAGAGCTCAAATTGCATGAATTGAAGGTACTCTGAAATTTTAAGGAAACCTTGGCATCTGTTATTTATATACACATTATGGTTAAGTTTACCCCTAGAAGTTTAATTCTATCAGAATGAATGTCTTTATTGAATCATTTCTCCACCTTCCTAATGCTGTGGGGCTAACACACCTTTCTGTACCTGCTAACCTTTGTAGAAGATGACTAATGTGATTACTCTTGGTTATTCTTGAATATCCTTCAAGTCTGTTTTTCATCTTTTTTTAAAAAAGATTTATTTATGCATATAAGAGCTGGGGTGTAGGCCAGAGGTGCAAGGGTGGGGGTCAAAAGGATTCACCAGAGACAGAGTGGGGAGCAGAACAGGCAGAGCTACTGAGATACACTGCTGAGGGGAGAAGCGGGGAGACAGGAGAGGTCTACTGCACCCTGTGGGTAGCTCCCTGGCCAGGGATGGAACTCGTGCTGCAGTGGCTACAGATCGCTTCTTAGTGCTGAGACTTAACCCCTTGTGCCACCAGGGAAGCCCCTGTTTTTCATCTTTTAAGTAGGTTTTATAATTGTCTTTTTCATATGTGCATTTTGATTTATTCTTGCTCATCCCCTTCTCACAGCCTTGCGAGCAAGGCCGCCGGATGAAGCGAATCCACGCGGTGGCTAACATTGGCACAGCACTCAAGTTCCTTGAAGGAAGGAAGGTAAGAGAGAGCGAACACGGCACTTTAAAGAGAAGGCCGGGCTGCTGCTGTTCTCACTGCCGTGTCGGGTCGAAGCATGCGTGCAGTCTGCACAGCACACACGTGTAATGTCAGGGTGAAAGAATGATAGATTTGCAGAAAAATGGCAAAAAGGCGCAAAAATGCAAAAAAAAAAAAAAAAAGGCAAGAAAATACAGAGATTTAACGTCTGCACATCACCCAGATTCCTTTTGTGTTGAGAACTTCCATAAACCTGCAGGATGATCAACCTGAGGGAATGGCCCTCGGTTTACCATTCACCGAAGCTCAGGCCTGAGTTTCATGCGACCACTTCTCCCCCATCCCCCATCATGCTTCTGCCCCAGGGTCCAGTCCAGGATCACACCTTGCATTTAACTGGCTTCCTTGTCCCTTCCACTCTGTGACACTCCTTTGCTAGTCTGCTGGTCAGTTATTTTCCAGAAGGTCTCTCAATTTGGGTTGATACGATATTTTCTCATGACTAGACTAAGGTGACACATTTTAGGCAAGAATTCCAAGGAAGTGATGTTGTCTTCTTGTCAGTGCATGGTACTGCTGAGTATAAACTTCAGATGACTTATCCGGGTGGTGATAACCTTGATCACCTAGCAAGGTCATCCGCTTGGGTCTTTTTATGGTAAAGTAGCCTTTGTTTTCCCTTTGTCATTGAGAAACATTAGGGAAGGTAATTGAGATTATGCTAATATTTTGCTTCTTTTCCTATTTTTCTTTGGCTTGTTGAGTTTAGCCCCAGTTGCCTTCAATCACTGTTTTCTGTGCTATTTGAATAATGATGATCTTGTGCTTGCCTCCTCCTTTTTACATTTATTTTATTTTTTTTAAAGATTTATTTTATTTATTTATGCATACAAGAACTGGGGTACAGGCCAGAGGTGTGGGGGGCTGGGGGGCTGGTGAGAGGACCCACCAGAGACAGAGTGGGGAGCAGAACAGGCAGACTGACTGAAATATACAGCTGAGGGGAGCAGCGGGGAGACAGGGGAGGTCTGCTGTGCCCTGTGGGTAGCTCCCTGGCTGGGGATCGAACTCATGCTGCAGTGGCTGCGGATAGCCTCACAGGCTGAGTCTTAACTCCTTGCACCACCAGGGAGGCCCCTACATTTATTAATTAATTGTTCTATCAGAAAAAAGATGCCCTTCTTCCCCTTATTTATTCGTTTATTCAACCTGTGGCAACATAGACTGATGCACACCTATTTTTGCTCTAGCTGTGATCCAGTTCTTCTGTGCTTGTCATTGCTGATACTATTATTGTTACTTTGCTGCTCACGTTGCTCCCACTTTGGCCACGAAGCACCCCTTCAGGCTGGCTCCTCTACTCTCTGGTAGCCCCATCCTTCTTCAGCATTTCCTTAACTTTGGAAACTACAGATTTTCCAAGTGGATCTTGTATTTTTCCCGGCCCCTGTCCTGGAGTCACTGACATCTCCAAAGAAGCAAGTTTCTTTCACTACTGAATGGCCTGTAGGAGATCCGGGCGCTAGGAATGAGTCCTGCTCCTGAGACTTCTTTGTTCCTTGGGCCTCTCAACAGACAGAGCTAAAAAATTTAAAGCAGAAGATTTAGATTTTGAATAATCCATTCATCAAAGAGAGAATATTTGTGACATTCATAATAAAATCTAATGTGTTGTCCTGCTGTCCCCACAACCCCAAATCTCTTTAAATTGAAAAATAACCCATGAAAATTACATGTTGGGGTATCCTTTCTTGCATTTCCTTACTCCATAGAAGAATTGACTTTGGGGAAGGATGACTTTTTAAAGGCTTTTTGGTGCTCCTGCACTTACTACGTAATGTTCTTTATAGGTTAAGAACCCACATCTCAATTGTATTTTCAGGAATTTGTCTTTGATATTTGTGCTGAATTTGCCCTGCATTTAGATTTTTTCTTTAGATAATAGAAAATGTGGTTGGTCTTGGGTTCTTATCTAGTTTGATGTAGAAAAATGAAGGCACTCCTGAAGTCTTAATGGAAAAACCCCTTCCTGTGTATTTATTTTACCACTTGTTTAACGGCTACTTATAAAAAGCATCCATTAGTATATGATGAGAACTGTGTGTCAGTCTATTATTTTTTTATTTTTTAATTTAAATTTTATTTTTATATTCCCCATACAATTACAACCCCCTTATTTTTACCCCAAGCCCTCCTTTCCCCGCCCCCAACCCCCCATAGAGTGTCTCTTGTTCATAGTTATTTGTTGATTTTGATATTTTCTTTCTTATAGTTATTCTTTTTCCTGGTCCCTTATTTGAGTTTTCTAGACTCCTGGTATGAGTGAGACCATCCGGTATTTTTCTTTTTCTTTCTGGCTTATTTCGCTGAGCATGATCCCTTCCAGCGCCATCCATGTTGCTGCAAATTGCATGTGTTTATCTTTTTTGAATGCTGAGTGATATTCCATGGTGTATATGGACCACACCTTCTTGATTCAGTCATCTATTTTGGGGCATTTGGGCTGATTCCAAAGCTTAGCTATTGTAAACAGTGCTGCTATAAACATAGGGGTGCAGGTGCTCTTTGGAATTGATGTTTCTGTGTCCTTTGGGTAAATACCTAGGAGTGGAATTGCTGGATCCTATGGAAGCTCTATGTTTAGTAGGTCCAGAAATCTCCACACAGCTCTCCATAGTGGTTGGACCAGTTTCAGTCTATTATCTTAATACTCACCATTTTCCACAAGTTCCTTTCTACAAGGAGGTGTCAGGTGGAACATTCTAAGCTAATACTCACCACCTTCAATAAGACTTGCCAGAGTTCAGGCAAGGGACATAAATCTAGCTTCGCAGGGCATCCAGATAGGTCTAAAAGATGAAATTCACTATCATAACAGAGAAATAAATAGTCCAGTGATTTAAAAAATAAATACTCATCCCCAACCATAGTTACCTCAAATGAATGCACAGTGATTCCACTTTTCCAGTTGACCAAGAAAAGTCAGTAATCTGGATTTTTATGGAAACCTAATTATTTATTATCTTTATTTAAGTTGATCATTAAATAATGTGAATAGTTGGCTACCTGTGTAACTATTTAGAATGATTATGCTGATACATCATTATAAAAAGCAACTAGTGTACAGTGGTGATGCGTCTGGTCATTAGATTTTCTAATTTAAGAAAAACTAGTCGTCTGGATGTTTATGGAAAATGTTTCAAAATTTATTCCCAAGTAATTCAAGTATTTTGAAACATCACTGGGCCTTGATTAGTCTACTGTGGTGGCCAGAACAGATTATACACATGAGGTGGCTTGAACTATCTGGGCCTAGATGTCCAAGAAGCCCAAGGTCAAGGTGCTGGTGGCTTGGTTTCCTCCATTCTTCCTGGCTCGCACACAGTCACCTTCTCACTGTGTCCTCGCTGTGGTGTGGAGAGTGAGAGCTCTAATGTCTCTTCCCCTCTTTATTAGGTTGCCAGTCCTATTGGATCGAGATTCCAGCTTTATGGCCTCATTTAATTTTAATTGCTTCCTTAATGGATGCATCTCCAGATACAGTCACCTTGGGGAAGAGGACAGGTCAGGACTTCAACATATGAACTTGGGGAGGGACACAAATCAGCCCATACAGCTCTTTGGTTTGCTGAATCAGACTTCTCCAGATCAGCTGGGTCAAGTACAGTTGTCTAGTCCAGGCTTCTCAAACATTAACATGAATCAAAATCAACAAAATCTGGAAGATTTTAGAAAACAAATTCTTGGGCTGTGCTCCCTTAGTTTCCGGTTTGGCAGAGCTAAGGTGAGGTTTATCCATGTGATGTGTCCTCTTGCTGGCTTCTGGAGATCCTTCAGTCTCTTGGGGTGACCCTGTGGCTTTTCTCTAGGAAACTGAAAACTTAGGTAAATTTAATAGGATTTTTAAGGGAGCAGAAGCCAAGAAACAAACAAAAACCCTGTTTTCTATGTGTGTTCCTGTTGTGCAGCACAGTTTTTAGGAGAGAAAATCATTATGAAGAACATTTTTCTTCACAAGTTGAATAGATTATGTTTGGATTCTATAATAATTATGTTAACTTTATAGCTGAAATTATAGTTGAGGTAGGAAATTCAGCTTATATCAACCACATTTGTTTTTAAAGAATTATATAGCAGGAAAGAGCAAAAACCTGTCCTCTGTGAAATGCATCAGTCATGGTTACTAGCATGGATTACATATGTATAATGACATGCAATCTCATGGTTACATTAGCATGGACTAGACAGTTGTGGTCCATGGATACTAAAATGAATGTGAAGAAAATTCTGAAGTTAGAAAATGGAGCAATCAAAATGTTTACAGAGGTTGCAATAGGTTCTATCATAAAAGATTAATGAAATGCGATGTTCTTTATTTTTCACAAGTATGTGATAAATGTCTTAACACTCTGCTTGGTTTAATAGAAGTAATACATACACTTGTAATCTATGGCAGTTTTAAATTTTTTCCCTGTCTCTAAACATAATGAATGAGTTACTCATGTGAGACAAAATTTTATGGATGTCCCTTAAATTACTTATGAAAATTTTTTGTGCTAACCTTGATTCTTCTCATGTTTAAATAGTAAATTTAAACAAATTTTCAAGAGTGAAGTATGATTTTGCGTCTGATGAATCTTTTTCAAAGTAAACTGTTTACAAACTTCAGAACTTTATTATGAGTAACAGAGTTTATTAAATCTTGGCTGAGAATTAATGAGCTAGAAGTTAGAAGAGCACTTTATCATTTTTTCTAATATATTTAGGGATTACAAAAGGGAGGAAGCACAGTTGTTAATTGTATTCTATATCAAATGAGATAGATGTAAGCTCATTTTGCTTTGACTTAGAAAATCACGCCTTTATGTTGGGAAAACATTGAAATGAATAACATTGAAATGAATAACATTGAAATGAATAACATTGTAGACAGATTACTATCAACCCTGAATGCTTTATAGTTCTCAGTGCCTAAGAAGAGTCTTGTGGTCTCTTTCTTTCTTTTTTTTTTTTTTTAAATAATAAATTTTATTTTTATATTCCCCATACAATTGCAACCCCCCATTTATAATATTTCTTGAATTTTTTGGTTTGCCTTTAAAATGTTTTTTCCAAATCATGCTTTAAACTTACTTTACATTTTTATTCCCTTTGAACAAATAATGCTGAACTTGAAAGGTTGCGTATGTATATCACCTTCTCTCTTTGTTTTCCATGTCAGTCCATTTACAGAGGATCACCGGTTAGTACAAATTTTTGAATTTTTAACTCCTGGCTCCTATAGGTAAAAGAGAATCTAAGTTTCATGATCTTTGGTAACAAAGGCAAAGTAAGTGCATCTTGTTCAACTGCTCATCTCAGTTTCCTTTAAGTTCTAGTCAATCTCTGAATGTCAAGAATCACTTTTTTTTTTTTCCCGTCTGGCATTTTGCTTAGTAATTCCTTGCATGACATCATATTTTTTTCAACTTTAGACAAGTTTTTGAAATCTGTTTTCAGTCATTTTTATTGTGTGCACTTAATGAATGTCCCTGGAATTTCCACTGAAACCAAGTGCTTGTTTATCTGTGGTACAACCTACTCACTCCTGTGTTCCACTCTCAGGGCATGACCAACGTTTGTTGATGTTTAATAAAGCGCTAATTACTGCATAATTAGATGAGTTACAGCCTTCTTGTATATCCCTAGTATCGTTTTTCTTTTCGAACAGATCAAGTTAGTCAACATTAACTCCACCGATATTGCGGATGGCCGGCCCTCCATTGTTCTCGGCTTGGTGTGGACCATTATTTTATATTTCCAGGTATGGTGCTAGACAGTTTCCTTTTCTGTCAGTCTAGTGTTGTGGAGGGAGGTGGCTGTGGGCATTTGAATGACATCCTCATGGGTCTTTAGGATTGATCCTCAAGCTTCACATTTACATTGTTTTTTGGTAGCAGGGGAATTTCCTTTTTTTTATCCCTACAAAGGTTATATGTAGCACTCTCCAAAGAACCCTAGCACTGGCACCCAGTCTGAAAAGTGGGCAGGACACAATGGAAAGGGAATATTGGTATTAAAGGGGAAAATAACCTTTGTTTTCTGGGAACAGTTATATGTTCCTTATAGGCATGAAGAAGAGAAAACAATAGACTAGTTCTTCTAATCATTAGGTTGTTTTTATTTATTTATTTATTTATTTATTTATTTATTTAAAAATTTACTTATTTATGCATACAAGAACCGGGGTACAGGCCAGATTTGAGGAGGGTGAGAGGATTCACCAGAGACAGAGTGGGGAACAGAACAGGCAGACTGATGAAACACACTGCTGAGGGGAGCAGCAGGCGAGATAGGAGAGGTCTGCTGTGCCATGTGGGTTTCTCTCTGGCAGGCCAGGGATCATACTCGTGCTACAGAGGCTGCAGATTGCCTCATAGTGCGGTGCTTAACCCCTTGTGCCACCAGGGAGGCCCTGTTTTTATTTTTTTAAATAGACTATGCATTAAAACAGTTTTAGGTTTACAGCAGCACTGAGCAGAAGATACAGAGATTTGGTATTCAACCCCTGCACCCACACATCCATGACCCTCCCCCAATAACCAGTGATCCCTACCACCATGGCAGTGTTACAATTAATGAACTTACGTTGACACATTTTATCATTTAAGCTCCATAGTTATCTTGGGGTTTGCTTACGATATTGTACAGTCTATGAGTCTGAACACCCGTTAGATTTCATTCTTCTATCCGATAAGTAGAAAGGACAGTAAGACCTCAGCGCTGCCCTTCAAGATCTTGCATTTTTGTCAGTGGCTTTAAGGGTGTTAAGATAAACCATCTTTTGTTGGAACAATTAACCATCTGGAGAAAGAACAAAATAATTCTTTTTTCAAAAATTAAATTTTTTTTCATTGAGGTAACATTAGTTTATAACATTATATATGACTTAGGGGAATCCACACCTCTTCAGATGTATATTACTGCACCACACACACCGCCCTAACCCACAGTCCTCTGCTATAGTCCATGGGGACCCCCCCACTTCATCCCCCACAGTAGCCTCAATTCCGAATAAAGATGATTCTTATGTTTTTGCCAAATGTTAATGCACAGATTGAGGAATTGACCAGCAACCTGCCGCAGCTGCAGTCTCTGTCCAGCAGTGCGTCCTCCGTGGACAGCATGGTCAGCGCCGAGCTGGCCAGTCCTCCCAGCAAGCGGAAGGTGGCCTCCAAGGGCCAAGGCAATGCAAAGAAAGCTTTATTAAAGTGGGTTCAGTATTCAGCAGCCAAGTAAGTACCAAACGTTTGTTTACATTTGCAGCTCTGGGATAATTTGAGTTATCAGTTTGTTGCCAAGTGCACTTTGCAAGAATGGCAAAATTTGAAGATATTTGAATGATGGCTTTGCTCTTTCTTTGAACTAAAATATAAACACAAATTACCACTGATATGCAAGGAAAATGCTGTAATAAATCCATCTTCATCTTTATCTGCTTAAACCTGATTATCTACGTTACATCTTTATTAGTAGCTCAAGGGCTAAGTCTATTTAGATTATTATCTGGCTTCTTGCACTTATTGAATAATCATTCCATATACAACTTAGAGATTTTTGACTTCATTATCTCTTCATAGACTATGTTCTGTTTATTAATAATGTGAACTAAGGTCTACAATCTGAAATAATTGCGTTTGATTTTATTTTCTGAAATTCTTTATAATTTGAAATAATTTGAAACTTTTTTCTTATCATTTCATCTTTTCTCTAAATGTAGATCCCTTTGCCAACTTGAGCTTTATGGACTAAAAATTCACTTTTAGTTTTATTTGCTTCCAGGTATAATACATTTACTTGTGTCTACGTTAATGTGATAATGTTGGATAGATAGATAATCCTCTCAGAAAGTATCTTCTCATAGCAATTTCAGTAGAGCTTTCAATTGGTCTTTAAAATATTTTGTGGTCATATGTGGCCAGTGGTAAGATCTCTTTACATACAAGCTGTGCTTTTATATGATTCTCCTTAATGACATGGAAACTTAACTCACTTTCCGTTTTGTTTTGCATGCTGAAATCTAATCTGAATATCATTCTCTCTTTCTGGGAAGCGGTTGTAAACAAGTACTTATCATCATAAAATATTGAAGCACTGAACACGGGAGTTCTATTTTCAGAGGGTTTGAAAAACAAAAATAAGGGTAGAAAAAAATAAGTGTAGAAAGATGTGGTTAGTGTTACTAATTTATATGGTTTCATTTAACTTTTTAAGGGTGTTGTTAGTTTTCTAGTTTGGAGTATATTCTTATAATTCAAGTTGCTCTCAAAAATATTTCTAAAAGCAGAGCTTTGTGACTCCATAGAATCTGCAGTAGAAAATGAAATAAAAAGTCCTTCCTGCATTGCTGGCATGCTGTGTGCATTCCATCTATCACTAATCTCTTTTTTAGTTAAACTGGGCAGGGAGAAAAGTATGTGCTGGCAGGACCATTCACTGACATTTGTCATATGCAGTTGCAATCAAGCTTTGTAATGATGTCACTGTGATATTCTATTGTTCATTGAATTCATCAAAGATATCAATTGATTTTCACTTAGTATCGTAGTAGCTTGGGGTACACTCAAATTCAAAGCTGTTAGAGGTTTCCTGCATTGATTTTATTTCACACAGGGTGTGTTGATTTCAAAGATGTACAAGTGTTTTGCGGTAATGCACAATCATTCCTGCAGCCTGTGTGTTTGGAACATCAATGGAAGCTGTGTTTTCCTTAGATGTGTAAATGTTTTGATGGATGGACCCAAGGCTTCTCCACTCATCAGTAAATCAATAAGATCATTTTATTTTAAGCTGCGTATAAGTTGTAGAGATTGGGAGATGACTGTTCTCTGCCATGACAATTTTGTAATGAATATATGATTTTGTTATGTAGTAAACTCTTGATAGTTTTTCTGAAAGCTACTGGTACAGTATTTTTCAAGCAACTTCTTACCTGTTAGAGATAAAAAAAAAAAAAGAAGTTAGGCTCTGTACCCATTTCAGTATATGGCATGTTTCTAAAATTATAATCTCTGAGATGCTGTAGTCTGAAGGTATGTTAGTCTTACAAAGCTAAAGATGGCAAGAAAGGATAAAATATTCAGTAAACATCAGATTGTCAGAGTGTATTCACTGTTTTCATATAAAATTTCACAATATTTGGAAAGTAAATTCAAAGCTGTTTCATTAAGACAAGATAATTAAACTATGTGTTTTTTAAGCAATTTTACTTACTGTCACTACATACTCTCAGAAATGGAAGCAATGTTATAACATCTGATATTTGCATACCTTGTTTTCAAATGTCTTTGAAGTATTATTTTAAGTATTATTTTAAGACAAAAAATAATTAAGACAAATGAAGACATGTTTATTCAGATTCACTTAAAATAACTTGAAATAAATATATATTAGAATTCAGAAAGCCCTAAAACTGAAGATTCTTCTCACTTCTGTAAATGGCATATCAACAGTTCTTTAAGTTTGTATTGCTTAATAAGGTATCTAATTTTTCTTCATTTTTTTTAAGATTTTATTTATTTTTGCATAGAAGAACTGGGGTATAGGCCAGTGGCAGGCAGGGAGAATATTCACCAGAGACAGAGTAGGGAGCAGAACAGGCAGACCCGCCGAAATACACTGCTGAGGGGAGCAGCCAGGGAGATAAGCAAGGCCAGCTTGCACCATGTGGTTGAGCTCCCTAGCTGGGGATCAAACCCAGGCCATCCCAGTGGTAGGGCTGAAACTTAACCCCCAGGCACCAGGGAGACCCCCTTCTTTGAGTTTTTATCTAAAATTCTTAAATAAGAAGTTTGGGCTAGAACTAAAATTTTTGGGTTAAAACTAAAAATATTAGACCTACGTTTTAGTCTAATATACATAGTGTGTGGGTATTTAACAAATACAGAGAAAGAACATTACTCCAAAATAGTAATTTTTTAAGGAAACATTTTATATATTTCCTTCTGAAAATGACTAAAACAATAAACAAATTCAACAGAATCAGAAAATATCTGATAATTTGCTGATTTTTTTAATGAACAAACTTTTATTTATAACTTGCCTATTTCACTAAGAAATAATTTGAGGTGGTTTAAAGAGACCGTGGATATAAAATCATTTTTACATGAGAACATTTTGGCAAAGGAAAATATAATAAGTAAGATGAGACACAAACTTTGACTGAAAACTGTTAGACGCATATACCAGAGACGTTCTGGAAAAAACCATGAGAAGGTTCAAGGTTGTATTTTAAAAGGACTTTTACACAGATGGTATCTTCTTACCCTTTGCTTTTCCACACAATAGTATGTTTTTGAGAATTTTTCACAAGTTGGTAAATATGAAATGTATTCCTTTATCGCCTCCAGCATGTATATGAAGTACATTTTGTTGGTAGTCACGTGATCTCAATAGCTGCTAGGCCTGTTTGTCATAGACTATGTCATGCTCTCTGTGTCTATCAACCCCTTGAATTCCTACCAGAATCTACGAGGCTATGGGCTGAGAAAAAAGAAAATACAATAATTATTATCCCTTGTGGTGTTTTATAATTCTTCTATTTTTATTTTGCCAGATATTTTTTCTCTAAATTGATTTCCTTTAAAAATGTGCTTTAAATCATGTATATTTACTACTGAAAAATTAAATACAGAAAACACTAAATATGAATTTCTATTTCTTCTTAACCTCTCAATTTTTTTTAATTTTTCTAAAACCAGTTCACTGGTATAACTAAGCGTGTGTAATTTATAGCTGAAGAGGTTTGGATTTTGCATGATGGCCTGAGGAAGAGTGTATTATCTGTTCAAAACGTGACATTGTTTGGTTTTGGTCACACCAGGCAGACTGGAGTAGAAGTAAAAGACTTTGGACGGAGCTGGAGAAGTGGACTTGCCTTTCATTCGGTCATCCATGCTATTCGACCAGAACTTGTGGACTTCGAGAAAGTGAGAAGCAGATCGAACAGGGAAAACCTGGAGGAGGCTTTCACTATTGCTGAGACGGAGCTGGGGATCCCAAGGTTACTGGATCCCGAAGGTATGTTGAGTAACTGTTGGCTCTTGCCTGCCTCAATTCACTAAGTTTTTGTGTCTTCAACCCTGAAATTGCTGATGACTTCTGAGACCCTACTGGAAGCTAAAAACCTGGAGAAAAGCAGGAAATATCTTTCTGCACTGATTTTCTTTATTTTTTAATTGCCTTTTTTGGGGGGTCACGTTGGATTGCAACACTATATATTTTATGGGTGTAGGCACACACCTCTTTAGATGTGTGTTTCCAATTCACATGTGCCAATAAAGCACCTGTTATCACCCACCACAGTCCACTGGACCAGGCTAGCCTGGGGTCTCCACTTACTCAGCTCCAAGGAGAGCTAAACATGTCCTAGCCCACAACTTCTGAGGCTAAACTGGGCTGAAGCGTTTCTTAGAGAGAGACAGGGTTGAGAGGAAAGTATAAATGGTTCTTTTGCATCTACTGGACTAGAAACTGAGGTTGCCCAAACACAAGGCTCTCCCAGATATAAGGTGCTCCTTTATTTTCCCAATGAAATCTCTCCCACAAAACATTACCTCGCCAACTTGAATATGTAAACATTTAGGGAAATAGATGAAACAGATCAGTGTCCATTACAATAAGCTCATTATTGAGCTGCATGTACGCTGCGGCATGGGCTGCGTTGAATCTTGTATCATGTAGCTGTTTCCCACCTTCACATTTCATGAAGTTTTACTCATTCTTCACATGCATCTTGTGCATCAGTGATATTGTCATTTCTAAGTGCAGCTTTGAGTCATCGAGCTAAATCACAGAATACATTATCTGTGTTTCCTTTTAAGTAATTTGAGTAGCAGCACTGTTTAAAAACTGTGTTGAAAGTCTCTAAAAATGATAGCTCAAAATTATAAGGAAGATTACAAAATATTAGGGCAGTTTTATATTTCAATTTTCATGCTTTTGGTTTATTTATTATAGTTTCAATTCTGAGGGTACTTATTATGTTTGTTATCTCCAAATGTAGTCATCTTTTTTTTATTACCTTTAAAAGGGATATTCAAAAGATTTTTTTTAAACATTTAACTCTTGGTGAGGATGTGAAGAATAAGGAACCCTCATATACCCTTGGTGGATTGTATCAATAGACTGGTTCAGACCTTAAGTAAAACAGTATGGACATTTCTCAAAATATTAAATATAGGTCGACCATATGACCCAGTAATTCCACTCCTAGGTATATACCCAACAAATGCTATTTAAAAAACACTAATTTAGTGGCTCCCCTGGTGGTTAAGACACAGCACTATGAAGCCATCCTCAGTCACTGTAGCATGAGTTCGATCCCCAACCAGGGAGGTGACCCACATGGTGGAGCAGACCTCTCCTGACTCACCCACTGCTCCCCTCAGCAGTGTATTTCACCCAATCTGCCTGTTCTGTTCTCCATTCTGTCTCTGGTGAATCCTTTCACCTCCCACACCTCTGGCCTGTACCCCAGTTTTTGTATGTATAAATAAATACATCTTTTAAAAAACACTAATTTAAAGGGATATATGCACTCCTTTGTTTACTGCAGCACTGTTTAAAAAAATAACCAAGTTATTGAAACAACCTAAAAATACAAGGATAGGTGAGTGAATTAGGAAGATGTGGTAAATACACATTGGAGTACTACTCAGCCATAAAAAATGATGAACTCTTGCCATTTGTGACAACATGGGTGAACTGGAGGGATAATGCTAAGCAAAATAAATCAGAAGGAGGGCCTCCCCGGTGGCGCAGTGGTTGAGCGCTGGGTTGCGAAGCTGCCCACAGCCTCTGCAGTGCCGGTTCGATCCCTGGCTGCTCCCCGGCCACCGGAGGAGGGTCCCACATGGCGCGCAGACCTCTCCTGCCGCCCGCTACTCCCCTCAGCAGTGTACTTCGGTCCTTCTGCCTGCTCTGCTCTCTGCTCTGGCTCTGGTGAATTCTCTCACCCTCCCGCGCCTCTGACTGTACCCAGTGCTTGGTATAAATAAATAAGTAAATCTAAAAAAAAAGTTATTATGAAAAAATAAATAAATCAGAAGGAAAAAGACTAATACCAATGGTTCCACTTATATGTGGAATAGCAACAAAATCAAAGGGTCAGATAAAACCAAACCAATAACATATGCTAAAAATCTGACTGTAGAATTCAGGTTACTAAAGGGGAGACAGCAAATTGGGGATGGTTCCCAATGGACTGTGTGGGAAGGCTCTGCCTTGGTGGTAGGCTTTGTGTGCAGCATACACGTGAAAGGGTATGAACCTATACTTCTAAATCACATACAGTGTTGTGAATCAGTGTCACCTAATTAAAAAAAAATAGTCAAAAAATAAAACATTCAGGTCTTATGCATGCAGTCTTACTCCCATTTTGTAATTTCTAAATTTGTATAAATATCTTTGCATGAGTTTAATATCTTATTAAATATATTTGTATTAGAGATAATATTCTTGGAGAGAAATATCTTTGCTGATTTTATAATGTAAACATCCTTAAACTGAAAGTGACAATAATTGGGATCTTGTCAGGCCTGTGTCTCCCTCAAAGAGTACTTGATTGTTCAAAGTAGAGTAACTTGAGAAAATTCTCCACTACCACCTTGGCATCCATGAAATTGAACATATGGCATCTCCTCCTCTTTTCTAAAACAAAACTTGAAGGGGCAAGGGTTGCCTTACCTCTGGCATACAAGCTGTATAGTCCCTTGTCACTCAGTACCACACCTTTATGGTTTCCACCCTGTCATTTGTCTGTTATGAATTACCCAGAGTGTCTGAATAGCCATAGAGTATCTCCTCTTTCTGATGAAATCATGTTGATTCCATTCAAACGAAGCATGTATTGTTCTCCTAAAAGCTCTTCTTTATAAAGCTCTCCATCTGGGCTGTAAAATGTCCCCATGTGTTCTGTCCATAAATTGTACCCTCCCTTCATCTCTGAATATTAATTCTAATTTTCTTCTGCATTTAAAGCAGTAACTTTTGGTGTATTAGCTGGATTCAAAGTTTGTGTAATTAAAATCTGATCAAAGTTAAGTTAGTGTATCCCCATTTGGTTTTGTTTTTTCCAGATGTTGATGTGGATAAGCCAGATGAGAAGTCCATCATGACCTACGTAGCCCAGTTTCTGAAGCAGTATCCTGACATTCACAACATAGGCTCTGATGAGCAAGAAAATGATGTAAGTATTTGCTTTTCCTCAAGTATTCATAGTGTACTCACTGGTAGTGACTGATTTTTAATTAAGCTGTTTTCAAAAATTAGGTAGGAATGCATTAAGATGAGAGCAACTGAGTGAAAAATTGGTATTACCAATTGGTAAGGATTAGAGAGAAAGTTTTCTCTGATTTGTATATCAGAGCAAGCATAATTAATAAATGCTGAATATATGATGCTGATGAGTTAGAATCAAGGACAGTTAAGAAAGTTGAGAAAGTCCATCTTAGTAATTTGAGTATTGAAGTAACTTCATATCCATCATATTTGAACATCTCAATCTTGGGTCACCTTGATCTGATGAAATCAAGTTTTGACTTTTAAGTGTCATTATATAAGCTGCTGCTCACAGCAAACATATGGAAGTGTTTTTGTAATCTAATCCACTGTGGTTAGATTTCTAATTATTCATTCTGGTTAGATTTTTCAGTCTTTCGTTAGCTTATGTAACATTTGTATTTCTCATACTGTTCAAATGACATATGTTCACTGTCATAAAGAAAAGCCAAAATTAGTAAAAAGAAATGATCAGTACTTGACCTTCTAGATAGAGCCTATCTTAGAAAATAATTCATATGTTGGTATAATTTTCCAACATTTTTCTATGTCTATTAGACATACACTATTTCAACAAAAATAGTCATACATACAATGTTATAATTTTCTGTTAACATTGTACAAATGTCATTCTCTTTCCATGTCATTCTCTCCAGGTTATCATGTATGTACATGGTAATTTATTTATTCAATTTTAATTGTTGGAAGTTTCTGAATTTTTGCTGTTGTAGGCAATGCTCCTATGAACAATTTTGTAATAAAGCAGTATTTTATGATTCATTCTTACTAAGCTAAAGTCATACAGATTTTTATTGCCTTTAGAAATATTTTTTCAAATAATCCTGTCAAAAAGTTTGTCCCATTTTATACTCCAGCCAGTATACTAGGTTGCCTGTTTTCCCATTTTTTTAATAGCAAGATATTATCCTTTCAAAGCATTATTGCTTTTTTTATTATAGAGAGTGGATTTACTGCTGAATTTAAAATTAATTATAAGGCAAAATGACATCAGGGGAAATAATAAGTGGAAATTTTGAGATGTGTTAAAAGCTCTATTTTCCTTGTTCAGGCTCCAACTTGAGTTTTCAGAGTAGTTTGAGATTATACTGAAAAGCAATAACAAACACAAAAATTTTTAAATGTAATTTTGGGATAGACATAGAAATAAGTTGGAAAAGAGCAGAGAACATAATCCCAAATTTTCAAATACAAAGTGTTATTGCAGCACCAGAAGTCCATAGCTTTCCGAATTAATTTGTGCTTCCAAGGTTACTTTGATGAGGTTAATCTGGCATTTACAGAACTATATCACCTTATTTCCTAACACTACAGTTTTAGGAAACCTTTTGTGCTTCTTGCCAGGTTTCAGAAAGAAACATTGACAACCAGCGTAACTTCCATAGTTAGCAAAGCAAATCTTTCCAAGTAGCACCACAGCAAACAAATCAAAGACTGTCACTGCCAGTCCTACTTTTGCATTAGTGTTACTCGGGCGTTCAGGTTTTGGAGAAACCTATATAATCAGGTGTGGACATTGCTGTGCAAATAAAAAACTATTAAAAAAAGTGGGTTAGGCTCCCCATAAAGCATAGAGAAAATAATTTTCCATCTGATTTTCATACATAATGTCCTTGTATTACCCATTGGACTTATTTCTGATCTAGTTTCTGAGTTTATACCATTTCAATTTCTCCACGGTAGCCATTTCCCCAGATGAAAAAACTCTGCAACTAGAAACATCTTTGAAACAAAAGGAGATGCTTTTGTTAATGCTCATAAGCACTAATTTAATGCAAAGAACCTTGGAGATTTAAGACACACACTCCTGATATAAACTTGTTGGTATACTTTACTAAAGGGAACTTTATTATAAAAATATTAATCTCATTATTTAGAAAATAAATTCTGATTTTTTAAAATTCCCTCTATTTCGCCCCTAAATAAAGGCTGCATATGATTGCTTCAGGGTTACTTCAAAAATTAACTTTAAGGAAAATATACTATAACTTTGCCCTTTCTTAATGTGACATTTGTAATGTAGGGTGTAAGTATCTAAACTGGCTATTTTGAATAAGAAAAAGGATTTTATGTATATATTTATGATGTGGACTTTATATTTATTTCATGCAGCTAAATGGCCATCTACTAATGACTAATTACCCACTTAGATTTTATATACATTATGGCTACTGATGCCATTATCTCAAAGTATTCAGTTTTTGTCTAATCAGGTCTTAATAAATAGTCGTTTTAATTCATTTTATAAAAATCTTGTCATCAACACATCTAGCAGGCTTCTACTAGTATGTGTGCATTTGATTTCTATACCACATTCAACTATTTTCTAGATACCAACTTTATTACTATTATTTTTTATTCAAGGCACGTTTGTTTACAACAGTGTCTGTGCTATAGAGATATATTTTAAATTTTGATTCCTTCTTGGAAATAGACACGTTATGCCTTTATTATTTCAGCCAATAAAATTGGTAAAGAAACATTACCAATCTTTACAAAGATATTCTTTGTATAATTAGCACTCAGTTATGTATAAAATAAGCCTATTAAACTTACAGCTATTTGTTCATTCCTTCTTCCATTGCAACAAGTGTTGCTGAATGTTCTCAGAAGCACAGCACAGTCTGAATTGTTACAGGCTACAGAGATGAGTTTGTTGAATGCATTTATAGAGAAAAAATATGCAGCCGTACACCTCTTTTCACATGGTTCTCCTGTTAAAATGTTTAATATTTCAAGACATGTTTATAAAATGTTGACATGTAGGATTATTACAAATTAAAATAAAAGCATCAAATGCTGGAAAACTCCATTGCTATTTTGGGTTCAAACCTTTTCATATTTTTTAAAGTTATGAAAACCTCTTAAAGTATCTCTACCTTTCAAATTATTGTCTACTTATTTATAGGCAGATGCCACTCTATTGGTTTTTTTCTTGTTTCCTATATAATTTTGTCCCTGGTTTATATATTTTTCTATATATTATCTTTTCATATTGCTAGGAAATATTTCCAGGTATCCCATCTTTTGCAAATTCTTTCCAAAATTTGAAGGTAAGATTTAAGTCATCTTGAGTCAATGGCCCCTTCCAAACACCCTAATTCCCATATCTGGTGACCATTCTTCTGCATGTATTTGTCTTTATATACATACTTCTTTTAATGCTTTCATTCTGTTATTTCCTTTCCCTTTCTAATAGAACCAATTACATATGTATGTGCCACTAAAAGTTACAGTCTAAACCACCCCCATAGTCTTCTCACTAATTTTGAATTATAAGATGACATTGACTAATTACTTTGTAATAATACTAACACTAATAAAAGGAAGAATTTATAATTATGTTTTTAATATGTGACATGGAAAATAAAGTGACATATGTGTTTTTATATTTCAAATATCAATCAGGAAATTCTTAATTGTAATAATTAATTAATAACAAGCAGGAGAAAGGTAAGCCTTCAGTTAGCCCATAATGCTCTTTCATCACGTCTCTTCTACTCAATATTGTCACATGACACATGGTGAATGTTCCAGAAATACTTATGAAATTAATGACTGTGACTTCTCTCCCATAGCTGTTATCCTCTACTTCAGTTTTTTCATCTTTCTTTATATTCCATCTAAACCTGAAGTTAAGAAACTCACAACACAATAGACCTTATGCTAACATTGGAGCAAAAAAAACTTGAAGTAACTAATTTCATATATCAAATATTAAATTAATTTTTATTTCACGCTCCAGGAAGTATGAGTTTATATATATATGTGAGTGTGTGTGTATAAATAAACATGTTATAAAACATAAAAATGTGCTTGTGTGTATGAGAGAATGAGAGACAGAGAGACAGAGAAAGGAAAACACTGACATTTTAACGGGAATTTTGGTGGTCTTCTACAGCAATAAACCCCCATGTTTTTGAAGGCACGTGAAGATTACTAAATGAAGATTACTAAATCACTATAATAAATGGTTCTGGAAATCTAAATATTGCTTTCTACTTTATTTTCCTTTTAAAGAGGAGAGTGTTGCGTGTCTAAATAGCTGTATGCTTTTACCTTGCTGCAATTTGCCTGACACTTGACATTAGAAAAAAAGTCATTCACTAAATGACTCTAATTATTTTAAGAAGATAATTCTTCCTTTCAGAGGACTGTTTGAGACATGTTTTAAATTGGTGATAAATGGGTAATGATGTGCCTGTCCTTGGGGGTTCACTGTGGTGATCCCCACAAAGTGGTCACATTGACCAGAGTGTTTCATTCCTCTGCGGTCACAGGATGTCTTTGCTGCTTTTATGGGCATAAAGGCCAAACAATAATAAAGCTTGTGCCTTGATCACATTCATCTGATCTTTCAGAGGACTCATTGCACAAAAAAGCTGAAGCTTTTGAATCTGTTACCAATCAGTCATTTAGTCCACAATTATATATTGAAAGACACTCTGCTAGGCTAGAAGAAAAAAAGATACATAAAGTGTCTATAATATGGGGAGGGGAATGAGACAATTAATGGAGAAATAAATTATAGTGTGTTCCGGTGAATACTTGACTTCAGATTGTCCCAGGATTATAGTTCTCAAAACATGGTCCCTAGACACCCACCATGAGAGCCACCTGAAAACTTTTTAGAAATGCAAATTCCCAGCCTTCACCCTCATCTACTGCACTGGAAAGGCCGAGGGTGGTGTCCAGCAATCCGTGTTTCACAAACCCTCCAGATGATTCCAGTGCACACTATAGTCCGAGAACCATTGGCATAGAAGAGAGACCCCTTACCCAGACTTCTGGGTCAGAAAAATTTTCCAGACATGGCCAGTGTGCCTAAGCTGAGCTCTGAAGAGGGCATTGTCCAGGAGGAAAGATTCTAGGCACATAGAGGTGCCCTTGCAAGACCAGAAAGACAGAGAGGGCGTGGAGATTGGGAGCCAATCTTTGCACCAGATGTGTTACACAGATTATCATGACTCTCCCCCAAACTGTGGGAAGGTCTGTGATGACTTAACGGGTCATGGTACAACAGTAGAGAGGTTGAAAAATAAGACACACCCATGGTCAGAGATCTAGTATAGGTCAGAACCAGTTTCCTTGCCTCCACAGTAACCCTGTTTCTGCTCTGACATCTCACCTGTTAATAGAAAGAGCCCTTCACCTGTGACACATCAAGTGAGAAGCTAACACTGAAAACTACTTCTAAGTGCCAAAATATCATGTCCAATGTGCTTGTTATCACTTTGACATTTTTACTAGATAAGAAATTTTTATGAAAATTTAGGATGTTTTCACTAAATCAATGCAAGACCGTTTTCTTATTATTATCTCTGAAAACTGTATTTCTCTTTTTTTTTTTGAGATGTGAGAGGTAGCCCAGCTTTCATTCATTAGATAATGTGCTACTTTGGTAAATATCTCTCTGAACTACACTCTGGATGAGAAAAATGTCTTCTGTACATGTGGAGCTAATGTGATAATACTGAATAATATTTTTAATAATAGTATACACAAGTAGTCTAATACTGCTGGGTCTTTAGTTCTTCGAATTCAGCCAATATTTGTCTCTTCCAGAATATTCCTCTGGGTTTCCAATGGCTTTGGGTTAAGAAACAAACACAAGCCTCTCCCATTCCAGCAACTGCTCTCAGCATTTTTGTACTGAGGACATTCCTTCTTGATCACATTTTCTTAATTAAATTAGTGTTTCTTGAGAAATAAGTGGAGGTAGATAAATTTCAAAAACATTCAACAACATAATTCGGATATTTTTCTAGCATCAACTATTGCTTTTTTGTTCTCCAAAAGGGGTTAGGAGAAAAAAAGAAAATGTGTCAGTGATAATTGGAACTTACTAATTATTGTCTATTCCAGAATCAGCCAGATATTAATAGGCATTTAAACGAAGGTTCATTTAACTAATAAATTTGTAATGTCTGCTGGTTTCTAGAGAGAAGACAGGCTAATTTTGAAGGAAACAAAAGTTTGGATAGATCAATTTGAAAGAGATCTGACAAGAGCACAGATGACAGAATCAAATTTTCAGGATAAATATCAGGTAAAGTATGGAGAAGAGATTTCAATTTTTCAAAAGTTCTTCATGAATAAGATTCTTTTATATCATTATCTATCTTTAATCTTTCAAATGATACTTACAAGAAAAATCTTTAAAGAAATAGTATGCACTGTCCACAGTTTACATATCATTTAACAATTGTATTTCTATGTAAATGGATAATTTTAAATTATGCATCACATTGTATATAAAGCTATGGGGTTTCATGACTTCTCAAGAACTCAGTCTTGTTGATGACCCAGAACACAGACGTCTAGTCATTGTTTTTTTTGGAACTCATGATTATGCAGATGTCACATAACAAAAGCATTTACCAAAAGTCACTTCAATGTCAAAATTATTATAGAACAGGCTGAATTCAATAAGGGATTGCAACATGGTTATTGGGAGTGGGCCCATTTGCAGGATCCATTTGTTCTGTGAAAAACTTCATGCACTGCTAAGACAGTCAAGCTGAGGCCAGGGCTCTTGCTATTGTTATTTTGTCTCCCACCCCACCTCCCAGTCTCATTACATGGTCATTAACTGGCCTTTTGCTTCTAATTTCCACATCAAAACCATCAAGTTTTAAAACAAAATTTTCCAAGTAAATTGTAATTTGTTCTGTGTAGGATTGACATTTTCCTTCTACTTAAAATGGCATTGTGTTTTAGAGCAAACTATAATACAACTAGTCTACATTACACGTCAGTCATTTTTTCCAACCATGCAAAGGGTTACAATAAATGTAAGAGACTCAACATGGCAGACAAGTAGTCAACTGTGGTATTAGCGTGTGATTTTATAGACTCAGATCTGTAAAGCATGCCTGCATTTAGATGGGTGATACTAATGTTATTATACTTGTTGGTCTTTACAAAATAGTACATAGATACTTATATGTCTGCACTTATCTGCTTTGAAATTAAATATAATCTTTTTTCCCCCAAATACATTTTTAGAATAAGATCCCTTAAAAAAAAAAAACTTACTAAAGCAGTAAATTGAGAATAGAAATGCAATAACAGGGTGAATATGATTAGTGTGTTGTTGAGTTTTAGTTTTAGCATAAATCATCAAAAAATAAAGTCCGAGTTATAAAATTGCCTGTTAGACAGATGTTACTTTATAACAGGAAAACAACTGATTAGAATGTACAAAACAGAAACACTCCTTTCAGTTCAAAGATCATCACCAGTTTTTAAAAATAGAACTAGAAACCATCTACATGTGAACAAAGAGTATTTCTTTCATCTGTGTGTTTTATTATGTAATCTGCATTTTCTGCTTCTACTTAATCAGTAGTGTGTTTTCTACTTTTTCCATGGATAGAATTCTGTGGAATAAAAATGAGGACTGGCTTTTGGTATTGGTTTGGCATTTTGAATTATGTTAAATGAAAGGAAATAGAAGGCATACGATTTATTCACCATCTTCCCCCAGTGTTCTCCAGGTGAACTAACATATTTGTTTAAGATTTAGAATTTTATTCAGCAATCAAAAAAGATAAACTCATGCCATTTGCAGCAGCGTGGATGGAACGAGTAGGAATTATGCTCAGTGAGTAAGCCAGAAGGAAAAAGAAAAATATCAGATAGTTTCACTAATAGCAGGGATATAGGGGAACCCAGTGAGACATCAGTGCAAAAAAAAAAAAAAAAAGTAACAGTACAAAACACAACAAAGCAAAACTGGACAATTATAAACCAGAGACATCCTGCAGGGGAGGAGCAGAGAGAGGGATCAGAGGGAGGGAGGGCGGAGCGCAGGGGCCTGAGGTGATGGTGCACGGGTGCATTGGTGAAGGAAACTCTATGGGGACTACATCTGAGGGGGTGGGGAGAAGCAAATATTGTTTAAAAATGAACAATCATGTAAAAAATAAAAAATTCCCAACTCAAAAAAGATTTAGAATTTTGTTTGCATGTGTTACCTGTTAGATTCTGTAGAGCCATTCTTGTACTCCTTAGCATAATTACACATTTGCTGGCATTTTCAATTCATATTTGGACTTCGAGTCATATTTTAGAATGTGTTAATTTGATATAAAATTTAGAACTTTAGTTAAAATCATTACTTTTTTAGACTTAGTATTTAAGCTTTAGTATTAGGCTTATGGTTAATTCTGCATATTACAAGTCTCCGTGAAGCACACCGTGACCAGAAAGTGCTATTTTAATTTTTAATGCCATAAAGTTAAAGAAAAAGATTGTTATGTAAATGAGGTTCTCTAAATAATCCTCTTCAGACAGGCTTATTTAAACACAACTTTAATTATCTTCAGTCTTATTTTAATAAGTATAATTTCTATTCATCCGTTCTGTGATATTTTGAAATAAAGCAATGATTTTGATTGTTAGTGTGGATTTAGAGTTATGTTTGCGTGGACTCGCATGAAGATTATTTAACTAGAAGTGAGAAATCCTAGATTTTAGTCTTGCCACTGCTAGTCCTTGCCAAGTCACTTTTGGGCTTCTTATGTTACTAACAACTGGGCTTGTAGGGTTTTTGTAGGGTTTGTAGGGTTTTAGGGGAGCCAGTGGCAGGAATACACAGACAGCACTTCCCTTGCTGAGGGGTAGCTGCTGTTAGGATCCTGGCTGCCATTTTTGTTACCAACAACATACATTGTTATCCAAATATACAGGATTGTTTCTTAGGAAATGTAGTTTCCTTTGCTTTGCTTTTTTTGACTCATCGCCATGTTGTTGCTGTTTTTCCTTGTTTAGTCATTTAAGCACTTCAGAGTTCAATATGAGATAAAAAGGAAACAGATTGAACACCTAATCCAACCGTTGCATCGAGATGGCAAGTTGTCCCTTGACCAAGCGTTGGTGAAACAGTCGTGGGAAAGAGTGTCCTCCAGGGTATGTTCTCCAGGGTTCACGTCATCAGGGTTTCCGTGATTCAGTCAAGACTGTTTGCCACCATCTTTCTCTGCACAGCATATCCCATCAGCCCCGTCCGCCCCTGTCTGATAGGGCAGGCTTAACCATGGGGCAATCTTTGCCCTCTTCTCAACTTCTCTTTTAAGTCAGTGAAGAGCTTGGTTAGCTTTTCTTTTCCTCTCTCTCCTACTCCACAGCATAATATCCCCACGAACTAGTTGGGTTACTTTTCACTAGATGCAGCTTAATGCCGGGTTGTTTAGAATGGACTCTGTGGATGCAGCATCAACCATGTCTCCATGTTTCATGACCATATTTCATCGAGAGCTAATAATCTTCCTACGTTCAATGTCATATTCTTTTACTTAAGTGTATTGTCTTATCCAGTCTTTCATGAACCTCATGGAAAACTGCTCTGTAACTTTTCTTTAATAGTCTACAAAGGTCCTCTCTGCTGGCACAAGGGTTAAGACACAACCTATGAAGCAGTCTGCAGCCACTGCAGCATGAGTTCAATTCAGGGAGCAACCCACATGGTGCAGCAGACCTCTCCTGACTCGCCCGCTGCTCCCCTCAGCAGTGTACTTTGGTCAATCTGCCTGTTCTGTTCCCCACTCTGTCTCTGGTGAATCCTCTCACCTCCCACACCTCTGGCCTGTACCCCAGCTGTTATGTGCATAAATAAATAAATCTTTAAAAAATTGGAAAAAAAAAATAGTGTACAAACTTAAAGACCAAGATTTCAAAACCCCTGAAACTTTAGTCACTAATGGAAATACTAGCTTCACCTGACCCTATTTGATTCATTTGATAATACATTTTTTCCTATAAACTCTATCAAAGGACGGGTTTGTTCCCAAGCACCTAACCTGTCCCCTCTGGTATCCCAATAAGTGAGGCTATGGTCCTGGCGGATGGTGTCAAGTGGAAGAAATGGAGAGATGGCTCGGGAATTACATTATTAAAGAAAGAATTCTGAATACTCATCTTTCTCTAGACATGTCTAGATGACTCCTTTTCCCAATCTGTTCTTACCATGACCTTGTGGGAGATTTGCGAGGGTGCGCATCACTTGATATATAACCTCTGCCATCTTGAACTTGTCAGCAAGACCAGTACCTTCCCTTTCAGCTGAAGCCAATCTGAAGCTTATGCTTTGTGCTCTTCCTCTAAGAAAATTGCTCTGGCTCCAAATACTATCCTCCTATGTCATACTTGAAGTAGTATAAAATTTTCTTATAATCATAATTTCCTCCCCTTCCCCAAAACTTACACTTAGAACATAGATATTTGTTTACTTGACACTTTTTATTTTAGCCTGAAATTATGAATTTAAAATCTTACATAGGCTCTCAAATCACTTAGGGAACTTCAGGATTTCTGTAATAGAGATACTCATTTCTTTCCATTTCAGCTCTTTGATTGGCATATACAGCTTGATAAATCTCTCCCTGCACCATTGGGCACCATAGGTGCTTGGTTATACAGAGCAGAGGTGGCTCTGAGGGAGGAAATAACCATTCAGCAGGTCCACGAGGAAACAGCCAACACAATACAGCGGAAACTTGAGCAGCACAAGGTAAGCGTTGTGGCTGAAGAATCTCCCATCCTAACAGTCTCACTATGGCCTGGAGAGGCGGCCTCTCTAGGTCTTGCTCCCAGGCATCCATCCTGCTGGTTCAGAAAAGTCTGTTGCCACTCAGATGTTCTGGGGTTGAATCAGGTTAAGGCTTCTCAGAGGTACAGAAAAGCCTGGGCCATATCCACATGGACATATCTAGTATATTAAAAATAGGGAAAAATGCTAAAACATGATTACACAAGTAATACCACTTTAACAAATTAGCAACATGGTGTAAATATCACATAATGGTATGTCTGCTTGCAAAGCATGTAGCAATTGAAATGATTTTAACTGCCATGAATATTTCGAGCAAAACCAGTCACTTTCAGGCTTTAAAGCACATGTAGAATGTCTATCGATGTGTTAACTCAGCAAATGTGCACAAGTACCATGTGCCAGTTTTGGGCACCAGGGAAACCGGTACCCCAATCTTGAGTCAGTGACAGGATTAAGCCTTGACGATCTCTTAGTCATTTGTGACTGTTTGAAGCTTACTGCATGGTGCATTGTTTGAGAAACAGTATTTGCTTGTTGTTTATGTAGTAATTAATTAGATAATAGTTAATCCTACAGTATGACTGTGCTTTTTACTAGATAATCTTGAGATGCAGCAATAATATTATTCATGCCAACTCTAGGCAACATCAGGCCCTGATGGGGAATGTGTTTTAAGTTGGATGGCATGCATGCTCTTGGTGTATATCTCAGTGATCGTATCATTTGAGACCTTCATCACCCTTCTGGCTCCTTTGAGAGAGAGAGAGAGCGAGAGAGAGTGACCCCATGCCAAACACCCAGTGGTTGAATTACATCTCTGCCAAAGTGTAGTGAAAAATGAGAAAATCTAGAATAAAGTGGAAGTGGGAGAGGGAGCAGGCAGGAGTGGAAGAAGATGGTTACCTAGACTAAAATCCAGAAGGGACTAGACTAAAGCAAAATCTGGGAAATGCAACAAAGAGATAACAGGAATTTAGCAAAGACCAGCTCCACGGCACATGTCCAGAATGTCTGTTTACTGGGGTAGGAGCTTCTACTAAATGCAACCTCAGTGTAGACACTACTATGACTTGTAGAATCATAAATAAATGTAAACATTAATTACAAGATCAATTCTCATTCATTCAGAATAATTTAGTAGGTGCCTGGAGCAAGCTAAGCTTCGAAGGTATGAGAAATCATGGTTCAGATAACTAAAATTCTAGCGATGTCTAGTGATACTCTCTGGTATCACTTCTCTGTGGTGGTGTTTGGGCTCATTTAGAAACAATAATGTGATTGATAAAAGCACAGTATAGGATTTACCTGCATGAATGTTCGGGACTCTCGTCTCCCCATCCCAATGTAAAAGTAAGTACGGCTCATGTCATGATTATTAGATATGCTATCAAGATCTAGAATTTTGGTTGTCTTGTATTCTTCACATTATTTTTTAAATATGCTAATGACAATCTTTCACCAGTGATATTATTCACTTCATGCTCAATTATGTAGAAAGATAATGATAGTAAACAGCTAACTGTGATCGTTTAGCCATGTTTTGGTCTTAAGTATTAACTTCCGCTAAGTACTTGACATGTGGGATATGAGATGGGTGTTATCATCTACATTTTGAGAATGAGTAAACATTAGGGACAGGGAAGTTAAGTGCCTTGTTCAAATGACATAACTGAGAGTCCAGTTTTAAGCACTAAGCTCAGGATGTGCCCACAGCGCTATTGCATGTAATACGTGCAGAGTGATGGAATGCATTAGTCTTTGGAGGTGCTGTTCCTTTGGCAAGGTGAGGCTCTCAGTTTTCCCTGCTCAAGGAATCCTGACAATCACCCCCAGGGTTCTCCTCCTACTCCGCCCCCAACTTTACTGCAGTTACCAGCCCTAGATTGCTTTCCCTCCTGTCTTGAAGATTTTATTTATGGCATGCCAGAGTTCATGGTAGTTTCAGTAACACATAATCCTTTCAATAATCTGGCCTCTGAGTCTTTTGACCTCCTCCCTCCCACTGAGCCTTACACCCACCCTGGCCTCTCACTCCTTAGACACATCCAGACCTTGCCATCCCCAGTGACTGAAAACCCCACAGCCTCGAGCCTGTCACTGTCCAACCTAACTCCAAACTTGCCAAAACGCCAACCTGTATCCTCTTCGTGTCCAATCACCTATGAGTGCAACTGCCTTCTTACTGCCTCTTCCCTCTTCATGCCTCACTTTCCTTTGCACGCTGCTGAAATTCAGTGCTCAACTATGACACGTCACCTCTTGTGTACACCCTGACCACCTTGTCTGGCGGTCAAGGCCACTCTGTCTTTCTCTCCTGGTGGAAACAGTACTCTCGCTAAAGCCAACTCTGCACGCCCATGGAGCTCACAGTGGCTGAAGAGAAACCACCCCCACCCACCAGGTGTGATGGTGCAGGTGACTAACCCGAGTGGGCCCTCTGCACTGCCTGGCGCTCTGAAGGCATTTCCCAGATCCATTTGCTCTTCATTTCTGGGGCAACTATTCCTGACCTTGTCTCTGCAAACCATCCACACCTCCACCTCCATCCTCACTCTTAGCTGGTGACAATGCTTCCTATTTCTCTGAGAAAATAGAAGCAATCAGAAAAGAATTTCCGCAAGCTCCCACGGCCACATCCATCCACCTACGGGCATCTGTGCCCGCGTACTCTGCCTTCACTTCTGTTACTATGGATGAGCCATCTGCCTGCAGGCTGAGGCCGGCCCTCCGCACGCACCAGAGCCACCTGGCCTCCCCCGAAGACAATCCCCATAGTTCTTGCCTTCTGTATTTTTTTCTCTCTCTCTCGAATTTTTCCCATTCACATACAGTATGTTACTATTTCTCCCATCTTAAAGAAGCGTCTCTCTTAGCCTTTCTTCCCCTTCTAGCTACTGTCCATTTTTCCTCCGTTCTTTTTCAGCAAAGCTCTTACAAAGACTTGTCTATACTCCCATTTTGCTTTCAAAGTTCTCTCCCCGTTTTTCCTAGTATCTGCTCCAGTCATGTTTTTCCTGGCCATGCTGTCTTTGTCTGATTCAACAGGGTTCTCCTTATTCCTCATTCAAATGACCAAGCTCGGTCCTTAGCTTACCTCACCTAGCAGAAGCATTATGCATTACCTCACCTATCAGGAGCATTATGCATGGCTTATCCTTCATGCTTGAACTGCTTCCTTCAATTAGTTTCCCAATTCTCATGCTACTTCTCTGGCTATGTCTTTCTGGTCTTCCTACAAATATCTGTTGAGCACTTTCTATGTGCAAAGTAGTGCTCTAGGCATTTTACTATACCCATAAGTAAGAGAGACAGAAACATCTACCCTTATATAACTTGCCTTCAAATGGGAGGAGGCAGAAAAGGAATAACAAAAGAAATCAATGCATTTTACATTGTGTTAGAAGCTAAAGGGACAGACTGTATTAGGTGGTGTTGCAATTTTAAGTTGTGTAGGCAGTGAACCATCACTGAAATGTTGACATCAAACAGGCAAACTGCATCCCCCCTCTGATTGCTATCCCTCTGGAATGTTCTTCTCCCTTGGCCTGAAACACTCTCCCACAGATAGTCCCATTATGCTCTTCCTTGTCTCCTTCGGGTCTTCACAGAAACATCACTTCTTCCTCAGTCAACACTTTCTTGGCCAGCCCTCTTGAAATTGCAACTTGCCTTTACCCTCCCCTGTTCCATTTTTCCCTTTAGCATTTATCTTCATCTTGATGACTATTTTAATTATTTATCTTACTTGTTGCTTGATTTTCTACACTGTAATGTCACTGCCATAAGGTCACAGATGATGTCCTATTTGTTCTTGCTTGTAGCCCTACTCCCTAAAAATATTTTTAGAAATATACAGGCTCTAAAAATTTCATTGGGTCATTATTGATAATTGATTCTAGAAATTTGTCCACTTGACCAAATTTGAAAATTATTGGCATACACTTGTTCAAAACATTCTCTTATGTTTCTTGGTAATCTGAGCCTATAGTTGAGTCTCCATTTTTCCACAATATTGTTTCTTTGCACCTTCTCCTTTTTCTTAATTGCACTTTTAGCATTTATTTTTCTGTCATAAGGAAACCATCCTTTCCACTCTCTTACTCTCAGAATGACAGTATCAGCCTTTTAACAGAATCACTCTAACTGCTGTATGAGAAAAGACAAGGAAAGAGGTGAGGAGTAATTAGAGAAGTAATCAAGGAACCAATTTCAACAATCCAGGTAGAGTGACTTGATCCAGGGTGGGAGCTGTGGAAATGGTACTAAATGGCCAGATTGGAAATATATTTTGAGTTCAGAGCAAACCAAACTCCAAACTTGCCTTAACCCCAACGCACAGCATGAGAGATCAGTTATGAAAAAAGAGTCATCCTGTGAATTTTGGACTAAGCAACTGGAAAAATGGAGTTTACATCAGTTAAGATGGAGAGACAGCTATGCAGGGTTGGGAGGAAAGATCTGGTGTTCAGGTTGGGTGTGGTGAGAGGCTTTTTTGCCTCCAAGTAGACATGTCATGTGTTGTGGACTGTAGGACACGAGAGACACGCAATCGAGAGACAAGTCTAGGTTGGAGATAAATATTCAGAATTACTTTTAACTAGAGAAGAGAGATGTTTAAAGCCCAGAGAGTAGAGAGATTGATTTAGGAAGTGAAGACTGAGAAATAAAAAGGATCAAGAACGGGGCATGAGGGAGTCCAATATTAAGAGATCAAAGAGTAGAAGGTGAACAAGTAAGAGTATGAGGAAGAATAATCAGTAAGGTAGGAGGGAATCCAGTCACTGTGTTGTCAGAGAAGTTAAAAGAAGCAGTAGTGCATCAAAGAGAGGCTATTTTTAGCTGAAAGACCACAGCAATGTTTCTCAAGTGCATCTCAGTTCATTTCATACCCCCAAGCCCCCGACCCTGCAAACTCTCCACTGGCTTCCTGCACTTGAAATAAAAGCCCAGAAGACCGTGAGGCCCCAGCCCTCCGCATTCTCATCCTTCATTTGTCCCTGTTCTGTCTCCATCTCTGGGAGAGAGGTTGGTAACTCCCATAGGGAGGTAGATTTATCAATTCCTCCCTGCACGTCTATCACATTTTACGTTATATATTTTGAAATTTTTATATAGTTTGAAACTTTTTGAACTATGTTCAAGTTCAGAATTTCTTTTTGTATCTTCTAGTACATGGAAAGTTTCATCATTAAGTAATTAGTAACTTGAAATGATTTCAGTTCTGAAATCTATTTTGTCTAATATGATACTCTTTTACCAGCTTTCTTATATAAGTATTTGCCTGGCATGTTGGTTTCCAGCATATTGATTTCAGCCTATCTATAGTAACATTTAGGTGCATCTCTTGTAAAGAACAAATGGTTCTCAATGGACTATGATGGGTAATTATGGGGCTTTGGTGGTAGGTGTAGTTTGGGGACTTACATCTAAGGAGGTGTGAACCCATGCCTCTAAATCATGTGCATTGTTATAAACCAACATTACCTCAATAAAAAAAAATAATACAACAAAAAAGAGCAAATGGTTCTATCTTATCTTTCTTTGATCTGGCAATTCCTTTTAACTAGTGAATTTATGTTCTAGTCCCACTTTTTATAATTACTGATAGATTTGAATTTGTGTCTAACATCTGACCATTTACTTTCTATTTGCCTTACTTTTTTTTCAGTTTCCTTGCTATTTATAAGTTGATTGAGGGTGTTTTTGATGTTGTTTAGTGGTTTATTTGCTTGCTCATTTTTTTTATCCTATTTTTTTTTCTACTGCTTTGAAAGCTGTAAACTCTAAAAGCAGTGTGATTGCTTTTGAAATTTGGTCATAGGTACTTAACAAATCTGAAACTTAATCCATATGTTGCCTTCCTCTGACTCAGTGTAAGAAATTAGTCTTTTATCTACATCAATTTTTCTTTACTTACAAGCTGTTGTAAGTATTAAACTACTGGCAATTTCCTAACACCTTCCATTTGTTGTTCCTGCTGATTCTCACTCCTGGTGTAGTGTTCTTATGTTTGGTGATCTTTGCTTCCCTCCTTCTGCATTTGCATTTGCTGCAAGCAGGCCTGCATCAGCCCTCTCTGAGGGATCTGGTCAAATGTAAAAGCCTCGTGTTCTCACCTATTCAGGTTCCAAGATTCAGTCTCCTACAGCAAGGGCATAGCTATTTGCCATAGACAGTCAGCTTTTTTTGATTTGTTTTTGTTCATAAACTGTGAGCCACATTAAGGTCATGTTTTATGATAGTGGGAGACCTAAAAGATTTCATGAAAGACCGATGAGTCCACCATTAAATTTATTTACTTTATTTTATTTTTGCATAGAAGAACTGGGTGTAGGCCAAAGGTGTGGGGGATGAGAAGATTCACCAGAGACAGAATGGGGAACAGAACAGGCAGATCACTGAAATACACTGCTAAGGAGAGCAGTCGGTAAGACAGGAGAGGTCTGTTGCCCCATTTGTGGGTCAGCTCCCTGACTGGAGATTGAACTCAGACCATAGTAGTGATAGCTGATAGTGCTACCAGGGAGGTTCCACCATTAAATTTAAATCTTCTGCTCACCATTAGCTATTTATAGTGAGACAATCTTCCAGAAATCTCAGTGACACCAGGCCAGCTGTAATTCTTTTTTGCATATGTTTGAAAATGATTTTGTTGTGATATCATGCTGTTTTTTTTTTCAATGAACTAGACATTAAAAACTGTATAATAGGAAAAGCATAGAAGGCAAGAGAACATTTGAGTTTTCCATGACAGATGCAAACTCCCCCCCCCCCCCGCCACCCCAGCCCAAGCCATACAGGAAATCAAATCAACACGAAAACTCAGACCTGGACACAGTCACGGCCCTATGTTTCCCCTGCTGTCACCTGGGGGAGTCCCAGCCAATATCAGAAGTCATAGAAGCGTGTTGCAATGCTATAAAGGAGGTAGAGTGACTACAATGTTTAGTCAACAGCTCCCTAGGTGATGAATCCTCTGGTGATGTGTCGGCTCTTGGTTGCAGGCACTGCCTTCCCTCTGGGTTCCTGTGACTGTGAATATCTACACAGTTACCCACCCATGCAAAGCAGGTCAAAATGTGGTCATAGTAAAAACTATGTTGATAGAAATATTTTGGCCCTGGCTTTTTCTCAAATGCAAAATCAACCTCCCCAAACTTTTAGCAATTCACTTCACTTACGTGAACACGCAACTTTAACATTTTCATTCATAATATGAATCTTTATTTTTTTTAACCCTTCCATGAAATCTCTTGCTTGATGGTTTTTGGCTGCTTTTTACTTCTGTTTTCTCCGGGGAAAGCTCTAAGTTCTCCTAAAAGAGAACATTAATTTTAATATGTCATTCCAGTAGACCAATGTGTCTCACTCTTTGGTGAATGCTAAACTATGAGTGTCTGTTCTACTCTTGAGAAATAAATCATGATCTGCCTTCACCTCTTTCTTTGCTTCTGTGTGAGAAATTGGCTGGGAACTGTGAAATACTTTTAAGTATTTTTTAAATAGATGAATGAGTTTGTTGACAGTGAAAAATGCAGAAAACAATTCAGGCAAGATTCTAATTCATCTGAGTAAATTTTTGAGCACTGTACAATCAACCAGGAATGCTTAAAACCTTCACATTTGATCTTCCCACTGGGATATGTCTGAGACATTCCCTGTTTTTTCTTGAAATTTTCCAACCATAGGGTCTGTTCATAATTTACTGTAATATAAGTGACTTACTCTAGATGGCAAGCAAATATCACTTTAGGAGAGCCTGCATGCATTGAAAATAAAATAACGATAGGACATCTACATTTTTTTATCACCAAAGGGTTAAATTAGGTATTCAGTTTTAAGCTCTTAAAAACCAAAAAATCCTGAATGAAGAAGAAAAAATGAGAACAAATCAGTGTTTATGGCAGTGATTCTATTTCCCTTTGGACTATGTTCCTTTAAAATGTCTGAATGCATTACTGTGCAAGTGTCATGTGTGTTTAAAAGATGCCATAATTATTAGATACAGCTCTAGCAAGGGGCCTTATAGACCAGCAGCCCGGCTCCTACACCAGGTGAAAAGCTGCCCCAGCACCAGGCTGTCTGCACATGGATGTGGCTGATCTATGAAATCTTTCAATACATTGACTCATCATTGCAGCCTGAAAATGATGCTTCCTAGCCTTCTGTGAACACGTTTCCTCATTTTTTATTTTTTTAAAATTTTATCTTAGGATCTGCTTCAAAACACAGATGCCCACAAAAGAGCATTCCATGAGATCTACCGGACCAGGTCTGTTAACGGTATCCCAGTACCACCTGATCAATTAGAGGACATGGCCGAGAGGTAAGGCAATGTCTGTTTTTTGATGAAGTCTCTTTTTAAAATGCTCGGTGGATGCTTTTTCCATGCCTTTTCTTTTCAATGAATTGATTTTTTTCGAGATGCTTTACTCAGGTGCATTAAAATTGGGCTCCTATAATGTAGACTAAGAATGTCAACATTCTGTTATTAATCAAAAAGAGTAAATGTGAATGTACCCACAGCCTGAAAAAATCACAGAAATGCTTTCTTCGGAGTCTGTATTTTTATTCAGTTCTGTAAGGAACATTATGTAATATTGCAAAAACAGCTCACAAAAGAAACAGATGAGAGCCGGGTTGGCAGGGGAAAGAGCTAAACCAAAGATTTCCATCAGTCATGTTTTGCCTTTAAACCAGAGCTGGAAAAGGAATCGGATCTCCACATAGCGATTGATCCGCAGGAGTTTAGAATCATGCTCACTGTATTTTTTTAATGCTGACGTGAACGGTGTAACAGGTTAAGTAAGCATGCTTCTGTTACTATTAGTTACATTCTGTAAATTCTCCGTGTTTTATTCCTAGGTTTCATTTTGTTTCCTCCACATCAGAGCTCCACTTAATGAAAATGGAATTTCTAGAATTAAAGTACCGTCTGCTCTCACTGCTGGTTCTTGCAGAGTCAAAGCTGAAGTCCTGGATCATCAAGTATGGGAGGAGAGAGTCAGTTGAGCTGCTTCTGCAAAGCTACATTGTAAGTCTCCCTGATGCTGGGACAGAGAAGTTGGACCCTGGGTTTAGCATGCGCTACCTACTGGTTTATTTAACCCCATTATTTTAATCTTGAATGTAAGGGTGAAGGTCTCAGTGTGTTAAATGGGTTAGTGTTAGTGATCTTTGCATAATTTAAAATACACTGATGTTCTTTGGGAATATGGAAAGGTTTTGTGTATTAATCACATTGAACCCTTGATACACCTTTATTGCAGAAAAAATTAAAAGTTTTTGCACTGCCTGCTTATGCCGTTGATGGTGAACTCACATCAAAACTGAATTAGAATATTTGGAGATTATCTTCATGTCTTCCTGTCATGAGTAGTATAGAACAATTCTTGATTGTCCACAAGGGGACTATCTATTTTTTAGATTAGGTTCAGCGTATCTTTTTTATGGTCATTGCTACTTATATGCCCACAGAAAAAGTAAAGTTTTGCCTATGAATCTCAGTACCAACTTGCTTTTTTAAAATAATCTCATATTTTGAGTTATCCTTATAGAGAATCTTATAGCTACATAGAAGTTGTGCCTTAAGGAAGAAATTGGGTTTTCTGTAACCAACAGTTTGCATTTACTCATGCTTGGAGAATTATAATGATTAAAGTTAGTTCATTTCTTTTAAACTTGCTACCTCCATGTATCAGCCATCCAGATTTGCTTGCATGATTAATAGGGCATTTCTGTTCCCTTTATGTTTGATCAGAGATTCTAAATAATAAATTCATACATTTAAATATAAGTCAGTAAATGTAAACTATTAGCTGAGTGGTCTAATAGTCTAACAGTGATTTTTAATGGTGTGATTTTAATGTTTATTGAATATCTTTGCTGAAACATCTTAAAACCAGATTTTATTTTACTACATTTTAACTTCATTCTGTAAGGGATGAATGAACAACCTGCATTTGAAAAAAGATGAGCAAGATTATAGTAAAATCTTTCTCTAAATTTATTATCTCAGACATGTTTATCCCAAAATGTGAAATATCTTATGATATGTTTCCTTACTCATTTTTTTAGTTATAATAATCCAGATTTTTAAGTTCAATTATAAGGAATGCTTTCAATGTTAATCACAGGTAATAGCTTTATATTCACTGGTTTACTCATGCCAAATGATACATTCTGAGCTCAGTAGGTGATTATTCAGGATCCATCCCTGTTAAGCTATATAAGGCCAGCCAATCAGACCAAAATGCCTAATGGGACTCTTCTACCAGGTTAATATTCCAACACAATGATGTTAGTAATTCTCTGAACTTCTCAAATAAAGGATATGTAAGTAGAGAGTTGTTATTAATGATTTAAAAATATCAGCACTCTGCCCACTCCATAAAGTAAAGAGAAGTTCACGATGCTATTTTAAACTGCTTCATAACTCTCAAAATTATTTGTAAAATTGTTAATTACTTTACGAATATAGCAGGTTTGAATGAGCATTTCCTAATATTCTGATCTCTCTGTAAAAGAGAACGTTATATCGCTCATGCTTCTTTTCCAAAAATGTTTTTAAGGCACATTTGTTGAACAGTTTTAATACCTGGCATCTTCCATCCCAGCGGTCACTGTGTGGGCAGAGCATTTTCACATGGCCACAGTGAGGAAAGGGACAGAGCTTTTGAACATTCAAGTCACATGCACCAGGTAGCACAGTTGGTAAGGAGTGGAGTTAGGATTTGACTCCACATTTTTCCAAATCAAAAGTCCTTTATTTCAGGACTGAACTGAACTATCATTCAAAATTGGCTGTGAAAAAAGATCTTTGGACCTAAAAGATCAAACCCTTAAAATGATCTCTTGTAGTTTAGTGAATTAAAGAATGTAGCTCATAAAAATAAATATTAGTACCATTTAATGCTGATAGCTGCTGTTTTTCATGTTCTAAACAGATTGCATTTTTGGGGGGGGGTGTGAGACAGGAATATTTGCTGCTTGGCCACCTGTCACTTCAAAATTGGTGAATCATGCCTCAGTGACTTACTGCCCATGTGACTTTATAAATAACGTCGTCGTTTCTACAAGTCTTAGTCTTTATAAATGGTTGGTAATAATAATAGAATAATGGGGATTTTTCTAAGGAATAAAAATGGACACATTGCATTTCTCCTACCTCATTCTTTTTGAATTTGTGGGAAAATCATTTTCTTTAGAAATGCTAAATCACAAAGAGCATGAAGACTTTCAAACAAAATTAGTTTCTAAAATGCAATCCTTTCCTTGGTTTCTAAAAAAATATATTGTAATGAGCCATATGCTACTACATCGTCTAATAACCAAAGTAATATTCAGGATGTAAAAGTTCTATGGTTTTCTTTAGTCTGGATTTTCAATGCAATCTTACTCATCTGCAAAAAAATAAGTGTTTTTTTTGGTGAAATTTAGAAAATTAGAGAATGTGCTTCCTACTTCACTTTTACATTAAGCACTAATGTCTGTGCCGCTGAGTGATTAAGGAGCCCACTTCACACATGTGTGTTGATTATTCAAGGCCACATGTGATGAGCAATTGCATCGCGGAATGGAAATCAGAAGGCAGTTGGCTTGGTTCCTTTGGTCAACACTGTGCTTGACATGACCATGCTTCACCTTCCCTGTGGAAGAAATAGAAAAGCATTTCATTCTTTTATGTAGAGGAAGAGAAGAGCTCTTGGGATTGTGGACTATGTTAATGCAACATAAGTAACATGAATATCTTATTATCTGCAATTATTTGATCAATTCTATCACTTCTAGTAAAATGCTCTTCAAAGATGAATTTTTTAACTGTAAATTATCTGGTTTGACTCTCTTTGAGTGAAATTGATGAACTTTTTATTTATTGCATTGATATTTATCTTATGAGAATAGAACTTGAGTCTCTTCCACTAATACTTTGAGTTTAGTGGCACAGAGAAGTATCTTATTATTCTGAAAGTGTCATCAACTTTTAAATTCCCCTGACCAATGTGGATAACTTTTTGTAGACATCTAAACTTATTAAAAAAAAAACTAATCCTGTCATATTTTAAAATATACATTTGTGTTTACTTCTGCATTCCTTGAAACACTGCATTCCTTGTTTACACTGCATTCCTTGTAGTTAGTTCAAGGTAAAAGAAGATTTAGCTGTTCTCCTGCTATAATGATTCTATTTTTTTTTAAAGATTTATTTATTTATTTATACAAGCACTGGGTACAGTCAGAAGCGCGGGAGGGTGAGAGAATTCACCAGAGCCAGAGCGGGGAGCAGAACAGGCAGACTAACGAAGTACACTGCTGAGGGGAGCAGCGGGCGCAGAAGACAGAGGGGTCTGCGCGCCATGTGGGACCCTCGCCTGCAGCCGGGGTTCGAACCAGCACTGCAGAGGCTGCGGGCAGCTTTGCAGCCCAGTGCTCAACCTCTGAGCCACCAGGGGAGGACTGCTATAATGATTCTAATAGACAAAATAAATCATGTCACTAAATGGATTTGCTCTGTACTCAGAAAAAGAGTCCAAAATAAATGAAGCAATTAAAATGACAACTAAAGTATTTTCCTTTAAAAATGAATTACCTAGTCTCCCTCCTACAAAACTCAGAAATACTTTAATGAGTCCCTACAACATTTATACGTACTCTCCTCATAATATCCTTTTTCCCCCATTGGACCAAAACAGAACTAAAAATAAATGTGTCACCCTTGATCATTTTAAATTTGTTAAAAGCAAAAATGTAGTTTCTTTCTGTCCAGAATAGGCACTATTTCCCATTTCTTTGACATTTAGAACAATTATTTTCCTGTTAGCTTTTTGACATTTGTCCCAAAACTAAATGGAGACTAACTTTGAAAATTCACAAAATAGATCTATCTCTTCAATTTCTTCCAATGTGTTGCACATTAGGTATAATTTTCCTTTTTGATCAAATCCTATCTTGTTTGTTTGGTTAAATTACTCAAAATTATATTAAATTGCTCATTCCCCAATTGGAAAACAGGGAGAGATTAAGTGAGACATAAGTTTTAATAATGAATTAACTAGGCTACTATTGTCTTATTTTATGCTAACAAAAAAATAATATAGCCTATGAAAGTATTGAATAAAGTCTTCCTGGTCTCTCTCATCCTAGGTAAGGAACATTTTTGTCTATTTACTATGTCACTGAAGAATTATTAATACATAAGTAAAATGTTCTATAATCACATAAAGATGCGAAATGTATTATACATGTAATGTTTTCGAGTGTTTCTTGAAATATAATAAACATTTATTAATATGAATTCGCTGCATGATCAGGCTTGCCTCTGCACACCAACATTTCCATCTTCCTCTTAAGCATTCATCAGCATACTATACAGAACTTAAGCTGGGTTTTGAAGGGTAATTTTGCATTTTATAATATGACACATCAAGTATTTTTCTGGATTCAAATCATAGAAACTAATTATGCTGTTAAAGAGCCTTTGATGATGATATGTTATTCCCTATAATTGCATTAATTTTCTACTTTGGAGGAGCAGGAACAGTCTTTGAAACAGGAGTATTTCATGTTTCATAGAATTAACAATAATAAAACTTACCTAAGAATTTTTCATGTATTCTCAATTTTATATTATCTATTTGCTGGTGTCGACTGTAGTGCAGATATAGATTAGATATAGATAGAGATAGATGTGTCTTATCTATAATTTTTATGCTAGAAAGTAGAAATATGAGACCATGGGTAAGATGGATGCAATATATGATTTATTTAAGACTTTTCTACTTGCAAACATTTTGTACTTCCTTTTTATTTGGGGGAAAGTTTGTGCAATGTACCATTTATTTATAACCTGAAGTTCTTCAGAGCTATCATTCACCTGAATTCATGTTCAAAGAACAACAGAATCCACAGCTAAGACACAGTAGGACACTTCAAAGCATTCTTCCAAATTTAGTGCTTTCTAAATGTGATCTCTAGTCCTCTGGAGAAACTTCTTTCTCTTCTAAAAACAAATCCTTAGGTGGAGACGAAATAGAGTATTTTCTCAAACTAGTGCTGAGTTAGAATTAAACATGTACATCACTCTATATGCTCAGAGTAATCTTAGGCTATTTGTGACAGTGGAATTAATTTGATATTTTTAGGAAGTGAGCTGGTTTATCACATATCCACATTGAAGAAAATTGACTTTGCCATTTTCTACATAAGCCTAGTGTTCATCTTCTTATAACCATTCCTCCTTTTCTAGTCTTTTATAGAAAATAGCAAGTTCTTTGAGCAATATGAAGTGACATACCAGATCTTGAAACAGACAGCTGAGATGTACGTCAAAGCTGAGGGATCAGGTAAAATATGACAGAATTGGCTGTTGGCTGCAGTGTTGAATACAGTAGAACTTCTGTATGATTAAATCATTCTCCCCTTCTGCTGAATGTTTGTGATTGTGCCATTGGCCTGGAGAGCACATATTGAGTTCAGACCGTGGGCCTTTTGTGATGCCTGACCTGCATAATTATTCTCCTGTGTGTGTGTGTGTGTGTGTGATCTAAGAGAGAGCAAAATAAGCATGCATTTTCTAAATTACAATTTACTAATGCATTTTCCATAATGAAAATCAAATACCAAAAATGGACTAATTTGAATGTTATAATCAAGTAAAAAGTAAATGAAAACTTTCATTAGTGCAAAGACACAAGTTATAAAAATATGTTTGTTGCAGTTTGTAAATGATCATTTTTGCTGGAAAAGAATCACAGCATTTGTGATTGATGTGTTCATGTATTTGAATGTATATAAAATATGACCAAATTCAAATATGTCATTTACTGCTTTCCATTTACCTTGAAACTTAAATAATGATTACCTGTGAAGAAGTTTGTGTTATTCTGAGCATTAGCTGAATGACATTTAATGTTAACCTCTGTTAACTTTATAACCTAAAGAAGGACTATAAATGCACAACAGTAGGTAAGACCATAGAGAAAAAGCACAGTGGATTTAAAATATAAAATAATCGTGATTTGTTGCATCTGTTGCAGTGGAAGAAGCTGAGAATGTGATGAAGTTCATGAACGAAACCACTGCCCAGTGGAGGAACCTCTCCGTGGAGGTGAGGAGCGTGCGGAGCATGCTGGAGGAGGTCATCTCTAACTGGGATCGTTATGATGATACTGTGGCCAGTCTTCAAGCCTGGCTTGAGGATGCTGAAAAAATGCTCAATCAATCAGAGCTCGCCAAAAAGGTAAACTTGTATATACAAGAAAACTAATACACTAACATTGAGAAATAAGAGATTTTTATGCAATAGCACAGTGCTATTGGATATTTTATTAATTTTTTTTTTAGATTTCAGCTATGATGCAAGAATCCTGACTTTGCCAAGTAGTGCTTTGAGATTAATAGGTTATTCTGGACTAATAAATATACTGCTTAATAACAGTTCTCTTAGATCTGTTCCCTATCTGATCAGTTCTGTGTAGACTTGCACTCAGAAGGGCAATTATTGATGGAGGGTCAACCAAACCCAATGGACAGCAGAGGGCGCTATAGTCACACAAGGTCTATGGGGCACGTCTTGAGCCCTGGCCCCTGGGATTTCCTAATTTGAGAGGGTGAAAACTACTTTGGCTGAAACAGTACTGACGGTGGGATAGCATATACCAGTTGTCTGTGCGAATATTCTTATTTCTTAAATAATATCAAATCTCAGTCAATGTTTTTATCCCGGGTAGGAGTGAGATTTTCCCTCCAGTTACAGGTATACGAGTTCATGCAAAACTTAGTTTTATTTGAACGTCTCTTACATTTGAAATGGACTGATTTTCATCTTGAAATGGACTGATTTCTCTCTATATTTTTCTTCATGAGAGCCTGGTGAATTAATTCATATGCAAAAGATGTTTTAATGCCAGGTTCTCACTAAGAACTGTAGTATGTACTACTTGCCATCCAAAATTGGTTTGTCTATTGTTGCATTACACAATAATGAATAATTTTTAAGTGTTCTGCATCCTGTATTTCAAATAGATTCAATATTCTTGCATAAGAGGATAACAATGACCATGTACTTACACAGATTTTGACTTTTGTGATTAGACCAGCAGAGCCCTAATAAATGTCATGTGGATTAATTTCACCCGAAGAAATATAACCACCAGAAACAGAAGTGTTCTCATCTATTTTTGTAGGAAACCCTCCCACATGTGGCTTATGAAATGGGTTCAGAATTGTCTTCCATATCCTTGGTTTTCACTGTGGGGTGTGTGTGCACATGCACACATACATTCTACTTGAAATTAAATGGAAACTGTTTCATTGCCAAGAATACAACCTCAAACACATGAGGAAGGATGCTCTTGGTACAGATACTTAATTTTTGATGGTTTATCTTCCTGTTTGCTAATTATCTTGACAAACTATATTCATGCTTTAAAATCAAAACTGACAGGATCAAATTGTGTTTATCATTTTTTTTTAAAGAAGCTGTGTATTTCCATAAAATATGATACCTCTTCTGTGTCTCTGGAATTGGTATTTAGTATATAGGGAGGCCAAATGCAGCTCCCTTATACTCCCAGAAATTCAGCTTTTACTCATCTATAAAATAAAAGGAACAGAAGATGGTCACTATGTTTTGTTTTGTCTTCAGCAAAAGATTTGGCATTGATGTTCTTATAAATTCACTCAGCAGTTGGTTCATATTTTCGAAAGTTTATATTAAAATGTTGCGTTCTGGTAGAGCTTTACCTTATAATTTGAGTACATTTTATTGCAAAGATATTTCTCAGTCTGGTCACTATCATGTCATTTAGTAATTTTTGCTGTATGGTTTACAACAGTATGTGTTGTTTATTGCTTAGGATTTTTTCCGAAATTTGCCTCACTGGATCCAGCAGCACACTGCCATGAATGATGCTGGCAATTTTCTCATTGAAACGTGTGACGAGATGGTTTCCCGTGATCTTAAACAGCAATTGCTGCTGCTAAATGGACGCTGGAGAGAGTTGTTTATGGAGGTCAAGCAAGTATGTCTTCAAATCTGTCTACTCCCAGCACACGTATGTGTTATAAATGTGCCAATAGGCAGTTTAGAGACTGTTTTATTGCCATAGCAGGGTTTTATTAAGGCAGACTACAGATGTGTTTAGAACTGTTATGTTTATTCTTTATTTTTTTCCATTTGTGATGAAGGAGCTTTACAGCAATGTGTAGTTGGATTAAGGATAATATTGACATATGGGGCCTCCTTATATGTTTTGAGTCATAATTATTTGCTGCTTTGCTAGTTTGCCCTTCCCTTTCATAGTAATTGACTTAATTTAAATATATCTAGATGAAAATTAAGAATGGCTTTTATTACCATTCAACAGTTCTAGAGTAGGTAAAAGTGAAGGTTTCAGATTTCCTGCATCTTAGCTGACAGGTTTTCGATGTTGTTTTCCTTTTCTTAATAGTATGCTCGAGCTGATGAGATGGACAGAATGAAGAAAGAATACACAGATTGCATTACTACCTTGTCTGATTTTGCAACTGAAGCCCAAAGGAAATTTTCTGAACCCTTAGAAGTTTCTTTTATTAATGTAAAATTACTAATTCAAGAGTTGGAGGTGAGGGGGTTTCTGGGCTACGAGGTGAAAAATCTATTTTTTAAGAAAGTAAAGATTAGTAAAATGACTCAGATTTTTGTAAAAGTTATTTTTATGTATCCTTGACATCATTTTGACTTGTGAATATCCTGATTTCTGCCTCTCATAAATAGACATTTGAATGTACTTCAGAATAGTTTTTTTTTTTTAATTTGGAGACTCTTTCTATAACCAGATTATAAAGCATTAGGAGAAAATAGGAGATGTGTGTTTATACCACTATGTAAAAGTCTCCCCACTCTTACCAAATGAATTGTGGTATTTATATGTTTTGAATACCCTGTGGCTCTCAAAAATGAAATAGTAGGAGATTATTTGATAGCTTGGAGTTTTTGCAGTATATCATTGAGAGAAAAAAGCAAAACAATAGTTTTTTTTAAGATAAAAATTGTGTATAAACACACTGGAAAAAACTTTAATCATACAATGTGAAGATTATGGCTCTGTTTATTACTGATGAGAAGACTGGAAGTAATTTGAATTTTCTTTATCCTAAAGAAGTTTATCCTAAGTCTCTAATTTTATTTTTTCCATAATGACAATTCATTAATTTATTACTTATTTTTTTTAAAAAAGAATTTATTTATTTATGCATATAAGAGCTGGGGTATAGGCCAGAGGTGCGGGGGGAGGGGAGTGGTGGTGGTGGTGAGAGGATTCACCAGAGACAGAATGGAGAACAGAACAGGCAGACTGACTGAAGACACTGCTGAGGGGAGCAGCGGGCGAGTCAGGAGAGGTCTGCTGTGCCATGTGGGTTGCTCCCTGGCCGGGGATCAAACTCGTGCTGCAGACAGCTTCATAGGTTTTGTCTTAACCCCTTGCACCACCAGGGAGGCCCATTAATTCATTACTTCTTAAAGAAAAAATAAGCTATATCATTTTTAAAGTCAAAGGAAGTGTATCAGATTGTTAACATGTGTTTACCTGATATAACATTTATATGCTATGTTAGTACTTATTTTTTGAAAATCTAAAGATTAGATCAGCTTATCTTTATGCTAACTAAAGGATTTTGGTTACTTTTAAAAGAGAGCTTTTATTTACATGATTTACCACTATAAAAGTATACAGGTTTTCCCCCACTACACAAAAGTAGAGTGTTTCTATGAAAGCTTCCTGAGCTAAAATGGTATAAACTGAAAAAGAAATGACCATTCATTGATATGTAAAAATTTTGGGGTATTCCCAGATCCAAAAATAACCTACCAAGACATCCCAAATAACACATGACATTTACAGGAGCACTAACATACAGCAAAAGAAGGTCTGAGATGATAAACACAGCCTGTATAAAGCAGTTCCAGGGAAGGAGCTTGCATGGCCACACCTGCTACTCAGAAGTGCCCCTTCTCTAGAATGGCCTGCTTCAAAACCTGCTGTTTTCACTTTTTACTTTTGATTGTAGAAGCAAATACCATTTGGATTTCCTCCAGCTAAACAGGCACTAACATCTATCTTTCATAAACACCAAGTGACCTAATATGAGCTTTCGAAAGCAAGGGATTCCTGCTTAGTGTGTTATTACACTGTCTTAGAATGAAGAAATGTAATAACTTGAATCTTCAAAGTTTAGTATAAGTATAGAATTTTAAACAGTGCGTAATGAGTTTTGTCCAGTCTTCTGCGGACTCCTGAAATTAAAAGGAAACGTGCCATGTGTTCATGGAGCTGTTTCCGTGATTCATGCAGGATGTGGAGCAGAGGGTGCCTGTGATGGATGCTCAGTACAAGATAATCACAAAGACAGCGCACCTCATTGCCAAAGAAAGCTCCCAGGAGGAGGCTAATGAAATGTTTGCAACCATGTCCAGGCTCAAGGAGCAACTTGCCAAGGTGAGGAAGTACTTTGATGTAGGGCATACCGTGCTGCACTGAGACTATCTCCCACTAACCTTACACCTTTGCTGTCACTCGGTCATTTCCGTCACTTGCTAACAGATCATGCTTTTGCTTCTTATTGGGATTCTTTTTTTTCCCCCAAAAGATTTATTTATTTAATACATACAAGAATTGGGGTACAGGCCAGAGTTGTGGGGAGTGAGAGTATTCACCAGAGACAGAGTGGGGAACAGACTAGGCAGATTGACTGAAATACACTGCTGAGGGGAGCAGCGGGGAGACAGAAAAGGTCTGCTCCTCCATGTGGGTAGCTCCCTGGTCGGGCATCAAACTCATGCTGCAGTGGCTGCGGATAGCTTCAGAGGTTGCGTGTTAACCCCTTGCACTACCAGGGAGGCCCCCTTATTGGGATTTTTGAAATAGTGATTTTGTCATTTAGTAACTTCATCATGAGCTTGAAAATTGAACCTATCCAAATATATGTATTTTATAATACTTACACATATATTTGGATTAGTTTCTCTTATATATATAGGAGGGAATGTTTGGCATGGTTCCAAAACTGATATGTATCAGTTATTCATTTAGGAAGTACTAGTAGCTGTATGTTAAAAGAAAGGCAGTCATTTGAGGTGGTGTCACAGGGGCCAGCTAAATGTCGTAAAGCAAATGGGGAAAGAAGGAAGATGAAGATATGTGGGGCAAAACATCATAGGCTTAAATGAGAAAGAATCCCAAATACCCTGTTATGGAGATTTATTTGACATACTTCCGCTCTAAGATCATGTATGCTATTTTCTGTTTGCATTGTGTTACAAAGCAGTGGGAGTTCTTTGCCTTAGGCTTAAGATTTATGCCACTTCTATGAATATCAAGTACTGGCCGTAAGCCTTTGCTATTCTATTGAGGGATTTTCTTTAAGAGCTTGGGAAATTCTATTGAGATTTTTTGAAACCTATCTAAAGTTGAATTTTATAAAGATGATATTATTTGCAAAGAACTCTTGGATTGGATAATTTGTAATGAAAGAATGTAGTAATTACATGAATAGAAAAACTTCTGTGATGAAGAATTGAAAAATCAAGGAAAATAAAACAGGGAAAAGCTGTTAATTAGGAGAGGAAAAGTAGAAGGAGAATATGCTGTATGAAACCTGCAGGGGTGAATTAATGAGAAAAAGGAGTAAATGACACAGATAGAACTGAAGAACAACAGTCATAAAAAAGAAAGAGAAGGTTTCATTTATTAAACTGCTGTCTATTAGAATGCCAGCTTTTAATGATTTCTATTTTAATATACAAGCTAAAATTTTTATAAAGCTTAGTTAAAATTCAAAGTCAACATTACCCTTATTTCTTGGCCTTAAAGCTGCTTGCAGAGCCGTACCAGGCTCACACAACTTAGCCTCGCCAGGCCAGTCTTAGTGGCTTAGGGAAGCCTCAGAGATAGCAAAATATACCTTTAGACACATCAAAGTCATTATGTTTTTTGTTTAACTTCTGTGTCACATATAGCATCTTGATAAATTTTCTCTTGTATCCAGGAGAGTGTTATGACAGTGATTTTTATACGTGTTAGCTGATTGTCTTTGCTTTGGTCTGAGTAACTCTAGAAGAGTCCTGATGTAGTGGGACAATAGCTTTCTTTTGGTGAGCTTGTCCTGTAGGCAGTTTACTAAGCGCATGATAATATTTCTAATTAAAAAAAAAAAAACAAAGAAGAGTGGTCTATTACCAATTACTTTGTTTCCTCTCCCTGCCTTCCTTAAGCATTAGTAAGACTTTGGGAGCAAATGCAAGTAAAAAAGTAAAATGAGTGGGAACAGGAAGTTCTTTGAGAATCGTGTGGCCCTGGATTCCATAAATGTGATGAGGCACTTTCTGATAAACTCTTGAGCCCCAGGAGCTCTGGCTCTCATGAAGATAAGGTTAATATAGAAGTATAGCAGAACCGTATTTTTTAAAAAGACCAGTCACAGATGAGGGGGGCCATGCAGACCAGGGGGCATCCCCTGCCTAGTGTGGGAAACATCTTGAGTACTTTGGTATGTGATGTGAGCATTCTGGGTGAGCAGAGAAGATGTCCCCAAGGTGGGGCGCAGCAAAGCAGGAGCTGGGGAGGCGGAACTGCAGGAGACTGCCTGGGAAGAATGAGTCAACCCATTTGTAAGTTAAGAGTCTAGAGTTAAGGGTTCAGGTAGAATTCTTGAAAATAAAATTGGAAGGCACAGGTTGGTCTAGATGATATAATTCATGAGTGTCTTTGCTTCGATTTTGAGGCCAAAGCGAGGATGGCTTTTGATGCCAACTGACCCACTAACAGTACCCTTTTTTTAAAAAAAGATTTATTTATGCATACAAGAACTGGGGTATAGGCCAGAGGTGCGAGGGGTGAGAGGATTCACCAGAGACAGAGTAGGGAACAGAACAGGCAGATTGACTGAAATCCACTGCTGGGGGAACAGAGGGAAGACAGGAGAGGTCTGCTGCGCCATGTGGGTAACTCCCTGGCGGGGGATCGAACTTGTGCAGCAGAGGCTGTGGACAGCTTCATAGTGCTGCACCTTAACCCCTTGCACCACCAGAGATGCCCTAACAATACCCTTTAGATGTGAAAGTGCAAGACAGATGAACCACTTCGATAAATTTTTATGAGAAAACTCATAAGCATTTATTTGTCTCAATGGTGTCACAGTATTCTTTCTATATCAAAATTTAGCAATACTTAGGAAATATTAAGCAAATGTTGCTGCAAATCTGTAAGCCCCAGAAGACCATATCACGAAAGAAAATGTTCCTAAGATCCATGAACAGGGCCCTTGTGTTAAATGGAATTGTTGTGTCTGTGTTTTTAAGGTCAAAGGATGTTGCTCCTCCCTCCTTCATGAGTCTCAGCAGCTGGTGGCACCACTGGAGGAACTAGAAAAGCAGATGACATTCTTTTATGATTCTCTTGGCAAAATCAATGAAATGATAACAGTTCTTGAGCACGAGGCACAATCAAGTGCCCTTTTCAAACAAAAACATCAGGTAAGAAAAGCCCCTTTCAAGAGACAGAGCTATTTGAAAGCGTGAGTAATAAGATCGAGGTAATGCTTATAGCGACTGAAATTCAGTTAGGATAAGGAATATTTTTCTGGAATAGTTCATGCAACTCAAAACAAAAATGCAGATCTTGTCCAAAGATGAAAATTCTGTCCACTATAGACAAAGTTAAATAAATACATGTAAATATTTAGATATACATTTGCATATATATGTAGATATTTTGTATATAAATTTCATTAGACAGGTAGATTTAGATTTATATAAGATAAATAATTCCTTTCTATTTCTATCTGTTGCCTTTAATATGTGTGTTCATATGGGAGCTTTGTCTCTAGCACTAGGTCTAATTACACGACCATGGAATTCTAGAGGTGTTTGGTGCGATAATCATTTTCCTTTGTCTCACTTCAGCTGGCAAATCTGTGTGCAGAATAGCCTCCTACCAAATGTTTCAGTTAATTGACCTATTTAGTTGGTTTATTATAAATAAACCTATTCATTAGAGGACAGTGAAAATCATGGGCAAAAGATCTGCCTCTGCATTAATTGAAATAGATTGTTGATAACAAAGTGATGTCACTTCATCACTTGACAGAACAAGAGTGTCTGAGTGAGTCAGCTCTTCAGATTTTAGGCAGATACAGCCAATGGCAGAGTCTTGATTAGCTTTAATTTCCTCACCTTAAAATACAGCAGATAATACCTAACTTGAGAGCTTGCTGTATACATTACAGTAGGTGTTCTGTAATGTGACCGGCGCACAGCAAGTGTTCTACCACTGCCAGCAATGATTGTTTTTGGTGATAAAGTCGCAATGATTGATGATACTACCAAACCCTATTCAAATGACTTCTCACCATATTTGCTAAAGATTACCTCTTATTTTGGGACAGAGTGGCATTTTTTACCCTCTCAGATTTCTATAAGTTGCCATCAAAGAATCCTTTCAAAATTAAAATAAGAATATTTTAATCCTAACAAATATGAATAATATTTTATAATATATTTTTTAAAGATTTATTTATTATGCATGCAAGAGCTGGGGTACAGGCCAGAGATGCAGGGGGTGGGAGGATTCACCAGCGACAGAGTGGGGAACAGAACAGGCAGATTGACCGAAATACACTGCTAAGGGGAGCAGCGGGGAGGCAGGAGGGATCTGCTGCACCATGTGGGTTGCTCCCTGGCCGGCCGGGATTGAACTCATGCTGCAGAGGCTGTGATTGCTTCATAGTGCAGTGCTTAACCCCTTGCGCCATCAGGGAGGCCCTCTATAATATCTTTTTAACTTAATTACTCTTCAAAATCTTCAAAAGAAAATTGAATGCCCAAAGAAAACAAAAGCCCTACTCTCAGCATTTGCATCGAGATGTCCAAAACTGGTTTTGAAATGTTCTACCAAAGCAATTGAAGATGTGGGGATGCAGATGGTATAGTTTCAAGTAAAAATGACTGTCTGCCTCGTGCTGGCTGGACAATTTCCTTACTGGCTACAGAAGTCCCGAGGACGTCAGGCTAGATATTGAGGTGGAACGACCTGGAGTCACCACTCCTTCTAATCCTGCAAATGTGTGACAGCTGCGTGTCCTCCCAGCCCCCTTAGGCTGCTGTCTTTTGTGGTTAGAATCTGGGATCTACTGTTTTATTAATGAGCTGATCACTTGTGAACCTTAGAACTTCACAGGATACATTTTAGGATACTTAATACAAAATGTGCATCTGACTCTTTCAATAAAGAATAATGAACATTGGATGTTCAATGTATTTAGCCAGATTAAAACCTGATATGTGGATCATTAATTGTTCTTTCAATAAACCTTAGGTCTCTTGGTGGAGGAATGTAGGCAGCAAGCAAATAACTGTTTAGATCTTCTGTCAATCTCTTGATATTAACAAGATGGACACTAAGTACCAAAAAAAAAAAAAAAGCCACTAAAAATAACTCGATGTGATTTTTTAAATGCCTTAGATCAAAAACCCTGACTTCAGTGATTGATTAAAATTGGTTCTTTTGGAAAGAAATACTTTTCTGTACTTTGGATTTTACTTATTGTTCATTAAAAACCCAAAAGCTATGTAAATGCCGCTCCCATGGTTTGTAATAGCTACCCTCTTTCTCTCTCCCTCTTTTATGTAACATTTCCATATTTTTCTTTTCCTTTTAGGAACTATTAGCCTGTCAAGAAAGCTGTAAGAAAACCATGGCCCTGATTGAGAAAGGCAGCCAAAGTGTTCAAAAGTTTGTGACTCTGAGCAACGCGCTAAAGCATTTCCAACAGACAAAGCTGCAGAGACAAATTGCAGAGGCCCACGTGGCCTTTCAGGTAAGTCCTGTCACTGTAGAGAGGTCAGCGAGGGACACACAGGAGGAGGACACGTCCCCACCCCCACCGTGCCTCAGCCTCGCCAAGGACACTGGAAACCAATCGTTGGCTGCTGCTTTTTCTAGAATCAATGAATGCTAAAAGGGCTAATAGTTCTCATAATAAAATGTCCTCCCTCCATGTGTGCCTTTAGAGAAATAATACTCTAAGCAAATGATCCTTTCAATAATGAGAAAGCAGCATTACATGGTGGTTATTTTTACACCAAGAATATGGTGAAGAAAACTGGAGACTGGAAGAAACATGTGGAAACCAACAGCCGCTTGATGAAGAAATTTGAGGAGTCTCGAGCCGAGTTGGAGAAGGTGCTGCGGACGGCTCAGGAGGGCCTGGAGGAAAAGGGTGATCCAGAAGACCTCCTGAGGAGACACACGGTGAGCTGCCCCTTGTGGGCCCCTCACTGGGTGCAGGGGCTTTGGTGAAAGGTAAAGAGAGAATAATGATCTAGAACAGAGTGGGAGGGAGGGAGAGAGGAGAAGAGAGAAGTTAGAAAGGCAGAAACTTGTTAGTTTTTTTTAAAGATTTATGTATGTACGCATACAAGAGCTGGGGTACAGGCCAGAGGTGCAGGGGGTGAGAGGATTCACCAGAGACAGAGTAGGGAGCAGAACAGGCAGACTGACTGAAATACACTGCTGAGGGGAGCAGCAGGTTGTCAGGAGAGGTCTGCTGTGCCATGTGGGTAGCTCCCTGGCCGGGGATTGAACTAGTGCTGCAGTGGCTGCAGGGAACTTCATAGGTTGCATCTTAACCCCGTGCACCACCAGGGAGGCCCCAGAAACTTGTTAGTTTTGAGACCTGATAGTGACAGTAGAACTTCAAGTGCAACTGATAAACCACCTTACAGTTGGCCGTTCCTAAGTCCACAGAGTAGTGGAGAGTCATGGGATAATTCAGGTTCTCCAAATTACTAATTTATCATTTAGCAGAGAAATTTTTATATAGTCGACACCTTTATTCAAGAGTTTGTGTCGGGTGGGTGGCTTATCCCTGTGGGCTCGCTTCATGGACCTGTCACGTCTTTGTATAGATAAGTCTCACTAAGTTTGGTAGCTGATCCACAAGTTGTCCCGGTATCACCGAGTCCTCTTCTTGTTTATCATTGTTAAACCTTATCAGGAGCAAAAACATTCATAATCTAGGGCCTCCCTGGTGGCGCAGGGGGTTGAGCGTCTCACTGTGAAGCTGTCCACAGCCTCTGCAATGCAGGTTCAATCCTGGCAGGCCGGCGAGAATCCCACATGGTGCAGCAGACCTCTCCTGTCTCTCCCGCTGCTCCCCTCAGCAGTGTATTTCAGTCAGTCTGCCTGTTCTGCTCCCGACTCTGTCTCTGGTGAATTCTCTCACCCCCCACACCTCTGGCCTGTACCCCGGTTCTCATATAAAAATAAGTAAATCTTTAAAAAAAACCACATTCATAATCTATACAAATGATGTGTGGAGATGATGGGTCATTTTCATCAAAATACATCTGAGAACATGTGTTTTGAGTTCCTTTCCCTGAAGTTTTAGTGGATGTCTGTATGAACTACACTCTCAAATATGAATGCAACATTATTTGTATAAAGTTGATGAACTTAAGGTTATATTCCTCTGTGCTTGCTGTTTCAGTCACTATTGTTGCCACAGATACAGAGACTCCTGACACTGTGTGAGACCTTGGTGTGTGTGTGTGTGTGTGTGTGTGTGTGTGTGTGTGTGTGTGTGTGTGTGTGTGCGCGCATACGCGCATGCACAGTATCACTCTGTGTGAGCTGCCACACTAAAATATGCAGACTGGGTGACTTCAGCAACAGACATTTGTTTTCTTACAGTCTGGACACTGGCATCCAAGCTCAGGGTGCCAGCCTGGTTGTGTTCTGCTGAGGGCCCCCGTCCTAGCTTGCAGCGACCATTTTTTGCTGTGTCCTTTAAAAGCAGAGACAGCACACGAGCCCTTGCTGTCTCTTAGAAGAGCAATAACTCTGCCACCCCCATAACCTTTTCTAAACCTAATCACCTCCTAGAGGTCCCATCTCGGAATATCATCACATTGGGAGTGAGGCCTTCCACATACAAGTTTGGCATTTGCTACTTAGGCCAGAGCATATCTGCTCTTGGGATGCTTCTGTGAATGTGGAAATGACTCAGAAGGAAGCTACAGGGCCAGGAAGGTTTGAAGTTCAAGAATGAGGAATTCTAAGACTTAGCGTGGAGTTCTGACTTTACCAAAGAAGCGATATAGCTCCATCACTGTGGAATCAAGGTTTTAGAGTCTCCCATCGGCCTTCTAGAATATTCTACCAAATGTGAAAATTGCAGATTCATTTCTAAACCATAAAATTTACTCGTTACCTTTCAGATCCTGTGTTTCTGACTCCTAACTGTGGGTGATTATAGTTTGTGTCTGGAAATGAGGCTAGCTCTTGCCCAGAGGGGCTGGAAGAGCAGGGGCTGGCTAAGAGGTTGTTGAGAGGCTTCCCTAGGCAACGTCTGCTGTGGTCCTTTGTTCTGCTCTCCACCCTTATCCACTTCCCTCTCTCCACCAGGAGTTTTTCAGTCAGCTGGATCAGAGGGTGCTCAATGCTTTCCTGAAGGCTTGTGATGAGCTCACAGACATTCTCCCTGAGCAGGAACAGCAGGGCCTCCAGGAAGCAGTTAGAAAGCTGCACAAACAGTGGAAGGTGAGTCAGCACACACTGGGACGTCGTGTGTCATGAATGATGGCAGAGTGTGAGGGTGACCGTGTTCAGTTGTAAGAGAAATTTAAAAATTACCAGAAAGACACCCTAAGTGCTTCTCCCATTAAAAATCCCTGAACCTGAGTAAAACATGATTAAACTCTGATAGAACGTCGTTATTCCTATTTTTAGTAACCTCAATGTTATCATATTACTTGAGTTCAATCCCAGCTTTTTAACCCTAGCATTTTTAAAGTAAGGTTTCCTGGACTTCCCCATTTGTGCCGTGGATGTAATAACATCTGGTTTTCCCATCTCACTCAGTTATTGACAAAATTAAGAGACTTCCTGAGGAGAGGGCGTGAGTGCATGATTTAAATCTAGATCTTCTATTTACCCTGGATTCTCAGTGGTCTAACCTCTAAAATAGGAACATGAATACTGTGCATGTTTATCAGAAGAATTTAACAGGCTGGTCACTGTGAAAACACCCGACCCACAGAGGCTGGGAGGATTCTCTGAACCCAGTCCCGGGTAAAGGCCAAGTCGGGGCAGACCGTGGAGGTCACATTTCACCGACCCTAAGGGGAATATTTTATGTTTTCTCCACTTGCAATCGAATGTAGGATCTTCAAGGAGAAGCCCCATACCATTTGCTTCATCTGAAGATTGATGTAGAGAAGAATAAATTCTTCGCCTCCATAGAGGAATGCAGAACCGAACTGGATCGAGAGACCAAGCTGGTGTCCCAGGAAGGCAGTGAAAAAATGATTCAGGAGCACAGGGTATGTCATGCAGAGTCCTGTTGTCACTTAAAACTGAGAACTGATGCTTTGGTTTGGGTGTGAAAACAGTGACTAGCTTCATTACTTTACATCCCTAGAAAAAATGGGAACTACTTTTGGTTTTTCTATGAAAGTATGGAAGTTGACTATGAGTTCTATGAAAATATGGCAGTTGGGCATTGATACTAAAACTGTTTCTTGCTCATCAGATTTTCTTCGGTGACAAAAGTCCTTATCATCTCTGTGAGAAAAGGTTGCAGCTCATGGAAGAACTGTGTCTGAAACTCCCAGTCCGGGATCCAGAAAGGAACAAACCAGAAGCCTGTCGCGCTGCTCTCAAAGAGCTCAGAGCCGACATTGATGGCACCTACGCGCAGCTGGTGGGAGACCCAGACAAGTGGAGGGACTACACCAGCAGGTAGTCTTGGACGGGTTCCCCGGGAGATATCTGTCTTAGTTCTGTCAACTCCGAGATCATCACAAAGCGACAGAGGACATGTGTCATCTTGTGCAAGAAAGAAAATCAGATTGTCTGATCCTGCCCATGCTCTTGTTCCAAAATGCTTCATTGTATAAAATGAATAGGTTTATGGAAGAAGCAGGGTAAAAGTGCTGTGTTTCCAAGTGACCCAAATGTGATCTCATTGAGGTCAATGTGGCTCATCTCTTCTTCCCTGATTTTCTCATCTCCCCAAATGGGACTTCTGCCTCTTGGGGTTTTGTATCACTCTGGAGGGACACGTGACACCCCAAGTAGTATCTTCCTCCCTCCAAGTGCTCTGAACCTGGGGTCCATCCTTTACCTGTTTTGCTTTCTCTTTGCTCCAAGTAGTAGTGCACAGGGGGGGTCAGCTGCCTTGAGCTTTGGGCTCAAGGAACAGTTTTAAAAACATTTGTCAATCACTTTATCGCCACTTGATTGTTAAATTTCCACGAATGAATGTAAAATAGAAGGTGAATTTTAACTATGGTGATATTTTCCCTCTGTAGTAAGAATACACTTGTGTTATTTCAGAATGTCTGAATTCTCATCTTGGATATCTGCAAAGGAGGCACAATTGAAAGGAATTAAGAGTGATGCCCTCGACTCTGCCAACCACAGAGAGGTTAAGCGTGCCGTTGAGGTGAGTTCTGGGCCATTTTTTGTTATTAGTGAAAAATTTTCACTAATAAAAAAATGACGGTAGACAATATAACTGATGTCTTTTCTTTCTTCCTGTAGAAAAATTGATTTCCTGAAAATTGTCTTCAAAATAAGTTTCCTTGGTTACTGTGGAGAAGTCTAGGGTTTCTTTCTATTGAATGAGTGTTAGCTTTGGGATTTAATCATGTTCAGGGAAGCCACTAATGCATTTTTAGCTAGTGGGGGATCCTGAGGTAAAAATAGCATGCACGGTTGTATAACAAAGCAGAGCTTTAAAAATTGTCATGGAAAACAAAACACTTTAGGCTTTTGTACAATACATTTTCAGCCACTTGAAAGCCAAGTCACAGAAAATGAGAGAATTGATAAGGCCTGTAAGCAGCCTTTCTCTGTCACATTCAGCCTCTGGAGGGGATCAGCCTCCAGAGCATGGGGACAGCCTCAGGCTGAGCCCAGTTTGTGTCCTGTGAGTGGCACACGGCGGCCCACTCCTCGCATTGCATTGCGGCTCTTCCCTGCAGACTCACACTATGGGAACATTCTTGAACTTTCAGCGTTTTGAAGACACATAGTTGCTATTAATGAGAACATATTTCCTCCCTGTTCCTGTCATCTGAGTTCCATTTTGTTTGCCTCTAAAAATTACAATCCTTTTAAATGCCAGAAGTGCTTAATAATACTGTGCTTGCTTTGCAGGGTATTTATATTTGCTACCAGGTGCTCTTATAGTAGAAAAAACACATTTTTATCTTAGAATAAAGAGATCACTTGCTTCCAGAACCACCTATTTTCTGGTTGGCGTGCATTTGCCCTGTAAGACCCTCTGCAGCAGCTGACAGCCCGTGTGGTTGGAGACTTTACCTTTGTGCCACCCAGAGCAAGAGGTGGGGGAGGGGTTTCCCCATTACCATTGCCTTGGTCCCCAGCACAAGGGCTGAGCCCTGCAGTCTCTCCAGCATTGTCTTGGGCTTGCCATGCTAGCCAAAAATACCATGTTCCTTCCAGCTCACAGAAAATGAGGTAACAAAATAGATTATATGTTGTAATACCTAATTTGGATAGCATTGTTTAGAAGCATCTTTTTGGTGCTCACAGAAATATCTACAAATACCTAACCATCTAATTATGAAGATAATTTTTTGGTGAGTATCGATTTTACACCTCAGGTATTGGTATTGGAGAAACATTTCTTTGTAGCACTTGTAAACTTTTGTGAAAGATCTGAACAAAAAGTGAAAAAGCAGGCATTCCACTGGTGCGTGAATGTCTGACTCTTACTTCTACCTTACAAACCTTCTGGCTAGAAAGTTATGATCACCGTTGCCTCTCTACATCAAATCTTCTTTCATTTCAGGAAATCAGAAATGGTGTGACCAAAAATGGTGAAACTCTCAGTTGGTTGAAAGCCAGGCTTAAAGTCTTGATGGAAGTTTCTTCTGAGAAGGAAGCCCAAAGGCAAGGCGACGAGCTGGCCAAATTATCCAGTTCTTTCAAGGCTCTTGTGACACTGTTGTCAGAGGTATAGCATTTCCTCACACTCTAGACAGACATTTCTGGGGGAAGAATCTGGGAAGCATCTGGAGGATTTTTTTCTTTTGGCTGTAGGCTAGTGAATAATTTTATTAAAAAGTTGAGTTGAAGTTGTACCATTAAGGTATTTGCATGAATGATGGGGAAGATGAGTCAGATGTTTGAATTATGGTCAGTGCATCATTGGATTTACCTAACAATCTATCTATAAGGACAAAGCTTCTCATACTCTTTTGACTGTTACTAAAACCATTATTTCATGGACAGTTTAAGGCATATCAAGACAGTTAAGAAAAAAAAAAAAAAAAAAAAAAAAAAAAAAAAAGACAGTTAAGAGCACAGGCTTGAAAATCAAATAAACCCAGTTTTAGAGCTTCATTCTGGCACTCACCTTCAAATACCACCTCAAGCTCGTCATTATATAATGTTGAGCTTGTAATTAATAGCTCTGAACCTTGATTTCCTTACTTGTAATACAAGGCTAAAAATACTTATCCCAAAAGCAGTGTCAAGTATTAAATGCACTTATGTGTGGAAACTTAGTACAGTGCCTAACAAAGTCAATGCTAAATAATTGATGTTGATAAATTCAGTGTTCAGTCAGCAGAAAAGTAAAGGCCCTTTTATATTTATTTATTTATTTTGAAGATTTATTTATTTAAAGATTTATTTACTTATTTATACAAGCACTGGGTATAGTCAGAAGCGCAGGAGGGTGAAAGAATTCACCAGAGCCAGAGCAGGGAACAGAACAGACAGTCCGATGAAATACACTGCTGAGGGGAGCAGCGGGTAGAGCAGGAGAGGTCTGCATGCCTTGTGGGACCCTCGCCAGTGTCCAGGGATCGAACTGGTGCTATAGAGGCTGCGGGCAGCTTCGCAGCCCAGCGCTCAACCGCTGCGCCACCAGGGGAGGCCCAATTAAAGGCCCTTTTAGGCAAGATCTACTCATTTCAAAATTCTTGATGAACATTTCAATATTTATAATCCTATATCTTTAAAATATATAAACCGGGCCTCCCCAGTGGCGCAGCGGTTGAGTGCTGGGTTACGAAGCTGCGCGCAGCCTCTGCAGCGCCGGTTCGATCCCCGGCTGCTCCCCCGCCACCAGAGGAGGGTCCCACATGGCGCGCAGACCTCTCCTGCCGCCCGCTGCTCCCCTCAGCAGTGTACTTCAGTCCTTCTGCCTGCTCTGCTCCCCGCTCTGGCTCTGGTGAATCCTCTCACCCCCCCGCGCTTCTGACTGTACCCAGTGCATGTATAAACAAAACAAACAAACAAATAAAATAAATAAATAAAGCATGCCTCTAATAAAAAAATTAAAAAAAAATATATATATATAAACCCATCTGCTTCTTTTCTAGAAGGGCTCCTTCTATGCTCTGTGAGAACATTTTAATGAACGGGTTGTCTTACAAGTCTGAGTTGGTGCATGGGAAGATAATGAAGAATCCAAAGTAGAATAGATATTATTTCTTGAATCATTTATAAGCTTGCATGGAAAAATGATAACTAGATGTCTACAAAGTTCCCTGATTTTGAGGATCTAACAATCTCTATAGACATCCCTTATTAATAGATTATCAGTTAACCTTTTGTATTTTTAATCCACGCATGAGACTCTACTTGTGAGTTATATAAGCCAAAAATTATATTGTACTGCTGTGATTTTAGTTTCACATGAGAATTTTGAGATATATCAATTTGTTAAGAATTTTTGGCAAATTGAACATAGTGATAGGCTTAATCAGATTTTAGAAAATAAGCTATTTCAGTTCTTTGATCATCATCTTTCATCATAATAGTCAAGTTTAGTTCATTGTCACTACCACACTTGAAGTGAAATTCTGAAATTATCTTTCTGTATTCTTTCTTTGGTCAAGAAGTTCAGGATAAAAGTAAGGGTAACCAAAAATGGTGAATAGGTATGAATGTTATCTTTGATCTGAGGCCTAATAAATAGTCACATACATTGATAAGCATCATATATTTTGTTACACATACACTAAATAAAAACCACTTAATAGTCTTTAAAATTAGAAGTAGTTAGTCTCCCTAACATTTCCAAGGTCATTTACTCACTGTGTCTTCCAAGTACTCTCATGACACAGCCAGTGGGACTCGTGCCAACAACCTAACAAATGCAGACATTAATTCTTTGCACACTTATTTAGCTTCAGCTGCTGTGTAATGTCTACTAATACCCTTGTTTAGTACTTAATCACTTAATGAAGGCAAAAAGAGGAATGGAGAACACCACACTCAGTTTATGTAAAGATTTGTATAGAAAGATGGATTTGACACATTCAGTCCATCTTTTCGTTGAAATTCATTGAGTATTTAAAATGTGTTTAACACAGTGTTTCAGTCATCCAGTCGAAGGGGGAAAAAGCCATGGTGGATTTTTAATATGCAATGAAAAGCCACTTCTTTCAACAGAGCTGTGATTTACTGAGGTCAGGGATTTGTGGTTTTCGCAGGATCTTACCGCTGTTTGGAGAACGGCAGTTCCAGTAACCTTGGATGAACTCAGAGCACAAGAGAGTCAAAGAAAAATACAGGATAAAAGGAGACATTGAAAGTCTTCTGTGAAAGACAAATAATGATAAAATATGAAGATGATGATAATAATAGTGGCAAAGGAAAGGGATAGACCTTGAAAATAAAAGATACTGGTGAAACTGAATAGAGGAAACAGAAGTTAGAAGAGAAAGCTGAGCCTTTAGGAAAATGACAAGGAAATTCTCTAAAGAACCACAAAATTAGAAATTATTTGATGGTTTATGTAGAAATACTGGAAGTACATTTTCAACAAATATTCTTTTATTCTTTTCATCATTTTTCTTCTCCACAAAGTTTTACTTACTTCCTTTTAATAGGGTGGGCTCACCTTTCTTACAACACACTGTTATCATTTATAATTATATTTTAGACATGAAATTGTAATGAAGGAGATCCAAGAAACAATATATATAATATATACAGTTTCATTATCCTGCATAAATTACCAAGTCAAGTGGGTTTGCAATATGGTATCAAATGAAACATGTGATTTCCATAAGTGAAAATAGAGTTTAGCAATTTTTAAATAAGCTTCAAATACATAAGATAGAATAAAAGTTAGAGATCTGTGTATGTATTTCAAGTTGTTAAGAGAGACTACATCTTTAAAAAATTTTAAGATTACATGAGTATATGACTTGCTTTTTTTTTTTTTCCCCATGAAAATCAAGGTTGAAAAGATGCTAAGTAACTTTGGTGATTGTGTCCAGTACAAAGAAATAGTCAAAAGTTCTCTTGAAGATTTAATTTCTGGCTCCAAGGAGGTCCAGGAACAAGCTGAGAAAATCTTGGACACTGAAAATCTGTTTGAAGCACAACAGTTACTTCTTCACCACCAGGTAGAATGTCTCTTTACCCCAGTGCATTTGTATCACATGATTGGTCACTGATGGAGCCCTGGAGAATAATACCACAGCCACTGGGTGGGAACAAAGCAAAGGGGCTAGAAAAGAAACCCAACTGAATGGTTAAAAGAACTTGATACTTGAGTTCTCTCTGTTAAATGTTTCAGAAGATCCTGCAAGATTAATTCTCAGACTGCATGATTTGTTCAAGGAATACTGCAGAGGGAACATTAATTTTGCTGTAAAATGTTGCATTAAACTTGCAAATGGTGCTTTTTAGAACAGAGAAGGAAGTCATATATAGATAATTGCTTCAGATTTGAGGTGGCTGTTGTTTTGCCATTTTGTTAAAATCTTTCTCTTCAAAATACAACTTTGAATATACCTTTGAGTAGGAAATTTTAATTTAGAGGAAGTTCCAGATCTTTCAGGAGGGTAAGTTCTTAAGAAGTATTAGAACTGGAAGTAATGTTCTAATATATACACACACACACACACACACACTATATATATATATATATATATATATATATATATACACACACACATTACACACATTACGTGTGTGCATAATAAACAATTGTCCAACTCAATTCAAAAGGATGATTTAAATTAAATATTTAATGATAAAATTTAATTAATATATAGCAAAAGGATATCCAATTTTATATGTAATAATATACAAAAATGGAAGTTGCACTGAAAGTTTGTAACATAGATGCCTCTTAATAAATTTAGTAATTATGAAAAGGCTAAGTACAAAAAAATTAATGCTTAGCATTACATAGTTCTCAATCACTGTCAAAGTGTTGTTTGGTTCCAATTTATTGTAAGTCAGGAGAAATATGAAAGTATAGATATTTACATTAATATTTTAAAACTGAACAATTCTTGACCAAGGGCTTGGTTACAACTTACGTATTTTCACAAAGTGAAAGTTGTGCGCTTACGTGAGATTGGTGTGCCATTGTGTTTTTACATTATACTTCCATAAAAGTTTACTTTAAAACAGAATTTGCCCCGAATATTTTAGCAGACGAATCATTCTGAATGCACCCAGGGATTAAGTCTCTTAATACACTATAAATGATAAAAAGTATTGGAGTTCGCACATTGTGTTTTTAGACAGAAAATAGTTTTTTAAGGAGACTCATATCAAATGAATAGGTTTGCCAGATTCCTCATGGAATATTGCACAAAATGCCAAATATTGTCTAAATCTGCACACAAATTAAAACAAAACCAAATCAATTATGTTATTGTTTACCATTAAAAACATAAAATATTTATAAATAAGGTCCATATTTGAGTAACATAGAGCCTCCATTACCATTTTAACTGCACATCTTAAATTTAAAATAGAACTTGGGCCTACCCCCACATGAGTCTGCACCTTTCTGTACCTATTTTAAAGTGTGGGTGTCTCTGCTTAGCCTCAAGTAACATTTATATCCATCTGTTGAACAAATGCTTCCAGCAAAAGACAAAAAGGATCTCTGCAAAGAAGAGGGACGTGCAGCAGCAGATTGCACAGGCTCAGCAGGAAGAAGGGGGGCTGCCTGGTCGTGCCCGGGAGGAGCTGCGCAAGCTGGAGAGCACCCTGGAGGGCATGGAGCAGAGCAGGGAGAAGCAGGAGCGCCGCATCCAGGTAGGAGACCAGAAGTCCCAGTTGTGTTAACTTCTGGGTCGTAGATTATTCCTCTACTAGAGGGGCAAGTGTTTATTCTTGCCTCTGAGCCTCCACATTGCTTATGTTAGATGCTTTCATTATAGGTGAATGCTGCAATTAGTACATATTGCAAATGTGGGTGCTTAAAAGAGAATTTGTGAACTTTACCCAAGTCACAGAGCAGCAATTAGTAATGAAACCAGGATTTTAATCCACACTTGTTTGAATCCAAAAATTTCCGTTCTCCACAACTTTATTCTTTATTGTGATCTTCACACATTACATTATTATTTTTTTAATTTTTTTTTTTTAAATTTTTTTTTTGAAGTGGAGAATGCACCCTTTTGTTTTATTTTATTTATTTATTTTTATAGAGGCATGTTCATTTATTTATTTGTTTGTTTATACATGCACTGGGTACAGTCAGAAGCGCGGGAGGGTGAGAGAATTCACCAGAGCCAGAGCGGGGAGCAGAGCAGGCAGAAGGACCAAAGTACACTGCTGAGGGGAGCAGCGGGCGGCAGGAGAGGTCTGCGCGCCATGTGGGACCCTCCTCCGGTGGCCGGGGAGCAGCCGGGAATCGAACCGGCGCTGCAGAGTCTGCGGGCAGCTTCGCAACCCAGCGCTCAACCGCTGCGCCACCGGGGAGGCCTATTTTTTTTTAATTTTTGCCACTGCTTTCCTCTTTCTTTCTCCATTCTGTCTATCTTTCCTTTTTTTTTTTTTTTTGAGAGACATTGGAAGACGTTCTGTTCCTGTCTCCTTTATCGCCATCTTTAGTAATAACATTGGATTCATAGGACTTTACAGCTGAGAGAAAACTCAGAGTCCAAATCCACACATCTTCTTTATGTAGATGAACTGAGATTCAAATGGAGACTTTTTATAGCAGCGTCAGAATCATGTTTATTCAGTGTGACTGAAATTTGAACTGAGAGTTAACTGGAAGTTGACAGCCTAAGAAATGAATGGAAATGTGAAAATATTTTATGACATACTTTGATAATAATTCATAACATGGCATGTTGGTGTTTTGTTTTTTTTTTGTTTTGTTTTTTGAATTTAGGTCACCTTAAGAAAATGGGAGCGATTTGAAACAAACAAAGAGACAGTGGTCAGATACCTTTTTCAGACAGGTTCCAGCCATGAGCGCTTCTTGAGTTTTAGCAGTTTGGAAAGCTTGTCTTCAGAATTGGAACAGACAAAGGTATACCAATAAGACCATATAGTTGCTTGGCCCACTTTATTCAGAAGAAAAATCGTTTCCACTCAATTGTTAGTATTCATTATTATAATTATTCATTTAATCAATACCTTTGATGATTTATGATTTATTTTTCAACACACTGGCCAAGTTGCTCTGGAGAATGAAACCATCAGTGTGATCTATGCATTAAGAACTAAGAGTTTTCATTAAAGTGAGAACTGATTAGTTCCCTAATCTATGAATACATTTCAGAAAATTTTTTTCTGAAGGCAGTGATATTTTTAACTGAATTTTGAAAGGTTTATGAGGCAGAGAAACACAGAACTGGGAGCAGAAAATGAACATTCCTGTAATGGGGAATGCCATGAAGTACAGATGAGTTAGGATGGGGAGTGTATGTTGTACAGCAGAAAAAGGAAAGTGCACTTGTAAAGGAAAGTTGGGCCATATCACAAAGACTCTTGAGGGATAAAGAAGTACTTTCCAGGCAGCTTGGAGCACGCTTTCCAACACACTCTTCATAAGAGTCATGGATTCAGAGCTGTACTTCTAGAAGATGACCTTTGAAGCAGGTGTAGACAACTAAAATGATGAAAAGACCCCAGTCATGGGATCTACTTAGAAAGTCATTGCACATGCTCACTGATGTGACATGAATGAAGGAAATGAATGGCAATGGATGTGTGGGGGACAGATGAAAACAACAGAGTGAAGGAAAGGAAGGTACTCATGATTGTGAGCCTGACATAGACAAGGGGGTAAAATGGAGAGCTTGAAGAAGTAGCTGTCTGTGGGACAACATGACAGCTCAGTTTTGGACATCTTGTATTGGAGGCTCCCATGGGATGTCCAAGAGATTACACTTAGCAGATGTCCTTGGTGAGCTCCCCTGTGTAATGTCAGAGAAGACCGATAAATTTGTGTGAGTCATTGAGAGGAATCATTCAGGCCTTTTGGGTTCCGATAGCATGTGTTTTGGAGTTACGGAAAGACTGAGTACAGAAATGTGTTAGCCAGTGTGTAAGAAAGTGTTCACCCTTTCATAGCCTTTGGCAAGTAAATCCCTGTGCTTCTATTTTCTTACCAATAGAAGGTTCTTGTCATTCATACTGCTAATTTTGCATTATGTCTCCTACTATTAACTTACTAAGGAGTTTGAAGTTTCATCAGGCTACAGAATCTTTTAATTCTGTGTGATTTTCATCAACCACTACAATAGAAATTTTTTTAACATAATAATTAATTGTGGTAGCGTTAGGATTCTCCCCATCAGGTACTGCTGCCAGATGCTATGATCACTAAATCACCCATTGGCCACCATAGTCCATTGAGCTTCCCTCCGTCTTTGTTCCTACTCCTCCCCCAACTGCTCCACCCTTTGGATGCTTCAGTTCTATAGTCTGTTTTCAAGGGTTAGTTTTTTTTTTTTTTTTTTAAGATTTATTTATTTATGCATACAAGAGCTGGGGTAAAGGCCAGAGGTGGGAAGGTGAGAGGATTCACCAGAGACAGAGTAGGGAACAGAACAGGCAGATTGACTGAAACACACTGCTGAGGGGAGCAGCAGGGAGACAGGAGAGGTCTGCTTCACCATGTGGGTCAGCTAGCTGGCTGGGAATCGAACTCGTGCTGCAGTGGCTGCGGACAGCTTCATAGGTTGCATCTTAACCCCTTGCGCCACCAGGGAGGCCCCTCAAGGGTTAGCTTTTAAGGTTATCTTACTCTGGTTCTTAGTTTATTTTCTCTATAGAACTTTATTTCTAATTATACTTATATGTTAAAAATATATTGGGGGCCTTTTATAAACACATGCATATTTATTGGGTTGATTATCCTCTGTAAGTCCACCCAGCTTCCTCCGGAGTTTCTGTATGTGGTTCCATTTTACTAATCTCTTTAAATTGTTTTAGCTGCCTGACTATGAAACATGTAACCTTTTTAGTCTTATTATTAAAATTATTTTTATTTTTAAAGACTTTTTCATTTATTTATTTTTTAAAAGATTTTATTTATTTATTCAAGCACTGGGGTACAGGCCAGAGGCGCAGGAGGGTGAGAGAATTCACCAGAGACAGAGCAAGAAGCAGGACAGAAGTACACTGCTGAGGGGAGCAGCGGGGAGACAGGAGATTCCATGTGGGAATCTCCCTGGCCAGCCGGGAATTGAACCGATGCTGCAGAGGCTACGGACAGCTTCACAGCACTGCATTCAACCCACTGCGCCACTGGGAAGACCCTAAAATTCTTTTTAGTTAATAATCTTTCTGTCATTGGGATTGATTTAATAATCTGAGCTAATGTTCATTAGACATATACTACATACTGGTACTATCGTTTGATGTTTATCATCTTCTTTAATCCCCCAAACAATCCTTAGTAGGAACCATTATCAATCTGTGTATAAATAAGGAAATATGAAGGGAAGAGTTATTAATGAACATATCCAAGATCTCAGGATTACTACGTGGAAAGATTGGGGTGCAAACCCAAAGTTTTGAGTCCAGAACCCACACCCTTAGCCACTACATTATATTTTCATAAAAAAATAAGCCAATGATATTCGTGTGTATGTTGGCCACTGTGCCAGCACATGTAATCTAGAATAATCATTCTCTCTTGTTCTTTGCTCACCTGACATTGTTAACACAGCCTTCACTTAGGTGTAGCGCTTGGGTGATGTGTATGCTTTGCCTGCCAGAGTGAGGGACAGCATTCTTAGCAATATCAACTTTAATCTTCAACAAGGCTTTACTGATGAGGGAATGAAAATTCAGAGAGTGTGTGGCTCAGCTAGGGAGGGACAGAGCCTGGTTTCAACTCCAGGTCTAACAGAGGCCAGGGTCCAGATTCCTGCTGCATCTGCTGCCACTCAAAGTCTTGTTAGGACTCAGAAATCCAGTCTTACCATGCACCTTATTCTATTTTTGTTGAATTTGGTTATTCTCAGCATTTTTGTGTTCTTTGCAGTCCTCAAGTTTTGTGCTCCCCGTAAGTAACTCCCATGAAAATTTCTTAGATTGAATATACATAAGCGTCTTCAAATATAATTCTACTTTTTCCATGTTTTGATCTGGCCCCCTCAAGGAGGAAAAAAACTACTACTTTATTTAACACTTTTGATTCTATTCATGGGATTCTGAGAGATCATGCCATGATTCACAGTCTTCACAATTGAATCTACAGTGATTATACGTTTACTTATAGCAATGGTGGGTGCTTTTAACCACAGAACTTAATGTTGTGACATTAGCTTAGGATATTATAAATTTCTCACCATATGGGTGGAAGCTGTACTTATTTTTATTCTCTCAAATTGCAGCATATTTCTCTAAAATAATGTTGATATTTCTTGGAGGACATTAAGTCTTTCACACAGGAAGAAACAATAGTATCATGTATTAATTCTATCCTCTGTGGCATTTTGTAATAATTCTGGGAAATGCTCTGCAGGAATGGCAGCTATCACAAAGCTGAATTTAAAAAAAATTTTTACATCAGATTTCCACTTTGCTTATTTAGGAGACTATAAGCAAATTTTACACTCCCTATAAGATTCTCTTATGTGAGAGACCCAAAGTTAATTTTCTTCACTCTAGATTATCTCTGGATTTACCTTTCCTTCTTCAGTATTTGATATGTTTACCTGACCAAATTGATATAACAGCTAAAATTTACCAGAAAGAGTAATTTTTGAAGTAAAATAGTTTACTATTATTGAAAAATCGTTGTATGAAATTTATTTATTTATTTATTTTTAAAGATTTATTTTATTTATGCATAGAAGAACTGGGGTATAGGCCAGAGGTGCAGGGGTGAGAGGATTCACCAGAGACAGAGTGGGGAGCAGACAGGCAGATCCACTGAAATACATTGTTGAGGGGAGCAGCGGGCGAGACAGGAGAGGTCTGTTGCACCATGTGGGTCAGCTTCCTGGCTGGGAATAAAACTCAGGCCTCAGTGGAAATATTGTGATAGTGTTGAGTCTCAACCCCATATGCCACCAGGGAGGCCCTGTTCTCTATTTTATGTGAGGGGCACCAAAAAAATGACAATAAATACTTGCCAGAGTGACAGAAACTTAAAAATGAGATTGTTATTGAAATGCTAACACTATCACAAGAAAGAGCCGACAAGTGATTTACCCAAGTCGAACAGCGAAGTAATGAGGAAATCCAGGAGTCTATTCCCAGTTTGACTGGTTCAAAACTTATCCTCTCTCCATAATATATTATTTGCCTCTCCATAATATATTATTTGCAAAGTAATAAGGTTGAACAGCATGAAGCTCAAACTAGCTCTCTTTTCAGGGTTACTGAAATGTTTCTTTATCATGAACCTACATTGACTAAGATATTTTCAATTAAATAAGTCAACATTTATATTCATTGATCTAGAAATCTTTTATTTCTATGATTAAGAAAATCAGTCATTGCCCAAACTGGTCTGTAATGAATATATTTGTGTATAAGTTAAATAGTGCAATGCAGCTTGGAATTCTAAACAATAAACCAAAACCAGAAACAATGGAAAAACATGTTTGATGAATTGTTGCATTACTATGAAGGTAGATATCTGATTGTGCATATAAAATGAAAATAATTTAGCAAAGTCTGTTTTGGCCATGATAAAATTATTGCTGAGCACATGATTTACCAACATTTATCAATCCACCCATGTCTTCTGGGGGAGACTCAGCAGTCTGTGCAACTTATTTGAAGTTAGAGTTTATTGTAAGATTCCCTCCTAACAATCATCTCCTTTTCTAGGAGTTTTCTAAGAGAACAGAGGGTATTGCAACTCAGGCTGAGAATCTTGTGAAGGAAGCTGCAGAGATACCACTTGGGCCCAAGAATAAGCAGCTGCTTCAACAGCAGGCCAAGTCCATCAAAGAGCAAGTCAAAAAATTAGAAGAGACGCTTGAAGAAGAGTATGTGCTTGACAAGTCCTAAACTTTCTTCTCTGAGATAAAGTTTCATACAGTCTTTCCTGTATATTGTATCCAAAACATTCTTTTCAAAGCTCAAAGTGTCTGTGTATTTCAGCATGTTTTGAGGAAGCAATTCACAACTCACAAGACAGTCTCACCAATACAGAAACTGACATCTATCACAGAGCAGAAAAATAGAAGGGATGTGGTTTTTGCATCTAAAACTGATTCTGTTCATGAGAAAGCCATATCTATTAAATTCTGTGGCCTTTATGCCTTGGGGAGGAAATCTCAATAGACCCCCAATATTTTAAATAATTTTTTTGTATTACTTTGTTGTCACTAGTTAGAGAAAGAGGAGATACTTAGGTTGTCTTAGATTCTAGGCTTAAATACACATGACACCAACCAAGTGTCGCCAACTCCAAGAAGCTTCCAGAGCTTGTTATAGTGCCTCAGTACAAATTGTCACTGATTGATATACTCTTTCCAGAAATTAACTTCAAGATCTATTTTACTTTCAAACATTCAGTGTTTATCTGAAAAGAAAGAACAGTTTGGTCTAGGATAGCCTATCATGTACAAAATATATACGACATAAATTTAGAAAGGATAAACATGAAGACATAGTCGATATTCCTTAAAATAATAAGGCTGAACATTTCTATTCTAAGGTTGTTTAGTGACCAATCACTAATGCATATTTTTTAAGGTATAAGATAAGAATTTCTAAGATGGATTTTAAAATGTAAGATTTGTTTTCGATCCTATTAATACCTTGAAATTAACATTGTGCATTTGCCTGATGGAAATTTGTTGAATAATTTATTGAAAGCAAATCCTGAATTAAAAACTTTGAGAACATTATATTAAATATTAGCCACAAAATTATGGAAATAGTAAAACTTAGATTTTATTGAAAGGAATATACTTTTATTAGAACTACCATTTGAATCTTTATTCCATTTGAAGGCTTGTAATATAATGTAGTGTGCATTGCCTATGCTGATGAGAGGATTAGGCGTACCCAGGGGATTCATTTGAGACTGTAATATTATTAACTTTGACAATCAGTGATGCCACTGTATTTTTCATGGTGTCTTCAAGTGCCTTTTGGTGAACAGGGAAATTCTTTTGCTTTTTGCTTATTTTTTTAGCCCGAGGACTTTACAATTCAATGATACACTGTTTTATTTCTTAGCCTTTTTCTAAACTGAAAGCCATAATCAAATGGTTACCTACATACAGCTCAGACAAACTGGAAATCCATAGTTGAAATCTGTTTACTATAACTGTTACAAATACAGCCCAAGTTGTCTAAAACTATTAGGGGACTTATATGAGAAAATTTATGAAAGTTTTATGAAATCAAGAATCCACAGACCACTAAGGAGAGCAGAAATCACTGTAGAGTACAAGTTGCAGGCTTATTTCTAGTGAAAGAAGCAGTTTCTACATGACATCATGGGATTCAGATCTCAGGTTCTATTATAAAGATTGTTGAGTATAAGCCATTGCCACCGTATCTCTCTGCTAAAAGCAAGAGCACTGCTAAAAGAGGTGTGGCCTGGAGTCTACTTGGGCAGTGACTTGTTGTTCTTTATTAATAAGCCCTGGCTTATTACTAGTCACATGCAGAGTTTGGCTAGATGATACCTGGATGCAAACCCCTTGTAAGGGACCCAGGGATATTTTGTTTGCAGCAGAGTTCCATTCATAGCATAGTTTTTTTTTTTTTTTTATTTAAATATTTATTTATTTATTTGTACAAGAGCTGGGGTACAGTCAGAGGTGTGGGAGGGTGAGAGAATTCACAGAGGCAGAGCGGGTAGCAGAACAGGCAGACAGGTCTGCCACGCCATGTGGGTTTTTCCCTGGCTGGCCGGGAATCAAACCCGTGCTCCAGAGGCTGTGGAGAGCTTCACAACGTGGTGCGTAACCCACTGTGCCACCAGGGAGGTCCCATAGCATAGTCTAGATGCTACCTCATTCAGTGTTCATTGTCAGAGGAGACAGGAAGATTTGAGGTCTGACTGATTTCTCAGATCCAGTGTGCATTTTTGGTCCTGTTGATATAGTTTCAACTTCCAAGTGGCCACAGATGTCTTCACTATCTTTTCACTTGATGATTTAAAGGAAAACTGTATTGTTGTTCTCTATTAAGATACTTCATTTTATTTACTTAATTTGGTTAATTTTAGTATTAAAACCATGGAAATGGTGAAAAACAAGTGGGATCATTTTGGCAATAATTTTGAGACCTTGTCCACCTGGATAACTGAGAAAGAGCAAGAACTCAATGCCTTGGAAACTTCGTCGTCTGCCATGGACATGCAAATCAACCAAATTAAGGTGACCTGCTCACACATTACGTTTATAATCCATGTCTAGCTTTTAAGAATGCTCTTCTTACCTTTCATCAAAAGCTCTTTGGCTCCAGAACAAATCTTTCTTTCTATGTGACTCTATTAAAATTAATTTCACATAAAATGCTGAGCTAAGAGGTCTTGGTTGATGCTGGGCAGCACTCTCTAGGTGGCGTTATGTATTAATGTTGTCTGACTTATGCATTCAAAGCCAATATTGTGTGAAATTTCATTAAAATGGTTTTATGGTACCATTATTCCTTTCCTTCATTTGAATGAACCCCATCGAAGTGCTCTGCTGATTCAACATGATAGGACATGGGATGTATTCATCACCTACCACTGAACTTTATAAGCACCCCAAATGTCTAGCTCAAGTGCTTCTGATATTTACCCTTACCCACCACAAGGAGGAATTCAAGAAATTGCTTTCTCTAGGGGAAACAATACTTTCATTTATGCTGACCTTGGGGGCTTAGGCTGAGCTGTTCTTATTCCTTAGCTCTCCCAGCTCTAAAACAACCATGTGCATCGACTCTCATCATCCACTCATTCAAATGGTTAAGAAAAAATGGAAAGAAATGAGATCTGAGCATTCATTCTTCATTCTTTTATGGAATTTGATACAACACATTTTCAAAACTCAGCCACTTTTTCTATCTCAGCTCATTTTTTTGGAAGGGAAACCCTCTGCCTTTTCACTTGATTAAATATAGTAAAATAAATAACAAGGTGAGAGAACATTTCACATTATGACTCAGAACAAGTCCATGCCATGTGCACAGTGGGAGGGCCATGTTGCTTCACTGAGATTACGTGCTGTGCTCCTGATCTTTGCTTAGCACACATCTTTTGCAATCAAAGATACATGGAATCTGGTCAGTGCAATCTGCTTATGTCTTCTGTGATAGGCTAGGAAAAAATAAATGCCACGCCACTAAAGAATACTCATAAAATATTTTCATCTTTAAAACTTTTTAAAAATCATTTAATCGTTTTCACTAAATTCTAAGAAAACAAAGAATAGCACGTTTCAATAAATTTTTCTCAAAATTTTTCTCTTTCTAAAATTTTTGACACATTTTCAACTTGTTTATCATTTCTGTGATGCATTTGCTATTATTTAAATCTTTTTTTCCCCAGGACTTCTGAAAAACATCTATGATCAAATGTTTTCTCATTGTTACTCTTGAGGAAACAAAATGATTACATATTTGTACTTTTTGATATATAACCATTTCATGTAGATTTACATGCCATCCGACTAAAAAATATATTTTAATATGTCTAATATGACATGTTGAAAATCATCAAAAAAATACAGTAGATGAATATGAGGAGCAGGAAAAATGTACCTGTCAAATGTAAGCAAAGATACAGTAGAATACACTGTATTGTGGGATTTGGCCTAATAGATTCATGTTCTATTTCCAAACAGATTGTATCATAGGAAATATTAAAACTGCAGTAACGTTGGTAATCATGCACACACTGTGTTCAAGCACCTAAAACAATAACTGACACATCGAAAACACTGAATGTGTGTCTTTGTTGAATTTACGAGTAATTTCTCTTTAAAGGCCACCCTAAAAAACAGTAAAATGAAGAAAGACTGTCTCAATGCTCAAACTAAAAATATCTATCCACTATACTACTAGTGTCAACCCTACGAAAAATAAAAAGATAAAAGGAATCCTTCCTTAGCATGATGATGGAAATTACTCCATACTGTCTCCTGGAGACCGGGAGACACCCGACTGTGTAGGCTCATCCCCACTGGAGTCACCCATTTCGGTTTTTCCAGGGGAACAGTACTTTCCACACATTATTCTACACCGAGGCTTGTCTGAATTTCTGTCTGAGTTGGTAGTGAATTGGCTTTCTCTTCTCAGAGTGTCATTTTCATTCTCTTCCACATAAATAAACCCCTGTGTTTATGAGAGACACGGCCTCCACACACCACACAGGCACACACACCCTTGTGGCTTTCAGTATCTGTCACGTTTGAGCGAACATATAAAATGTCCTCCTGCCCCAAATGAAAATAATTCCATGTGGACTCTACCCACAGAGCCTGGGCTAACCAATGAAACACTGGTTGAGAGCAGACCCAGGGATCAGCAGCAGCATCTCCTGGGGAATTGGAAATGTAAGGTCTTGACTTCCCCACTCCCTTAGACAGAGTGAGTCAGTCTGTGAAGATAGGGACCAGGTGAACCTGATATAATCCATGTTTGGAAGCAACTGGTATCAAAAGGGGCTTTAGTTAGGAGTGGATTCCGAAAACCATTCCATTTGGTGAAATAGGAACCCTCAACCACATTTTAGGAACATTCGATAAATGTCAATATGATCATTTCTAGAGGAACGCACTGCTTCCTGGGAGCAGCTGGTAAGACACTTAATTCATAGAGTGAGCAGGGGATTCTCTGTCCCTTCAGTGATACCGTGAGGGCCCCAGGGATGCCTCCCTGCCTGCTTCCTTGCAGCAGGAGTGGCTCCTTTTTCTGCTCTATTCAGTGCGCACGACCATCGTCAGCTTGTAGTGTTCAGGTATTATCTGCATATCCATCCTTTTCCTGCTTCCCCCAGGAGCTCAGCAAGCACCTGCTGTGGGTCCATAGCTGCTCTCTTAAAACAGACCAAGTAGATTGCATGGCAGTTAAGAAAAATTCTCCTAATTTTCACTCTGCTGATAATTATATCATTTCAGAAAGGCCAGCTTGCTCAGCCTATGTTTTCATTTTTTCTTATTTTAAATATTAGGTGATAATTCAGGAAATAGAAAGTAAGATCAGCAGCATTACAGGACTGGAAGAAGAAGCTCAATCTTTCGCCCAGTTTATTACCACTGGAGAATCTGCTCGAATCAAAGCCAAGTTGACACAGATAAGGAGGTACTGGGAGGAGCTCCGAGAGCATGCGCAGTGTCTGCAAAGCACGGTCCTAGGACACCTGTCTCAGCAGCAGACGTTTGAAGACAATCTCAGTAAGGTAAGAAGAGATCCATGCGTGCTAAAGTTACCTACTTCCCATTGCATTATAGCAAGATGCAATGAAGCATCCAGAAATAAATAAGGAAAAGACAGTGGACCAATCATCTACCAAGATGTCCAAGATGACTAAGCTTGTTAGTACTTCTAAGGTACCATTTTTGAAGGAATATAAAAATGTCATTGGACCTTGTGCCCAGATAAGCATTAATACTTAGTTGTATTCCATTCAAATAATGGGCCACGCTGCTTTTGTGTTTTTAAATATACACTTCTATTTTCTCGTCACATTAGAAGTATCTAAAAAGTGGCATTCTATTTTCCCAATAGCCTCTGGTGCCTTGATGTATTTTTTCCCACTGTCATTTTTGCATTTCACCAATGTTTTAGATCCAGCAGTCTGTGTGTGAATTTGAAGATAAACTTGCTGATCCAATTAAAATATGTTCTTCAGCTACAGAAACCTACAAGGTTCTCCAAGAACATATGGTAAGAATCTGCTTCAACATCACTGCTTATTTATCAACTTAGAAATTTGATAAATCCTGCTGGAAAAGAGAACATAGTAAATATTTTTATGAGAAAGGAGATTTTGATGCTACTTGAGGAATTATAGAGATCAAGCATATTCACTTAATAGCCTTCAAGATATATTGATAATTATGCAAAAAAGTCACCATTAAGCACACCTGCAAAAGGAGTATCATTTAAAAAACATGTCTTTCTCCATGAGGACATATAACATTTTTGAATTATAGCTTCAAAAATCCCTGTTATTTGTTGCCACTGTTATAAAAATTACGTGTGCAGATAAAAACATATACATAGGTGATTTCAGATTTTAACCCACCATACCCAGACATGCAAAGAATATATTCTCATTGACCTTTTTTCAGTGACCAGCTTTTGAAGTTTGGTCCCTGAAATTTGTTCACTCTAAGATGTTTCCCAAAGTAACCAGCAGTTGCTTTTGGTAGACTGTAGGGGAAGGCACCAAGGTGGGGAGAATCCTGCACAAAGAAACATTAAAAATAATTATTTTAATGAATCAAAGTATATATCATCCCTACTACACATGCATGTGTGTATGCCTGTTCATGTAGAATAAAGGGGACCCAGAGCTAGAGAGCAAACACTTGACAGAGACACATCTGGAGAGGAGAGTGGCATTTATATTGTGTGACTATTAATGATTAGAATGTATTTTGGGTTACATCTGTAATTTTTTTAAAGATTTATGTATTTAGGCATACAAGAGCTGGGGTACAGGCCAGAGGTGCGGGGTGGGGGGGGTGAGAAGATTCACTAGAGACAGAGTTGGGAGCAGAACAGGCGGATTGCCTAAAATACACTGCTGAGGGGCACATCGGGAGACAGGAGAGGTCTGCTGTACCATCTCCCTGCAGGAGATCGAACTCTTGTCACAGTGGCTGGCCATAGCTTGATAGCCCTGAGACTTTAACCCCTGCACCACTGGGGAGGCCCCATGGGTCTTGTATTTGATGAAATGCTTTTGCTGCGCCTGGTTTGCTCTCTAGGATCTCTGTCAGGCTCTGGAGTCGCTGGCCAGCACGGTGGTGTCTTTCTCAGCCAGCGCCCGGAAGGTGGCCAGCAGGGGCTTTTCAGTGCAGGAGGCTGCGGCCCTGCAGCAGAGATACGAAGGGCTGCTGATTCAGGCCAAGCAGCGGCAGACGGCGCTGGAGCAGCTGCTGACCCACTGGCAGAGGTGAGCGGGCTCCCTTCTGGCACCACAGCTGGGTCTCATAGCCCCTCAGCACTAGCTGTTCTTTCAAGGATGGGAAACAGTCAGCCCCGACATAAAACGGGTCAGCCCAGGTGTCTGATATGGGATGATCTTGATCCTCATTATTCCATGAAGGTGCCGGAGAGCAGAGAAGATGTGTGTGGATCTTTCCATATCGCACAGACACAAACACATGCAGACACATACATGGAATTGGAAGGATGCTGTTTTTTGTACCTTCTCATCAAGGAATAGGACAAGCAACGCTGTATTATTTGTGATGATTAGTGTTAGTCCTTCCAACTTTAGAAAGGTTTAGTTTTCTAGCATGATCATTCGATGCACTTGTTCTTACTTCTGCTTTCTTTAGACTCGAAAAAGAACTGTCGACCTTTTTGACCTGGTTAGAGCGGTGTGAAGCTATAGCCACTTCCCCAGAAATGGACATTTCTGCCGACAGGGTCAAAGTGGAGAGTGAACTTCAGTTAACACAGGCAAGTTCGAGGACGTGGGAGGAACAAAAATGGCATCCTCTCATGTGGCTGCTTTAGAAAAGCATGAACAAGATCAAAACCCTATATCCAACCGAACTCACTTTGGTTGTATGACCCCCAGAAGAAGAGCAATCCTCATCTAAAAGTTACAGTAATGAGGAACTTTATGCTGATCTACTTCCATGATGCATTAGAAAGTCCTGTAATATAATGTCTAACATTTGAACACTTGTGATCTTTCAGGGGAATTGAGGGAGGTCTATGCAGAAATGTAGATGAAGCAAGGATGATTATCAGTTAGTGCTTTTTGAAGCTGGGTAAAAGGTATATTCTTTCTTCTTTTGTATTCATATGACTTTGAGAAATGAAATTTTTTCTTTAATCCCCTCATATTGTGCTTTTGTCAATATCTCTGTTTAGTTCTACTACTGTTTATATGTATTTGCTGCTCCCTCATATTTAATACTGTTATGTCTTCTAATTGTCTTAGGCCCTTAATCATAATTTAATATCCATCTCCATCTGTTATTACTTTGTTTTAATCGGAAATCTATTTTATCTGAGATAAATGTAGGTGTTCCTGACTTTTATTGATTATCATTTGCTTGTAGGATTGTCTTCCAGCCTTTAAATCTGTGTCTGTGCTTGCCTTTGGTGGTAGGATGAGTTTTTTGTAGAAAGCACAAGGTTGGACTTTGTTTTCAAATCCATTCTGTCACTCTGTACCTTTTAGTTGATGAATTCAAGCCATTTTAATTTAATTTTTCAGACAAAGTGCTCATTGCTATTTTGGTATTTGTGTTTTTTTAAAAGAGAATTAGTGTGGCTTTGCACATCTTTTACATTTTGCTTAGGTTCCATTTTTACTGTCTTGAGTGTTAATGCTCTTGATTTTCACTTGAAATTTAATGCTGAAGTTTGTGTTAATGACTTATGCTTGTGGCTCACTGGACAGTTTAGTTTCCAACTTGTTCTGCTGGGCCACGTTTTCGCTTTCTTCTTCCTCCATGTTCTATCATATAGCTGTCTGTTACCTCTAGATTTCTTTTGCTCTTGATTTATAGTAGCCCCTTTATTACTTTGTTCAAATCAGACTTGGTGCTGATATAGTCTTTTAATTTTTGTTTTTCAGTGAAACTTCTGACCCTTCGTGCTATCTTGAGTAACAGTTCAGCAGGATAGAGTCTTCTAGTTTAGGAATATTTTTCTTTGAGCATTTTAAATATTTCCTGCCATTTCCATACTTGCCAGTAAAGTTTCCACTGAAAAGTTAGCAGACAGTCTAGTAGGAGTTCCTTTATAGGGTATTCTTCTTTCTCTTTGTACTTTTTAGTATTCCTTCTTTGTTGTTTGCTTTCAGCAACTTAATTATAACGTGTCTTGGAGCATGTTGGTCTGGTATTATTTTCTTTGAAACTCTTTGGATTAGGATGTCTGGTTTGTTTCCTGGATTGAAGTCATTCTTAGCAATTATTTCTTTAAATAAATTTTCAGTCTTTTTCCCTCTCATCACCTTCTATTACCCCCATGATATGGATATTATTGCTCTTTAACTTATCCCAAAGTGCTCTTATAGGTTTGCATTTTGTGCTTATTATTTTTTCTCTCTATGTTGTTTACTTTGTGTGACCTCTGACACTCTGCATTCCAGCTTTCTGACTCTCCCCATTACTTGCATGTGTCTGCTGTTGAGTCACTACATTCTGCATTTTAATTATAGAATAGTACTTTTTAGATCTATTAATTCTATTTGTCGCAGTCTCATATTTTCTCTGTCTTTACTCTGTTCCTGTTTTTTATCATTGTTTTTCATATTTCCACAACATGATTACAACTGCTTCCTTAAACCTCAGCATGTAGATTCTACCATTCTGCTGGACTAAGATTTCTCTTGTGTTTTTTGCCCCAATATTTGTGATACAGTCTTCTGTCACTTTATTTTTAGTTTTTTATGGGTTGTAATAGGGAACTTCATTTTATTGTCTTGATATATTGACTTTATACCCACCTACAAGAAACTATATATCAGCCTAGGTTGTGTTTTTTTTTTTTTTAATCCAAGATTTGTAGGTCTGTTCTTTACAGACCATTGCCTCTGCACCTGTTCAGATGACTCGGGCTCTGGTGCCAGTAAGAAGTGATAGGTAGGTAGGAGCTGGAGCTGTAGGGCACCAAAATTTCACCTGTAGAGAGCATTAAGTGTTCATGCTTCCCACAGTGCTGTGGGTACGTGTGTTGTGCAGGGGATCCACAGTGACCCCTCTAGTAAACCAACCCCTCAACCAAAACATCCTGAGCAATGTGGGGTGAGTCTCCACCTCTGAGCTATGGTTGAGAAATAGATGTAGTGGTTCTCGTAGCATTCTATTGAGATAGTGTCATAAGCTGGGAGTTGTTTTCTTTGCCTGTGAGTGCAGAGTGACACCGGGGTGCCTGCTCTTGCTGTTAATATCCACGTGCTTACAAACCCTGCTTGGTGAGAGCAGTCAGTTGTCTCCATTTTGGTCTTGGTTGAGAATAAGGGAGTATTTCCCACATCACAGTCCTAGGCTGTCTATAATAGCCTCTTCTGCAAGGAGACACAGGTCATCTGGTCTGACTCCCCTGAGAGGTCAGTCTCCAGCTGTTCTCATTTGGGAGCCACAGGTTTGAGCCTATGTTCACCATTCTGCATTCCTGCAGTTCTCCTGTGTGTATCCTCTGTTCTATGTACCTCCTTCTCCAGAGGAGAAGACCCCAGATTTAAAGCTCTTAAAGTGGCATGGGTCCTTGAGTCAACACAGAAGAGGGATTCCAGGCAGCGGTTGTACCCCCATTTTGTGATTGTTTGTACTGACCCAGTCTCCCTGCAAACGTAGTTCACATACATATGCCATCCACATGCCATCCCTTTTGATGTATAAAAAATTCACATTGTCTTTGTGAATTACAAAGACGTTGTATATATGGTTGTTGGTTGTATATATGTGGAAAAGGTGAGCCCAGCATCTTCAGCTTGCTGTCATCTTGTTAGACAATTCCACAACTTGTTTTTAACGGAGAAGAGGAATTCAATATAGAAAGATGTCCCAGTGATGAGTATTTTCAAGAAAGAAAAAATAAATGAATGATATAAATACCGACGATAGGAAGACAAAGAAAACTGGCTTGTTGCATCCCTGAAGAAGCCATCCTTGAAGAAGAAGACCTAAAAAAATCTTCAAGTGTTATTAAAACTATAGATGATGTTAATGTTTTCCGGAGATGCTAACTTTCTTTAAGTGGTGCTGTCTGTGCCAGAAAATTCAACAGGCAAAGTTGATTCTCAAAAAAGATTTATTATATAACATTTTTATACCCAAATTTTCCCATCATCTTTTATAAAATGTTTAAGAAAGTGCAGGGTTCGACTACTTTTCATGTTTGTTTCTCTAAAATTTCCATCAGAGAGTTTCTGCTGCATCTGAACCACTACCCCAAATTCAGATTTTCTCCTTCTTTGACTTTGAGGGTTTCCTTCACTCCTGGATCACCTGCCTTTCTAGATTATGAAACACTGCTCTGCATTAAATTCCAGAAAATTTCTGCTCAGAAATCTCCAGAGACTGTTTTCTTCCCTGAGGATACATGGCAATAATCAATCTTCTTATGAATCCATTTGAGGTCTTCTAAAAGAGGACATTGCATATCCTTTTCTTAAAAATGACACAGGCTCTCTGTATTTCTACATGTGTCTGCATGGAAATAAGTGCCATGTAAGTGACAGAACAGAGCGGGGTGCAGGCTTCTGTCACACCCACATCCTGGCGCTGTGTCAGCCAGGATTCTCCACTGTGGTCTGAACAGACCTTGGATCTTCCCACCTCCTGGCCCATGTTTCTTCTCTCTGTTGTCCTACTTAGCATGTGTCCCAAGACTGCCTTGTGATCTTTCCTGTCACTCCAGGCTGTGTTCTCCTTCCTTTGATACCTCAGCAAATTTGTTTGCATCACACATGCGGCATCGCTAAGAGAAAACATCTGATCTGCATCTACCATCTCCATGCTGCTACTGTCATCCCATGTGATGCCACGTTTTGTTGGGTGCTATCTAGCTGTGTTTCTCTTTGACCTCTCATTAGGTCAGAACCACAACTTTTATGCATCACCTACAGCACCTAAAAGAGTCATTGCATGATTAAAATAAGGAGTGCTGTTGCATGAAAATAAAATAAAGGGCCCCTTCCATCCCAGTCTGGCCTAACACCATCTTTAAGGAGAGGGGGAGCCCTGTTCCCAGACCCTAGAAACGCGTCTGGTATTGTTAGGTGTGCCTTGTTTCCCTGTGGCAACAGTTCTTTGATTCTCCGCCTACTCAGTTTCTTCATCCTAAAAGAAATTCTCCCACTTCTAATTTTGCCTAGCTTCATATAACTCAGTCTCCAAAACTAGTTCAGCTTTCAGTATTCTTTTTTAAGTTGCATTAGAAATGGGTAAGTGGACCCATTTCTAAACCAAGAAATAAAAACTCTCTTTAGTCTGGTGCCAGTGACCTCCATTTTACACAAGATTGCAAATCCTCTGGACAACAACCACGCTGTTGCATGTTGTCCCGGAATGCCAAATTGTGGTGAGGTCTGCAATACATTCTGTTTTGCTCAGGCGCTGCAAAATGAAGTTGTATCCCAGGCTTCACTCTACAGCAACCTTTTGCAGTGGAAGGAATCGCTATTTTCAATCGCCTCCAAAGATGATGTGAAAATGATGAAGCTACATTTGGAACAATTAGATGAGAGATGGAGAGATTTGCCACAGATAATTAGCAAAAGGTTGGTTTTTTTTTTAAAAAAGCTTCTAACATTGTGCATTTTTAAAATGGGAGGCCTACAAATTAAGAAACAATAGTTTTGTTTGCTTTTCTTTAAACCAGCTCCATTAGGGCATGGTAATAGAAAGGAAGAAAATACTTTATTTGTCATCTAAAAAGTCAAAGTGCTGAAAATTATCATTCCTGATGAACTTCAATTAAAAATTTCAGTCTCATAATCAGAACAAACGATCAAATTAATTGAAATATATTGAAGCTAATAGCATTGCTATATTTGTATTGATCATTGCCCAAGCTGTTTTGTACAGGAGAAACATGACAATTAAAAATTTCCCTCACATCTCACACACATACACACACACGTCTCATATGACATATATGCATGTATGTTCCATTTTATCCTAATTTACATCTTTGTGGGAAACAATGGAAACTGCTATTATATTAAATGGAGACAAAATAAATTATATCTTAATTAACTAGATGATTGCCAACTGCCCTTTATACCTTTTTTTAAAGATTTATTTTTATTTTTTTTTAAAGATTTATTTAATTTTTAAAGATTTATTTTTATTTATCTATGCATACAAGAGCTGGGGCACAGGCCAGAGGTGCCGGGGTGGTGTTAAGAGGACTCACCAAGACAGAGTGGGGAACAGAACAGGCAGATTGATGGAAGCACACTGCTGAGGGGAGCAGTGGGTGAGACAGGAGAGGTCTGCTGCGCCATGTGGGTTGCTCCCTGGCCAGCTAGGGAATGAACCGATGCTGCAGAGGCTGCTGACCGCCTCACAGTACGGTCCTCAACCCCTTGCGCCACCAAGGAGGGCCTGATCACTTTTTAAATTCATTCATTCATTCATTCATTCAATTATTTGTGAGCAATTATTTATGAGCTTCTACAATGAATAGAGCACTCTTCTATGTTCCTGGGATACAGAGTTCCTGAATCTACTTTGATGGAGTTGGTATTTGTTCCTTTGCTTATTCATTCAGTTATTCACTCAATCAGCAAATATTTATTGGGTGTCTGCTGAGTACCAGACACCATATTAAACACTGGAGGCATAAAAATAAATAACATGTGCCTTCAAGTATCTCACGAATCAGCACAGATATAACATGGAAACCAAATTTGTGAGCTCAGAATTTTACGAAAACAGAAGAGGGATATTTGAATGAGTCCAGGGAAGGTTTACAGAAAGATTTGATGCCAACCCTTTAAAGATGAGCAATTTTCTATAAAATAGACCAGAATCTGCCTTCTGCTTAGCTCATGGAGGGAAAGTAAAGGACTTTTAGTGATATAATGTGTGGAGACATTCAAAATATAATTTATGCATGAAAAGATGATGTGTCAAAGATTTTGTAAAGATTGAAACATGAAGGTCCATTTAAGAGGTTGAAATTAAAATATGAACCATTAAAATGAATATTAATATTTTATTAAGTTGTTTTTCTTAATGCCAGTTTGGGTTCTGTCTTCAGATCATCAATCACGAATCATACTGATTCATTTTTTGCACAAGCAATGCCGCCACCCCACTTGCCTGAGGTTAAAAGGTCAGGAATGCCTCCTCTTTCTTGGTGGGACATTTTAACTTTAGCACCTTTCTCGTCATAGGATTCATTTTCTTCAGTCTGTGGTGGCTGAACACCAGCAATTTGATGAGCTGCTGCTTTCTTTTTCTGTCTGGATTAAGCTGTTTCTCAGTGAGCTGCAGACGACGTCTGAGATAAACGTGGTGGACCCTCACGCCGCTCTTGCTCGGCACAAGGTAAAGCATGTTTTAAGGTTGAAGTAGAATTTGTTCATAAAAGAGCTCTTGATTCCAAAGGGATGCAACATTAAAGAAAACCTCAACAGCAGTTGAATTGGATATTTGTATGTAAATGTTTTAATAATGGAGCATATGGAGCCGGGCTGTGTGTTCTGCAGATGAATTAAGCAAAAGTAAGCAGTCACCTTCAGACACTGTTTCTTCAAAGTGGAACAACTGACTTTTCAGGTGAAGTGATGAGAACTTTCAATTTTAAGCTTTCCAGTTTATTTTGTTTCAACATTGAAAACTCATGCTGAAGTCCAATGCTGTAATGACAGCAGTCTTTCTGATTATTGTTTGCCTTGGAAGTTCTTTTCAAATCATAATTATTTTCCTTTTTTATAAATAAGATACAATATTTAGGGCCTCCGCTGGTGGCGCAGGAGGTTGAGCGCAGCGCTGTGAAGCTGTCCGCAGCTGCTGCAGCACGAGTTCGATCCCAGCCAGCCAGGGAGAGACCCACATGGCGTGGCAGACCTCTCCTGTCTCCCCGCTGCTCCCCTCAGCAGTGTGTTTCATCAGTCTGCCTGTTCTGCTCCCTGCTCTCTCTGGTGAATCCTCTCACCCTCCCATGAATCTGGCCTGTACCCCGGCTCTTGCATAAATAAATAAATAAATCTTCAAAAAAAAAAGATACAATATCTATCCTGTCATTTAAAAAAAAACTTAAAACCCAGAAATTGATCATCAAGTATTGGGATAGTTGAAGATATGAGGAAGGAAAGGTTCTTTTCAGGCTGATTGAATAATCAAATTAATATCATGCACATTTGTAGGAAGGTAAAAACAAATTTGCATACACATGGAGAACCCACCTAGATGTGGATTTCAAAGTCTATGGAGAAAAGTGAGGGTGCATGTCCTGAGCTAAGGGATGGCCCAGGGTTCTTGGGCTTCAGAGAGTGAGAAGGGACATTTACATGACAAGGAGGGGCTGACTCCTACAAGTCCAGATGCTCTGTAGTTAAGTGTTTCCCCTGCCATGCAGATAGGTTTCCCCAAGGGACAGTTTATTTCTGGCGAAAGCCCTAATTCTGGGTAACAGCCCCAATTTTTATTCTTCTATCAATAGTATTTTGGGGTTTTTTGCATAGAAGAATTGGGGTGTGGGCCAGAGATACAGGGGTGAGAGGATTCACCAGAGGCAGAGTGGGGAGCAGAACAGGCAGACTGACTGAAATACACTGCTGAGGGGAGCAGTGGGCAAGAGAGGAGAGGTCTGCTGTGCCCTGTGGGTCAGCTCTCTGGCTGGGGATTGAGACTTAACCCGTAAGCCACCAGGGAGGCCCCTGTCAATGATTTTTTTTTTAACAGAGCGGTAAAAGTTTCTTGTGAGACTGCAGGACTTCAACTGGCTTCAGTTCAGAATAATCCACATGTCACAGAGATATATTTTGGGAAGGCATGTTCTGAACATTTTGGGGAGTCCTGTCCTTCAGAGAAATCTGCATAAGAGGCTGAGAACAACATTTAGAGATAAAACATTGAACTTTCATTGTAAGCTCACCAGATGCTAGACTAACTCTTTGGATTTAGCCAAAGAGATATTGTTATAGGGCAGGGAGAGGGGCAGCCCAAACCCCCGCAAACCTGTTTATTTTAAATGGGTTCTGCCATCCACCGCATCAACACAAAACATAGGAGACTTTAATGGGAAGGAACTTTAATAAAACTAGGAAACAATACAGGTAAGGCAAAGTCTAGTTTCTAAATGAAGCACCCAAAGTGACCCGTCCCCTCGTGGGTAAAACTCCATCCAAATGGGATTGGCCCAGAACAAGGTCCCAAAGCCTGCCCCAATTCTAAAGCATCTTTTAGTGGGGACCCACAGAAAAGGGTCAGAAACAACCAGACAAGCCCCGAAGGAAAAGAGCAAAATCAACATTAAGATAAAATCTGCCATTGTCACCTCCCCACGGGTCTCCCCCACATCTGTGTCACCCCGTCCACGACCAAAAGACAAGCGCAGCTTCTTCATGTGTCTCTAGGCTCCATGCGCCTCCTCCAGGTCTCCTGGCTCCATCCTGCCTCCTTCCTCAGTCTCTTCTGCAGCTTCTCCTCTTCCTGCTCAGCTCCACCCTCCCTTGGGTGGGGCAGGGAAACTCCCCCTTTCCTGGGGACCCCCCAATTACAATATGACTTTCTTCGACTTAATGACCTGAGACAGTTTGACAGTTGAGCTAGATACTTGTTATCAAACTGGCCAGGCGCTTTTAAAAAATTTGGTATCTCAAATTTGCAAATATTCTAACATGCTATAAAAAGCCCTCTCAAGTTTATTAGTCATGCCTAGAAGGAGCTGAAGGTCATGGCCATCAAGATTGAGATCTGCAGTACTTTCTCTTTATTAGGAACCCTGATGAGATTGTTGTGTAACAGGGTGGTCCCCAGGAAAGGGGGAGGTTCCCTGCCCCACCCAAGGGAGGGTGGAGCTGAGCAGGAAGAGGAGAAGCAGAAGAGACTGAGGAAGGAAGGAAGCAGGATGGAGCCAGGAGACCTGGAGGAGGCACATGGAGCCTAGAGACACGTAAAGAAACTGCGCTTGTCTTTTGGTCGTGGACTGGGTGACACAGATGTGGGTGAGACCTGTGGGGAGGTGACAATGGCAGCTTTTATCTTGATGTTGATTTTGCTCTTTTCCTTCCGGGCTTGTCCGGTTGTTTGTGACCCTTTTCTGTGGGTCCCCACTGGAAGATGCTTTAGACTTGTAGCAGGCTTTGGGGCCTTGCTCTGGGCCGATCCCATATGGATGGACTTTCACCCACGAGGGGACGGGTAACTTTGGGTGCTTCATTTAGAAACTAGACTCTTTGCCTTACCTGTATTGTTCCCTAGTTTTATTAAAGATCCTTCCCATTAGTCTCATGTGTTTTGTGTTGATGCGGCGGATGGCAGAACCCATTTAGTATAGGCAGGTTTGCGGGGTTTGGGCTGCCCCTCTCCCTGTCCTATAACAGATGGACTTTAAGTTTCCTTCACCACAGTCTTACCTGGGTAATCTACTTTTCTTTAAAGACCAGGCTACTAAATCTCGTGCAGATTTTCATTTTCCTTCCCCAATATCTCTGAAGAGAGACTAATGTCCCTCTATTCTCATCCTGATTCCCTACAAGCTCTATAAAACTCAGCCCATTTATAAATGTTTATGTGTACATATATACATATTTACAGTATGCCATATATGTTACGGTTAGATGTATATGTTATAGCTCTAGTGTGTCTATATAGATGCTAAATTAGAAGAAGTTCAAAATTTGGATGATCTCAGAAGATAGATACCTATACTTATGTATATATAGGTCTGTAAAATTTCCTTGAATTATTTCTGTTCACAGAGAAATCCCTTTCCATGTAAAGAGTGAGTTCCAAATCAGAATTGTGTTTTCTGTGTAATATATCAATAAGTAAAACAGAACATTTTTAGAAGGTTAAACACTACGCCATTTGTGGGTCTACTACTCCTAAGCGGCCTGTTTGGCCATCATTTTGTTACCTACAGTTCTCAATCCTAAGCAAGGTCAAAATGACCCCTTCATTTAGGTACAAGAGCCCAACCCTGCAAGGTGCCCTTCAAATCAAACAAGAGCGCAAAGCTGGATCATGATGGGAAGGCTAGGCATCTTGAGGTATGACAGGGAACACCTCGGGGGCTGATGACAGATGCATAACAAAGGACCCCAGAAGTTGATCAGTCCAATGCCTTGTTGATAAGATTAAAACCATGGCTGGGGAATTAGGGTTTGATCTCAATGACAATACTGAGTCATCAACCAGATCAGATGTGCCTGGAGAGCAGACTCACAGTCCCTGATCTTCTACATTCTTCCCCTTTTCTTTAATCTCCTTCTCCTTACTCTCCTTCCCCTTTTCTTTTGCTCCTTCCCCTTACAGTCAATGCTGTATATCAATAAAAAGGCCAGGATCTTGCTCTGAGGCAGCATCCTGCATTATGTAGCCTGCTCTACAACTCTTGTTTCTTTATCATTGTGGTGTTGCCCGATGCATCAGCCATTCATTACCTTTACAATACACTTCACATCGCTAATCTTGCATGTACCTGTGTCATACACCCTAGTGTGTCTGAAGAATCAGCACCTCGCTCTTCCCTTCCAGGACCATGCAACACAGGTGGAAAGCAAGAAGGGAGACCTGCAGAGTCTCCAGGGTCACCTGGCAAAGCTGTGCTCTCTGGGCCGGGCAGAGGACCTGCATCTGCTGCAGGGCAAGGCGGAGGACTGCTTCCAGCTGTTTGAGGAGGCCAGTCAGGTCGTGGAGCGGCGGAGGCTGGCCCTGTCCCAGCTGACCGAATTTCTGCAGAGCCATGCTTCACTGTCAGCAGTGCTGCAACGCCTGAAGCAAACGGTGGACGCAACCAACAGCATGAATAAGAAACAGTCTGCCATGTTAGAAAAAGAACTGGATGATGCTATTCAAGAAGTTAAAAGACTGGAAACTACAGCCATCAGTCTGGATGGCGTTCTCTCCAAAGCTCAATACCATCTTAAGAGTGGGAGTTCTGAGCAAAGGACTTCCTGCAGAAACACAGCTGATCATCTCTGTGTGGAATTAGAGAAGATCCAGAACCTTCTGGGAACCAAGCAAAGTGAGGCAGATGCCCTGGCTATGTTGAAAAAAGCTTTTCAAGAGCAGAAAGAGGAGTTGCTGAAGGGCATTGAGGACATTGAAGAAAGGGCTGACAAAGAGCGACTTAAGGAGCCCACACGCCAGGCTCTTCAACAGAGGTAACAGGCCACCGCGCTGAAGCCGGTTTTCTTGTTCAGTTATTTACTTTTTGCTCTGAAATTAATGGTTGTGCAAAACCTTCAAATTACTGTATTTAATAACTTCTTTTTTAAACAAACTATTTTTTGAGGATAAAATTAACGACTAACAGGGCATTTAAGAAATAATAAAATTTCTCTGGATTTTCCTTCAGCATTTTCTTAGGGGTGAAGGCACTCTGTGACCTTACAGTCGAGGGTATATTATCTATTTTAAGTGACAGGAGACAAATGAGGACAGAAAGAGTGAGAGTGACTCAATTATTTTGTAGTTCTAGTGGTAAAAATATGAGGGAACTCCTTTCTGGAAACTATTAGCCCCTCAGAAAAGACAGAGCAAGCTCCTAAGTTGAGAGCAAGTGGCAGGATGTTGGTGGAGATAAAACAGGAAGAAAGAGTTCTCTGCAAGGAAGGAAATGAATTCTTCTGGAGCTTAGCAAGGTGATAAGCTGCCATTTGAGATTTATATTCATTCACGTAAAGTAAAACTGGATCAACTTGGTGAAAAGTTTCTCCCCAATGCCTTTTTTTTTTAAGATTTATTTACTTATATACAAGAACTGGGGTACAGGTCAGAGGCGTGTGTGTGGGGGGGGTGTGTGTGAGAGGATTCACCAGAGACAATGGGGAGCACAACAGGCAGACTGACTGAAATACCTGCCAAGGGGAGCAGCAGGGGAGACAGTGTGGTTATCACATTGGCCGGCCGGGAATCGAACCTGCACTGCATAGGCTGTGACAGCTTCACAGCGCTGCACTTAATCCACTGCGCCACAGGGGAGGCCCTCCCCAATTACTTTTAACTGTTGCATAGAGATGTGAAGGTAGAAAAGGGCATGGTAGGCAAAACACAGACTGCGGAAAATGTGGCATTAAATTAAAGGATTTATGAAATAATAGCCATATTTCACTTCACTTACGATCTTGGACAAATCACCTCTCTTCTTATAAGGTGGGAATAATGATAATGTCACTTTGGGGAATTAAATTGAATAATTCATGTGTAGTCACCTTATGAACTCTATGGCACTGTATCAAAATGGAAGAATAAGGAAGAGTCAACTGCAACTTCTGTGTGGACTCATTTCTACCAGTGCTCAAATATTAATGCATTAGGGAAAAAACATAATCATTTTTACATGGTTATTTCAATAAACTAGGTAATTTAATATTTAAATTTTTTTTTTTTTTTTTTTTTTTTTTTTTTTGGTGGGACCCTCGCCGGCGGCCGGGGAACAAACTGGCGCTGCAGAGGCTGCGGGCAGCCTTGCAGCCCAGCGCTCAACCGCTGTGCCACCAGGGGAGGCCCTAAAATTTAATTTTTAAAAAATATCTTTGCTGCAGAGTTCACTAAAGCAAATTTTATTTTGAATGAAACAACTGTGGACTTAAATATTAGTTTACATGGATTAGTCTCATGGCACAAAAAGATTTCTTAAAATGACCTCAGTAAGTATTCACCTACTTTGCCTACGAGGTCAGCCTAAGTCTTCAAAGTCTTATATCATCAAAGCAAAATAAAAAAGAATATACACTTAATAGAAAGTTGAAGGTGAGTAGTGAGAATGACTAAATGTTTTCTGAGGTACAGTCTGAGTTTTGCAAAGTTAGCTTTAAAGGTATCTTTTTCAGTTGTACATCTGTTTAATTGCTGTGTTAAAAATGTCTGTGTGTGTGTGTGTGTGTTTTATGGAGGGGAAATATCGTTGCATTGTCTTTAATACATTAATAGCAAAATAACTTTTTCATTTGTAGGTTGCGAGTTTTCAATCAGTTAGAAGATGAATTGAATTCTCATGAGCATGAACTATGTTGGTTGAAAGACAAAGCTAAGCAAATTGCCCAAAAAGATGTAGCTTTTGCACCTGAAGTTGACAAAGAGATTAACCGCTTGCAGGTCACCTGGGATGATACCAAAACACTAATTCATGAGAAGTAAGTTAAATAAAAAAATCCATTTTTATTTCCAACTTTCTGCTTATTTTGTGACACGGGAACATTGCCCATTGATTTGTGTTGGCATGTTCCAGAGTTGACTGTCTCTTACCATCTTAGGTATTCTGTGCCTCTTTACTAACGTTAAAAATAGCCCTTCAGAACATTGTTGAAGTGGTGATCTTGAGTTAAGAATTACATGTGAATTTCAGTGCTGTTAAGAAGGAGCTGTCAATGACTACAAAGGGCTTCAGTGAGAGCCTTGCTCTTTGTTTTTAGTTTTGTTGTACTCGTTTGTAACTGAGAATTCACATACAGTAAATGCACCATTTTAATTGTAGACCCTGAACTGTATGAGTTACAGTTGTGTAACTCTTACAACAGTCAACTTTCCTTTTTAATTTTTTAAGTATAAATGCACTATAACATTACATAAGTTTCAGGTATGTATCATTAAAAATCATACATTAACTTGAACACGAAAATTCAGGTTCACACTAACAATTCGGTTTCATGCTAACAATCCCACCAGCTGAAATTCTCCTCAGATCTTTTCAGTCAATCCCTTTCCTCACACCAACCCTAAACCCCCAGTCCCTTTCACTCACCAGGCTATCTCCTGTCTCTATAGTTTTGTCTTCTTCAGACTAACAGGTAAATGGATTCTTTCCAGTTTGGGCAATTATACAGAGAGCAACTATAATCATCCATGTTAAATGTTTCTGTGTGTACATAAGTTTTTATTTTACTTGGGTAAATAGCTAAAAGTGAGGTCTTGGTTTGTATGGTAAGTGTGTGCTTTTAGTTTTATAAGAAATAACCAAAGTAGTTGTACTATTTTGCACTCACACTAGCTTTCTGTGAAAATTCCAGTTGCTCACTATCATTCCCAGAACTTGATGTTATCAAGTTTTTGTTGGCTTGTTTGAGATTATAATAGATGTGTAAAGATATCTTATCTTGTTTTTAATTTATATTTCCCTGATGAGTAATTATATGGAACATATTTTGATATTATTTGCTCTCTCTATCTCTTCTTTAATGAAGTACCTGTTCAAACTGGTCAGTTTTTTAAAATTGTTTGTTCTCTTATTACTGAGGTCTTTTTTATGTCAATATAATTTCAATAAAAAATCACAGCAGAATTTTTTATAGAAATTAGCAAACTGATTCTGAAATCCATATGTAAAGGCAAAAGACCTCAAAGAGTACAATTTTGAAAAAGAATTGGAGAATTCGCACCACCTGGATTCAGTGTTGTCTTGGCTAAAAAGTAAGCATAGAGACCAATGGAACAGTGTCCAGAAATAGACCCATATATAAATGTTCAAGGGATTTTCTCAAAAGTGCAAAGTCAGTGCACACTTTATGAAGTATAAATTGGTATATAATGTATAATTGGGAAAATTAAAAAACAAAAACGTGGTGATACCTACATAAGTCTGAATTGCCAGGAATATATGTTGCTTTTTTCTTGCCACTGAGGTCACAGATTGTGTTTTAGTAGGTGTGTTTATTCTTCATTCATAGAGATCGCTTTGGACATTAGAATTCATTTGGGTTGACGAGCACTCTTTTGACCTTTATAGGTGGAAATATGGGTTTGTTTTGATTCTAGCATCCATCTATTTATTTTATGTAGTTACAGTTCAGGTCAAATCATAGCGAACTCCTGATGGCAAATAATATATGTTCTTTAATCATTACAGCCAGGGTCAGTGCTGTGGACTTATTGACTTAATGAGAGAATATCAAAACTTGAAGTCAGCTGTATCTAAAGTCCTAGAAAATGCCAGCAATGTGGTTGTAACCAGAACTGCTATAAAAGATCAGGAGGATCTTAAATGGGCTCTATCCAAGGTAAAAATTCAAAATGCATTATTTTAATAGACTGCTTCAGTAGACCTGTTTTCTACTACTCATATATTCTCTACACTACTCTTGTCAGTACAGTTAGATATAGATAATTCATACTGATGAACTCAACTTTTTTTCTAGAAATACTGATCTTAGGATTCCAGCCATTTGAGAAAGTTATGTTTTATCTATACCCACATAGTTCATCAATAATAGTAGTTTCTACGTAAGGTCAATCCAGAACTAAATTTCCTAGAAGCAAATAATTTTTTATGCTCTTGACTTAACAGTGATTATTTTATTAACTAAGGAAACATTTATGTCCACAGCATGAAGCTGCCAAGAACGAGATGTACAATAAACAGAACGAACTTGATAACTTTACCAGTAAAGGAAAGCATTTGCTATCTGAGCTGAAAAAAATCCACAGTGGTGATTTCCTCCTGGTGAAAACAGACATGGAAAGCACCATGGACAAGTGGTTGGATGTAAGACAGGTGGTTGGATTCCATGGGAGCCTATGAACTGTTTAAATATTTAAATTTCTCAATCATATTTTTTGGGCCAAGTATTATTTTGAGATGTGAATTCCATTTTTAACTGAATTAGTTTTAATGCAAAATTATATTCTCAAGAAAAATAGTGTTCACATACAGTTTAGAAATAGGAAAAAGATAATTTGTGTTCTTGTTAAAAACTTATTGGCAGGGTTTCTAGAATTTCACATGGGAGTTTCAATCATAAATTGAAAAACTAAGTATTTTTCCTCTGCAGTTATGGATAAAATTGGAATAATTTTTAAACATCCTATGGAATATTAAACCATAACAATGTATAATAATTGGAAGAAATAAGGTTATAATTTTTCATAGAAAAAGTGGACTTGTAGTTTACATCTTAAGTTTTTGTTCTTATTCTATCTATGTAGTGTTGTCAGCATAGAACAAACCATCTTAGAACAAACCATAGAAAAATCCAAACCACCATAGAACAAATTTACATTGCATGTAAATTTCCAAAGAAATATATATATATTTTGCATTATTTTCCAACACAAAAATTCACTAATTCTATCCTCTCACCCCCATTATCAATACCTAGGTTCAGAAAGCTAACCAATAGAAGCCAAATTACAAGAGTTAGACATTGATATTTGTGTACCATCATCACATAATTACCTTTATAAAGGTTTTAAAGGGACATTCTTTTAAAAAGACATTCTTTTTATAGAGGAGTGTAAGCATTAATGCTTCACTTTAAACATGCAAAACTGGTTGCTTCCTGTGAAGCAACTTATTAACTTATTCTATGAATACATTGAAGTCTAATTAATGGCCTCTATTTTATATCTCAGCCTTAAAAATAAAAGTGCTTATTTGTAACTTTTTATCATAAATACAAGAGCACTTAAGGTGGAGCTCTATCCTCTAGAATTCAACCTTAGAGTAAATTGTGTCATAGGCGACTCCAATAGACCCTAATTTGCAAATAAAAATGGAAGATCTCAGAATTCAATCAACCCTCCCAATAACAGGCACAATTTATGTAATGGTTAACAATTCCTTGAGACTGGTGCACTAATTAGGGTCTATTGGAGTCGCCTATGACACAATTTACTCTAAGGTTGAATTCTAGAGGATAGAGCTAATTAACTTATAATAGTTTTTGTAAACTTTGTTTTTTAACTAGAATGTAATTTTCCGAATAAGAAAGGATTGACATTTTAGTCCCTTGGGAAGACAAGGAGCATCTCCAGGCCTGTTTATGTTTTCTGTCCCAGGTGTCAGAGAGACTTGAGGAAAACATGGATAGGCTGAGGGTAAGCCTGTCCATTTGGGAGGATGTACTTTCAAGTAAAGACGAGATAGAAGGATGGTCAAACAATTCTGTTCCACAGCTGACTGAAAGCATCAGCAACCTGGATAATAGCCTGAGAGCAGAAAAATTTCTTAAAGAATTCGAGGTAAGTTGACCATACCTACAAATGTGAGCTTGTGTTGTGTCATTGATGAGAATATGAAAAATAAATGAAAAAAAAATCCGTTTTAGGGCCTCCCCGGTGGCACAGAGGGTTGAGCACAGCGCTGTGAAGCTGTCTGCAGCCTCTGCAGCGTGGGTTCGATTCCCAGCTAGCCAGGGAGAAACCCACATGGCAGAGCAGACCTCTCTTGTCTCGCCCGCTGCTCCCCTCAGCAGTGCTTTAGGTCTGTCTGCCTGTTCTGCTCCCCGCTCTGTCTCTGGTGAATCCTCTCACCCTCCTGCGCCTCTGGCCTGAAACCCAGCTATTGCATAAATAATAAAAAGAAATTCTTTAAAAAAAAAATCCGTTTTCTAAAGTTCATTCTTCCTTTGGGAGACACGTGTGTGCTATGAAACTCGTAATCTTTAGCTACTTGATTGAAAAGGCCATAAATAGCTTAAGAATAAGAGGTGGGTTTTATATTTTGTATTTTTTTAAAGATTTATTTATGCACATAAGAGCTGGGTTACAGGCCTGAGGTGTGGGGGGGGTGGTGTGAGAGGATTCACCAGAGACAGAGTGGGGAGCAGAACAGGCAGACTGACTGAAATACACTGCTGAGGGGAGCAGCGGGCGAGTCAGGAGAGGTCTGCTGTGCCATGTGGGTTCCTCCCCAGCTGGCCAGGAATCGAACTCGTGCTGCAGTGGCTGTGGATATCTTCATAGATTGCGTCTTAACCCTTGCACCACCAGGGAGGCCCCTATATTTTTTATTTTTATTACTTCCTAGAGCTCTTTATTTATGCGTAAAATCTATGCTTTTTTCCACTCTGAGAATGGAGTGGAAAAAGTTGCACCCTCTTATTTGAAGCCAATTGAAGATGTTTATAATTTAGTAAAGTTATAATTAACATTCAGTGTATTTTTTTCTGTATTCAAACAGAATGTAGACTGAGTATTGCCATGTGCTGAACACTTATACTAGGGGCTCAGATCGTCTACTTCTTTTTCAGAAATGAAAGAAAATTGGAGACTGGAAGGTCACTGGTTGTCACAGAAAGTGGCCTTTAAAAGTTCTAGGCCTCAATTTAGTTTAAACTTTTATTCCAACTTCTTGCATTCATATCTTCTTTCACTTACCAAATTCTCAATGAGTACTTAAAACATGCCAGGTGCTGTATTAGACACTGAGAATATAATAGTAAAATATACAAAGAATGGCTTTTTTTTTTCATGGCATTTAATACTGTTTGCATCAAAATATCTGTTCTGTGTGAAGTGTCAAGTAGTAGTTGGGCCATGAGGAGAAATGAAGCAAGGGCAGGGACAATACAGTATCAACACACTTGTGCTCACCATACATGCTCAGGTGCCCAGCACTGTGCCTGGCACACATTTGGAACAGGACCGAGCACATGATATAGTCTAATATATGCAGGTGAATGATCTGTATTACCTAAGTTATCCAGCTATCTCTGACCCAAAGAATATTCTAGAGATTTTGCAATCTAATATATACTTTGAAATGCCAACGGAAGTGGTGGAAATTGTCAGCTAAAATACAGTTGGGAGAAGGATATTACAGTCTCTAGCTGTTACCATTGTTGTTAAAGTAGCACTATACCTCAAACAGTGGTGTTGCGAGGATGGGGCTTTTTTCAGTTGCAGACATCATTACTAAGTTTGCAGGAATTTTGTGAGGTGGTATTAAATGCAACCATCATTAAAGAGTAGAGTGTAAATAAATTTGTGATGAATGATATTAAATGTGAAGGTATTGAATAATCAAAACGTATCCCATCCCTAATTGCTGTCCTAAGTGTCACTCTTATCCAGCCTCTTGAGTTACTGACATCTATTGTGTCTCTGTGTTGGAGATATTGTAGAGTACTGTGCTGGGTGTATTTGCTACAATTCGTGTGCAAAGACATCCAGCAGCCTGGAGTGGGGGTAAATATTGCCGTCAGGTTTTTTTCTTGGAAATCCAGTTGGTAAAACAGTATACACCATATCCCTACCTCTGACCTCCACGTTCAGTCTGACCAGGTTCAGCCACTCATGGAGATGAGTTTTTATGTGATTGATGGACCGTGTACTCCACCAGTTAAAAAGATCAGTGAATCCATGGGGCCTCCCAGGTGGTGCAAGGGTTTAAGTCTCAGCACTGTGAAGCTATTGGCAGCCACTGCAGCACAAGTTCGATCCCCAGCCAGGGAGGTGACCCACATGGTGCAGCAGACCTCTCCCATCTCACCCACTGCTCCCCTCAGCAGTGTATTTCAGCCAGTATGTCTGTTCTGCTCCCCACTCTGTCTCTGGTGAATCCTCTCACCCTTCCCCCGCCCCCCCCACCTTTGGCTTATACCGCCACTCTTCTATGCATAAAATGAATCTTTAAAAAAGATCAGTGAATCTGGTTCAGACTAACTGTATCTGGCTGCCAAGGTACAGGAAATGAAGGATAGGTGTGTCATGTGAGTCCTTCCTTGCCCAGTCTGCTCCAGAGAAGGCCAGTGGGCCTGATATTTAGCACATCACACATCACTGGGCTAGTAAATTGCTTCCTGGATTGAAGGAATTACTGTCCACAAAGTACCAAATAATGTATTTAAATTGAAACGAATGTGTTTATGGAATGTTTCTTTGGGGCCCAAAATAATTAATGAAGTTTACAGAGATCTAATTTGTTCAGTAAAGATTCTTGGACTGTTCTTTCTCTTTTTTATGTTAATGCTGGTGAATTTTTAAAAAGACCAAATGTTAGATGTCAGTGTCCTAATTCACGTGATTTCTATTTTAATGACCTTTCAATTTTTATTTGAAATATTTCTTATGTATTACACAGTCTCCAGTAATGAGGCACTCCTGATGTGGATTTGCTTTGAAATGCTTCCTTGAGAGTTTAATGTCCCAGAGTAACCAGTGATACTTAACGGCTAAATGGCAGTTAGTCTGTTGAAAATTCCCTCTGACTCAGGACCTTTGGTCAGTGCTTAATTTTTTCCAGGAACTTTTTTTCCAGTAAAATAAGGTGGAAAAGAAAGTTTGGTTCCAAATACTCTTTCATATTCCAAGTGAAAGTTAGTGGTGACATTTCCCCACATTTATAAATAATGAGAACCCTCAGAAAGGGAAATGGATTTGTTTTGTACCCCGGCTTAAAGTTCATTTAGAAATGAAATAAAATTTTTAGGTGCTGTATCTAATATGTCTTTGGCCTAGCAATGCTTTTACCCACCCACACCCCCTCCATTTTTTTTTTTTTAATTTTTTGGCAGTCTGAAGTTAAAAGCAAAGCTTTGAGATTGGAAGAACTTCATTCTAAAGTTAATGATCTTAAAGAATTAACTAAGAATCCAGAAACACCACCAGACCTTCAGGTAAGCAATTGCTATTATTTGATATATATATAGTCACCTCCTGGGTAATTTAGTAATTTAGTCCTGGGTAATTTAGTCACCTCCTGGGTAATTCCTACGAGCCTAAGTCTATTTGGAACTTGATCTCTTGGTTCCCCTGAAGCGTAGGTAAAAGATGGCCACTTGACTGTCCAGTGTTCATTGCGATCCTTACTTTTTCCATTTTCCCCTCACTGAAAATGTTTGGCAACTGGTCCTCGGTAATTTTCCTTCTTAGAAGTTGAATCGCATCCGTGGCTTGTCTCGAGTGTTTTCACAGTCAAGCTACCCATGAAGGGGCCTCCTGAGTGAGCGTGGTGACCTCCTGGTCTTCCTGGCCTTGAACGAAACCCCGCTCTTACGTTTAGTTTATAGAAGCAGACTTAAAGCAGAAGCTGGAGCATGCCAAGGAAATTACTGAAGAGGCAAAAGGGACCTTGAGAGATTTCACTGCTCAGAGCACACAAGTGGAGAAGTTCATTCACGACGTCACCACCTGGCTGACAAAACTGGAAGACTCGCTGGTGAATTGCGCCCAAACAGAGACTTGTGAAGGGTTGAAAAAAGTCAAGGTAGGTGATAAAATAACTAAATAATCTTTCAGATTTTAAAACAGAGCGCCCCAGTGGACCCGAGGATTCTTTATCTTGAATGCAACACGTGTCCCCACGTTCCTATCCTTTCATTCTACAGGAAACACAAAAGGAGCTCCAGAGTCAGCACAGCAGCATCAGCTCCACCCAAGAAAATCTCAACAGCTTGTGCCGTCGGTACCACTCGCTGGAGCTGGAGGCGCTGGGCCGCGCCATGACGGGGCTGATCAAGAAGCATGAGGCGGTGAGCCAGAGCTGCACCAGGACGCAGGCCGGCCTGCAGGAGGCCCTGGAGAAGCACTTTCACGGTGAGCTCTGCAACCGAAGCAGGAGGAGTTTTCGCAGAGAGAATCCACACCCACTGCTGTCTAGAAACTGCCAGTAGGTTGAGAAAGATTTCCAGAAGGATATTATTCTAAGCTCATTCTCAGTGTGACTGTTGAGCAACAGAATGCAATGTTCTCGCCTATGTTCTCCAGTATAGAATACAACAGCTGTGCTGGGGGCTCTTGGCCTAAGCAGAATTCTTCCCCTTTCACCCCCCAACCCCGCCAGCTCACTGTGCAGAAAGTAGGAGTCCACCATTTTAATGATTCTGAATTTCATCTGGACTTTCTACCTATAGCTTACCTGTGTGGAAAATTGCTTCCACTGTCCCGATGAAGTGACCTAATAAACCTGGGTGTTGGGCAACACCATGAGACAGCACAACCCTCTGTCTGGGGACATGCCAGCTGTGTGTTTCCATCTGGCTGCCCACAGGATTGTGCTCTGGGAGACTGTGGATGCACAGAGGTTCTCTAAGTCAGTCTGGTGGGAAGAGGAGAGGCTCCTCCCTTTGTCCTAAAAATAGCTTAATCCCCCAAGGGCATTTCTGCCTTGTCACTCTTACATAGTCAGTCCATTAACTCTCTTTCTTTACCAAAAGGAAGAAACATCCTGGGGAAATCAGACCTCCCAGGAGTGTGACTTTTTTTTCTATCTTTCCTCTTGATAAGTTTTCAATTCTGCAGAAACAGTCATAGATATAAATCAAGCTGTATGTTTTTCTATAACGTTATTATTATCATTTTCTTTCTGGAATATTTTATAAGGCAAGGTGCTGAGGGTCAGAATTGATTTATTTGGTAAGTCTGGAAGCTCATTCAATGTTTAGTATTTACTTCTCATTTTCATTCCTTTCAAAAGAATCTATGCAGGAATTCCAGGAATGGTTTTCTAGAATAAAGACAGCAGCAAAAGCTTCATCAGATAGAACCGGTGACAGCAAAGTTCTAGAAGCAAAGCTCCAGGACCTTCAGGTATGAAGCTGGCAGTACTTTCTCTTCTCCAAACTGCACTCAAGTGCCTTCAGGTCAAACCTAAATCATCACTTTTCTCGAATTCTATTTCACTTCATTCTTTTCCCTCTTCCCTGATAGAATTACATTTCTTGAGCCCTAATGAGATAATATGAAAAGTAAGTTGAAAATAAGTTCAAATTACAGAATTTCTAGATATCACTCTCTTAGCTTATTGACCATTCTTTATAATTCATTCAAAGCTAAAAACAGTTTTCATTTTTATAACAGTAAAGGTATAAACAACTGTACCTATTTTGTATCACTATTATGAATGGGCATTTAAAAAGAAGAGCATGGCTTGTGTTTTTTAAAACTTATGATCTAAATCTGGAGTGAGGGTATAGTCAAATTAAAACAAGAAATTACAGCTTTTATAGTTTTACTGACTATGAAAATGTATGAATTCTAGAAAGAAAAAGCCATTATGGAACAGAATTTAAAAATGATTGACTAGCTAATACAATTTAAATAAAGCAAGGATCGACAGATTAGGTTCCAATTGACATTTGGCCAAGTTTTTCAGATGGCTAATCTGAACAAAGCTCTGTATTAACAACTGTACAAGTAATTTTAAAAATTTAATGAGGAAAATGAGGGTCTTGTGGCCTGATGGGTGATGACCACTATGTAGGTAACTCACTAGAAACCAGGGGAGGAAGATCTCAATAATAAAGGGAGCTGGTTTTGCAGCAGGCACGGTGAATTCAGATGTGGAATTGCTTCTTTTTAAGCCTGAGATGCGGTGGAATTCCACAAAAAAAAAGTCCAAGGGACAATTACTAATTCTACCCTGGAGTATAGGGGAGAGGTGGGGCTAGCCCAGGAGGCTTGGGGTTCTTTGGTTCTGTTAAAACCAGGCCTGTGCGTGTGCTCTCCTAGGGGAGAGGGGCATACAGAAAATAGCAGGAGTCTGAGAACAGGACAGTGTATAGGGTGGATAGCAACAAATCAGAAGGTGCCAGACTAGCTCTATAACGGGTTGGAACCTGAACCAGGTTGGACGGTGCAAATGCAAGGAGACTGGAAACAAGACCTTGATGAAAAATCCCCCGTTTCTAGCTCAGCTTTGCTCCCAATTTGTTCTTGCTGGTTCCAGTGATCTCCTGGCACCATCTTGCTTTTGAGCCTTGATTATATCCAATGATCTACACCATTCTCATTCCAGTCTTGATAAAGACTTTCTTTTGGGAGGGATTTGTTTTTCTTCTATTGTTATACTATCTCAACTCAGAATTGTAATTAATGCTTCCGTGCACCAGGGTCTATGAATAATAGCAAATATTTTATGTGACCTTTATTTTCACAAACAGAATATTCTGGACTCAGTCAGCGAGGGGCAGAGCAAACTCGATGCTGTGACTCAAGAAGGACAGACTTTGTATGCACATTTGTCTAAGCAAATTGTCAATAGCATCCAGGAACAAATTACAAAGGCTAATGAAGAATTTCAAGCATTTCTGAAACAATGCCTTAAAGACAAACAGGCGCTTCAGGACTGTGCCCTAGAACTCGGGAGGTAGGTGGTTTTAATAAGTGTCGATTTCATCATACACTGAGTATGTCTTTAAAGACTTAAGGAAAAGTGCCACTGCAAGTTAATAAATAACATTTGAAGTTGTGAGTTTAAATGACAAGTTTTGACCTTAAGTACAGGTTCATACTTTTGTTGGGTTTTGGGGTTCTTTAATTTTGGGTTTCATTGGTCCTTGACTATGATGTGAGAATTCACAGCTACATCTGTAGCAGAAGCAAAACAGTTTATTTAAATATAGAAGGAAATTATGCCCAGAAAGAGGTCTGGGCTGGCAGAGTCCTGGGTAAGAATAACTCTGAGGGATTTGTGGGGCCTGCCCACAAAATGGGATGCAGGAACTCTTCACTCCATCCTATCTTGGGGTGCACTGTGCCAGCATTCCAGTGTGTTGGCTTATTGATCCAGGCAGCAGTTTCTGAGCCCAGCAGCAGGGCAGGGCAGGGAGGAGCCTTTGTGCTGAGTTACCATGGTGTCAACCAGCCCCACCCTTCCCTTGGGAGGAGAGAGCATTTGGGATTATTTCGGGGTATTGCTGGTCCTGTTTAGGGGAATTGCCTTATTGTCCAGACACTGACAATTTCAAGGAGTTCCCCCCTTCTGGGTGCTTCTTGAACTCGTTCAGCTTTATCAGTCTGCCTATAAGTTGGGGTGGGGGCTGCCTTTCTCCCGTCAGCGTTTTATCAGCTCTGGCTAGCGTTTTCTGGGGTGCCGGATATAGTTGGCTGTTTAATTTTCTATAGGCATTAATCTCCTTTCCCTAAATGTGTAACTTTAACCCCTGAAGGGTCTGGAGACCAAATCTTTGGTGGGTTATTGAGGGCCTAGGTCAAACTCTTCATAGTTGCTTTAGGCTGAGGAAGGGGCATAGTCCCTGCCTGGCAGTTTCAAGAACCCCTGGTGTCCTAAGTGTGAGAAGGAGGCAAATTCCCTAGAAAGGAGTAGCCGCCCTTATCCAGGCAAGGGTTGATGATCCCTGATGACCAGGATGGACCGACATCTGGAAGAGAAAAACTGGGTGGTGAGTGTAGGCAGCTAGGGTCAGGCTGATGGTTCGCAGGGAGCCCCACCTTTGCCCAGGAGTTTAGGCAAAGCTCAGGGCTGTTCTACTTCAGAGGGCACAGTCTACACGGAAGGCCGCTGCTCTGCTAGCAAAATAAGTGACAACTGATGAGCTTATGATTTTCTTTTTCGTTTAACCTTATTTGACCTTCATCACCGCTGTCATCGTGACCTGAGATGATAAAATGTAATATGAGCACGTAAGGATTTCACTGAGGTGCTTTCTGTTCTTTAGCTTTGAGGATCAGCACAGAAAGCTGAACTTATGGATCCATGAAATGGGTGAAAGGTTAACTACAGAAAACTTAGGAGAGAGTAAACAGCACATTCCTGAGAAGAAAAATGAAGTCCACAAAGTGGAAATGTTCCTGGGAGAGCTCCTGGCCGCAAGGTATGCTGCAGGCAGGGGCGGGGCCTTTCCCTACCACCATGCTTCTGTCAGCGGGTCAGTTGGTTGGTTGGTTTGGTGGGTGGAGGTGGGCCGTGCATGGTTGGTGGTGGTTGCGCGCATGTACCTGTCTGAAAGTCCATAACACAAGTGACAGCAAGGCCTCTCCATGGCGTGTGGAATTTCTAAGAGAGCATGGGATGGAGCAAGGAGCTCGTCTGCATCCCAGTGTCACTTCTATTTGCTCAACGAATTGGGCAGGTCACTCATTGCCTTTGTTTCTTGACTTCTTTTTAGTCTTTGAATCATGTTTTTAACACTGAACTTTCCTCAGAGGTCATTAGAAGACCTACAAGGATAACCCGAAGCTGACAGGAATAGAATACTGCAAGTGCATAGTGACTATAAAGATAACTTTTCACTTCCAAAATTATGCTGTGGACCCGGATTTCCACATATTCTTCCCTCATTTCATCTCTGTTCCATTTGCAGCCCAACTCATCCTCCTCATACGCATCTTCAAGCAAAAGTTCTGGCCACCCAGCCTGACTGCACTGAAGTTCCTCTTTTCTGCTGCAACATTTGTCTTTTGCTTCCTGACTGAGCGGAGTTTTCTGCTCATTTCTCAGGTCACTTTCTCTACTCTCAGAGCTTCATCATCCTCAGAGCTTCCTAAATTCCTGCCCCACCCTGGCATTTTCAGCTTCTTCATTGTAACTCTTGCACTGGAAGTTAGAACACATCCCCTCAGGGAACTGCAGCTCAGCCCAGAGCTGTAACTATTCTCTTAAAAAAAAAAAAATTAATTATTTATGCATACAAGAGCTGGGGTACAGGCCAGAGATGTGGGGAGTAGAACAGGCAGATTGACTGAAATACACTGCTGAGGGGAGCTGTGGGGAGATAGGAGAGGTCTGCTGTGTTATGTGGGTCAGCTCCCTGGCCAGGGATGGAACTCATGCTTCAGTGGCTGCAGATAGCTTCATAGTGCTGACGCTTAACCCCTTGTGCCCCTAGGGAGGCCCCATAACTGTAACTATTCTCTTTAAGAGCAGAGATCACCTGGGAAGCCCCAGAGGAGACGCCCAGCCTGCATGATAGACCAATTCAGTGAAACTTGGTGAATTCAGACCTGACTCTTCCCCTATTTCGGCTGAGGCCTCTTAGTTGAACATGCTCAGTGTTCCTGGTCTTGGGAAGCAAACATGAAAATAAATACACCAGCAAACATGAAAATGAACACACCGGCAGGCTGCCTGCAGGCTGGCTGCAAATTTTCATTAGAAAATTTCCTGTAATCCTTGGTCTCATTTCTGTGAGTCCTTCTCTTGGGCCAAAGTCTTTATTGTTTTTATACACCCCAAAAGTCTCTCAAGATCAGGGACTTCGGGGTCTCTGTTATCTTTATACTCCCATTGTCTAGTCTAGTCCAAAAAATAGAAAATATTCACCAAGTGAATAACATCATTCTAGCGATATAACTTACTTTGCTTTTGAAATTTTTTTTTTTTTACATTTAAATAGGACAGTTTTATTAGGAAAAGGAGAAAGAAAAACAGAGGCATCTGCATAGTTACAGGTGGGCAGGAGAGCTGTGTGTGCTTTTGAAATCTTAATTCTTGTCCAGACCTACTTCCATCCTCCGCCCAAACTTTTTAAGTGACTTTAATTGTTCTGGGCCCTCGTTTCTTCTCCACAGATCCCTCTTGACCTTCCTTTGTGTCTTGCCATCCATCATGACACTAGCGCTGCGGTGGAGAAATGCTCTAAATAAAGCTTCACCCCAAATTTCTATTTTTCTTGACTCCTCGTTGTGTTTCTCATAATGGCAGCTTTTTGACATTAACCCTTGCAGCCATTCTTGACCCTTGGGGCTCTGATGATCCAGGACGAGCTGCAGAGAGACCCTCCGTGTGTTTGCTCTAACTGGCTGCTTCTCTGGACGGTCTCAGGCAGGCTGGGCCTCAGCTGGGTCTCCTGGCGTCCCTCACTGCTCGGCCTCCCTCCAGTGTGCTGCACTTTTTCCTCAAGGTATTTCCAGTACTTCAGATACTGGAAAATTTTTTAAACATATCCAGATGTGAGACTCACTTAAAATTTAACATCCATGAAGCCATTCCTTCGTACTGTCGTAAGTGATGTCTACCTCATTGCTTAAGCTATGCCCAATTGTCTCACAAGACAGGTTACAGGTATAAGAAATATATTTTAGAGCAGACAGAATATTGTATAACATCTCCAGGAGGGCTTAGGGTCCTGGCTTAGGGTTCACACTGTAGATGCTCAGAGCAGAAACAGAGAGATTGAGACTCTTCCTCCTGCGCTCTCAGCCATTTGTGCTTGGAGAGCAACGCACTCCCTGCCTTTCTGGTATCCAGCATTTCCTCCTAGAAGTGCCGGTCAGAATTCAGGACTCTACCAACCAGGACGAAGCCCGCCTTTGAGGTAATTCACACTCCTCAAAACTGAGAGCAACCAAGTACCCAAGTTACAATAAGGAGAGCCATAAAGTGGCCTTGGGAAGGACACTGTATTTTTTGGTTTGGGTTTTATACTCTGCCTGCCCCAGACATGGTGCTAAGAGATGAATGTAAAAACCCCAGATTCCAGAAGGGGAAGGCCTTGAGGACTGAGTCACACAGGAAGTATGAGGTAACAGCAAGACGGGCACGGGACACACAGGAGAGGAGACTACACCCTCCGTCGCCACAGTCACCCGCGTTCCTGGGGCTCTGGGGCTCTAGTGGGATTTGCAGGGCCAACACAAGAAGCAGAGCACAGCCGAGGAATCTCCACTCACCACAAAAGAGCAGAGTGTGGGGGGAATTTCCTGGAGCTGCCTGTGGTGAGAGCACTAAATGGGACTGGAGAGATGTTAGTGAGGAGTCTGGAAAGGCAGGCCAGGGCTGCTGGCTGGCGTGGACGGCGAGTCAGCCAGCAGGTTTGGATCTTGGCACAACATCGATGGAATTATAAACCCCAGCATCTGTCGACGACATTCAGAGAAACCAAAAGGCAGTGTAGGTGGCCCGTGGGCCTGGGGCTCCTCACGGCAAGCCTTCCTGCCCCTGTGTGCCTGTCTGCTGTGGGCTGGCCTGCCCAGGGCTCCTGCGTCAACACTCACTGGTCACTCCCCTGCACACCAGAATGTCGGAATTAAAAAAATGTCCTTTCTGTTTTCTTTAGAGAGTCTCTTGATAAACTTTCCCAGCGAGGGCAGCTTCTCAGTGAGGAAGGCCACGGAGCTGGGCAAGAGGGACGCCTGTGCTCCCAGCTGCTCACTCACTACCAGAACCTGCTCAGGATGACCAAGGAGAAGCTCCGGGGCTGCCAGGTCGCCCTGCAGGAGCACGAAGCCCTGGAGGACGCGCTACAGAGCATGTGGTCCTGGGTAAAGGACGTTCAGGACAGACTGGCCTGTGCCGAGAGCATCGTGGGCAGCAGAGACGCCCTGGAGAAGCGACTGCTCCAAGTGCAGGTACGGGGGTGCCAGCTGGGCACCGGGAGCTCCTGAGCTCACATGTGGGACTTTGTCCTAATCATTCTCGAGCCTCCCAGAGGATTATGTGGGCAAAATGGAGAAATATGGTAAAAAGGATATGGAGGGTCTTATTCCCCTTTCTAAGGGAATACTTTGTTTTAACAGCATTAAATAATCTTTAGTTTCATCTAGTAGATATTCCACAGGTGTTCTAGAATACCTCTTTTCCTCTATGCAGGTTGCTGCAAATGCAAGGGTAGAACTGAGTCCTTGTTCTCTAAGGGTTCACAGCCCAGGGAATAGCCTACCTGTAGTTTGTTGCCTGTAGTACAGCATGTCTAGAGGGACTGGGGTTGAGACAAATGGGTGTGTTGAAGGCACAAACATCAACTGCCCCCACTTTAGGCAGCGATGCTCACCTCAAAACAAAGGAATTAGCCAACGATGAAGAGTGGTTATGGTTGCGTGTTGACAAGCGTGTCTTCATTTCTAAAATAATTTCTCTTTACAATTATAAATCAGAGACATCCTGCAGGGGAGGAAGAGGGAGAGGCATCAGAGGGAGGGAGGGAGTTGCACAGGGGACTGAAGTGATGGTGCACGGGGGCATTGGTGAAGGAAACTCTATGGGGCCTACACCTGAGGGGGTGGGGGAAACAAATATTGTTTAAAAATGAACAATGATATAAAATTTTTAAAAAATTCTCTTTATTCTGAAACAAAATTCAATAAAGTCATCATTGCTCAAGTAGTTGCCCCCATTTTTCCAAGAATTGAAATGGAGATTAATCTTTGATTCTGGGTTTCCTGATATCTAATATTTAGGTAGCTGCTATATCACAATAGAAGGTGTAAGTGTTGTCATCGTGATTTCATTTTCAAGTAAAATATACCCTATTTTGATTTTCATGGGAAACACTCCATTTTAAGAAAATACTGGAAGGATTTGTGTTCCTGACAAGGGCTCACTCTTCCTTCCTAGGACATTCTCCTAATGAAAGGGGAAGGAGAAGTAAAGTTGAATATGGCCATCGGCAAAGGGGAACAGGCCTTGAAAAGCAGCAACAAAGAAGGTCAGAAGGTGATTCAGACTCAGCTTCAGACCCTGAAAGATGTGTGGGCTAATATCATGAGCTCCTCCCTCCGTGCTCAGAGGTAGAGTTCGTTTTTGCTGTTTATTTGCCTACATAAAATCCAGTGGTTTGTTAAAATGATGGTGTTTGTAAGGGTATCCTGTGGTAGAGCTACCAAGTGTTTTCTTTCAGTTAGTCTCATGCATGCCTGTCTTTGCCTAGAATGTGTTTTCTGTAAGGGCAAAGACTGGGTTTGTTTTCTTGAACTTGCTCTCTCTCTCTCTCTGTCTGTCTCTTCCTCATGTTCCTCTTTCTCCACCTTTTCTCTCATATTCCATACTGTCTTTCATGGAATCCTTCATGCAATCATACATCATGGGCTTAGTAAATTACCTCCTTTCACTTCATCAAAACAAGGATAGATGACTTTGAGTGACTTCAATAATTTACCTTTTTAAAGGCACATAAGGGAAATCAAAATTATTGAAAGCTGTTGAGCTTAAGTATAAACCTTTTTCTCAACCTGAAGTGAATTGGCCCACATTGGGGTTATAGAAACGCGTGGGGAGGATTTGACTGTCCCGGGGTGGAGCACCCCTCAGGCTAGTAGACTGACATCCTGCCCTGTGGGGCATGTTCTCATAGCCGCCCCAGAATGGCCACAGAGCCCCTGTTGAGACCTCACCAGACACTGATGAGAAAGTAAAGATCTTGTCACTCCAGGTGTTCCCTTGCTGTTGAGGTTTTACCCTCCTCTCTCTTCTCAGGGTTTGTCTGGTTTTCAGACAGATGACCTTCTGTCAGAATTATACTAAAACACACCTCAGGAGCCATATTCTGAAGTGGGGGCCCACTGTGGTCAAAATAAATAGATGAATCAAAGATTAAAGTTCATCACAAAATACAAAAAACCATCATCATTTGAACAAGGAGCCATGATCACAACCGAACTGGCACAGGTGGTGCATCCCAATTCCAGCATAGAACTGGCGCCGGGGCACCACGCGGTGGGCAAGAGGCTGGTTTTGCACGAGGGAGTAGGAGTATAGGTGAATTTCTTTTGGATGTTACAATAAAATGTTAAATCCAAGCAGAGTCAGATCCTTGACGCTCCTCTTCCAGCAAGAAATTAAATTTAACAATCAAATGTTGAGCACTAGCAGTGTTCAAATTGTGTTAAAATAATGAAACAAAACAAAGTAGCTTTCGTCCTCTGTGCTCAGAGGCTGGGGCAGGACACATTCCAAGTAAAACTCAACCTTGGTTGTGTTAGCAAGACAACGTGGGGCTGTAGAATAATGCAGAGTGAGAGTGATTTGGATTTTCTAGAAAATTCTTTGACAAAGGATAAGACTTTAAGGCAGGTATGATGAGATTCTTCTTCATGGAAAAGAAACAATTTGTGTAAATGCTGGAAGTATTTTTTCCACAGATGTAACTCTAGGCTCACAGGATTGTATGCAAGGGAGACTAGAAGGTGAGCTTAGAATAGTTTAGAAAGCTGGATAATTTAAAATTTTAAAATGCCAGTCTGGAGAGCTCTTATTTCTTTTGTTTGACTACTATGTTTATGACTATATTTTTTATATCATCATATTTATTTTATATATTTATATAGTATATGTTTTTATATTATGCATACACTGACCTTCATTCCTTTACACAATCAATATTGTATATATATTATATACATAGTATATATATTTTATATATAATCACATATTACATATGTGTGTGTGGAGATACATATATATGCATATATATATTTAGCTAAGTGAAAAATAATCCAATTATTATTTATCTAGGAAGAATATGGTGCTCAAAAATAATCTGACTGTAATAAAATAAACCGACCCAAGAAAATGAAGAGTTGATACATAGTAAAATGTATTTGATGCCCCAGCTGTGATTTTTATTTTTTTAAAGATTTATTTGTGGGCCTCCACGGTGGCGCAGCGGTTGAGCGCTGGGTTGCGAGGCTGCTCGCGGCCTCTGTGGCGCCGGTTCGGTCCCCGGCTGCTCCCCGGCCACTGGAGGAGGGTCCCACATGGCGCGCAGACCTCTCCTGCCGCCCGCTGCTCCCCTCAGCAGTGTACTTCGGTCCTTCTGCCTGCTCTGCTCCCCGCTCTGGCTCTGGTGAATTCTCTCACCCTCCCGCGCTTCTGACTGTACCCAGTGCATGTATAAACAAAACAAACAAACAAATAAATAAATAAATAAAACATGCCTCTATTAAAAAAAAAAAAAAAAAAGATTTATTTGTGCATACAAGAACTGGGGTATAGGCCAGAGGAATTGGGGATTAGAGGATTCACCAGAGACAGAATGGGGAGCAGAACCTGCAGATCTAGTGAAATACACTGCTGAGGGGAGCAGCAGGGAGACAGGAGAGGTTTGCTGCACTATGTGGGTTAGCTCCCTGGCCAGGGATCAAACTCATGCTGCAGTGGGTGGCGATAGCTTAATATTGCTGTGTCCTTAACCCCTGTGCCACCAGGGCGGCCCCCAACAGTGATTTTTAATGTAAGACTTAAATTTGTTCATTCAGGACAGCTAGCATTTGGAAGACAAATCTTCAGATGTGTATATAGCTAAAACACCCAGCTTCAGTATTCAAAACAGATTCGTTTTTGTATGGGCAAAATGATTGAGTGTCACAGAAGCAATGCTTCTCCCACACATAAAAGCAGCATTTTCATCACCTACAGCAGCATTCAGTAAAACAGCTTGCATGAATGCAATGCCCTTGTGATTAGTTTTCAGGAGGGATGGCAAGATAACCGATTTTTCTAACCTGTGACTTAATTCTAGCACTTTAGAGTCTGTGGTTAGTGAATGGAATGACTATCTAGAGTGGAAAAACCAGTTGGAACAGTGGATGGAATCAGTGGAACAAAAAGTAGAGCATCCCTTGCAACTGCAACCAGGTCTGAAAGAGAAATTCTCCCTCCTGGACCACTTTCAGTCCATCATATCTGAGGCAGAGGACCATGCTGGAGGCCTGCAGCGGCTCACCGCAAAGTCCAGGGAGCTCTACCAGAAGACTGAGGACGAGTCCTTCAAAGAAACAGCTCAAGAGGAACTGAAATCACAGTTTAATGATATAATGACTGTGGCCAAGGTCAGTGCTTATTTTATGGAAGAAAAAACTTGCATTCGCAGGTAAAAAATGCAAGCGGGTAGAATGATTGGGGCACTGGCTTTTAAAAATTATTTGTACATTTGGTGAGTGAACACTACATAAAGATCATGTCTCACCAAGGGATGCCCATGAGGTTTCTTCTTTCTACAGAGTTAGGATTGTTTTCTGTTCCTTGTTTTCCATCTCTCTCCAGTAAGGTCATTAGTCGGCCCATTTCTTCAGACTATTTTCTGAGTTTCAAATGTCTATGATTGAAGTTGTTTTCAAATTGCTATAGAAACTACAGGTCTATTTGCCCCCCCAGATTTCAATCATGTACAAAGTATTGTGTTCATTCCTCATTAGTGAAAACTGCCTTTACCTAATATCTAAGACATAGGTTCCTTCAAGATTTTTTTTTCCCAGCTTTCCATCTGAATCTTTATTTTCATCCATGAGTTTTCTTTTGTATACTTGAGACACTGACAAAGAAAATTAGGGAGAGTTGTCTTGTTTTGTTTTGTTTTGATTTTTCTTTTTGGAATTCTTGTCAATTATTAACATATGAATTAATTTATCTCCTTATTTTGGTAGTGATTGAGAAGTATGACTCTAGAGCCCAGTAAAACCTAAACTTAAATTCTGACTTTTTTGGATATGTGACTTTGGGTGTGCTGGTGTTCTTTCCTATAAGATGGTGATAATAACAATTTCTATATTGCAGACTTGTGAAGTTTAAATGAACAAATGCACTTAGAGTGCTGAGCAGAATGCTGTACACAAAGGCAACACCAATAATTGCTTGAATGATAAGAATAGTTATTATCATAATCATTAATAAGTGAATTATTAGCGAGGTATGTTATGCCACACTCATTAAGCATAGATTTTTATGATAAACTGGACAAAATTAAGCTTGCAGGAACAATGCTTGCTTTTTCAGTCTTTCAGCCTAATTAATATTTGGTCTTTTCACTTTATGAAATATAGAGATAATTAAAAAATGAGAATGAATTCTTTTTTAAAAGATTTATTTATTAATGCATACAAGAACTGGGGTGCAGGCCAGAGGTGCGGGGGGTGAGAGGATTCACTAGAGACAGAGTGGGGAACAGAACAGGCAGATTGACTGAAATATACTGCTGAGGAGAGCAGCGGGGAGACAGAAAAGATCTGCTCCTCCATGTGGGTCAGCTCCCTGGCTGGGGATCAAACTCGTGCTGCAGTGGCTGAGGACAGCCTCTAGTGCTGAGACTTAACCCCTTGCGCCACCAGGGAGGCCCAAGAATGAATTCTTTTGTGACTATTAATGAGACCCTTCTCGGATTTGGCATCTAATTTCATATTCCCCAAAACAGCTACTGTAAATTAGTCTTGTCTTGGTTTACTAGGAGAAAATGAGGAAAGTGGAAGAGATCGTGAAAGACCATCTGATGTACTTAGACGCAGTCCAGGAGTTTACAGATTGGCTCCATTCAGCCAAGGAAGAACTTCACCGATGGTCGGATGTGTCCGGCGATTCATCAGGCACCCAGAAAAAGTTGTCTAAAATTCAGGTCAGAAAAGAGACAGATATATAACCTTCTTGTTTCTATGGCTTTTGACTACAACTTGACAGTGTTGAACATTCTATGGATGTCATTCTGTGATTTATAATGTTTTCTTTCTGTTTTCTATTTGTTAGTGTTTATTACCTATTTGTTCTATTTGTTAGTGTTTATTACTTCAAGAATTCTAAATATAAGCAAGATAATAAAGGGAATTCAAAATACTTTATAGTTGTAAACAAAATGGAATATTATGGTGTAGACTTTAGTGCCTATAGTATGCCTACAGTGTAGGAATTACAAAATAAACACCATCTTGGTGGGCTGACAGAACTAGATACTGTATTTTAGTACAATGGAAGAAAAGTTTACAAAGTGACTTAATTGATGGTATTTTAACATTAACTTGGAAATGTCATTCTAGATGTTTTGTTCTGGTTTCCTGGTCAACATGCAACAACAAAATAGAAGACGATACTTTAAAGTACAATTAAAATTACCATCTGACTTACTCCTTGTAAGGGCAGTTGAAAAATAGAAATTAACTAGTAGTTGATTAAATATTCAATTGCAATCATTTCCAACCCCCCCCCCATTGGAAAATAATAGATTTTTTAAAATATATATTTTTAAGATTTATTTATTTATTTATACAAGAACCAGGGTATAGGCCAGAGGCATGGGAGGGTGAGAGGATTCACCAGAGACAGAGCGGGGAACAGCACAGGCAGACTGACGAAATACACTGCTGAGGGGAGTAGCAGGCGAGGCAGGAGAGGTCTGCGTGTCATGTGGGACCCTCGCTGGCAGGCTGGGATCGAACCCACGTTACAGAAGCTGCGGACAGCTTCACAGCGTGGCGCTCAACCCCCTGTGCCACCAGGGGAGGACCCTGGAAAATAATAGATTTTAATAAAATTCCTAAGCAATGATGAAGTAGTGTTTTAAGGAGATCAGAACAGAAAGCTCTTAAAAAATAATTGACAATAACAATAATGACTATATAGAAGATTTATTTCTAAGTGTCTACAATGTATTATCTTACTTCATTCCTACCATGACCACATAGGGTTTAAATGAGATAATCCCATGAAACTACTTTTTAACTTCTTGTTTTCTTTGCGATTCTTTAAAATGCCTCTTTTGATACACTTTTCAGTATTATTTTCATTTATTCATCCATGTATTGATTCACCCAGGCTTGTACATCCCTCAAGGAGCTTGCAGCATGGTAAGGAATGGCTCACAAGCTGACGCCATAAAACACTCTGCCAGGTGTAGTGAAGCTCACTTTGCTGTTAGAGGTTAGACCCTGGAGGCAGACCCAGTGCTGCTCCTGCTCCTACTGATTTTCTCTGTCTTTGAGCAAGTCACTTGATTTCCTCAAGCCTCCAACTTTTAATTGGTAAAGTAAGAAAAACAGTCGTACCAGCATCACAGAGTAGTTTTTAGCATGAAATTGCATCATGCACATGAAACCTTTAGCACTGGGCTTGGCACACAGAATGTGCTTGGAAAGAAAATCCAATGGATTTGGCAAGTGAGTGATTTAACTGGAGATGTGGGAAGAGTCAAGGGCAGTGGCCAAGTCTTTGTCCAGAGACAACGGAGTTGTGTTTGTTGGAGGAAGATGAATATATGCAGAGGAGACGGGGTACGGAGGGGCAGCAGGGAGGATGTCAATGGTGAATAGTGGAATTCGGACTGCCAGGTGGTAACTTCTGGGAGGCAGTTGAACATTCAAGTCTGAATTTCAGATTGGAACATCAGAATGAAGACACAGAGTGTGAGTGATCTGCATAACATTTGTGCTGAAGCCCCTAGAGTAAATGAAGCCAAGATCTATGTATAAAACACACAGCACGATGGACATGGTCTGAGATCTGGGAACTTCCAATATTCAAGCGATTGCAGAAGAGTATTTAGAAGGGAAGGGGAGCAAAGAGAGGAGCAATGATAAGAGGAGGACCAGGAAGGTGTGTTGCCCACAATCCCCTATGGAAGGAGGGAGTCGCCATCACAGAGGCACCAAGATGCCAAAAAATGACCACTCTTTTGAGAGCTAGGCAATCTGACAATCACAGAGCCCCCTTTCAACAGCCTGGTGAGATGAGCAAGGGGATGACACAGACTGGGGAGGGAATGGTAGGTTGGGACAGAAAGAGCAAGGATGCACTAATGCTTTGAAATGTCAGTATGAGAAAAGTAAGATAATTCCTTTACAAAGATTGATTTCTGGGTGTCCATATTTTTTAGAAAAATTTATTTTATTTATTTATGCATACAAGAGCTAGGACGTAGGACAGAGGAGCAGGGGATGAGGGGAATCACCAGAGACAGAGTGGTGAGTAGAACACGCAGATCCACTGAAATTCACTGCTAAGGGGAGCAGCAGGTGAGTCAGGAGAGGTCTGCTGCGCCATGTGGGTCAGCTCCCTGGCTGGGGATCGAACTCATGCTGCAGTGGCTGCCCATAGCTTGATATCGCTGAGATTTAACCCCTGTACCATCAGGGAGATCCCTGGGTGTCCATATTTCTTTTTTAAGAAAATGCTCTCATGAAATAAGAAATGTTGAAGAAAGAGCTGGCAAAAAAATAAAAACAATAACTGGAATTTAGGAAGGAGACAGTGGCACCTGGCGGAGGTTGTGTCTCCAAAGTGATGGTCAGTCCAGTATGTAGACTGGTGTGGGGTTGAGGAGAGAACTTTGGAGGAAATGACTCTCTCCTCTCCGTCCATGTCATCCCTGCCCACCTCCAGGAGTAACCACCAGGAACAGGTGATTTTAAAGCCAAGAATGTATGTATATAAGGGTGTCTGTATGCATATTATATTTTAAGGCATTTAATTCCAGAGGAGAATTTGCATGCAAAAGTCATTTTCAAAACACTTTAAGATGATGATATCCTTATTTAAGATCTGGATGAGTGAAATAGTGATTGTAGATATTGAAACACCCCAATGTTTCTACCAAAGGAAACTATGATAATGCACTAGAAAGTATCTCTGAACTGCAAATTGGAAATCACTCATAAAGGCAAATTTTAAGTATTTAAATCTGATCGTTAGACATAGGTCTTTTTAAAAAGTTATAATTTTTCTTCATCAAATCACTACTTACCATATGCATTAATAAAGGAAGTTTCAGAGTGTTTGTTGCTGAGAAAAGGAGGAATATGTTTAGTAGATATCAACTGTGTGTAAGGATTTGGTAGGATCATGCTGGGGTAACTGTATTACCAAATACTCTTAAGAGGTCTATACGAAAATGTGGTTCTCTGTGTGTAATTGTGGAAGCTAGATTTATTTCAAGCTAATCTAATAAAAATGAACTACCTCATATAGATTAGTTAATCCTTAGCAATTTATGCTTAATGTCATTTATTAAAAATGCTTCATATTTAACTTTCTTTTTTATTAATTTGCTATTGATTTTCTTCTTGAAGTTTTCTCCCTATCATCTTTTCCCTTTATTTAATGCGAGAGCAAAGACATTATTTTGTGTTAATAGTAAAAAATCCCTAACTGTAGCAGTAGATCTGTAAATATATAAACAGTAGCAGATGAAGTTAGTGAAAGAAATATCAATAAAAGAATCTCCTTTCAGAAAGACATGTTACTATTTTACCTAATCAGCAATGCATATTTGAATGTCCTTTTGGGTTATTAGCTCCTCAAAGTTGGAGCTAAATCGTTAAATTTCTAGTGAGTTTTTAAAAAGCAAAAATAATCATAATAAGTGAGCCCCGTCTAGGGGTTACTCTGAAGGCTGTCTGTGAATTAACCATTCCTTTGGCTACCATGAAGATGTTTACTTAAGGCACCGTGTCAGGTGAGCTTAATTCTCTGTAGATCACCGAGTAAAGCCACCATCTTGTGGAAGACAGAAAACAGACTAGAAATCTGGAGCAGAGTGCAGTTGTGCTGCGATCCTTCCACTTGGCCCTCAGCTGCAGGAGAAGTAGGAATCTGCATGTTTATAAGAGCAACTCATCCCGGGCAAATACTTCAATCTCTCTCAAAACAGTTTTGCTTTCAGGGTCCCCATTTTGGATATTTTAGGGTGCCGTGACTCGCTCGACTTACTTGGCCACCAGCCTGGGTGCTCACGGGGGCCGCCACCTGCTATAAGTTGGGGTGGGCAGACACACCGATTCTGGTTCTTTGTGGCACACTGGCTAAAACTTCCTAGCAGGACAGGGTCCCCCTCTGTACACATTTGGAAACTTGCAGCCCAAGTGACTCACGGCCTCCTTGGTTACCATGGCGATATTCCATTACAGGAGCTGATGGATTCCAGAGAGATCGGGGCAAGCCGCCTAAGCAGAGTCGAGTCCCTGGCTCCTGCAGTGAAACAGAACACAACTGCCAGTGGGTTTGAGCTCATGGACACGGAGATGCAGGCCCTGCGGGCCGACTGGAAGCAGTGGGAAGACAGCGTGCGCCACACACAGACCAGCCTGGAGACCCTAGTGAGCCAAATGGCCCTTTCGGAGCAGGAGTTCTCAGCCCAAGCGGCTGCCCTGGACCAGGCCCTGGAGCAGTTCAATGCCCTCCTGGCAAGCTGGGCTCAGCAGCTAGCCCTGCTGGAGGGCAAGAATACAGACCAGGAGATAGCAGAGTGCTGGCAGAAAGGACGAGTAAGTTGACTTCTGGCTTACGTTGATTCTCTTTGTTGCTTGCAAAAATCCTTGCCAAGTAAAAGTATGCAACAGTCAGACCGAGAGGGACTGGGTATGCACCTAATCAAACTGGCAAATCTGCTCCGTTTCCTTTTCTCATAAATCAAACTGTTGTAAAAATACAGATCTAGGGGAGTGTCGTTACTATTTACTTTTAGAAAGCACTGATTGCTGGTGGAAACTTCTGACTCTCATGTTGTAAGAGTTTGTAATGTCTCGTTCAGCCATTCAGCCTGAAACACGGCCTGTGGGGAGAGGCATAAATAGACAGCGAGTCATAGCTGAGCTCCTGCCAGGGAATCGTTGCAAACAATTGAATGATTGAGTTTATGTCTTTGAAAGAAATATTTGGTGATGTCCCTAAAGCACAACTTACAGATTTCGCCCTGACTAACTCTCCTGTGTGTGGCTTTGACAGCTGTGCTTGAATTAACCCCGGAACAGAACCCCAATGTCATGCTCACTGGTCACTTTCCCTGAGCGGTTTTTTTTTTTTTTTTTTTCTTCAAACTCGTGGCAGCTTTTCAGAATGTGAGAAAGAGGAGCATAAAGGGATCTTGAAGAATGGGCAGAAGCTTGAAATCCTCTTTCTTTGACTGTTCAATACTATCTCGGGAAGCTGTCAGCACTTGTGGGTTTATAATGCTCTGAGTTGTGGATGTCCTTAAAAGGAAGTTCTAGTAAAGTAAACTTCTGTGTCTATTTATGTTACAATCATTTCAAAATAGCTGCAGCCCGTAAGGAAATCATGTAATATTTCCAGCTTCGTCTTGCTTTAAATCAAGTATTTGAAACAACCACAGCATACCCTAAAATAAAAGTTTATAGTCATCTCTTCAGGCTGCTTAATTTATAATATTTCTAGGTTATTTCTTTTCTGCCGCCTTTCTTGTCCTTTGGGTTTAAGCCCTGGAATAAAGCATAGAAAAGTGTTCTATAAAGCAGACAAGGAAGTTGGTAATTATTGCATGTGATCGGTATTATTCACACTGACATCAAGAAAATCAGTTATGCTGTCTGCCTCTTTTTTTGTTTGCTTGTTCCCCTTTCCTTGCTTGCCATTACAATGAGCAGAAGTTTTAAAAAGAAAGATTTGGGTAGATTTCAAATATATAGCTATCATTTTTTACATTGATGCTGTTCGTGAAAAGAATAGGTGACATCTATGAAAATGCAAAAGTAAATGTGGACTTTCAATTGCACTAACAATTCAAAAACATAGCCCTTGGCTTAGACCTCCTTCCAGATTTGTCTCCAGGACCCACACATTTGGTAACAAAACTACATTGCCTCTTAACATTCAGGTTTTCTTATTGCTTATAATGGTACCTCATTGAAAGTTCAAGATAATCTATGTTCTCACCACAAAGAAATGGAAATTACGTAGATGGGGATAAGGAGGAAGCATTATATAATGGTTTTGCAATACATAAATCTATCAAATCAATATGTTGTACATCTTCCACTTATTCAGTGTTGTATGTCACTTATATCTCAATAAAGCTAGGAAAAATATAAAATTTTTAAAAATGGAAATAATACCTCCAGTACCATGAATGCATAGAAAAAGTTTTACAGAACACTGGGATGGCTAGGTTTAGCTGGCATTGTTTTGCTGTGAAGGAGGGTTTGTCGTTATTGAGGATGATTCTAAAAATAATCACAAACCTTCACAAGCAATTAAATTATGATATTTAAGGAAATATTTTTAAAAGTCAGAATGGATCTTCATTTATAAACTACACAAAATCACGTTTAAGATATATTTTTACTGTGTTTGCAAAATTCCTTTCTCTTAATATCTGTTGGGGCTATTGGTGTTGAAAATTTAGACATTTTCTTAACCTGTATAATTTTAAGGGGGAAAAATCACTTAAGAATTAACTAAAATATCAAGTACATGACTTAATATTCATATAATGAAAGACTAGCTGAATTGCTTGAAGCTAGAAATTTTTTATATCATTATATCAATATAATTTATAAGTGATTTATTTGAATCTTTGATTTACTTTCTTGGTGTGTGGTAAGTTTCTTTAGTTTGTATAATGTTCTCCCTTCAAGATTTAATATAGTGCAAAATAGTAGCTACAAGTTAAATGTTTAGCGTTTCAGAGAGGAACTTTCTAGTGATTAGTCATGAATTTTGCAAATAACAATATTTGAGGATCCTCTAGCCCAGACACTAATCTAAATAAAGAATTTTTAACCCAAGAGAAGATGCCTCTCAGAATCACAGTCTACGTAAAAAGCCCAATAGTCTAATATCTGTGGGCCCATCAGGATGGGTGCTGACAAAGTAGTATGTACCCCAGGGGAGAAGCCCAAGATGTGAGAAGGAGGGCAGAGAACTCTGCCATATAAGCTGAGTCTTGACTGGTTACAAGTCTAAGAGCCAAAATTACTGAGGAATGAGAAAACACAGGAGAGAAAACTATAGAATAGACCCAAGGAGAATAGAACATTCCAGAAAGAAATGTTGAAGATGTAAATGTGGACCATGAAAGTCAAGGTGCAGACCAAAAGTATTTTTGTCAAAAAAACACTCTGACAAAACAAAAGTTGTTTTGTCCTTGGCAAATTATGCTTAGGCTGGAACGGACTGTGGCGATTATGTATTTGACACAGGTTCACTGTAGAGTTTTTATAATAATAACATAAGCCAGTAGCATGAAGGGTAAGCCCTCTTAGTAAGACAATACAGAAATGACATACTGCAAACCAATAAAAAATTAACCATGCAATTGCCCCAGGCAATGGGGAGATAAAATTTAGTTGAGGTGTACATTTCTACCAGTTGATTCTAGAAAAAGTCAACTTAGCCAACCAGGAGCTGATGTCCTGCTGCTGGCCCAAAGTGAGCTCGAGGGACCAGAGCACCTGCTGAGGAGCTCGAGGGGCCAGAGCACCTGCGCTGGTGGGGCGGCAGGATGATCCTCACAGCCAGTTTCCACCACTGCCTGCAGAGTGGCTTTGCCTTGAAAGGGGCTGATTTCCAGGGTCTCCCGAGAGTTCTACTTAGATCAGCAAAGATCTAAGTAGCCTCTTGGCCAGACCTAACACTCTCAGTAGGTCCTCACAGACCCTCATACTTGACTTTTAATTCTCACCGATATCACTGTCCCTAAAACAATTTTGACATCATCTTCATATTCATATATTCATATCAATAAGAAAGTCCTAAACCCAACTTCAAGACAAGTCATTCCAAATAACTTCAGACCCCAATTTTCTCTAAAATTTGCTTCAAATCATGGACTTGAAATCATCACAAGTCTGTGCACAGCCCTGATTAGAAGCTTTTTCAGGCGTGAACCAGGCCGGCTCTCCTTGTCTCTAACGTGGAATGAAAAGGAAAAAAAGGGTGAGGCCAACACGATACTTAGTTTTCAGATTTAGATCAGGGAGAGGACAGAGATGCCATTTATTAGGGTGAGGAATGCACTCAGACCTGGTTTGTTGGGAGACCTGTTTATTCTACCAACTCAGGCCATCTCTGGATAAATAGCTCTGAGAATAAAGGGAGCTCAGGGCAACAACTCCCTGAGGAGTTACTCACCTTTTTTGTCCCTCTTTCATTTTCTTTTACCTTGGCAATACCATTATTACCCAGTCCCATCTAAATATCTCAAGGCCTTTACCTGCTAATTTTACTAACTTAGGCACTTAACAGTGTGCCAGGAAGTGTGCTAAGTATTTGATACCCGGATCTTGTTTGCTGCTAGTAAGAACCCTGTAAGAGGAGCACTCTGATAGCAAAGCACATTGTGTGACTCAGTGCACAAGGCCTTGCCTTCAGAGATGTACTTACCAAGTTCCAGCACTTTCTTTTGGGCTAGATATACACTGAACTGAGGTTATTCAAGTATCTCTCATCCATTCAGTTATGAGCTCTTTAAGGATCAACCAGGGCCTCCCCTGGCGGCACAGGCGGTTGAGTGCCATGCTGTGAAGCTGTCCACAGCCTCTGCAGCGCCGGTTCGATCCCGGCTGGCTGGCGAGGGTCCCACATGGTGAAGCAGACCTCTCCTGTTTCGCCCGCTGCTCCCCTCAGCAGTGTATTTCGTTAGTCTTCCTGTTCTGTTCCGCACTCTCTGGTGAATCCTCTTACCCTCCCGCGCATCTGGCCAGTTCTTGTATGACTAAATAAATAGACCTTAAAATGATAAAAGAATTAACCATTCATCATTATGGGGGGGAGGGGGGGTTTCCCAGAACTAGCATAGTGATTGGCACCTTGTAGATATTTGGCAACTGTTGAAAGGCTCTGTGAATGAAATGATGAAATGAATGAATGACTAGTTAAATCAGAGCTGTGATTTTAAGATATCTGAAAGTGAAAGTTAGGTATATATGCTGCATAAAATCATTTACTGTATATATTTTTAATCCAAAATATTCTTTGCTTTGAAATAATTTCTCTTTATCTTTTTAAAAAATGTATTTATTTATGCCATCAAGAACTAGGGTAGAGGCCAGAGGTGCGGGGGTGAGAGGACTCACCAGAGACAGAGTGGGGAGCAGAACAGGCAGATCTATGAAATACACTGCTGAGGGGAGCAGCAGGCGAGACAGGAGAGGTCTGCTGCACCATGTGGGTAGCTCCCTGGCCATCTGGGGATCGAGCTCTTGCTACAGTGGCTGCAGACAGCTTCATAGTGTAGAGACTTAACCCCTTGTGCCACCAGGGAGGCCCTCTCTTCAGCTTTAAACAGCATATGTGGATTTACCTCTTGCTGGTTGAATCAGACTGTTTTTAGACATGTCAGGTTCTTTTTTCTTTTTCTCATTCCCGTTGAAGTTGTTTGTGCACTTGATCGATTGACAACCTGGCAGCATTTGATGCTGAGTGCCCATCCATGGCTAGAAAAGAGTACATATTAGCCAAGTGCTATTCTTTGCTATGGGGAATCCTGATGATAGGTCTCATTTACTGAATCTATATATTTATCTCACTAAAATTATATATATAATGTGATTGTACTCATGAATAGTATAAGAGGTAGAGACTACCCAATTCGATATTTACTCCTCTGTGTTATTTCCTAATAGGAGATACTGGATGCTCTGCAACAAGCAGAGTCTAAGACAGAAGACTTGAAGTCTCAGCTGAATGAACTTTGTCGATTTTCGAGAGACTTGAGTTCATACAGTGGGAAGGTTTCTGGGCTGATTAAAGAATATAATTGGTAAGCATGAACTGTACTGGCATTCACATATCTTTATATACGTAAATTAGAGGTGTACTTTTAGGTGTGATTTCAATAATAATATAAAATCATTGAATATATTAATAATGTGTGTGTATACATTAAGAACTGTTGATTTTATCAAACATTATTTTAATCTAGTTTATCATACTTTCTCTTCCCTTAAATGTTTCAAATCATGGCTTTAGTCTTTGTTTACAAGCATCCAAAGGCTGTCAGAACAAAGAGCAGATTTTACAACAAAGATTTCGAAGAGCATTCAAAGATTTCCAGCAATGGTTGGTGAATGCAAAAATCACTACCGCCAAATGTTTTGATATACCTCAAAATATTAGTGAAGTTACAACAAGCCTTCAGACAATACAGGTAAGATACATCAGTTGATTCTAGTAATGGTGCTTCAGTGGATTAAAAAGGTACTTCTAGATTCTTCTCATAAACAGATTAAGTTTTTGCTAAAGAAACTCAAATTTCAAATAAATGCCTGTTTTAAATAATTGATTGTGTATATGAAGAGAAACTAACTCACTCCCACAATGCATGTATTTTCATATATTAGTAAAGGCTTGGGCAATAATGAAAGTTCTTCTGCTAAAGCACTCCAAACAGATTTTCTCACTTAGTTTTCCCAGTACCCATATCAGTCATGTGAGAGATTATTAGGTCCAATGTACGGACAGCGTAAAAAAGACTCAGGCAAAATAAAAATAGCTTATTTCTTTGTTTGATCTTGCTGTAAACAAATTGAACACTCAGTGTACTTGACTGTATTTTATTTTTGCCTAACCTGAGGTTTTGCTTTATAGGAATTTTTGTCAGAAAGTGAAAATGGACAGCACAAGCTAAACATGATGCTGTCTAAAGGGGACCTCTTGATTACTCTGTTGACCAAAGACAAAGCTGATGGTATCCAGGCCAAAATTGCAACTGCAAAAGAAGACTGGAAAAATTTTCATTCAAATCTCCACCAGAAGGAATCAGCCTTGGAGGTAGGATCCTCTCACGTGGACATGCGCTGTGTTGATGATAGTTGTCATTAGTTGGACCACCTTCTCAACATATCCAACTACCTGTATCAATAATTGCTGTCATCCTTCTCAGAATATAAATAGAAAACTAGCTATAATGATCAGCACACACTAGAAGTGGGAGCCTCACTGAGGGATGAAATAGCATCTTTTGTGGTAGAAGGTGTGGTGTGGACTTGGTGTACCACCCTGCAGGGAACAAACTTGTGTGACATTTTGACACAGCATTTAACCCTTTCTTTGAAATCCTTCCATGTGGGAAGTTGTTCAAGGAGAATGAACAGAAATACCCAGATTGGGCTGTGAAGTGCTGTGGATGAGAGGAAATATCATAAGTACTGCAGGTATGAAGGTGGTGGTATCTGGAAGTCAAGTGTGCAAAAGACAATATTTATACAATTTCATTTTATTTAAGTCCACCTAAGTTAAATGTATTATAATCATAATATACTGCTAACACTACCATTTTTTTTTTTCTTGTGAGATCATTTATTTTGTGTACCAACTCTTCTCTGGATGAAAATTTAGAGGCATGGAGAGGTTTTTTTTTTTTTTTCCTTTGAGAACAACACTGCCTCGCAGAATAAAGCCTTAATTTGATAACAATCATAAATAATATAGGATGGAAAAATAATAATGGAGAATTAATATTCAGGAAGTGAAAATGTATTTCCTCACTACTTTCCTAACCCAAGACCTTTGCTGTTCTTCTCTCTCAGGAGAATTCTTGGCAATTCTTGCATGCCACACATCTCCATTTAATGGAGAGTAGTGCCCATTGTGCAGGGCCTAGAACTTTAGTCTTTGGCCTGCAGGGATCATTAGTGCAACACGGCCTGAACACTGAAGCATCTACTGTTGAGTCTAGTACATTTAACTTTGATGGCAAGATTGCCTAGTTCAAGAGGTATGCAGAGAGGGTGAGCCAGGAGTTGTCTGCCTTCCTCAGTCTGTTCCTGCCTTCTCTCTCTACTTCCCACTTCGGCCCCTCCTCCTTCACTCCTGTGAAGAATGAAGACATCATGATGCCTTATGTGCCAGGCACTGTGTTAGGTATACAAAAGTGTTAGTCTTTTCCCTCTCTTTAGGATATTCAGTGTCTTCAAGGGGAAAGAGTATTTAAGGAGATGATTGCAATATAAAATAGGTATATGAGGATATGGTCGTTACTCAAAGTAGGACAAGTCACAATAACTCTGGACAAGTCACACAAGGTTTCCAGAGAGCTGACTTTCTAACTGAACCTTGGAACATTCTTTGAATTTGACAAGAACAGTGTGCATTTCAGGCAGGAGGAATTGCATATACAGAAACAGGGCCTCAAGGGTGCCGATTATAAATGGGGGACTGTGAGGAATTTAAGATCAATGTGGACATGAAATTTAAGAAGTGGATATGATCTCTGAAAAAGGCTGGATAATTTGGGGAAAAATTATTTTCGAAAAGCTGGAGTCATAAGAAATTCTCATAGGATGTGCAAAGATTATACAGTTGTCAAGGTCAAGACTAGAGGAAGGGAGGGGGAGGGGGTAGTGGCCTGATCGGGATTTAAATGTCAAGTGAAGGACTTGGGACTTGCTATTTAAAAAAAAGCATTTTTTTTTTTTTTTTTGGTCTCTCACTGTCTAAAACCTTATAGAATCTAAAGATCCAAATGAAGGACTTTGAAGTCAGTGCTGAGCCCGTACAGGACTGGCTGAGCAAAACTGAGAAAATGGTGCATGAAAGCAGCAATCGCCTGTATGATCTGCCAGCAAAGAGGAGGGAGCAGCAGAAGCTCCAGGTGATTAGCCTCTGGGTGGTGAGGCCGTGTCTTGATACCCATCTTCTGCACAGCAGGGCAGGGCTCAAGCTGTGAGTTCAGGTGCATGCAGAACATTCTGGAGTTAGATTGTGCCACCTTGAGATCAGCATATCCTTTCCTGATTTTTGACAGATTTTATGTTTTCTGGCTTTCCTCAGGTATGACTTGTTTCTGTCCCGCCGTTATGTACTGTGTGTAGCATGGAGAGAATAAAGCCCTCGGGCCCACGTAGTACTCGCCAGTGTTTGATTTCTGTGTTTTTTGGATCAACGCTTCGTCCGCCATGTGCTTCCCCGCCAGCCTCTTAATAGTAACTTGCTTGTGCTTTTCAGTCTGTCCTTGAGGAAATAAACTGCTACGAGCCTCAGCTCAACAGGCTCAAAGAGAAAGCTCAGCAGCTGTGGGAAGGACAAGCTGCCAGCAAGAGCTTTATGCACAGAGTGTCGCAGCTGTCTTCTCAGTATCTAGCGCTAAGCAATCTAACCAAGGTAATGCCCGCCATGTGCTGTGTGTGAGTGTGGTGCCGCGTCACGGGTCTGCGGTCTCAGGGTGCTGCCCCAGCACCCCCTCAAATCAGGCATTCATGAGGCATTATCTTCATGTGGACAGGAGCAAGGCAGGGCTCAACCCGGGCGGGGAGTCCTCACATCTATCATTGCACAGAAGTAGCCCCTTGAACACTGAAGTGGTTTATTCTCCAGCATTTTTGCTTTGAAGTCTCCAAGAAACATAAACATCAGGCAAAATACAGAGTTTGGGATCTAACGAATCTTAAATTACTTCAGAAAAATCTTGAATTCAAAGCACTTTAGCTCTTAGTGGATTCAATATAAAGACTTTGGGTTTTTTTTTTTTAAAGATTTGTCTCAATTCCTCATATTTATTGTAATCAGGGAAGGGAGTGAGGGATTTGGTTCAGATTCTAAAGCAGGCCTCAAAATTGGCAACAACCCATGTAACTGATTAAATTTCTTTAAAACACCTTAGAACAAAGTAAATGGGATGCCAGAAACATTCAGCTGGTTTAACTGAACCTGTGGCCAGGCCTCCCGTGAGCTTCATGTAGATCACAACATTGAGTCTGTATGTTTCCCTCTTGCCTTTCAGGTTGTAGCACGTGGGCACCTGCTATTGTTTTAATTTGGCTTCACCCGTTGTGGTGTGCACCAGCTGGTGGTCTGCTCATTGGGGCCTCTGTAAACATCACGGACAGTCATGCTAGCTTGAGACTTGAGTAAATAGTCTGTGTTTGCACCCCTGCTTCTTCTATGAAAAAGTCTCTTTTTTGTCTTTAGAAATCCGACGTACCTAAGGTGGAATGAATGAAGGGTATCTTTTTATTCCTTTGAGTTCACTTTGATAATATCAATCAGTAAATATTTGAGTGTTTTGAAAACTGCAACTATATTCATAAAAACATCACTATGTTGGGTATAACTGTCACTTAATAAGTAAAATCATACTTGTGGCCCTCATTTCTAGACTTCAGGATAGACAGGATCTCAGGTGACTGTCTCCCTAAAAATCTAGCTCCACTGTGCAGCGTGCAGTGTGTGTGGGATCAACTGAGCCAAATGAATGCTGGGAATGACCTTGCTTCATCCCCCAGACAAAGTGTTAGGAAGAAATTTGACTGATTCTGAAAAAGTCACGGTTATCATAAAGAGTCATAGCCACTAAGTTAAGGAGCAGCCAGTTAGAATTATTTGTATTTTTTCTGATGTTTGACCGAATTATTCTCCTATTTTTACTTGCAGTTGTACCTCACACATCTCAGGTGAATTCAGACTCGCATCATATGGGGGTGGCATATGGGGCTACGTTTTAGGAAGCAAATAGCTTTACAATTTGAGTCGTGTTAGGTTGTGAGGTCTCTGTGGCTCAGATGGCTGGAAAACCATTGCTGTCGTTTCCAGGAGAAAGTGTCACGACTGGACAGGATTGTGGCAGAGCACAGCCAGTTCTCCCTGGGGGTGAAGGAGCTGCAGGACTGGATGACAGACGCCATTCACATGCTGGAGTCCTACTGCCACCCCACATCTGACAAGAGCGTGCTGGACAGCAGGATGCTCAAGCTCGAGGTGGGTGTTTGGGAGAAAGAGAGCTAATTGCCAGACTTTCTTTTTTCTCAAAATTTCTCAGGTCTCCACTTGCCTGGGGTGACTGTGCACACTCTCTACCAGGAGTCTCAGAAAGTTCTGAGTGTGACTCTGTTTGCCTAGGGTGGCAATGCTACAGCTTTCCTGAACTGTTCCCCACCACCCCCCGGGCATGTTCACATGCATTCTTTAAAAACATAAAATATCAACCCAAATAGGAATCCTTGCTGGATAACCCATTTAGAGACTGGTTTTGAATTCTATCACCAACCCATTTATTCTAAGAAAATATTTCAGTGAAACATTTTATAGGGTAAAACATTCCCTGTCTTATTCAACTCACTTGTCTACTTGTATCATTTAGACAATTCCTTCTCTATCCTAGGAGTGAGTTCTGTTTTGCATTTGTGATAAAATAATTATTCTGCATTTATTCATCTCAATCATATCTGGGGTGTCCTCTAAGAGATCAGCACCCTATCTTGATACCAAGGATTCAAAAGTGAGTAAAATGTGATTGTGGTCCTCAAGGATTTCACTGTCTGAGGCTGGAGGCTGGATCCTGAGTGATGATTATAACAAATGTGGTTCTGTAGACTCATGAAGGCGTCCACTGTGCAGGAGAGACAGGTGGAGTCAGAGCAGGTTTCTCAGGGATTCTGACACCTGAGCTGAGATAAGTGAGTGGCCCCACTGTGAGCAAAAGCCAGAGAAGGCCAGCGGTGTAGCATGTGAGAAGTTTCTAGCAGTTCCTTGTAGCTGCAGCAAAAGCTGAGGCTGAATCTATAATGCTATAAGCAGATGGCAAGGTCCATGCTAGGGGCCATGATGGAATTTCTTGGCCTTTTAGGTGATAATCCCAGTTTTAGAGCTTTGCATTCAAACTTCCTTCTCACATCCCAAAGAGTAGTGGTGACAAAGACCTTGAAATATTTGCATTAAAATAGATGTCAACCATTTCCTTAGATTTGTTATGGTAGAGACTTTCACATCTATAGTCAGGGTCCTGCTCTCCACCCATAACTCTGAGAGCTGATGGTTCCCCAGTTACTTACTGTCTCCTGAGCTTCGTGAACTCTGACACGGTCAAAGTCAGCAGCGCGGAACCTGCCAATGACACAGGGTTCTGCATCTGCTTCCCAGGCGCTCTTGTCGGTGAAGCAGGAGAAGGAGATCCAGATGAAGATGATGGTGACCAGAGGGGAGTGTGTCCTCCAGAACACCTCTGCGGAAGGCGTGCCTGCTATTCAGCAGCAGCTGCAGTGTGTGAAGGATATGTGGGCCTCCTTGCTGTCTGCAGGGATTCGCTGTAAAAGGTAAGCCAGACTAAATCTGTTCGTGGGCAGAATGAGGGCACCAGGGCACCCCAAAGCCTGCCTGCTCTTAATAGGTTCTGCTATCTGCCACATCAAGACAAAACATACTCTAGTGCTAAGCCCATCAATAGAAAATAACTTTAATATAATTAGTGTGCGGTAAAGAGAAGAGAAAGAATATAATTAAAATAGTTTCCCAATGAAGCACCCAAGTTACCCACCCCTTGTGGATAAATGCCCAGACAGGGGTGGCCCAGAGCAGGACCACTGAGGCCCCATAGCGTCCCATGGGTCTACGGCACCTTCTGGTGGGGCCCACAGGAAGGGGGCAGAAGGGCCGGGCAAGTCTGGAAGGAAAAGAGCAAGTCAAAATCCAAGGCAAGATAAAGGCTGCCACTGTCGGCCTCCCCAGGGGTCTCAGACCCTGGTCTCTATCTCTTTCAAGTGTCTCCTTCCACGCGCCCTGAGTTCCTAGCGCAAGGCCCTGGCCCAGAAGCAAGGGCGGCTCCTTCACGTGTCTCTTTGCGCCATGTGCCGCCTCCAGGCTGCTTCCTTCTCCAGCTCTCTCCATTTGCCTCAGCCAGGCCTTCTCTCCCTCGGCCCTTCTCTCTGCCTTTTTCTTGCTTCCCCTCCCCGCCGAGCTCCTCCTTCCCTGGGGATGCAGGGAACTGGGAACCTCCCCCTTCTCTGGCCGTGACTAAAGCACCAGTAAAGCACCTCGCTGCTGACAGGTGACTCCACCATGGTCTGCCTGCCTCGCTCCCTGCCCTTCCCCTCCCTGCCCTCTCTCTTTCTCTTTTTCTCACCAACTTTAATTGAGGTAACATGTTTGCCACACAGCAGCTTCTTTCTTTTTCTTGTTGCTCCCTGCTTAGACAGTCAAAAGATGACGAATGTCCCCCCATGTTAAACACACACTTTACTTCAGACGTGATCCCAGCGAGCACCAGGATGGGTGGGGAAGAGAGGAGGAGGAGCAGCAGCCAATAAACATCACCCTATCCGACAGCTTACCTGGGGTTGGGGTAATGGGGGAGCCGTGTCGAAAAGGGGTGGCACCCCACCCATGGGCAGGGGAGTTGGGTTACTTGTAAACCAGCTCCCAGGAGCCATCAGGAGAGTGAGGCTGCCTCTAGGAGAACAACCCCTGGCACTTCTTGCCCACATTGTCCTCAAGTTGAGAGGACCCTGGGCACCGGAGAATGCCCTCAGGCCAGGAGGGCATGGAGCCCGCACGCAAGTCCAGCTGACCTGTGCGCCTCAGGCAGAGCCACGGAGCAGAGTGTCTGCTGCCAACGAGCCCAAAGCATGGTCGTAACTTTGGGCGCCCAAAATGGGACATTAGGTTGAGAGAAGGAAGTGCTTCATTTATCTGTGAGAGAAATAGTCAAACTTTAATAATCAGCCAATTCAACAACTGTTGCCCTGGTTTTCCGTAGTGACTTTCTGGTTTTTAAATCTCATGCAAAATAGTTGCTGAGCTCCTTCTTGCTTGGTTCTCCCTTCCTACTCCTAGGAATCCCTCCCCCACTCGACTCTGAATGGCCTGTTTAGCCTGTTGGGGTTCAGGGAAGCCTGGTTCTAGGGGGGGTCTCCTGTTTCTGCCCTGAAGTCTCTCCCATGTCTCGTGAGGCCTGGTCACTGCTGTCGGGTTTTAGAGCTGGTCTCTGTTCCCTCCTGTCAGTCTGGACCTCCCGTCTGTCCCAGGCTCCCTGAGACTGGGCTTTCCAGGGACCCAGACTTGCAGGTCATCCCACCTTCTCCCAACCTTGCTCCCCCCATTCTGCTGGCCGGGGTGGGCAGAGCAGACAGCAGGTAGAGACTGGACGAAGTAGGCTGACCCATACCGATCACTGTCCGTTCAACACCTTTCAGTCAACTCGAAGGAGCTCTGTCTAAGTGGACAAGTTACCAGGATGACGTTCGACAGTTTTCCAGCTGGATGGACGGGGTGGAGACCAGCCTAAGCGAGTCGGAGAGGCAGCACGCGGAGCTGCGGGAGAAGACGGCTGCCCTGGGGAAAGCCAAGGTAGGCCTGGAGTGAGGGCTCCTTCTCCCCGGCAGCTTCCTGAGGATGATGCCACTCAGAAGTGTGGCGTTGTGTGTGCTCAGCCATGCACGTAAATTAGCTACAGTTTGGGCTTATAGAAAATTTCTAGTATCTTCTTAAACTAAAGCTATTGCTGGCCATTTTACTAGTGAGTGAAAATTTTCTCTTACGTGTTATGGTACATTGGAAATTTCCAAGTTTTCCTATCTTTTAGTATCTTGTTCCTACTTGTAATTATGAATGAAAGTGCTTTCCTTTTAGCATAATCTTTTCCAGTCCTACTTTCATACATTTTTCATAAATAAATGCCCATCTTAATACAGTACTACGTGTAAAGAAATTTTAAGTAAATAAATACGTCCCTAGATGTCTTTAATGGATAGTAGTGCTCAAATAGTAAAATCTCAGAGACTTTGGATTTTTAGGTCTAACTGTTCTTTGGGTGACATGTCGTACCTCAACTTTATTATATCCTAAGATCATGACCTAAACCTGTCTCTTCTAAACCCAAAAATCCTTCAGACTCATCTTTTTAGTAGTACTTCACTCACATGGAATAGCCTGCACTAGAATCCTCAGCCCCCAGCTCCTTCTTTCTCATCCTCACTTCACTTTAGGCACTAGGTCTTACTGATTCTAGCTCAGAAATGGCTCTTGGCTGCAGCCTGTCTGTCCCTGAATCGCAGCCGACCTCTAACTCCTCCGCTGTCTTTTTTACTACATTTGCCGTTGTCTTTGGAGAAAGGTGAGTGTCTCACTTTCCTGCTGGAGTCTTGCTAGCTTCCCAGTGCCCCTCACCTGGCTTGTAAGAATTTCATCATCTCTGTTTCCATCCCCACTCCCTTCAGTTTCGCTCCCTTTTTCACCCATGCGCCAGCCTCGATGAGGCTGATGTTCACGCTATTTCTCAAATACGCCACAAGCCTCTAAGACCCCAGGCTCTGCAGAGTCTCTTCCCCTTTCACAGACTGCCCCCCTCGACCTCGGAACCTGGCAGCCCCCTCTCACCTTTCTGAATTTCTCCAGACATCATTTTTGTCATGAAACCACCACCTCCAAAGACTTACCTGGTTCTTCTCTGTTGTTCATGCCTCCATCATTTTAATTGAAGATATGCTTCCGACCTTTCCTCCTCTGGGGGTAAAGATGCTTAATTTTCTGTGTATCCTATACACTTGGCTCTCAGTCTAATGCAGGGCAAATGCTGAGCAGAAGTTTCTTGAATGAGTCCACAGTGGCCCTCTGTGGCCCATGCTAAGTCACTTAACATTTCTGGGTCTCATTTGTTCACCTGCAAATTAACAAATCGCAGTAAGCTAACTTGTAGAACTGTTGTAATGATGAATTAGCTAATTAATTAAATTATTCTTCTACTCCATAGCAGAATAGTCTCAATATTTATGAGAACTTGCTGTCTGCAGACAATGTGCCAGATTCTAGGTGAATAAAGCAGGCAAAGGCTGTAGGAACACGCACATTCATCCGTGCATGCTTGGATATATTGTCATCATCACTGGTGATGAGTTCCATGAAGAAGAGTGGTGTGCTGTGGGAGAGAATTATCTGGACAAGGCTGATCTAGATTGCTAGCGTCAGGGAACCGGACCATAAAGGCCTCCCTGAAACAACAGAAAAATAGACTTCATCCTAAGAAACATAGTGCAGAGAAATTACTGTGGGGAACAGGCGGGAAAGAGCATTCCAGATGGAAAAATAGCACGTTCAGAGGCTTTGAAGAGGACAAGAACTTGGCTCCATCTGGGAGGGAGGAGAAGTTTGTGTGTTGCTGGAGTGAAAATAAAAGGGGCGGGTGCTATGAGGGGATTGGTGGAGGTGGCGAGGACCCGATCAGACCATGTTAGCTAACCTGGGACTTTTCCACTGATTCTGACAGCCTTGGACAGAATATGAAATGTTTTAAACCAGGGAGTGACAGAATTCCTTTTACAAACCTGAAACCTTTTAGAGCTTGGACTGCCATGTGGAGTATTAAAAAAGGAGTGTGCAAGAATTGGCGTGCCTCGCCAGGTGCCAGAAAGTCCAAGGAAAGGTGATAACACATAGGTCAGGACACTCACAAGAGGCAGGAGGACACATGTCAGGATGTACTGAAGAGACAGGACTAACACGATTCCACCGTGAAGGTGGAATCCACTGTGAAGGTGGAATTAAAGGATGGTGAAGTCACAGGGATCTGAATTGACTGACTGGGTGGGAAATGATGCCAATAATTGTTGGAGAGAAGACTGAAGGAGAAGGGGACTTGGTGGGGGCTGGAAAATAGCAATGGAGTGCAGGTCAGGAGCCCATTTTGGGGCAAATGAAGTTTGAGATATTCAAGTCAATGGAAACCAGTATCTCAGAGAAAGTTCTGGGTCAGCTATTAAACACACATCCATAAATACACAATTTCAGATAGAGAGACACACACACAGGCATAGAATGGATAGATATCGCTAAATGATAGGTAGAAAGAGAAATGAAGACAGAAGAGGGGAGGGAAGGCAGGAAAGCGAGAAGGAGGATAATCTGAGCTCCTCACTGCACAAAGTTTCTTCATTGTAGAAGTGCCGTTGCTCTGATGCTGTGTCTAGTAACTCCTTTATTGATTTTTTTGTGTGTGTTCTCTAGTTATTAATCGAAGAGGTGCTAAGTCACAGCAGCTTGCTGGAGACCATAGAAGTCAAAGGGGCTGGCATGACAGAACACTATGTCACCCAGCTAGAATTCCAGGAGCTGCAGGAGCGCTACCGAGTGATCAAGGAACGGGCCAAGGTATGGCTGCCATGTGCCACCTCTGAAACTGGGTATATGAGCTGAGCTTATTTAAAGGCCCATTTATTCTGGGGAATGACAGACTTGTGAAAGCAGAAAAGGAAAAGATGCAAATCAAAAAACCCCAAATTGTTTGGATATGAACGTTACCGAAGGGAAATAATCTCCCATCAAAAATTTCTAGGTATTTACCAGCTTAAGAAAAATTTTGGACAGCTTCGTCATGTAGACTTATAAATGCCTTATTGAAGGCTGCTGATGACTGTTTCCCAAAGTAAAAAATAATCACTAATAATATTTATCATTGCCCTCTTAGGCTTCACAAGAAAACATAAATAACTTCTGAGAGTACATCGAATTTTACTGGACAAAGTACATGGAAAATTAAATTGACAGTGTGTTCTAATCCTCACTTAAATCACTGTATAAGAGTTTCAGTTTTCAGGCCCCCCTGTGGCACAAGGGGTTAAGTCTCAGCACTGTGAAGCTATCTCTACTGCAGCACATGTTCAATCCCTGGCCAGGGAGCTGACCCACATGGCACAGCAGACCTCTCCTGTCTCCCTGCTACTCCCCTCAGCAATGTATTTCAGTCAATCCACCTGTTCTGCTCCCCACTCTGTCTGTGGTGAATCCTCTCACCTTCCCTTCACTTCTGGCCTACACCCAGCTCTTGTATGCATAAATAAATATTTAGGAAAAAAAATTCAGCTTCATTAGCAAAAGTATATTTTTATGACAAGTAAATTGGATTATTTTTTGCTCTGCCCATGTTATACTTGATAAAGAACTCAGAGGTCAGGTAGTGAATTCAACAAAGTGATCTTAATACACCTTTTAATCTTGATATCATATGTTTATATACCTTGCATAAATCTTAAAGCTTTTTCTTCTAGAAAATCATTTGTACTGCAGTGGTTTAATAATTGTGCTTTTCTAAAGTTGCAAGAGTGAATTCTGATAGTACATTGATAGTGCATTCTGTAGAATATTCCTATCGTAATCATCTTAACTATCAACAACAGGAAGCAGTAACCAAGTCTGAAAAACAAGTTCGCCTGCACCAGGAATATCAGAGAGACCTACAGGCATTTGAAGTTTGGTTGGGGCAAGAACAAGAAAAACTTGACCGGTACTCAGTTCTGGAAGGAGATGCCCACACTCATGAAGCAACACTGCGGGATCTCCAGGTAAAGTCTACATTGTTTTAAAACAAAGGTATTTTCATTCAGATTGTACACTTACTCTTTCAAGCAACAGAAAGTGAATATGACCTTGAATCCTATAAAGAGCTGATACATATTAAGTGAGACCCTAGGAAAGGCTGATCTGGAACATTCTAAAGCAGTAGTATATGTCCATTGAGATCATTCCATCAATTTGGAATCAAGCAAGACTGGGATTTGAGGAATTCTTTCAGTGACTCAGGTGGCCTCTAATGGGAATAGCAAGGGGTCTAACTTACGCGGTTCCCTGGAGCCACCTGCCTGTTACTCGGTAAAGGATGTGGGGCAGCAGGAGCGAATACGATGTGACACTCCCTCCATGTCACAGTGGTGGCCCCATCTTGGGCTGGTTTCCGCCAAGACCTGCCACATAGCTGAGGACACAGGCCGAGGGTCAGAGACCTAGAAAGTGAGCAGTCTGTGGTTCAGGGTCAGGTGGGACAGTGAAGAAAAAGTGATCTAATGCGCTTATTCATTCACTCACTAGCATGTGTTGATGATCAAATAAAGTGCAGATGCCTGGCCAGCTACTTCGGGTAAAGATGACTAAAATATCATACCTGCCTTCAAGGAGTTTGTAATCTAATGAGAAACGCAGACCTATTGGTAAATCATTATGAATTGTGTGATAAGGAGAATAATAGAGTAGTGCAAGGGAATTTATGAGAACATCTAAGAGAGGCCCTTAATCTTCCCTGGAAAGATAGATAGGGGTCAGTGAGGTAACCCAGGAAGGGATCGTCAGACACACCAAGTCAAATGGAGAAAGGTCAGCAAGACCACTCCCAGTCTCACCAGCTGTGTTGGAACTCACATGCTGGGCCTGGTTTGCTTTGGCTCCAGATCGAGCATTTGACACACCTATAGCTTGCACGGGTGGACAAAGCAGAGACTGAGAGGTTAGCTGACATAAAATTCCTGGCAATTTCAGTTAGGTTTGGGAGCATGCAGGGTTGGGATCGGGAACCCTGCACCCTCATTCTGGCAGGATCTGACCCTGGTTAGCTTCAGAAAGGAGAGACGCTCTCTGATTCTATTTCCTCTGCATAGTTGGAAGGAGAGATGAAATAAGAGGGGAAAAATCTTATTGAGATGATGATCGCTTCAGAAAATAGATCGTAGACGTTAGGGTTCTAAGTTCATTGGTTGTAAAAGGAGCCCATCCATTCTCTTTGAAGTGTCTGTAGGGTACTCCGAGCTGCCAGGTTCAGCTAATGTAATTATTTTAGGAGAGCTGACTTTGTTTTCTCGAAATAACCCTCTTAGCACTTCACTCCAGTCCCTCTTGGCAAGTGCACCTGAGCTCTCTGGGCTTCCATGTGGGAATTGAGCCAGTAAGTTCCCCGTGACCCACAGGTGATGCTCTTATCCTGGTCAGAAGAAAATGTCTCACTTAAGGGACTACCAGTGTGGCCCCACACTAACTCCAATATCCCATTTCACCTACACTAACTTAATAGTATTATTTTAAGTTAAATATTCACTGTTGAAAAGGAGGGAAAATGCTGTGCTGGGAAAAGGTGGTGGGGAATAGTGACGTCCAACCGCATAGCAGAACATCAGGGTCCTGACGTCCTGACGTCCTTTAGGCATCTCTGTGGCATGGAACAGAGATTTTTAAAATATTGAACCATATTCATTTCAAGTAAAAACTTGAAATATGGGATATTTGCTAATCAAACTAATATAGTGATGATTTGTATCCCACAGGAAACGGTTATACATATGGAATAGGTGACATATTGGGGAAATTAATAACTCTGTAGATCAGAAGACTACAGTTAGATTTTCAGTCATGTTCCCTGTATTTTAAATAAAGTTTTTTTGGGACACAGCCACAACCATTCATGTCAATATCTTCTCTGGGTGCCTTAGTGCTGATCTTAGCAAATTAAAGTAGCCGCAGCAGAAGCTGTGTGACTCAGGAAACATAAAATATTTACTAGTGAACCCTGTTTGGAAAATACTAGTAATCCCTGAATTAAGGAAAAGCATCATACAAAATCCACTTTTGGGGCCTCCCCAGCCGGTTGAGCGCAGCGCTGTGAAGCTGTCCACAGCCTACGCAGCGCCGGTTTGATTCCCGGCCGGCTGCGGAGATACCCACATGGCGGGACAGACCTCTGCCGTCTCTCCTGCTGCTCCCCTCAGCAGTGCTTTCGGTCTGTCTGCCTGTTCTGTTCCCCACTCTGTCTCTGGTGAATCCTCTCACCCTCCCATGACTCTGGCCTATACTCCAGCTCTTGTATAAATAAATAAATAAAAATCTTCAAAATCTACTTTTAAAAAATCTTAGAATGACTGACCATTTTGATAAATATTTTTATCCTATGTTATTCTTCTTTTCCATTGACAGCATGTTCACCTAACATTTTAATTTATTTTTTTCACATTACATTTTAGTGACATCATCTTGAAGAAAAAATGCGTCTGTTACTTCAAGTCATATAAGATTGCTATTTTTATTGGTAAACATGGTCGTATACAAGTGATTTTCAAATGCATTTAAAGACTTTTTTTATAATGCTGCATTTTAGCTAAATATATTGGTGCTTTAAACTTTCCTGGTGAGACCTGTCCTGGTTCCTTTCAACTCTACATGATGAGATCAAGTAACAGCACGTTTCTTTTTCTAACATTAGAAAGACAATACTGTTTTGTCAATATCTTTGAGGATATGTGGTTTGTTCTCTATAAACATAGTGTATTCTTCTCAAGCCTTGGCTCATACTGAAATCATAGGGCAAATCTTTGGGGCTTATGCTTTGGTGGAGGAAACTGTATTGCACCTGGTGGGCAGGTGTGATGATTCAACCTCCCAGATTTGTAGTCTTCTGCCTCCCAAGAACAACTTGGCTTGTTACCACATCCCCAGAGTATAACTTTGCAAAGGATCCCTCCTTAGTAAAAGTGGGTCCATTGATCCCAAGTACAACACTGACCTTACTCAATGTCAAAGCAAAAAATCCTAGGACTTTTAAGCAGATTATGAGCCATAATAAGCCTGTTATTTTTCAAATAACAGCCCTTCAATCACGAGCGGTTTTGCCTCTAAGTTGAAAAGTCAAATTTCAGAAACTGTTTCTAGGATAAATGAGAAAAATATTATCATGTGTGTGTTGTGATTTTTTTAATCAGAGATATTTCTGAATCTTTCTCCTAAGCTGGGTAACAACATTCAGTACTAGGTACACATTTTTGTATGAGATGGAGTAAAATTCAAATGTGCAATTCACACTGATACAGTTGGCTTGGTGAGAAGTGATAACCTACCCAGGTATAAAATATGGATGAGATGTGACAGCCATATCTCCCCTATGCAGGAGCTGCAGGTGCGCTGTGCTGAAGGGCAGGCATTGCTGAATTCAGTGCTGCACAGCAGAGAGGAGGTGATACCATCTGGTATCCCGCAGACAGAGGATCGGGCTCTAGAATCTCTCCGGCAGGACTGGCAGGCTTACCAGCAGAGGCTCTCTGAGACCCGAACTCAATTCAACAATGTCGTGAACAAATTGAGACTAATGGAACAGAAGTTTCAGCAAGTAGATGAATGGCTGAAACTCCTGGAGGAGAAAGTGAGCCTCAGAACGGGATGTCAGTCTAACCGGGCAGCCAAGGAGATACAGCTACATCAGATGAAGGTACTGCTAGTGTGAATTCCCTGACTTGTCAAAATAGCTGAGATCATGCATAGTTTGTTTTATTAAAATAGTAACTTTGGTCAAGACTTAGATTTTGCAAGATCTTTTTCACTTGCCTACAAATTTAAAATAAAGCATGCCAGAGCATTTTCCTTGCAGCAGTGACTTCAGAGAATCCAAATTAGTCTTTGATAAAATATAATCTAATGAAATATTTTCTGTTTTCTTCCCTTAACTTATTACCTTGCTTTGTAAAGATACATGACTGCTACTGTTGCATTCATTTAAACTTCTGGTTCTGATATGAAGTTTTTCTAATATAATGCATTGAAAAAATAATTACCTTTATTCTAATTTTATACAGATTAAGTGCATGGGATGAAAATAATCCTTTACTCTTTGCTATTTCTTTTTATTGTCTCTTTTAAAATTTATCAAAGCGCAACAGAAGATGTAAAAATGTATGCATTCTTTTAAGAAAATTTTAATTAACTAAATTGTAAAATATGTAGAAAGTTATGTGACACATTTTCAAAATTATATCTCAGAATAAATATATTCTAAACATAATAAATTCTAACTCTAAATAAATATATTCCCAATCATTCCCTACTAAGATGATACATATATATATATATATATATATATATACAAAATCTTACTTTTTTCTTGAGCTGGTGTAATATATACAAAAAGTTTCCACATCAGAATAGTTTTTATCACATTGTTGTAATGCAGTTGTCATGATGGTTATATTTGATATATCTTTAAAATTATATTTCAGAAAAAATATCCTAAACATACATTAAATGATTTGCTTTTAAGAGCTAGCTATGTATATATATTTGCCTGGTCCAAGAATGCTTAAGGTTGAGCCTTCCCCTCCAATATTTACGTCATTTCAGAAGTGGCACGAGGAAGTGGCCGCCTACAGAGATGAAGTCGAGGAGGTGGGATCCCGCGCACAGGAGATCCTGGACGAGAGCCACGTGAGCGGCCACATGGGCTGCCAGGCCACGCAGCTGACCTCCAGATACCAGGCCCTTCTCCTCCAAGTGCTGGTGAGTGGGCTGCTCACTGCTCAGTCTGGGCAGCAGCAGTGGGAGCTGCACAGGACAGAGGAAAGACAACTCAAAGTGCAAGGATGAGGGGAGAGAGAGGAAGGGATGGGAAGGAGCAAGGGGTGGGGGAAGGGAGAGAAAGATAGAGGGAGGGAGGGAGAGAGGGAACCAGAGACACCGAGAGGGTCTCACACCTCAAGGAGTGCAGCCCCATTCCCAGGGCAGTCTCACATGTGTTGGGAATTGGGTTCAGGGAAGGTGGGCAAGTGTGAGCAGGAATGTACTGTTGGAGCTGTGTATTGGGGATGCTCGATAGTCTGGCACAAGCTAGGAGGCTCTGGGCTTTGCCTGGGGCATTCCATTGCTCCCCTGATCAGAGCATCCTGTTTCTAGTTCCTGTTTACACTTAACTTTCTGTCAAGGTGGTCTAGCTGGTTATGCCAATCTGGCCATAACGTCCACCTGCTGCTCTCAGCAGATTCTGGTGCTCCAGTATATCAGTCATACCAAGACTTTTGTCCTGGTGCGAGGACTTCTGCCTGATTATATTTCAGCTTGACCAGCAGGAACTCTGGGCACCAAAACAATATCTCCCCGAACAGGGGGGTTGAGGAAGCCACAGGACCCAATACCCTTTCTTCCATTAACTTCCAGGGAGGTGCCTAATGGCACTTAGCACAAATGGCGCTTGCCCCCGTCTTTACTTTACTGTTTGATTTTCTTTTTCTTTCAAAGGAACAAATAAAATTCTTGGAGGAAGAGATTCAGAGCTTGGAGGAATCAGAATTATCCCTAAGCACCTACTCGGATTGGTATAGCTCTACTCATAAAAACTTCAAGAATGTAGCTGCCAAAATTGATAAAGTAGATAAAACCATGATGGGGAAGAAAATGAAGACCCTGGAGGTAGGCATGCCTGCGTCTGGCTCGCCTCCCAGCCTCTTCCTGCAGTGGGCTGCTCCACTCCCTGCACAGGATGTGGGAGCACTGCTGTTTATTCCACAGGATTGACATCCTTTCATTCCAAAACTAGGTCATAAAGTTAGGAAGACCCAGAGCTGGCTTTTATTGATTTGTGATATCATATGAATGACTTAGATGTCACTGCTGCCAAAATTTTAATGACATTCCAATTTGACACTTAAATATTAAGAGGGAAAAAATCCTCACGTTGATGCCGCTGTGCAGTAACACTGAGGTCTTGGCCAGGTCTTTAAGAACATTGCTGAGCATGAGCGAGACATTAAATTCTTTTTTAAGTCTTTGATTTAGAAGTGATGTATTGATCAAGATTTTTTATTTTTATTCTATTTTTTTTAAAGATTTATTTATTTATTTATTTATTTATTTATTTATTTATTTATTTATTTGTTTGTTTATTTATACAAGCACTGGGTACAGTCAGAAGCATGGGAGGGTGAGAGAATTCACCAGAGCCAGAGCGGGGAGCAGAGCAGGCAGAAGGACCGAAGTACACTGCTGAGGGGAGCAGCGGGCGGCAGGAGAGGTCTGCACGCCATGTGGGACCCTCCTCCGGTGGCCAGGGAGCAGCCGGGGATTGAACAGGTGCTGCAGAGGCCACGGGCAGCTTTGCAACCCAGTGCTCAACCGCTGCGCCACCGGGGAGGCCCAGATCAAGATTTTTTAAAGCTCTATTGAAATAAAGAAAATTCCTGGCATGTTAAATTGGTTTAATACTTCAAAGATGTGTTTTCAGGAGAAATATATGGCCTTGAGAATGGGGCTTAGAAACCTTTTCTTTAGAAGGCAAAAAGTAAGACGACCTCGGTGTTGGCTTCCTACTTTCTCTTCTCAGGGTTTGCTCAAAGACATGGAGAAAGGCCACAGCTTACTGAAATCAGCCCGGGAGAAAGGAGAGCGAGCTCTTAAGTACTTGGAGGAGGGTGAGGCAGAGACATTAAGAAAAGAAATCCACGATCGCGTGGAGCAGTTGAAGGACCTGACCAGCACTGTCCGGAAAGAGCACACAGCCCTGGAGAAAGGCCTTTACCTAGCGAAGGAATTCTCGGATAAATACAAAGCGCTCGCTCAGTGGATAGCCGAGTACCAAGAAATCCTGCACAGCCCCGAAGAGCCCAAAATGGAGTTATATGAGAAAAAAGCTCAGTTATCTAAATACAAGGTAGTATGCGGTTACTTGCTGCCAAGTGCACAGGGGGGTCCTGCAGAGACTAAATGTGGGGGTGGTGGGATGGAGCATGAATTCTTGTGTGTGTCACCACTAGTGGATGATGGAAAACAGCCTTAACATCTTCTCTCTAGCAGTGGTGAGGTCGCAACAATTTCCTAGAGAAATCAGACGGCACCCCGAGAGGCGGAGAGAGATGTAATTGTCACACCGGCAGGCTCAGTGGGATCGCTCCCCAAAGGGCTGAGCACCCAAGAACAAAAATGGCAGGTTTTATACAATTTGTATGAGGAAACTTGCTGTCCCATCCACCACAGCATGAGCTTCCTTTATTGTTTGGGAAGGGGGTTCGAGGTAGTCATGGCTACCACTGTGAGCAAGCCGTGCAGCATGCCCAGAAACGTCTCCGCTCCAGCAAGCAACAGAATCAAAACGGTAGACTCCCCCAAACAGCAGGCTTGGGAAAGCAACAGAAACTAAGCTTCAGACTCCCCCAAGCAGCAGGCTTGGAACACTTCCTGCTTCAGTGAGGTTGTGGCTTTATTTGGCTGGAGACACCCCCTCGGATTTCCCTTCCAGCCAGGAGTCCTGGTGACCTGATATGCAAGGACTGTGTCCCTGTAAACAGATCGAGTCTCTGAGCATGACCCAAGCACAGAGCTCCTCCAGCTCCACCTCCCTGGTTGATCTCACCCCTGTGCATGTTACCGGTTTCATGCAGCATTCTCGTCAATTTTCAATACCCAAGGCCTATAAACTGGCCCATGGTCAACTGGAAATGAATTCTAATTAATTAACTAAGAAAATAAGTTGCAATGAACCAACTATAGCTCAATACCGTAGAAATTAATTTTTTGCAAATATGCATAATTGAATGGAACTTAGTGAAAGAGTCAGAGGAAGCACTGTATGATTTCATTCCTCTGGGAGATAAATGAAAGTAGTAAATAAAAAAAAAGAGAAACAGTCTTTCTAGCTATAAAAACAAACTAATGGTTACCAGAACAGAAAGGTGAGGGGGTGTGGGTGAATCTGGGAGGGGTCAGTTTTTCTGGAAGCTAGAACGCTGGCGATGAGCAGAGGGAGTAGATACAGATGTTGATTGATGAGGCTGTTCCCCTGCAGCCTGCATAACGTTACGGACTGATGTTCCTTCAATCCACCAACCAATCCATCCTTTTCAAAAAGAAAGCTAGTGATGTGGACCAAATTTTTAAAGCAGTTCTCAAAGCTTTTATGTGGAATCATCTGTATTTTACATTTGACCCAAATGACTTAGGGATGTAAGAATGACAGTGTGATTAATGGTTTATCCTCAGTTTTTCCTGTTGAAAGCTTGCTCCTCCTCTACTCAATAGGTCTGTTCCTATCCTTGGCTTTTCTGCCAAACCTGACAGTGTCTCTGAAGGTACGGTGTAGGAATCACATGTCTGTTTATATACCCTAGCCCTGTCCCAGCAGCTTTGCCACCTAGCTTCACATCTAGCACCAGCTGCAAACTAATTCCATGAATTAAATCAAAAGGTAACACCCCACTCCCTGCATTTAATGCCATATATTTTTTCTCCGCAGGAGTGAGTGGAAGCCAGGAATGTGAACCATATTCTTTTTAGCCCCATGTATTTCTTTTCCCTCCCTCCTGCTCCATATGCAAAAAGGCTACTGGAGATGTCCTTTTACTCTATTTCAAAACTGTATTAGCCATAAAAAAATCATTCTATTTGACGTTTCACACATACTGATTTATAAACTAGGTAGCAGAACTTTATGGTGATAGATCATCTCCTGCGACACACACAGACACATCCACCTTGGCCCCATACATGAACGGGCTCTTTTCTTGCTCTTTGTCGTTCAAGTCTCTTCAGCACATGGTGCTGTCCCATGAGCCCTCAGTCACGTCGGTGAGAGAGAAAGGGGAAGCGCTTCTGGAGCTGGTGCAGGATGTGACTTTAAAGGACAAAATAGATCAACTCGAGAGTGACTACCAGGGCCTCTGTGCAGCAGGAAAGGTAAGGAGGGCCAGAAATTTAACAAAGATGTGAAATTCATTTGCCCCCAAAGCGGTTCTGACTTTTCTCTCAAAACATATTCAAGACTAATATAATATAGCTCAGTATTTTCCCTTCTGATCAGCTGGGCACTTCAAGTGGTCAAATGATTGCATGCTTTTCTGTTCCTCATCATTTTCTTTTAAAAAAAAAAAGATTTATTTATTTATGCATGCAAGAGCTAGGGTGTAGGCCAGAGGTGCAGGGGGTAAGAGGATTCACCAGAGACAGAGTGGGGAGCAGAACAGGGGGATTGACTGAAATACACTGCTGAGGGGAGCAGTGGGCAAGACAGGAGAGGTCTGCTGCGCCATGTGGGTCAGCTCCCTGGCCAGGGATCTAACTCATGTTGCCATGGCTGGTGACAGCTTTATAGTCCTGAGTCTTAACACCATGAGCTACCAGAGAGGCCCCTTCTTCCTCATTTTCTGACATAAGGGGTTCCACCTGCCCCAGGAGTTGCCCTGGGTTTATAAAAATGTGAAACAATTTCGAGTAGATTTTTAGAAAGTCACCTGCAGTGGGTACGTGATTCCACAGGAGCACGTCTGCAGTCTCGAGGCAAAGGTCAAGGACCACGAAGATTACAACAGTGAGCTCCAGGAGGTGGAAAAGTGGCTGCTGCAGATGTCGGGCAGGCTGGTGGCACCTGACCTCATGGAGACCAGCAGCCTGGAGACCATCACACAGCAGCTGGCCCACCACAAGGTGCGTCTCACCCCGGAAGAGCTGGAGGACATGGGATGGCCTGTGTGCTGCATGCGTGTGGGTGTGCAATGCATGCCTGTGTGCACACTCAACCTCAATCATAATAATGTGCTTCGAGAATCAGGGCTTGAGTCTCGAAAAAGTCTGAGAAATGAGAACAGTGAAGTCAATGTTTAAGTGAATCCACTAGTTGAATCCCGGCATCAAGTTCTGACTATGTTTTAACATTTTCCCAGGTAAGAGTTTTTGATCACTGGTGGCCTCTCTACCACTTAGGGCCTCTGCACCTGTGTGTGCACATGGCCTCTCTATGCACCTGTGTGTTTGTGAGATTTGGATAAGGCTCTCTCTCCTGCATGACTGCCTTGAGACAATGGCCCACATCATGAGGTGGCCGGGACACCTAGGTAGCCATTGACTGATCTTGTGGCCATGGTCTGAGGTGTCCGGGAGTAGCTTGGAAATTACACCAAGCACCTGCATGGGAAGTTCTCCCTATACACATGGCCAACATTCTCCCCTCCTGTTCCCCATAAAATTGATCACCTTTTGTTCCCCTTGAATGCTGTTCCCCATAATGTTGATTACTCTTTGTCTCCCCCGGACCCTGTTCCTCCTGCCATTGTCACATAATCATGCTTGTTCATTACGGCTAATAAAAAGCACAAGGGCTGCTCACTGAGCAGCAGTCTTGCCTTGCAAACGTGCTCCATGACTCATCCCTCAGCGTGTTCCCAGGGACATGCTGGTGCATTCTTGACCACCAGAGATCACAAAATTTAATTTTATAGAGTCATTAATCAGAGATATTCTTTATTTTAGTAAAGTGCAGTCAAATTTAGGAAAGTGCAGCCAAATCCAGAAAGTCTGGATTCTAGCCATGTTCCCTCCTTCCTCACTCAGAGGACTTAGCTCTGTTCCTGCCCTGCAGGGGGCAATGATGCCAGCGCCGTCTCGTGGCTGGTGGGTTGTCACAGGGGAGAATGTGAGAGCATTTTGTAAACCACAAAGTGGTTTGAGCTATGGTGTATTTTTAGTAATTCTATGTACCACATGGGATATGGCAGATGGCCACCACATTTTTATGGACCAATTTCAGTGATCTTAATTTGAAACTGAATTTTAGTCGTTTGGTGATTGATATCTAGAGGTGTGTCTCAAGGGAGCCAGCTAATCTCTGCAGACTTCAGGGTTCCTATCTGTAGGAGAACATTTTTATTTAGCAAAATCTTCATTTAGCAGTTAAATTATTGATCCTCAACTTTCTGTCTGATCCATAGCTTAATTAAAAACTAAATATGAAATTGCATGAACGCCATGTTTTATCTTGTAGGCAATGATGGAAGAAATCGCAGGCTTTGAAGATCGTTTGAGCAATCTGAAAACTAAAGGTGACAATTTGGTCAGTCAGTGCGTGGACCACCTGCAAGCAAAGCTTAAGCAAAATGTGCAGGCGCACCTGCAGGGCACCAAGGACAGCTATTCGGCCATCTGCAGCACAGCTCAGCGGGTGAGTGCCGTGGAAAGTTTCTAGAATGGTAACAAATGGGAGAAAGATTGTGCAACATAGAGGTTTTTAAAAATAGTAAGGGCGCTTCAGAGTTTGGTGTGTGTTCAGATAAGAACTGGAGGATTGATTTCACAGTCTCTGTTAACACAGAACTAGACTAGCATAGTTTATATTTGATTGATGTGAGGAAGCAGTACATTTCAGACATTCAGTGTTACCCAACCCCTTTATCTCAATTGATTATGAAAATTTTAAAAAATTATCTGATTTTTATTTGTACCACTATCCTTTCCAATCTGCCATTTGTTCCATAAAGCCAAATAAGTTTATTTAATTTCACAATAATTATTTTCTCTTTAACTCTGTGCAACCTAGATTCTTTCCACCATGTAAATCAATATTTTTATGCACTCTATAGAAATTGAGAAAAGCAACAGCACAGGTTTTGAGTGGATAAGAGTTGCCCTTTTAACAAAAATTGAGCAAAATCAGTGAGTTTCTTTTTATTATTTTAGAATTTTTAAGTGACATTGAAAAAGCCCATGTATTTATGTTACTGGGCTAGCCAGGAAGGACTGGAGATGCACATGTGACTTGGGGAGAATGTTGTGTGTTTATCATGATAATAAAAAATATGCTGAGTATCATTAGTTAACTCCCTAGACTTGGGAAACTCAGTGTCTATAGAATATTTGTTCAAGAAGCTGAAAAGAAAGAGGGATAAAGGCATCTAACAAAAATTGCAAATGATGACAAGGGGGGAAAGTGAAGGAGGCTACAAACGGGATTGTTGAGGAGCCCATGGGCTTCTTCATTCAAGAGATAATTACTCAACACTGGCCTTGTTGGGTTATTTCCTCGGGCTTTTGAAATACAGCTTACTTTTTTTTTGTCATCGCTGCTAATTGTTAAAAAAAAAAAAAACACAAATGATTTGATAGTAAATTTTTTACAAAGAAGATGAAACTATAAGCACAGTAGGAACCTCATAATTCAGGTTTTTAAAAATGATGAAGAACAAAAAAGCTCTGCTTGGAGTAGGAATAAATAGAGGCTAGTCCCAATGCAAGTTGAAAATGATAAATTTAACCGATTACAGAAAAAAACATAATTCAGTTATTCTGTTGTCTCAATAATGAAAGTCAAAATAATCTTATTTACTTCTTCATTGTTTTAATAGACTATTTTGCTAAGAAAACATAATTGGCTTATTTCACCTTCATTTTTAAGAAGAAACATTAAAGTCTCAATATATCTTAATGGATAAAATGTAAAAATAGTTGACTGGTTGAAGATTAGTTGAATAGACAAATCAAAAAATGTTTGGATTATTCTAGATTATCTTGGGACATAGTCTCTAAAATGAAATGAGGGCATCAACCGTTCTTCTCCCTTAGGTGTTCAGCTCAAATTTGACCCTACTCCCCCTAACGGAGAAGCATTTCAGTTAGAGAAATCTTCATAGTTATTGTTTCATAATATGCTGTTTTATTTCTACTTTAGGTTTCCAGCTTAAGCAAAAAGTGAAATATTAGTGTCAAAAGGGGGAAAAGCTGCAAAAACTCTGATTTGATCTTTTACTCCAAAGATTTTATGTATGATGACACATTTCTAGTAACATGAACCTCCTACCCAAATAGGATATTATGTTGTAGGTTGTGGGTCAAGAGTTATAAACTGGGAGATCCGCTGCGCCTTGCAATATTTTGGAACATTTTTATAATCTCCTTAGATATGTTTGCAGGGCAGGGTAGTGGGGAGGGGGTATTTAACTGCACGCAGGGGCCTGTTTCCTTGGACTCCAGTGATCTGGATTACAGAGAGATAAAACAGCTTCGTAACCACAACGGGATTGTTTTGTCTCAGGTGTACCAGAGTTTGGAACATGAACTTCAGAAGCATGTCAGCCGGCAAGACACCCTGCAGCAGTGCCAAGCGTGGCTTTCTGCTGTCCAACCCGATTTAAAGCCCAGCCCGCACCCACCTCTTAGCAGGGCAGAAGCGGTGAAGCAGGTGAGAGTTGATTCAGCCCACCCTCAGTGAGCGCATGCTCAGTGCCGATCACGTGCTGGCCCCTGGGAAAGACGAGTGGGCCTCAGGTCTCAGCCTGATGAAGTTGAGTCCACCTTCTGGTCAGGGAGACAGACGTGGTCCTGGGGGATGACCTGGGGGACAGGCAGAGAGTGATGTGGCAGCCAGCCAGGATGTCAGCTCAGTGGGGTGTCTCTGAGCTTCCATGTTCTGAAATGTAAATTGATGATGATAAGTATCCTTTGTGAAAGTTGTAAAGAAATTCCAATCTCACATACATCACGATGTAATGGTTTTTGAACAGAAAACCTTTTATTCTTCCCCCTATCCCGGTATTTTGCTTTTGGGGGGCAAAGAGCAAGGTGCTTAAAAAATAATGAAAGTCACCTCTGGCATTTAAATTTAGCATCCACATGCTTAAAATACTGTTGCTGCCACAAATAGAAGAAATGAAGAATTCTTCTTCTTCTTTTTCTTCTTCTTCTGATGATGATGATGGCAGCATCGGTTCACAACTCTGTGTGTGATTCAAAAGCAGAGGACCGCACCCCCTCAGACAATGCCACTGCATCACCCCCGCTACCAGGGCATCCTCAGCCCTCACCTTAGTCCCTTGGGCCTCCTCCCTTTTAGTTCACCTCCCACTCCCCATCTTGACGCCTCATTTCCACAGTCAGATTTCTGGAGTTTGTTATGGGTTTGGTTTTTTCTGACCCTTTGTTTTGTTTCTCTATATGCCACACATAAATGAGATCATCCAATTTTCTGCTTTCTTTCTAACTTATTCCACTTAGCGTTGTCCCCTCCAGTTCCATCATGCAGTTGAAAATGGAAAAAGCTTATCTTTTTTACAGCTGAGTAGTATTCCACAGTGAATATGTACAACATCTTTCTAACCCACTCCCCTGTCCTTGGGCACATAGGTTGTTTCCAAAACTTGGCTGCATAAATAGTGTTTCAGTGAACATAGCAGATGTCCTTTGAATTAGTGGTTTTGCATTCTCTGGGTAGATACCCAAGAGTGGAATCGCTGTGCCATAGGGTAGACCTCTTTTTAATCTTTGAGAAACCTCCACATGGTTTCCATAGGGGCTGCGCCTCTCCCCACTCCCACCCACAGTGCACGATGGTTCATTGAGGAGATTTTTGTACTGAGCAGTTCTGTGCCGTGCAGAAACGTTTTAGAGGAATTGGTTGTAAAGGTCATTGCTGCTAGATAGGAAGCAGCAATGTTAAACAGATAACTCCTTTTTTAAAACACAAGCTGAGATTAACATAATGTACTTGCTCATTTCATCCACGTAGAGAAAATGTCCTGTCCATTTGCCTCCAAAGAACTCTTTCTGATTTCTGTGATTTACATTAGTTCTCGTGAAGAGTTTCACAAAAGTGAAACCCAATAAAGAATAGGATGGGGACAATGGAAACTGTTTCTCCTTGAATCAAGAGCAGTGGATTCACATTGTCTGTGTCAAATGTTTTCATCTGACCAGGAGCAACGTTCTGAATGAGTCCTTGTCCTGTAGATATTTCTTGCAGATGACTTTATTTAGAATTGCCCAAATGTGAGCTTGATTCTTCGCCTTTGTTATAAAAAAATGAATTAAAAGTTAGAGGAAGAAAAATAACATTAATCCCCATGACCTTTTGCTAGCACAGAAGGTCTTCTACACCTTTCTCACCTGGCTGTGGTTGTAGGAGGACATTGTCCCCCCTCAGGGTCCAGACTAGGTGATTGCAAGGTTACGTGGTTGTGCACTTCCATTCAGTATCCCCGAATGGTCTGGCCTCTTTAGAAAGTAGACAGGGAAGAATTTTAATGGGACCACAGCGGTTCTCAATGGGGGCTCGTGAGTGGAGATGGTGCCTTTGCCCTTAGCAATGCCTGACATTCAACAATGCCTGAAGATATTTTTGGTTACCCCAAATGGGACTGGTGGGGTGCAACAGGCATTGACCAGGGAAAGGCCAGGATGCAGCTAATCAGCCTGCAATGCACGAAGGCAACCCCACTGCAAAGAATTATTTGGCTTCAAATATCCAGGTGCTGAGGCTAAGGAGCTCTGAAATAGAGGCATCAACCCCACAAAGATGGGTGTGTGGTCATTCCCTCTGAGGTCCTCCAGGATTTGGCCCCTGACTGCCTCCTTGACCTCTGCTCCTTCCTGAAACACCTGCTCCAGCCACAGGGCTTTGATTTGCTGTTCCCACCCCCACCCTGCCCTGCCTGGAATGTTCTTACCCTGGCAGAACTTGCCTTCTCCCTGAATTCAAGGCTAGTCCTCAGAGAGGTCATAGAGGTCATAGAGGTCACACGCTTCCCAAGGTAATGGCTTGTCTTCATCACACTCTGCTACGTGGTGTTCATCACCACAGACACAGCATTGCATGTTTGTTTATCTTGGGAAAAACTGTCTCTCTCCTAGGACTGTGAGGACCTGGGGAACCAGGGTTTTGTCGTGGGGTCTGCTTTATGGCCAGTATCTAAAACAGCCTGCATAGTAGACTCTGAGTAGCTGCAAAGAAACACGTTGCTCTGTATTTCTGTGTATAGATTAAGAATCCCCCTTAAGACCTTTCTTGGGCTTATGGAAAGGAAGCACCATTATAAGACTTTCTGCAAAGAATGAGGCCAGTCTATTGCATGTTTACTACTCTCCAGGGTTGCCTGCAGTCCTAATGGTCTTTCCTTTGTCTTTGAACATGCACAAACCTATTAAGAAGCAACCAGAGTAGGCTAGAGTGTCTTTCTCTGAAATGAAAAACAAGCAAGAATGTGGCAGAGGCTCTGGGAAGATTGTAGAAGTTTCTTGGGTGTTCCCCTTCTCCAAACCAGACTACTCTCATTACCATGAGATCCAGCTGGGGGACAGATGGACCCCAGTCCATGTGTTTTGAATTCTTTCCTATGAGTCACTAATATACATCCTTTATAACAATGGTGAAAATACCATGCATAGCAAAATTGTTTTTGAAATTTCAACAAAACATTACAAATGGTACAGATAGTAGCCATCTACATTCGCCTTTTTCTCTCTGACAGCTGTGAATTATTTTTCCAGGTCAAACACTTCAGAGCTTTGCAGGAGCAGGCAAGGACCTACTTAGATCTCCTTTGTTCCATGTGTGACTTGTCAAACCCTTCAGTGAAAACCACAGCAAAGGACATTCAACAAACAGAGCAAATGGTAAGAAAAAAAAAAAGAAAAATGAAATCACATCTGGATTTGTCAGCTTTATTATATTCTCTTGCTTGGACGTTACTTGTGAGATTTTAAGAAAATATCTCCTGGGATGATTCTTGCTATAATGTTTCCATGGTCGTTTGGGCACAGTGTGATTTTTTTAATGTACATTAAAATTTGAAAAACAAGCAAAAATAAATGAAGTGAGGCAATGAGTTAGCAGTACCTCTCCACAGTGACAGGTGGCAGCGTGGGGCCCTTAAATTTGCCACTTCTGCCTTAAACTCTTAAATGCAACATGTTCAAAGGAAAAATAAGACATGGTTTTGGTATTTAATTAATTACTCACAGAATAGTAAAGTTATCCAAATAAAAAATGTCTTAAAATAATGTATGTTTTTCAGTTTCATATTATCCAAACAAGTCTTTCCACAAATGGTACGAAGAAATGTTACTTCATATATTTTTAACAAAAATGACCTGGTAAAATAAATGGTCTGGCTTCCGCATCCAGTGAAACAGACCTAAAGTATATCTAAAACCTTAATAACTCCGTGTCTTATAAACAGTATCAACAAATGTGCAATGGAGAAAAATATATCTTTCCTAGTTAATTCAAAGTCAAACAGATGTGGCAGATGTGCCAGCCTAAACACCCGAGTCAAATAACCATCAGAGCAGCTTTTTTTTTTTTTTTTTAAGATTTATATATTTATGCATACAAGAACTGGGGTACAAGCCAGAGGTGTGGGGAGTGAAGAATTCACCAGAGACAGAGTGGGGAGCAGAACAGGCAGACTGACTGAAATCCACTGCTGAGGGGAGCAGCAGGGAGACAGGAGAGGTCTGCTGTGCCGTGTGGGTCAGCTCCCTGGCTGGGGATCGGACTCATGCTGCAGAGGCTGCAGATAGCTTCACAGCGCTGTGCTTAACCCCTTGCGCCACCAGGGATGCCCCCGTCAGGGCAGCTTTTGACCTAAGGAATTGTTAAAACTCTGTGAGTGTCACACCACTTATTGAAATCATCTGGCATGGCTTAAACATTCACGTCTTTAGACAACCTAAATATCAAAAGAGCCTCTACTCTTCTCAAGCACATAATTTTTTTTGGGGTTCATCCCTGAGCACATAGGCCTGTGATCATGTGTATTGCCCATGTGTGCACGTGTGTGCCCATGTGCCAGCCTGGGGCTTTGGGCAGGTGGAAGAGCCCTGGAGCGTACAAGTCTCTGTCTGTTGTGCCTCACCTTTGCCCCTGTGTTCTCTCGAGATTGAGCAAAGGCTTGCCCAGGCACAGAACGTAACTCAGGGCTGGGAAGAAATCAAGCACATGAAGGCAGAGCTTTGGATTTACCTCCAGGATGCCGATCAGCAACTGCAGAATATGAAGAGGAGGCACTCAGAACTGGAGCTTAACATTGCCCAGAACATGGTTTCCCAAGTCAAGGTAGGATTTAGGGGTTCTCCAGAGAAGATAAGGAAGGTCAAGACAGGTGTGGGTGTCAATCCTGAAACTTCAGCACCGCTCTTTAGGGAAAAGGGGAAAATCAGAACAACTTTTATTTCATGCCAGGAAGGGACAAACCAGAAAGTAAGCTTTCAAATACTCTCTTAGAGCTTCCATTGGCCACCTGTATCAAAGAACATTCACTCTGTAGTTTATTCCTAAACAGAACAGCTGTGCTTTATCCGACAGAGCCAGAAGACTTTGCCACTAACACAAAGTCTAATTATTTGTTCATTTTTCATCACTTTATGGTTCAAGCTGTAGAATTCAAAATGTACCAGTTAATTAAATATATTTAACATAATACTTTAAATATAATTAATTTAAAGTGTAGTAAAATATACTTTATGTTATAAATAATATAATTCATACTTGAAATTTAACAGAAAATTATTAGGAGTAAGTGAATTGATTGGAAACTGTACCAGCATTTTCACAAACTTTAAGATTCATTTTTTTCTTTTTGTTAGTGAGCCACTTATGTTTTGTACTGAAATGTTGTTTGCCTATGCAAAAAAAAAATAGAAAAAATAGAATAAAGATGACATACATTGGCTATTTTCTTTCAATAACATGAGGTTTCAAATTTTGTAGGAAATGAAGACTGTCCTTTAAGATAAAACATTAACTTTTTTCCTTAGTGACTATATCATTGTTCCACATTTATCAGCTTTTCTTTATTCTTTTCAAAGTAGCACAGTAAAGGAAGATGCCACCGTTATGTTTGTTTCTTATGCACGTGGACATGTGTAGTCATGGAGGTGTGATGACGGCTACATCTCTGTGCCTCGTGAGCCACTTGTTACACACTCTTCAGTTAAAGTGCTTAGAGGTCTTTGATCTGTGCCGCATCCATCGTTATTTGGGGGTTCAGCTCATGCTATTTAATTTACCGTTGTTATCTTGTAGGATTTTGTCAAGAAACTAGAGTGCCAGCAGGCATCAGTGGGTGCTCTCACACAAAAGGTGAATAAGTTAACCAAGAAGCAAGAATCTCCTGAGCACAAGGAAATAAGTCACCTGAATGAGCAGTGGGAGGACCTGCATCTCCAGTACACCACCCTGTGCTTGCAGAGGGAAGAGGATCTTCAGAGGACAAGAGACTACCATGCCTGTATGAATGTCGTCGAAGGTTTTTTAGAGAAATTCACAACGGAGTGGGATAACTTGGCCAGGTAACAGCAATTCTCTAGTGTGTCGCCAAAATGCTAAGCCACAAATATTGAATTTGTATAAAAATTTAAGAAGCTTTATATTTTTAGCATTGCTTGTCTTCCTTATTAATATTGAGCGGACATTATTCAGGATCTGATGATGTCATATGGATATCATGCCGTGGTTTTCCTTGATCAATATTAATTTATCCTGTGGGTAAAAAGGAAAGATTTGAAAACACCCATTTTGTTCTACAACCTCAAAGAGCATTCCAAAGATTGACTCTATGACATCAAAGAATATCACAGAAATATTTCTAGTTTTGCTTACCAGTTATGGAACTGTCATCTGTGAATTCAAAGAAATGAATATTTGTGGATCTTTATGTTTTGGAGGTTTCTTATCAACTCTGTAAACTACATTCTTTATCATTTACTCAAGTTTTGTCTAGTACAGTGGTATTCTAGAAATTGGGTAGATAACAATTCAAATTCAGTTAAAGCAAGTCCTTTATGAATCTGTAGTACGTGGACCCTCTTAACGTTTTCTTTGAAAAATAAAGGTCTCCCAGCTGCCCCCCAGTACTCTTCCTGCTACCTCCCTCCACACACTCCATCATCATATGGAAATCTTTCTACATTTATGATCACTATCTTAGTCAAAACCTGCACTACCTTTACTCAGATTTTTAATTTCATTATTCTAGAAGATTTTTGGAGGAAGTACAATACTTTCTGATTGATTTACACTACCTTTCCTTGATGCTCAACATTTTGCTAGTCTTCAGGGTAATTCCAGTCAGTATCAGCCCAAACCCATATTTCTAGCTACATTGGGCAACCCCATCTGGGTGACCAATAAGCACCTTTCTTTGTTTGTCTGTGTCAAACAAACTCATCCTGCTGCCTCTTAGCCCTGTTCCTCTGACTTTAGGACTGATTGTTTTGTAAGTAAAAGAGACTATAATATTCCATGTTGTTATGAGTGTATTGTAGACCAAGGGATGATGAAAGTTCTTTGCACTCACACCTATTTTAAAGGTAAACCAAACTTATCTGTTAGGAAAACTGGCTGTCTAATGGATTGTACTCTGTAGCACTGTGTTGTTTACTGGAGCTTCTGCCCGTAGGAAAGAACAGAAACCATAGATCACCCAGTAGTTTCTTTAAGCACTATTTTCAAGAGTATAATAATTTGGTGCTTCTCAATATTTAGTATTTCTACAAATCACCCAGGAATCTCATTAATATCCAGATTCTGCTCAATTAATAAGAGTAGAGGAAGCTAGACACACATATCAGATGTGATTAGAGGACAGCATTCACCAGAAGAATAGAGGAGAAATATCAAGACAGTCTGATTTAGTTCACTTCCAATATAGAAATATATGGGTTTTGTATTCCATAATAATCATAGCATCTCTGCCAATAAGCCATGAATGGAGCAATTTACAATGATCTAAATTAGAGAAAATGGTGGGGCATAATTTACATGGTATGAACAAACATTGATCTGGACTAACTAAAATCATTTGCTTTTATTATGTCTTTCAATATATCTCAGAACCGACGCAGAGAGCACAGCTACCCACCTGGAGGCACTGAAAACGTTAGCGTTGGCCTTGCAGGAGAGAAAGCAGGCTGTTGAAGATCTGAAGGCTCAAAAGCAAAAAATGATAGAGCACCTGAACCTAGATGACAAAGAGTTAGTCAAAGAACAAACACATCACCTTGAACAACGTTGGTTTCAGCTTGAGGACCTGGTTCAACGGAAAATCCAAGTGTCGGTCACCAATCTGGAGGAGTTAAACGTGGTGCGGTCGAGATTTCAGGAGCTGATGGAGTGGGCTGAAGAGCAGCAGCCCAACATTGCTGAGGCCCTTCAACAGAGCCCCCCGCCAGATATGGCTCAGAACCTCCTCATGGACCACCTCACCATTTGCAGTGAACTGGAGGCCAAACAGATGCTCCTGAAGTCACTCACAAAGGATGCTGACAGGGTGATGGCTGACCTGGGGCTCAACGAGCGGCGGGTGATCCAGAAGGCTCTGTCTGAGGCACAAAAGCACGTGAACTGCCTTAGTGACTTAGTGGGCCAGAGACGTAAGTACTTAAACAAGGCCTTGTCTGAGAAAACCCAGTTCCTCATGGCAGTGTTCCAGGCGACCAGTCAAATCCAGCAGCATGAGCGAAAGATGATGTTCCGTGAGCACATCTGCCTGTTACCAGACGATGTGAGCAAACAAGTGAAAACGTGTAAGAGCGCACAGGCCAGCCTCAAGACCTACCAAAATGAAGTCACGGGACTCTGGGCCCAGGGCCGGGAGTTAATGAAGGGAGTCACTGAGCAGGAAAAGGGGGAGGTGCTGAGCAAGCTTCAGGAACTGCAGAGTGTCTATGATGCTGTTTTACAAAAGTGTAGCCACCGGCTGCAAGAACTTGAGAAAAATTTAGTTTCTAGGAAGCATTTTAAGGAAGATTTCGATAAAGCATGTCACTGGCTAAAGCAAGCAGATATTGTTACATTTCCTGAAATCAACCTAATGAATGAGAGTTCTGAGCTTCATACCCAACTGGCCAAATACCAACATATTCTTGAACAATCTCCAGAATATGAAAATCTCCTCCTCACGCTACAGAGAACAGGGCAGGCCCTCTTACCATCGCTGAGTGAAGTTGACCATTCCTACCTCCATGAAAAACTCCACGCCCTGCCCCAGCAATTCAATGTCATCGTTGCCTTGGCCAAAGACAAGTTCTATAAAGTCCAGGAAGCCATCCTTGCTCGGAAAGAATACGCTTCCTTGATCGAGTTGACCACTCAGTCTCTGAGTGAACTCGAAGACCAGTTCTTGAAGATGAGCAAGGTTCCTGCCAATCTGCTGGTGGAAGAGGCTGTGTCTCTGCAGGACGACTGCAGAGCCCTCCTGGGAGAGGTGGTTGGCCTGGGGGAAGCGGTGGATGAGCTGAACCAGAAGAAAGAAGGTTTTCGCAGCACGGGGCAGCCTTGGCATCCAGACCAGATGCTCCACCTGGTCACCTTGTACCACAGGCTCAAGAGACAGACTGAGCAAAGGGTTGGCTTATTGGAAGACATGACCAGCGCTTATCAGGAACACAAAAAGATGTGCGACCAACTGCAGACACAGCTGGAAGCCGTGAAGACAGAGCAGTCCAAACTCAATGAAGAGACACTCCCTGCAGAGGAGAAGCTCAAGATGTACCACGCCCTGGCAGGAAGCCTTCAGGACTCGGGCATTCTACTGAAACGCGTGACCGTGCATCTGGAAGACCTGGTTCCACACCTCGATCCCTCGGCTTACGAGAAAGCCAAGCATCAGATCCAGTCCTGGCAGGAGGAGCTGAAGCTGCTGACCTCTGCCATCGGCGAGACGGTGGCCGAGTGCGAGGGCCGTATGGTGCAGAGCATCGACTTCCAGACAGAGATGAGTCGCTCGCTGGATTGGCTGCGCGGCGTGAAGGCCGAGCTGAGGGGGCTGCTGTGCCTGGACCTGAGCCTGCAGGACATCCAGGAGGAGATCAGGAAGATCCAGATCCATCAGGAAGAGGTCCAGTCCAGCCTGAGGATAATGAACGCACTGAGTAACAAGGAGAAGGAGAAATTCACCAAAGCCAAGGAGCTCATCTCTGCTGACTTACAGCACACTATGGCCGAGCTCGCGGAGCTTGAGGGAGACATCCAGGAGGCGCTACGCTCCAGGCAGGTCGGTAGACCCAGGCTTGGCTTTGCCCCCCTCTCTTATTGGTAAACATTTGTGTGAGAAATTTTTCTCTTTTTGGTTAGAATTGCTTCCTTAAATAATTCTTTTTTTTTTTTATACTCTATATGGTCACTTCTCACAATGGCATAAAAGGATGTTTTTATTGTTTAGGGATGTGGTATTCACTTGATGTCATTTCCATTTTGATTTTGCCTTGTCTGTAGTACAGGAATATGTCAGCCCTCCCTCACCTTTAGGAGACATTTATTATAATAAATGATAGTACTCATCATGAAGCCGCATCTTACCATGTCAATAATTAATTAATTAACGATGAATAATGAGCGATGCCTTTTTTAAAGTGTGAAACCTGCATTTCGATGGTTAGCATTGGACCAAGATTCTCTGAATGGAGTCTCTTTAGTTTCAGATTCTTAGCATAGGTATGAGGTAGCACCCAACAAATCTTAATTATCACTCAATCAACAAAACTACTTTCACATGAAGATTTATACCCAATAATGAAACTTTCTTTAAGTTTACTATGTAGGCAAAATCCTAATATCCTTCATTATGTTAAATTCTGATTTCTTAAACTAGAGCCTACTCAGTCTGTTTTTATTTTTTATGTTCAATCAAGGCCATTGTTTTAAAAATCTTTAAATAATTTCCTGGCAGCTATAGAGAAAAAGTAGATAACCTAGAGTTTTGAGTTGGGGCAGAAATTAGCTGCTATTTTCGTTCTTGAAAAAATACCTGCTGGGCCTCCCTGGTGGTGCAGCCATTTGAGCGCAGCACTCTGAAGCTGTCCGCAGCCTCTGCAGCGCAGGTTTGATCTCTGGCCAGCCAGGGAGATGCCCACATGGAGCAGCAGACCTCTCCTGTCTCGCCCACTGCTCCCCTCAGCAGTGTATTTTGATCAGTCTGCCTCTTCTGCTCCCCACTCTGTCTCTGGTGAATCCCTCACCCTCCATGCCTCTGGCCTGTACCCCAGCTCTTATATAAAAATAAATCTTTAAAAAATAAAAGAAAGAAAGAAAGAAAGAAAGAAAGAAAGAAAGAAAGAAAGAAAGAAAGAAAGAAAGAAAGAAAGAAAGAAAGAAAGAAAGAAAGAAAGAGAAAAAATACCTGTGATGTTAGCTTGTTTCTGTTGATTTGGTGGCTTTTGAACTAAAATCTTGAATCCATCGAGGTCTCCCTGTTCTGCACTTTGTAAACTTATTGGTTGTCTTGGTCCAGATTCCTGAGGGTTGAGGTTCTGGGGGCATTTTTAATCTTCTCCACTGATCCTTCCTGTTGCCATCCTCATTCTTTTCTTACCCCTGCTGGTCGTACATGTCCTTTCTCTGCCTCTTCTCTGCATTGTAGCTTGCACAACAGCGGGTTGCCCAGTCATTGCTGCCAGTTAGTGTTTTGCTTCCTTCTGATGTGAATGGACTTCATCAGCTTTCCAGCCTTGAACTGTAATATTTTGTCTTTCTTTGAGACTTCTGGGCTACCATTTCACTACCAGAAATTGCTATTTGGTCTGCTGAACGCCCCTTTGGGAGTTTGATGGTATTATAATCTTTCTCCTCCCTCAGGTTTGTTGAGTGATAATTGACAAAACTATAAGATATTTAATGTCTGCAAAGGGATAGTTTGATATACTTCACATTGTGAAAATAGTCCCCACATTGAGTTAATTAACATCCTTCACTGCACATATTTACCTTTTTTATGTGAGCACTTCATCTCTGCTTTCTTAGCAAAATTTCAATTATATAGGAGTCTGATCAACTAAGTCACCATGTCACACATTAGATCTTCAGAGCTTATTCAACATATAATTAAAAATTTGCAGCATTTATCAGCCTCTCCCTGCCTCATCCTCATTTCCCCTGTAGGTGCTGGCAACCACTTTTTTACCCTCAGTTTCTATGAATTTGACCTATTTTTCTTCTACTTTTTCATTTTAATAATGCAGGGGTGAGACCATGTAGCATGTGTCTTTCTCTCTCTTGCTTATTTCACTTGGTGTAATGTTCCCCAGGCTCCTGTACATTGTCATAAATGATAGAATTTCCTTCTTTTTTAAGGCTAAATAATATTCCGTTGTGTATCTGGGTAAGTAGTAATTTATATCGTGATTTCTTTATCATCTATCAGTGGGCCCTGAGGCTGTTTCCATAGCTTGACTGTTGTGAATATGCTGCAGAGAGCCTGGAAGAGCAGACACCTCTTGGAGAGTATCTTCTCTGAATATATCCTTCTGAATATAGCCAGGAGAGGGATTACTGATCATACGGTAGTTTTATTTTTAATTTTTTTTTGAGGAGCATCCATATTGTTTTCATTGTGACTCTATCAGTTTACATTCTCACCAGTGTCATTATACTTTTAAGCCAACAGCATTATTTCACTCTGGTGATTATTCAGTCTGCCACATATTACTAGACAGTATATCTATGCTTAAGAGAAAGGAGACTATTTCAGAATTTGCCAAGATCCCACTATACATGTTTATTCCATTTCTGTCTTTGCTTACTGACTTGACATGCAATAATCGACTTAGAACAAGAAGAGCAATAGGGAAAAAAAAAAAAAGATAATAATGGATTGCACCAAAAAAAAAAATTGTATCAATTTACCAATTCACTTGCAGATACCCATCCTCATGACAGTGGACTAGAATAAAATCTATTTCTTGCAGAAGCATTACAATTGAGGATTCATTGTGTTTGTCAATATTGTTTTACAGGCTAAATTGACTGAAATATATGGTCAATGTCAAAGGTACTATCAAGTATTTCAAGCAGCTAACGACTGGCTGGAGGATGCCCAGGAGATGTTACAGCTGGCCGGCAATGGTCTCGATGTGGAGAGCGCAGAGGAAAATCTCAAACGCCACACAGAATTTTTCAGCACAGAGGATCAGTTCCACAGTACTCTGGCAGAGCTTCAAAGCCTCGTAGCCAACCTGGACCCGCTTATCAAGCCAAGTGGTAGAGAGGGCCTGGCGCAGAAGATGGCTTCCCTGGAAGACAAGAGCCAGAAGCTGACCCAGGACGCACATGCCCAGTTAGATCTCTTGCAGAGGTGTGTCGAGTTTGCTATCTTATTCTTTATGTTTCAGTGAAATGGACTCTGACACACAAAATAGGTGTGCACTGGTAGTGAGCAAATGAAATGTAAATTAATTCTTCCCTTGAGTATCACTAGTCATGACGACTTAAGAGTTTTGTAGGGAAATGTGTGTTTTTATGTTTCTTATTGGTTTTTGCTGAACTTTTTCAAAGATGTGCGTCTCAGTGGCAGGATTACCAGCAGGCAAGGGAGGACGTTATCGAAATGATGAATGATGCCGAAAAGAAATTGTCTGAGTTTTCTCTATTGAAGACTTCTTCCAGTCACGAAGCAGAAGAAAAGTTGTCAGAACACAAGGTTAGTTTGGTTGTAATTGTTTTCTTTTTAATATCCTTTATTATAATTAATTATAAGTGCAAAAGGTCTTGGAAATATGAGAGCTCCAGAAACAGCTCAGTATGTTTTCCTTTTTACTTAGACTCCTTAAATATGAAAAAGATATATGTAACCATATTTCATAGCAATTTGAAAATAATGCTTCATATTTTGGGGAATCCCACTGGCCAGGCAAAGTTGGGTTTCAAAAGTGACATTCTTAGCAATTTGCTTCTGACAAGATGTGATACTTAGTCAATTTCTGTAACTATCAATACTATCTTGTGATAACTTAGATTAATTCAAATAAAATTCAGAAGTCAATCACTGAGTCTCCCTCATGTGCCAAAGCACTAGAAGGTAGACTGTAATACATATCAGAATCAAATTCAGTCCACTTACATTTTCTACTGTGTATACTATCACTGTAACTTTTGTTGCTTTTTAAAAATGAGAGCGTATCATGGCAAAGAGCAAGTAAAATTTTTTAAATAAATATTCACCTCCTTAAAATTTCCAATTAAAGAATTCAATATAAAAGTAAGATACCTGGGGCCTCTCTGGTGTCCTGGGGGTTAAGTCTTTGCACTGTCACCCCTACAGCCTGAGTTCAGTCCCTGGCCAGAGAGCTGACCCACATGGTGCAACACACCTCTCCTACCTCGCCTGCTGCCCTCCCTCAGCAGTGTATTTCGGTTGATCCACCTCTTCTTCTCCCCACACTATCTCTGAATCCTCTCACCCCCCATACCTCTGGCCTATACCCCCAGTTCTTGTATGCACAAATAAATCTTTAAAAAGAAAAAGTAAGATGCCGGAGGAAGATAAAGGTATACAGAAACATCTCCTTTTGTGGGTAATGTGGGGCTTCACCGAAATGCGTAGAACTTTTGATAAGTCAGTTTCTTTCCCTCATCTCTGTTCCTCTGGCCCCTCCCAGGCTTTAGTGTTGATAGTTAGCTCTTTCCATGAGAAGATTGTGATCCTGGAAGATAAAGCTTCGCAACTGGAAAAAACTGGCAACGACGCCAGCAAGGCGACCATCAGCAGGTCGATGACAAGTGTGTGGCAGCGCTGGGCACGTCTCCGCGCGGTGGCCCAGGACCAGGAGAAGATTCTGGAAGATGCTGTGGATGAGTGGAAGAGCCTTCAACATAAGGTCATTTGCACTGGGTGTGGGCTCCATCTATTGTTTCCCTCTGCTTCTGTGTATTTTGAAAAGCAGCATTTTGTTCCTTTTTGAAGCTGGGCATGGAAGAGAAAACCCTGCTCTGTTTCAGTAGCATGAAAATCAAATCATTAGACAAAATACAAAATGCAGTGTGCAATTTAGTCCCACGTCAGCATTTGGTCATTTTAATAAGAAAACATTTTAATTGCTTTACACAGCAGTTAAATTTTGAGAGGAAGGTAAGCCTGTTTTGCCCACGGGCTAGGCTCCTGGTGAAACTTTCTCACCTGAATCTTTCTGGCCTACAGAATACTTTTTCTTTGCCATGAAATGAACAGGAGATTCATTTACTTCCCAAATGTTATCTTTAATCCTTCCATTTTTTAAGTAGGGGTCAATCTTTAAAGCCACATCTCCCTTTAAGTCTCAGAGACAGACATTGATATTAACGTAAATATTGGTAAGAGTTTGTTCGTTTTTTAAATAAAACCACCTTTTTCTGTTATGTAATCTCTAATTGTTCTGATTATTTTAAGACAAAAATTTGAAACCCAGGCCTACAGAGGTGATCTTTCCCGTATGTTAAGGAGATTGTTCACGTTTTAGTTCCCTGACAGCAGCCCCACCATCATCTTTAACGTGCTTTGATGCGTTCATGTCAAGCGTGATATGTATAGGAACTGCCTTGTTTTCAAATTTTATTTATTTTTTGAACTGCATAATCTGTTCATTTGTTATCAGGCTAAAAAAGCCAGCGAAATGATGGATCAGCTGCAAGATAAATTTCCAGGAAGTTCAACAGAGAAAGCCTCCAAAGCAGAACTCTCAACTCTTCTGGACTATCATGACACCTTCGTGCTGGAGCTTGAGCAGCAGCAGTCAGCTCTGGGCATGCTGCGGCAGCAAGCCCTGAGCGTGCTCCGTGATGGGGCCCCCCAGTCCCCTGGAGAAGAGCCACCAATCCTGCAGGAAATCACGGCAATGCAGGATCAGTGCTTAAAGTAATGACACAACTGCTCTCATTCCCTGTTACTAATCTGATCATGACCCAAAGGGGCACGTGTGTTCCTAAGATCTGAGGCTTCTCACCGGAGGGTCAGTTAGAGAGAGGATGATAAACATGCTGAGGGAATCCAAAGGAGAGCAACTCACCTAGGAGAGGAATCAAAGAAGGTTCCCAGTAGAAGGAATATTCCAGCTGATGATAGAGCAGGCCTAAGCCATATGGGGAGGTGGGAGGAGAGATTTGCAACTGTGACTGGCTTCTAACAAAGCTTGGAGGGAAGCTTGCACTTTCAGGGATCTGTTGGGAGATGGGAAGGCTCATGAGAAATGAAGCTGGAAAGGCAAAGCTTTGAGATTTCTTCAGAACTGAGCTTTCATGAGCTTGATAACTCATTGGGTGAACGATACAGATGGCAGAGTGATCAGACCAAGGATGAAACCAAATATCCGTGAATAGTAGCCATTTAGACTAGTGAACTAGAATGTTAATCATAATATTGCACAGTCAGCCCTGGGAGCAGAGAAGAAATGTCAATGTGTAGTTTAACTACTGTATCAACTAATACCACTTACCCTCTTTCATTTAGAGGTGAATGTGGGGTCATCTGACTCCCGTTATTTAAATGCTTTTACTTAATTTGTGTCGATTCAAACAAGAACCTGAAATTTTGGATGCTGAACATTAATAGTAGAATTTCCAAAGCTTGATTCTCTCTTTAAACACAAGGTTCTAATAACCACACATATGCCAATTACACATTACTATTGAACACTGATGATTCTGTATCATCTGACTACCTTTCCAAAAAGCAGATACATAATTCTGGGTCACTTTAACTTAGAGAATGAATTGCAGAACGTGTTGACTCTCTTTTCCAGGAAAAACCATTCACTTCAAATGACTTAGAGTCTTTGTTATAATTGAACTAAACTTAAGTGTTACTGAAAATTATCTGACAGTTTTGGGGAAGTGTCTTTATTGCAGAAAGATAAGAGTTTTCATTTTTTCTTTTTTAAGCTTAATTTTTGGATCAGATGATCAGATATGATTTCTCCCCTAAGGTGTGGCCACCATATTCTCCCACCACCCAAGCACCCACAGTCCATCACCATATTCCCTGTGCTGTTCCCCCACCCCCATCTTCACCCATCCGCCCCTCCCTCCCTGCCCCTCCCTCATGGATGCCTCCTATCCATGATCAACTATCATTGTTTGTCTTTGTCTGACACTTTGTTTTTTCTATATTCCACATAAAGGTGAAGCCATCCAATATTTATCTTTTTCCTTCTGACTTATTTCTCTTTGCATTAACCCTTTGAGCTCCATCCATGTTGCCACAGATAGCATGAGTTTATCTTTTCTTGATCAATGAGTAGCATTCCAAGAGTTTTCACCTTTTTAGATCTATTTTTGATACTATGATGTCATGTGCTAGGGGACTTGAAATATTCCTTGCATTTCACATCCACTTCTGCTTCCTCCTACCCCTGCTCTGCAGCATGCAGGAGAAGGTGAAGACGAATGGGAAGTTGGTAAAGCAGGAGCTGAAAGAACGGGAGGTGGTGGAAACGCAAATCAACTCTGTGAAATCTTGGGTTCGGGAAACGAAGGAGTATTTGGTGAATCCAACAATAGAAATAGATGCTCAACTTGAGGAATTTAAGGTACTAACCTCTCCTCATTCTCTACATCCATTATTTGAAAACAAAAGGTCCCCTGATTTTAACCAGACACATTTGTTTATATTTAATGAAATACTGAATTAAAATTGTCAGAAATGTCATGTACTACAATAGACTTTTAATATTCATGGGATTTTCTTTAGTTCTTTATAAGATAGACATGTTTCCTATGTTTATATGAGACATGTTTCAGAGGCTAAAGAAGAATTTGTGTTTTGTTAAGGTGTTTCTCTAACTCCACACTTAATTACACGTTGATGACTAATACAGTCTTATCTCTGTACCCATAAAAATCAAATTCTTATCGGGCTCTCAGAAGTTTCTTATTTTTTATCTTCAGATACTCCTAACAGAAGTCACAAATCACCGGCAGAACATTGAGAAAATGGCCGAAGAACAGAAGAATAAGTACTTGGGTCTTAGTACTATTTTGCCTTCTGAACTTTCCCTTCAGTTAGCTGAAGTGGCCTTGGACTTAGGAACCATCCATGATCAGGTAAAACTATGGTCAAAAAGGTTTCTTTTCTTCTTCTGTGGGCTTAATACCCTTGCTTGAAAGTTCTTGATTTCTACTATCATACCTTAATGGAAAGAGTTAAAAGTAGTATAAAGCAATATTAAATTAGAGCTCTTTTTGTATGTAAGAAACATCAGCTAATCATAAATATGAAAAATAATGTCATACAATTAAAGGAAACTTCCCTGCTCCCCATCACCTTTAAAAAATGCCTTAAACAAACAAAAGAACTAAGATTTATTTCATGTGTTCAGCAAATATTTATTGATTACCCAGAATCGGTGAGGCACACTTGTAGATGCCTCATTTCAGCAAGATAAACGTGGGTGAAGATAGTTGAAGAAAGGGAAATCTGATAAGCATCTGTTTTATCAATTTGGCTTCTCTGGAGTGATGACTTCCTTGAAGAGGGAAGTTTTTACTCATGATTCAAGCCCCAATATAAATTTACTGATGAGTATCCTTAATACAATAATATAAGCATACAATTAAATTGGCAACAAAAAGGGAGAAAGGTACTGAACCTCTTGACAAACTTTGGGAGACTGGCTTTGAAGAGTTGGTGGGACCAAGTCTGGAGAGCTCTAAGAATCCAGCCACTTCTTAGGGTGAGAGTCCCCTGCTTCTCTTAGTAAATTCTAGAGATGGCTTTAAGACCTCAGGCATGGAGTCAAAGACCATTTCTAACTGCTTCAACTTTGGTGCTTATATTTATGCCTCTTTTCCGAGGCATCTTATCAGGGCCACTTGTTATTTTGCTTTAGCCAGGGCTCGCTCCACATACCATGTTTTTATCTGTTCTTGCCTTTATGTGAGTCTTCTGTCTATTGCTTCCACCTTTCCATCTGCCAGGATCATCACAATATCAATACATAAAACAATATGTCAGGACAAGGTGCTTAGCATCCATTATCCAAAGTTAATCTTGGATTTTGGCTGATTTTGCTATTTTCATTGGTTATTTAGATCCAGAGCAAAGTAAAAGAAGTTGAGCAGAGCAAGATCATGAGCCAAGACTTCAACCGACAAATTCAGATAATAGCCAAAGACCTCACAACTATTCTAACTAAGCTGAAAGCAAAGACTGATAATTTAGTTCAAGCAAAAACTGACCAAAAGGTAAGGCAAAAGAGGCAGAAACATAGGGGAGCAACTAAATGAATTTAATATTTTTTGGAATTATTGATAATTTGGGAGTATTGGGAAGAAAGCTTTCTTCTTCTTTTTTTTAAATTTATTTACTTATGCATACAAGAACTGGGGTACAGGCCAGAGGTGTGGATGGTGAGAGGATTCACCAGAAACAGAGTAGGGAACAGAACAGGTGGATTGACTTAAATCCACTGCTGAGGGGAGCAGCGGGGAGACAGGAGAGGTCTGCTGCGCCATGTGGGTTGCTCCCTGGCCAGCCGGGCATTGAACTCGTGCTGCAGTGGCTGCGGATTGCATCATAGATTGTGTCTTAACGCCTTGTGCCACCAGGGAGACCCTGAAAGCTTTCTTGATTATCAAGCTTTACTAAAACCAGATAAAAGCAGGCAGTAGGGGAATGTTATAAATATCATAATATAGGTCTATTTGCATCATAAATTTATCTTCAAAATTGAACTATATTAATAAATATACAACATGGGTAGATAAGAGGGAATGGCGTCAAAGGACTTAATAATGATTTAGGAATGCAAGTTTATAAATTCCAAAATGAAGGATGTTCTTGCTGGTTAAATCTGAGTTCTCACTCTGTGATGAGTGAAGTGACTAATCCCTTTTGGGTGTGGCAGAAGGAAAATGTTAGCTCTCTCTCAACCTGGTAGGAAATGAACACCAGGATTACAAAACATCCCGTTCTGCCATTCCAGCTGCAGAAGCAGAAGTGACTTGATCATCGTAAAATCATTCTTTCTAATATTTGGCTTTTACAAAATTCATTTAAAATACCGTTCTGCTGATCTTGGAAAATCTGGAGAAATTTATATTGTAGAAATTTATATTGTATTGTATAAATTTATATTGTTGATGGCCATGCAGGTGCTGGGAGAAGAGTTAGATGGTTGCAATTTAAAGTTAATGGAGCTCGATGAAGCGGTACAGAAATTCTCAGAACAGAATAGCCAACTGGGCAAACCTCTGGCCAAGAAGATAGGAAAACTGGCTGTGCTTCACCAGCAGACCATTAGGCAGGCTGAGAGCCGACACTCCAAGCTAAATCAGGTACGTTTTCAAGGCTGTTACCAAACTCCTCGAAGGTTGAAATTCAATGTTCTGTTTTGCTCTTTTGAAAATAAAACAATAATACTGACAAGGACAAAAACAATTTAAGTTTATCTGATTTCAAATCACACCTGTGTTCTTAAGACTGACATATAAACCTGCCTTTATTTCGTGCAAAACCATGCTATAAATTCATTGACAAATGTAGTCATACAAAAGGACTTTCGAGTGAATATTTTATAAACTCAAGAAGCATTTTGTAAAATGAATAGTTAATCCCTACCAGGCTGAATAAGTTAGCTTGGGGTAAATTCAAGTATCTTAAAGAAAGTTTTACATATAAATTTCTATTTATATATGTTGCATATACAAAGAATGAATATTATCAATAGATAAATAACTATATATATATATATATATGTGCACACACATATAAGCTTGCATAGACTTGGTAGGTTCAGGTTGCATAGACTTCATAGTGCTGAAAACAAACTGAACATTTGCAAATTGTTTATGTATTTTTTTTCTATAATCAAGGACAAGCTATATCAGGATCTTGGAACCTGATCTGCTATTATCCCCACCTACTGCTTCCTTACTCATTGGGGTGGGAGTATGAGGGGAGAGAGAGAGGGGAGCTAGACGGAAGAGCAAGCAGTAAGAATAGAGGTTGTTTAAAAGACAGATTGTTTGAATATATTAAGAACTTGAATTAATGGAGTATATACATACGTTTATTTCCAATGATGCATCCTTGAAGTGTAGAATATTATAATGTAATATTACTTCAATTAAACAAATTAGCTTGTATCAAAGAATTTGGTCTTTGTCCTAAAATAACTGGCAATTCTTTGACTGATTTTCAACAAGGAAATGATTTTTCATGATACCTTTAAACATCAGATATTATATCAACCAACCCCTAGGACTATTGTAGCCACAGAGAGAGGTAGAAAACTAATTTATAGCTCAAGAAGCAGAGTTTGCTTTGTTATCTGAAGGTGAATTATTTTTCAGGCGGCATCACATTTAGAAGATTACAATGAAATGCTTGAGTTAATTCTGAAGTGGATGGAGAAAGCAAAAGTCTTGGTACATGGCAAGATAGCTTGGAATTCTGCAAGCCAACTTCGGGAACAATACATTTCACATCAGGTAACTTTCAGGAAAATGTGTTCAAAGGAACTGAGAGAGCAGTTTAATTTTACTGGCAAGACTGACAGAAAATTTAGACGACCATGTCAATTCTTGTAGATGCCAGATAAAAAGAAAGCCAAGGTAACCCTAATAACTTATGGGGTGATTTGAAAGAAAGTAGCTACCCAGAGATATGATAGGCCCCCATAAATAAATATCCTGTATCTCCCCACACCTTCCTTCCCAGAGGACCAAAAATAATCAGCCTTACAGAGTTCTTTTTTTGTTTTCTTTTAGCTTCCCTGAAACTCATGCAGGGACAGGGAGGAGAATAGTGACTTAGAGAAAGACGACAAGTTGCAGACTCAGACTCATGGGGAAACCAAGCCCAGCCATTTAGAGCCGTGAGATTAGGAGCAATTAAATTTGCTTCTCTCAATTCAGTCTTTTCATCAATGGGATGGAGATGTAAACCATATCTATATTGCAGAATTTATCACAGGGATCAAATGGTTTAACATACACGTGAATATCAAGCGTATTACCTGGCATGCAGATGCTCAGCACAGCTCTCAAGCCTCCTCCTGTGCCTTCTGCTTGTTCAGTGGTCTGGCTTTGCACAGGGTCACCCACCATGAGAACCAGTCTTCTGTCCACATCACATGGACGCCTCATTACTTCATTTCCTCTGAAGTTCCATCTCAGTTATATCATCCAGGAAATTATGTCATCCTTTTATAATTTAGTCTTGAATTAGACACAGATATCCACTAGTCCAGTTATCTTGCAATCAAAATACAGAAGACCTTTCTGCTAGTTACATGGATATGCTCAAGTATTTTAGATTTATTTTATTCTGATTTATGTACACTCACATCTTTTAAATTATCTCTTTCCGGTTTAGTAGACAGGATTATCGATCAAAGTCTCATTTTCTGCTTATTGGAATGCCTTCACAGGTTCCTAGTTGGTTTCCCTGAATCTAAAATCTTTGTTCTTTAATCAGTCTTGCACACTTCTCTCAGGGAGTCATTCTTCAACAGCTCCAGTCTTCTGCTTCTGCTTCAGTATTATCCCGACAAGATCTAACAGACGAGACTAACGTGACAGGTGGTAATAAACAATGAAAAAAAATTCAACCTCCTTAGAAACCTAGAAATGCAATTTTAAAAGAGAGAGAGCATTTTTAACTATCAAGTAAACCCTATTTAAAAATGTAATATTCAAAGAAGTGTGAATCTCAATCATTGCTGGCAACTTGGTAAAATTTGCAAAACAATTGGCAAAATTTATCATGAATATCAAAATTACAGACTACTCTGCAATATTACTACTCTGCAAGTAGAAATATTTTATGCAGAATTAACAGTGGAAATCTAAGAGGACTTCAGTGTCAATTTTCCTGAGTAAATTTTTAGATACCATGTAGCTAGTGTATTCTTCAAAATGACCATTTAAAAAAATAGTTCCAGCACTCGTTTATTTTATCTATTCACGAAGGATTTATAGAGTACTTTCCAAAGTTAGGAATGCTAGGTATTTGGAATACACTGAATGTTCCCTGCCCCAGGGACGGAAAATCAGATCTAGACAATTGCAGTGCAGTGTGAGAAGAGCAGACTTTGCCCAGAAGGATCCACGGACCTGAGGTGCTGGAGGAACCCAGGAGTAAGGTCCATCCTGACTGCCAGGGGCTGCAGAGGAAGGTTAGGGAAGGCTTCTTAGGAAAATATGATTTGGGGCCACCTCCTGAAAACACACAGCCTACTTCTTGTGGAATGTGTTTTAGACAAAAGTGAGTGTTAGCAATCCCATCAGTAAGAGTGAGGGAGTTTGCAGGGAGGTGTTTTGCATGGAGGGTGCACTAGGTGGGGGAGGTTTGGAGGAGAGCTGGAAAGAGGTCTAAGAGATAAGAGAGAGATAAGAAAGGCTAAACTTGAAAGCCAACTAAGAACTTGGACTTTATCCTAAAGTCACTCTGAAGTCCTTGACAAATATTCTGCAGGCAGTTGGCCAGCTCAGACTTGTGTTTTAAGAAAAGAGAAGGGTCAGCCATTGGGAAACAGACTGATGAAGGTAAGAAGGTAAACAGTTTGACATGGGAAGTGGTTTCATTATTCCAGTAGGACGTCAAGTCCTCTCTTGGCAGGTTGAGAGGAGCCAGACTCAAGGGATGACTGAGCTACAACTTCAGGCTTGGAGACTATTGCATGTGGGTGAGGAGAGGATCCAGGGATGATTCCCAGGATTCTGTGGAGTTGCCGGGGTTGTATGCGTGGGAAGGCCCAGGAGGACAGAGTCAGGTATTGGTGATTATCTCACACAGACTTTCAGGAATTACTCAGCCTATAAAACTGTTTCGTGGAGTTCTGTGTCTTCCCTGGGAATGAAAGCAGCTGGAGTTTATCAAGAATGGGGCACAGAGAGAAAATGCATCTGGTCTAATGTCAGGGAAAAAAGAGAGAGAAAATTGGAGGTATGATATCTCAGTCACATACAAATAAACCCAGTCATCATCTCGTTCTAAAAGTTATCTTTGAGGTATGGGATTGTGGAATATCTTTATTTTCCTTTTTGATTTTCACTATCTTCCAGATGTACATGATGAGGAAACCATGTACTTTATTTTTAATGCTAAGGGTCTGTTGCCTAAGAGTAATGTCCCCTCTCCCATGTCTCCTCTTTGCAAATGCCACACCCCGCGTTCTGGGCTCACCCACCTCTGTGCCTTGGCTGATGCTATTCTCTCTGCAGAGGCTGATGCTATTCTCTCTGCAGGAAATGCCTTTCCTCTTCCTCCCAGCCTGTCCACAGGCTCACATCCTCTTCCAGGAAGCCTTCTTCTGACTTCCTATCCATCCTAGCAGTTCTCATTTCTGGCATCCCTTAGCTCTTCTCTTCCATTCTGCTTTTCATACATTGAATATTATGTGCTTATTTATCCATTTCTACTGTCAGGGGGAAATGATGTCCTGAGCTAATCCCATACAGGCTTTGTGGACCCCACCCCCACTCCAGACTAAAGCCATCAGGACATTGGGAAAGGCAAATCCCATCACCACCAAAGGGAAGGTGGCTGGGACCTGAGGGTGGAGTTAAGCAGCCAGGGTTGGTATAAAAAACCAAACATATGGGCCTTGGGGGTCGCTCGCTGTTGCTCGCCTCCTGGCTTCACGGCTCCTGGCTGGTGGCCAGCTCTCAGAGCGCCATTTGGGGTTCCAGATCGGCAGATCGGGTAGGACACATTTAAAACTTTGTCTCCCACTTTTCTCCCAGAGCTGTACATTTCCTCATTTCCCCTTCCCTTGTAAATAAACCTTTATGAACCTTTCGCATGTGCCTGCAGTAGAGCATTGATAAGTCCTTTTAAGCGCGCGGGTGAGGACCCACAGTCAGGCACCCCATTTTGTATCGGGGCTGCCCTATAACACTACTTTTATTTGTCCTAATAGGTGGCACCTTCCTGAATGACCAGGGCTGTTTTGATCCTCTTGGTAGCCTAAGTAGCTTCTACTCCTTTGTGTCACATGAAATCAGTGATGGAAAGTTTTGTTGGTCACTCACTTGTCTGATTTCCACTCCTTAGGTCAATATGCACTTAGATGGCAAGTACAGATTATGAAACTAGAAAGCCTGGCTTACTTTAAATCTGGAAGTGGTGGGTGCCACGTGTTGGAGCTTGGCCAGGGGCTGATGGGGTGTGTGGGGGTGCATCGTAAATCATCCTGTACCCCTCAGGGATCTTCCAAGCTGGCAAATAATCAAACAAACTTCAGGCAGATTGAAAAGAGAAAAACACCAAAGCAGAAGTTTAATAATAACATGTGTACTTCCCGTATCCAAGGGAGAGATACAGCAAAACTGAGTGACTTGTGTACTTGGCTTCAGACACCATCTTAATAGCTAGGGGGAGTTAGGCTGGGGGAAGAAAAGGGAAATTCAGTTAGGGAGTTTATCAGGACAACAAAGGAATACAGATTTCAGTTCTGCCTTCTCCACTGAAACAGATGAGGAGATTAGCTCTTCCTGGGAGAGGCCCTTACAGAGAGGAGTTTACAGATAAATATCAAAGCAGTTTCCACCCAGCCTTCAGAGCCCCTCCCATGAAATCAGTCTCTTGCCAGACATATTTGGGGTGGCAGATTTTGCTCCCCTTCAGGCTGGGGATAGCATGAGCCTTGTTTAGAGCGCAGCCCGCTTATTGGCCCGTGGCCCCTGTAAATTGTTAAGAGTTTCTGATCTCAAGTTCTCTTCCTGTGAAGTGGGGATCATGGCAGGTGGGAGCAGGCTGGGGATGTGGAGGTTAAACATGATTAGACCCTCAGGACCTACACAGGGCATGGACATGCGAACGAGACCTTTCCACCCCTTTCCCGGGGCCTTTGCATCACAGGTGTTAGTTACAACCCTCTCTCCCTACCTATCAATGTCATGACTATTGACAATTCATTCTAGACCATGCTAGAAGAATCCGAAGACATTGACAGCGATCTGGAAGCCATGACTGAGAAACTGCAGTCCCTCAGCAGCGTGTACTGCACAGAAAAAATGTCTCAGCAAGTGACAGAGCTGGCGCGGGAGACTGAGGAGTTGCGGCAGAGGATCAAAACTCGTTTGCAGAATCTCCAAGATGCTGCCAAGGTGAAACAATTAAAAAACGATTTAAATGGAAAACAAACCCTGGCGGTGGTGCCAGTGTGGTGCCGACTTGACTTGGCTCCTTGCCTGTGTCTGTCCTCACCTATGCCTGGGGACCGCGAGTGTCATACCTTGACATTCATCTTGTTTTTACTTGCCAGGATATGAAAAAATTTGAAACCGAGCTGAAAAACTTACAAGCTGCTTTAGAGCAAGCCCAGACCACTCTGACTTCTCCGGAAGTGGGACGGTTGAGTCTGAAGGAGCAGCTTTCTCACCGGCAGGTAAGCAGACTTCAGGACAGGTGAGAGGGGCCTGGATTTTAACAGAGAGGCTGGGTAGGAAAAGTGATTTCTAAAATCAGTTATCATCTTGGTGCTATAGGCCTTCTTTATTTTTACTCTTTTGTGGAAAGTGTTTATAACTTATAAGCTATCACTTAAATGTTTCATCATTGAACATTTTTTGAAATTATGTTTATTAAGGTAGCTTTGATATACATATATCAAGTATATGTATATACATGTATATTTATTATATATATATATAATATATATATTTTAGGGGGACAGCTTTGCATCTCTCTGAATGTGTTATCACACCACATCCACCACCAAAGCCCCAAAGATCCTCCACCAGGGTCCACTGTACCCCATCCCTGCATTGTCCCTCGTCCCTCACTCTCCCCTTGAGGTAGCCTCAGGCCTACAATGAGCTTCCAAGGGTTTGTTTCTATTCCATAAATGAGTAAAATCATCCTGTATGTGCCTTTCTCCTTCTGACTTAATTCCTTTATCATAATTCCCTCCAGTTCCATCTACACGGTCCCAAATAGCAAGAGCTCATCTTTCTTAAATGCCTTTTGCTGATGAAATAAACTATTTACGGGTACGGTTTTGAAATATGAACTTGCACTTTCAGCATTTGCTGTCTGAGATGGAATCCCTCAAGCCAAAGGTCCACGCGGTGCAGACCTGCCAGAGCGCGCTCCGGATCCCCGAGGACATGGTGGCGGGCCTGCCGCTCTGCCGCACCGCCCTGTGCCTGCAGGAGGAGGCCAGCCGGCTGCAGCACACCGCCATCCAGCAGTGCACGGTCATGCAGGCACGCGCCCTGGCCCGCAGCCCCCTCCCGAGCAGGGCACTGAGTCACCCGCGGCTTTTCTTAGCACGGTGTGGGCGCAGCCATCAAAACACATGCAGCGTGTTAAATGTGACAGGTTGCTGTGGTTATGTAAAATAAGAAGATGAAAATGCTCCTGTTTGCATCACCCTCAGCAGCCTGGGGAAAGCTATATAAAAATACCCTGTGGTGAAATCCTTTAGTGAGTTCTTTTTCTATAAAGAACAACATAGAAAGATGAATTTTATGTTCAATCATCTATTTTTATTTTTATCATTCACCTGAGGACCATCTGGAAGCTAGTAATAGGACTTTACTCCTAGCTTATATTGCAGATTTTTTTTTTTTTTTACTATTTTCCCTTATTGATGCACTTAGTGCATTTTTTTTTTTTGCCTGAGAAATATACCCAAGTGTCCCTCAGTCTCTTCACGTAATAAGAGGAAAATCACTTCCTAGAAAGAAATGACATGATTAAAGTCATATCTTCTTTCAGTTAGTATTTCACCTGCTTTCTCCAAAAACTGCATACATACCTCCCATTAAATTGCTCATTTTTGGGCCAACCATCCTGCCCCTGCATTAGCTTGTAATTTGCTCGTAAATTCCTGAGGCTGACAGTCACGCTCAATCCCTTGTTTTGCCCTGGCTTACACACTGAGTCGTGTATTTTTGGTATTTCTTAGCTGGAAATGCTTAGGATTTTCATAAAGTTTCTTCCCCAAGTGCCAACCCGTAAGTTGCCATCTCCAATTACCCTGCTCTTTTGAATCCATCAATCATTTTATAAAATATTTTTATAAATATTTGCTGAAATATCTGAAGATTTGTCTCCTGCTCGAGGGTTTTGCCCACCATTTTGTCATTTCTGACGCGCAGGTGCTGGGAGTGAGCACGGTAGTTTGGCAGAGGGCACCACTGCTCAATTTACACTGACCCTCATCTAGAAAGATGATCGTGTGTGTTTTTGTTTGTTTGTTTTCAAAGGAGGCTGTGGTGCAGTATGAGCAATATGAGCAAGAAATGCAGCGGCTGCAGGAGCTGATAGAAGGAGCTCATAGAGAGATCGAGGACAAGCCTGTGACCACCAGTAACATCCAGGAGCTGCAAGCCCAGATTTCTCGGCACGAGGTGAGACAGCCTGTAGGGGAGGCTCAGGGAGGACACTGATTGGATCAGGCTATGTGGTTGCTAGCAAGTGTTTTTTGTCTGTCTCTGCATTTTGAGGGCTCTTTTTGCTGATTCTTTTTTTTTTTAAAGATTTATTTATGCATACAAGAACTGGGGTTCTTGTATGAGGCGTGGGCACTTGAAGAGGTGTCGGGGGGAGAGGATTCATCAGAGACAGAGTGGGGAGCAGAAGAGGCAGATCTACTGAAATACACTACTGAGGGGAGCACGTTGCGTCTTGACCCCCTGCACCACCAGGGAGGCCCTTTTTTGATCCTTTTTAAGACCCAGGCACATGTATCTTCCCCTGAAGTCCCAAACCTCTACACAATTGGTGCATGATGTATCTCAACCAGGACCCAGTGACTGTCTCCTGCATCCAGGATCCTCACAGTTAATACACCCAACATAGTCTGCTCCTTGTATTTAAAGTTGCAAGAAACTTCTGTGCTGGAAGTCTCACTGCTTTGATTGTCCCCTTTAAAAAAAAAAAAGAAGGATATTTCTTACTAAGGAAATTATCTGCTCTCAAATATAGGTCAGTTCAGCAACTTTCATCACAAGCAGTGAATGGCCCATGTTGTCTGTTCTGTTTATGTCCAGATCGTGCCTGAAGCATCTTCTGCATTTCCTAGTGTGTCTTCTTCCTTGTTCCTTTGGCATCATTATAACCTTAGAACCTGGGCCTCCCTTGCAAGTCCTGGTCTCAATGATCATAGACCTTGAGTATTTGAGCCAAGTGACACTTGGCTGTGAATTTCCTTCCCTGACCTGTCAATTTCCATGTGGGTCACATTAACTCTTTCCACTGGAGACTGTCTCAGCATCATGAATGGTGGTAAGATATTGGGGGTAGGGAGAAGAGAGTATCTTATTTCCCTCAGCCAAGGATGGGCATTTAGTTTATCCTTCCATCTACTCTATTAAACTTTATTGTCAGAAGAGCTGAAAAATATTTTTCCAAACCAAGTATCATAGTGAGGTTCTCATAATATTCAGTTGTTGGCCCTCTCTGGTGGTGCAAGGGGTTAAGACACAGCCTATGAAGCTGTCTGCAGCCAATGCAGCATGAGTTCAATCCCCGGCCAGGGAGCTACCCACATGGCACAGCAGACCTCTCCTGACTCCCAAGCTGCTCCCCTCAGCAGTGTATTTTAGTAGATCTGCCTGTTCTGTTCCCCACTCTGTCTCTGATGAATCCTCTTACCCCCCACGCCTCTGGCCTGTACCTCAGCTCTTATATGCATAAATAAATCTTAAAAAAAAAAAACCAAACAGTATTCAGTTGTTGCCTTCTCAGGAAGTAAACTCACACTGCCCACTCCAAATGCAATTTTTGCAATTTCTTGACATGTCTGGTGTATCACTTACAATTTTATACTTGAAGTCACTTACTCTACAGCATGCATTTGACTATATACTGTAAATTTATTTTGAAACAATCTTTATCCCATTTTGTAAGCTCCAAAATTTTGTCTTAATAGTTTTCTATCATAGTACAGAAAATATTTTTTCATCTGATTTGGAATAATAGTTATCATTACTGATTTTTTTTTTAGATTTATTTTATTTATTTATGCATATAAGAGCCAAGGTGTAGGCCAGAGGTGCAGGGGGTGAGAGAATTCACCAGAGACAGAGTGGGGAGCAGAACAGGCACATCTGACATACACTGCTGAGGGGAGCAGCAGGGGAGATAGGAGAGGTCTGCTGCATCATGTGGGCCAGCTCTCTGGCCAGGGATCGAACTTGTGCTGTAGTGGCTGCCAATAGCTTCATAGTGCTGAGCCTTAACCCCTGGCACCACCAAGGAGGCCCCTGTTTTATAAATTTAAAACAGTTTACACAGTAGTTTTAGATTATCTTTTATGACGGTCATATATGGGAAGAATATTTTTTTTTAAGAGGCATGTATTTGTATTTATTTATTTATTTGTTTGTTTGTTTGTACATGCACTGGGTACAGTCAGAAGCGCGGGAGGGTGAGAGAATTCACCAGAGCCAGAGCGGGGAGCAGAGCAGGCAGAAGGACCGAAGTACACTGCTGAGGGGAGCAGCGGGCGGCAGGAGAGGTCTGCGCGCCATGTGGGACCCTCCTCCGGTGGCCGGGGAGCAGCCGGGGATCGAACCAGCGCCTCAGAGGCCGCAGAGGCTTCGCAACCCAGCGCTCAACCGCTGCGCCACCGGAGAGGCCCAAGGGAAGAATATTTTTATCATTTCCATGTTACTAATAAGAAAACAGAAAGTGATTTTTTTGTGTATGTGGTAACTTTGATTTGTAGCACTACCGAGTTTCAGCAGTAAAGCTATGCTTGCACATCTGTGTACAGGACAGATGTGCTCATCAGCCCTGAAAGCCTTGTTTCCACCCGCCACGGTCTGGTCTGAGTGACTCCTTCACCCAGTTCATCCCCCGCCCCCACTCCGCTTCCTGTCTGGTAACCACCATTCTGTTGTCAGAACGTAAGAGTTTGGGGTTTGGTTTTGTTTGTAGATTGGCTTTATTTCTTTATCTTCCACGTATATGTGAAATCATGTGACATTTTCTTCCTCCATCTGATTTATTGCCTTAGCATAATCCCCTCAGTGTCCATCCATGTTGTCACAAATGACAAGATTTCATATTACTTTATAGCAGAGTAGTATCCCCTTGTGTCTACATACCAAACCCTTGTCCATCCACCCTCCTGTGGGCACTTAGACTGTTCCATGCTTTGGCTATTGTAAATAATGGTGCAACGAACATAGGAATGTGTAGCTCTTTCTAAATCTGTGTTGTTGTATTCTTCACATAAATACCCAGAAACTAATTTTTTTGAATGGCTTTCTAAACAGCCAAATCTAGTAGCTGAGAGAAATCAGACTCTAATCTAGTATTGTTGGCTCCAAATTCCTTGTTTTTTTTTTTTCCACTGTCGCAGAAACTCTTTGGGCTACCTCACTGTAGACAAGAGAAGAGCTAGTTAAGGAAACAAGTGAGTTGCCCAATGTAGACATTCGTTAGTTTTGTCATGTGGTGTGGAACACATTTTCATATGAATAGTGATGTGTTCCTGTGTGAAGTTCATTGTATTTATAAGACAAACACAGGAAGGAAAGCGCTGAGTGAAGAATGCCTGATTTATGATAACATAAAAGTTTGGAAAAATGCTCTTTCCTGTATTGTTAGTCTATTTTTAAAGATTTTTCTAACTTGAGGTGAGTCTAGTTACCATACAGATAACTTTAACTCATGAAAATAACAATTTATTCATTTCTAAGGAATTCACATTTTTTTGGTCATTTTTCATGTATTTAATTTGAAATAAATATCCTGCCACCTTTAACTCAGAGGGAAGAGGATACTCTGATGTCTTAGCCTGTCACCTCCCATGGAGGGCCGCCTCCTGAGGGCAGCCTTCCTCAGAGCCCATTGTGCCTGAAATTCCCACCTTCTCATCGTTGGTAACTATTTTCAGAAATTCCCAGTAAAAATGTTAAATGCACGTCCTTCCTAAGAGGAGGAGCTTTAACCTACTGCCACTGTTTGGTTTTGTTCTATGTGACCAGCCGGCCACAGAGCTGAGAACATCGGCAGGCTTATTCTTACACATGAAAGCTCTAAAATGCTGTTTCTCCAAGAAAGTCATGTGGGTAACTGTGAAATGCAGATTCTCACAGCCTAGGAAAGCAAAATCTTTGGAAGTGGACTCCAGATTAACATTTTTACCAAACGAGGGCCTCCCTGGTGGCGCAGCAGGTTGAGTGCCACACTGTGAAGCTGTCTGCAGCCTCTTCAGCAGGAGTTCGATTCCCAGCCTGTCAGGGAGAAATCCATATGGCACGGCAGACCTCTCCTGACTTGCCCGCTGCTCCCCTCAGCAGTGTATTTCAGTCAATCTGCCTGTTCTTCTCCCCACTCTGTCTCTGGTGAATCCTCTCACACTCCCACGACTCTGACCTGTACCCTAGCTCTTGTATAAATAAAAATAAATCTTAAAAAAAAAAACATTTTTACCAAACCAGGTATGATTTATACAGGATCAAGCTGAGCGCTCCAATGGAGTATATGGGCTGTTGCCTTAAGCCTGGGCACAGCTTGCACGGACTGGACCAGGGGCCATGGCCAGAGGGTAGAAAGTCTAAGACTAACTCTTATTCATACAGAGTCCACCTGTGGGGCAGGCCCATGTAAGAAGGCCTGCTGGAATGCCCTACTGTGAGCTGGTAGACCTCTTCAACAGCTGTGTGCGAAGTAACGATAATAAATCTCATTTATTGAACACCTATGTGGTAGACACTAGGTCAGGTGCAGTAAGTAGCTATTTAGTCATTATTTTAAAAAAAATCCTACTTAGGTTTGATTAAGTATCCAAGGTCCTAAGATTAAAAAAAATGATTTCTGCTTTTTGTTATCCTTATTTTAAAAATTCTTAGAGGATGCTGGAAATCAAGGACAGGATACTGGCTAAGTCTGGGGGACTGCCCCCCGCCTCCTGCCCTGCCTTCTGTCAGTTTTGTTTGGGAGGGAAGAAACAAAGAAAATAACAATAATAAAATTGTGTGTCAGTGGCACACTCATAAAATATAACATGGAGAGTTATAAACAGAACCATCTTAAAGACTGACATTTAATGTTTTTGTCACATAATATGTCCTCTGTGGACACTAAGTGACAGCTTTTCAGGCAAAGCAGCCCAAGCAGAACAGAGTAATGGTTTTTACTTTTAGGATTAACATTTGGAAACATACATCTTCATTTTTAAAAAAATGCATATATCTTATAAATAAGAAATACACTTTTAATATTATAGAATTGCCATTGTAGGTTATTATTTATTTTTTTAAATTTAGAATATTAAGAAAAACTACCCAGAATAATCTAATAAGTTCTTATAAGAAATTTTAAAAACAGCTTCCAACAGCCAATTAATTTAAAAGCCATTAAATTGGAACTGAACTGCGTGCAAAGCTCTAGCTCGAGGCATGATGGAGAAAGTGCATTGGATAAATGTGCAAAATTCCATTTGCACACACGATTAAGTTTTCCTTTGCAATATTTTGCTGATCTAGAAAAAGCGATTCGTGGGGTGGGGGGACAGGCTGGGGGCGCCCAAGGAACTGACAGGCAGCTTCTCTGTGACGCTGCCTGTCACAACCCAGTGCTGAGGCATCTCCAGCCTGGCGAGCATGCCAGGCGCCGCATTTTCTGCCCTGGGAGTCAGCCCATGACCTCATTTCCGTGGCATGAACCATCGAGCGAATTTCAGGTGCTTGGGCATTTTAAAGGGGCGGGTTCCCGGTGCACGGCGTGGGCTCGGGGTGCGCGTGGGACCTCGGGGCCCGCCCCGGCCGCGCCCCCCGCGGTCCACATCCTGCGCCCCGGCCCTGTCTGGCGCGGCCCGGGGATCTCATTGGCCGGCCTGGGAGGAAGATGATCGCGCCGGGTTCTGTTTCCTTTTGATGCTGCTCTGACACCGGGCGGGGGTGGGAAATGTTTCCCCAGGAGCTGGCTCAGAAAATCAAGGGCTACCAGGAGCAGATCGCCTCCCTCAACTCCAAGTGCAAGATGCTGACGATGAAAGCCAAGCACGCCACGATGCTGCTGACGGTCACCGAGGTGGAGGGGCTGGCGGGGCCCTCGGGGGACCTGGACCCCGAGCTCCTCCCCGCGCCCGCGGCCCAGCCCTCCGTGGTCATGGTGAGTGGGGGCGAGGCCGGGGGTGCGGGGCCCTCATGCTCTTGCGCGCCTGCCTGCTCGCCCCGGGGCTCCCTGCTGGGGCGCAGATCTGCACCTTGCAGACTAGACCCGAGACAGTCTCCCCAACTCTTACTCCGTGGGGCCGAGGCCAGCCCGTGTAAACAGTGACAGCTGACAGGGAGCTGTTTGCAGGAGGCTGCTCTGCCTGACGTGTCGAAGGTCGGCCTGGCCTGTCTGGAGTTCTGCAGCCACAGCCGGGCCCCCTAGCTTCAGAACCAGCTCCTTTGCAGCTTACTTATTTTCTGGGGGATGGGAGCGCCATGCACCCCATGTTTGTGCTTTTGTGCATGTGTTTTCCAAGCTGAAACACGGGCTGGCTAGATGTGTATTCTGTTGTGTGAATGTTTATAAACGAGACAAGAGAAAAGTTAGGAATGAAAAACAAAAACAAAAAATCAGACGTTTACCTTTGGATTAAAATAAGTTCCAGTCATTTCTAATCTACAGCATTATTTTCTGATCACTGTGCACCTGAAATGCATTAATTATTTTGGTAACTGTAAGTGTTCCTGTGCTGTATGTTTTCCACTGATGTTTGCTTGCTGGGGTCCTGCGTAACCGTACCTGAACCCTTCGGGGAATTTATTACTTTGGGTGCCTATTTGGAACTCGAGAATATTTGGAGCTAGACTATTTGGAATGAGATATCTATGAAAGACTGAACTTTTATCTCATAGACCTGTCGCTCATGTACGATTCTTGATTTTCTAGTTATTTATAAAGACAAAAACAATCAAGAAAAAGAAAAAGACATATTTAATCAAAAACAAAACTCTTGAATGGTTTGTACCACCTCTTCCTGGCATCATATTTGTTGGTTTTACAAATGGTCCCTGGCATAGTATTTACCTGAGGACAAAAGCTTTCAATACTAAGACAGAATTTGTGTGTGAATTTGGGGTTCAGTAGTTCTAACCTTTGTTAGGTAATTTCTGTTTTGACCTGTGCCTCACCAGGCCTTTTGCTGACAAAGTTAATGCCTTTTCATGTCCCTTTGGGCTACGTTTTATGTGACAGATGACTGCAGGTCGCTGTCACACTTTGCTGTCCCCTGTCTCTGAGGAGTCTGGGGAGGAGGGAACCAACAGTGAGATTTCCTCTCCACCTGCCTGTCGGTCCCCATCACCTGTGGCTAATCCAGATGCTTCTGTTAATCAGGTACGCCCACTGCCATTCCTCTACCCAGGTCTCTAGTGGCTGCAGCACTCCATTCCCTCGGCTTGGTAGATTGCGGGTATGGACCTTACACTAGGCGGACACACCCTCTGGAGGTCTGTGACACCCCTTGGGCTCAGAGTATCCGCTGCTCCCCTGGGCTGGAGCAAGAGATTAAGTCCCAGATTCACAGCCGAAGAAGGTCCTGTTCAAAAGCTTGTGGGCTTCGTTTCTCATTGCCATCTGTAATGGAGTACTGCACCCTGCCAGAGAATGAAATGTTTGTGTCACGGTTGTAAAATAACATGATCCTTTGCTATTCTAACATGCACTGAATGTGGTTTTGACACTTAACAGCTCAGATTTGGAAGATGGATAACTTGTGTTCACCATATCATACTTTATTTACTAATTGTCAGCCAATTGAAGAGCTGTCTGCCAGTATAAATATCGGAATACCTAAGTAGAACCTAAGTTTTCTTATTTCCTATAAAATAGGGATAATGCCTCGTTGCTATGAGTTCCTCAGCTTAAGTTACATTAAATATAAACTCTACTTATTAAATATGTTAAAATATTTTCATGAAAAATATTGGATAGAAATAAAAAGATGTTTTTGCAATAACCAAACATTTTTAGTGATTGTTAAGTAATGCTTACTTTTTCCTTTTAGCCAAAAAGCTTAAAAAATTAAATTATGTTCGATGGCATTTTGTTAAGTGTTCAAACAAGCTGAGATTTATTATCGAGGGAAAGACATTGAACAGGGCAAATGTTTGATAAGCTTATATTATAAATGAATCACATAATTTTTATGTTAAAATAGAAACATTCAAAATAGAATTTGTGTAATAAACAAATCTTCCTCCGAGAGAAGTGGAGAATAAAATTGATGAAATCTTTTAGATAAAATAATTCTCTTGGTAGAACTCTATATAACTCCAGGGAGTTTTCAATTCAACCGCTTAATTATGAGCTACCTTCTGCACAGGTGCTTAGTGTGAAATCTTGTGTAGGAATCCAGAGAAGTAACTAAGAATAGGGGAGCGTGTCTTCTGCCCTCCAAAACCTCCCAGTCTAGTGACAGAAGTGGCCTGGGCCAAATAATAACAAAAGAGAGGAGAGGAATTTAAAACAAAAAATAAGTTTCTGGGTGATTTTAGAACTTGTCCTAATTCTGATTTTAAAATACTTATTACCCATTCTTTGACATTATGCTCTTCCCTGTGGTCACATCACAGATATTATAATCAGAAAAATAAGGCTGTCACCAACTGTTTATAGTCTAGGAACATTTCATCCTATCTTAGATGCTAAACTTTATTAAAATTTCCATTTTGAACCATAAACACTGGCCTGGAGACAAACACTATATGAAGAATATCCCTTTTCTGAAATTCTGTTTTTATTTTACTTCTTGTAGAATGTCTTCTAATGTGCCCTTGAGAGTACCCTAGAAAAGGTTAAATGTGCAAATATTTTAATGATTATGACTTAATTGTTAAGCTCAATCAACTTCTAAAATTCTGAGTGAGATTAGGCTTTGTTGTAATCCATTTTGATATCCTTCCCCTAGTCACAGGAAAACATTAATTAAATCACATTGTTAACCTACCACACTTGTGTGTGATGTTGCCAATTTGGAAAAAAATATATATATATTTAGCTTATGTCAGGCGTTATATTCACAGGAAACTGTTGAAAAGCTTGGTGTGGCCCAAACAAATCAATCCGTTGTTTTGGTTGCATTTTATTCTTATATAATGGTAATGTAAATCAGAAGAAGGTGAAAAATAACAACAAGGCCAGCGATGCCTCGGATTTATTTTCTTGAAACTGAGGAGAACATTGAGCATCCCTGTAAGTTCCAGTTTTCAGACTCAAAACACTGTACAGAATGTGCACAGCTGTTTCAGTGAGCAGCCAAATATAACTGCTTTATAAAATCACAGCTGTTAAAAAAAGGTTTTGTGCTTCTGTAAGTAGCTCTCCATTATATAACGAGCTGATCTCCCAGTCAGCGGGTTCCATCTCTGACAGTAGCTATTAACTGAAATATGATAGTAATGGAGCTCACTTGAGGCTAGGAATGAGCAGGCAGCCCCAGAATGTGCAGCAGGCTTCTTGACCCTTTTCCAAACAAGCCAAACTTGGGCGCCTGGGAAGAGCTGAGAGAACTAGAAGTTTGAAAAACGTGAGAGTATGATAAGGCACGCAGCCCAAAACTCAGATGGGGTGCAGCTTTTCCTCCACTCAGCTGAAAGTCCCTGAAAAGTCCCCAAATCCTCTCACTTGTTATGGGAACAAAATGTTTTCAGTCACAAGATTGTGATAATCAAGTGTGAGCTTAGTTGTGAGAATACTTTTTAAACTGGAAAACGCTGTTCAAATCGTAGCTTTCATTTTCCAAACTTGTTTCCTTAGGAATCTACTGGATAATGATTCTCATACCTTAGGCGCATGAGCAAGAAGAGACATTTTGCTAAGGTGATCCTCACTAGCCCAGATATTTGGTATTTTATTTAGTACTTGTAGGACTGATAATTAAGTTTACTGAATCTGTGTAGTGCATAATAGATCCAAATTGTTGGTGTTCAAAAGGTGATGATGATTTTCAAATCCTTTTAAGAAACCAGGATTTGTTCTTCCTAATAGCCCAGAGACAGAGACACACACACATACACACACACCCCCCAGAAAAAAAAATTTTTTTTGAAACATGTATTTTATTCCATTTTGGGCTCCTTTTTAAAACTTTTAATGGAGTATTTGATTTGCAGTTTTTACATTTAAAGCATCATCTTGCTTTTCTGTGTGGACAGTAATGCAGGTCACCCATGACAACACTTGACTTTGAGCTACTTGGCTCCACTTACGTTGGATTTTTTTCTGTCTATGGGTTCCACATTCATAGATTCAGCCCACTATGCATGTTGGTTAGTTGGTTGAATCTGTATAACTGGTGTATGGGGAGACCAACTATGAATTATACATAGATTTTGACGGCTGGAGTGGGCGTCCCAGCCACCCACCACTTTGTTCAGGGGTCACAGTCTTCCATGCACAGTCATGTGAGTCACTTCCAGGCCACTCTGTATCAGTGGCCCCAACAGGCGACAGCATTCAGCCCACGTGTGCACCAGGCTGCACCATCCAGGTTCTGCAAGGATGAACTCGCCTAATGGTGCATTTCTCCTGCATCCCTGCCGCAAGGCTCCGCCTGACTGTTTAAGAGAATAGAGTTTACGTAAGTGTTTTTCTGTCTACAGATCTCTAGGAACATACATGCCTGCCTGTTACTTGCCAAAGACTCCAAACTTGCTCAGAGTCACACTAAAGGTAATTCTCACACAGGTGCTTGTGGTCTGAGTAAGAGCAAGCCCACCATGACAGTTGGGTGTGGCAAGTACTATGACAGCAGGGAACACTGGGTATTTATGAGAGGACACAGAGGAAGCCCCTAAGCCAGGTTGGGGTCAAGTAGGAATCAAGCATCACCTCTTAGTTTTGTTTTTTTTTAAAGATTTATTTCTTTTTATACAAGAGCTAGAGTACAGGCCAGAGGTGCAGGAGGGTGAGAGGATTCACCAGAGAGAGCAGAACAGGCAGACGACCGAAATACACTGCTAAGGGGAGCAGCGGGCATGACAGGAGAGGTCTGCCACACCATGTGGGAATCTCCCTGGTTGGCCGGGAATAGAATCGGCACTGCAAAGACTGCAGACGGCTTCACAGCACTACGCTCAACCTGCTGCACCACTGGGGAGGCCCCATCACCTCTTAGTTTTGAGAAAGGAGTGCAAGTAAGGTTTAGTGCACTCGGGTGTAGTGAAATTTTTCAGGTAGAAGGAACCATATGTAGGAAGGAAAACAACCCATCAAGACAATTGCACAATCTCAGTATAATTAGACAAACATGGATTTGAGGGAGAAAGGGGGGAAACGAGGCTGAAAGGGATACAGAAGTGATCAGGAAGCACCCGAATAACACACAGAAGAGTTTGCACTTTATCTGAAAGCTAGTAGTTAACCATGGAAGGAGTTGCAGTAGAAGCTATATATAGAATGGAGTTTTAGAACAGATCATTCTGGGTCGATGTGGATAGGAGGTTGGAGATGGACAAATTCAGAACCAGACTTGCTAGTTAGGGACACAAGTTGTACAATCTGACGCCTGGTGCACACTGGTGATGTCGTTAATTGAGAGAAGCAGCTGAGGGATGGTGAAGACCCAGCCAGCACCTCCCCACGTAAAGGAGACAGCCTCTCCTTTGGGATATCTGGAACCACGTGGACAGAGTCCATGCTCACATGCCTCTGGTTTGTAAGAGAATCCATGAACTTGGATTCTTATGAAATCTGTCTATCTCCATAAAGAAAAAAGTGTAAACAACATAAAACACTGGAGAAGCCAAGGGAACACATGTAAGTCAGAGGTAGCCTGCAAGCTGCCCATTTGCAACTGGAGTCAGGAAGTTGTTGCTGCAGTGGAACTTGCGCCCATGCTTTGGCCAGGGTGTGCACCAATAGAACTTCATCCTTACGTAAGTGGGTGGTGAGGGTGAAGGGAAATAGAGAATAAATCCCACGTTTATAGCTTAGGTGAGTACAAGTTCCATTTATTGAAAGATGGATAATACTTTATAGTTTTTTCCGAAATTCTTTTCTCATCTTGGATTTTTTTTTTTTTTTAATTTTTTTTGAATTGCCTGGGAATATACACAGACAACTGGCTCTCTGGGTCTGGAGCTTACAAGTCCGCCAGTATTTAAGAATGCATGGGGAAAAAACTACTAAGGAAAAGATTAAATGACTAGGGATCTGGGAGGAAGATGAAAGTGTTTCCAATAGGGATGGACAGTGGTATGGCAGGCGTGACATTCAAGCAAGAGAAGGGCTGGGAAAAAAAAGTCATTTCATAGAAAAGAGCCACTGATGTGGCAACTACAATGCCAGTGGAGGCATTAAGGCCAAGGTTCAGTTGGGAATTTTGAAGTGGATTGAAGGTGAGAAAATGAACCTATTACATGCCCGCTACCATTTTCAGAAGTTGGACTATGAAGTGAAAGATGTTCACAACCATGTGTGCAAGTATATTCACCTGTGATGATCAATTCCGAGGTGGTTTGTGGCCCTTCCTGATATATGTCATCCAGCAAGAAAAAAATGAGGAAAGAAGGCACATGTAGGTATTTTCAGATAGAGATTTGACTCTTCATGCTGATGAGAAAGTCGGAAGGGAGAAGGATCACAGGATATTATAGTGCATTGACTTTGAAAAGCAAAGGTGGAAGGGATTCTGGGAATAGGTGTGGAGGGCCATCCCTAAGAAGAAAGCTGGGAGGCATTTTAAGACAAGGAGAGTCTGAATTTGGGCAGATTTTTAGAAATTTGCGAAGTTGCAGGAGTATCTCCTTGATGGCTTCAATTGTGTGTGTTCACGTACACTTTGGACAGAAGAGTTGGACTGAGTCATGACGGGGGTTTTCCAGAGAGGGGAAGCGGAGCGTAAAGTTGCAAAGGAAACAAAGGTGTAGACAAGAGGATTTAAGCAGCTTTAGAAATAGTTCAAAGTACACCGTGGGGTGAGCTACTTTTAGTGATGACAGGCAGTGGCATTGAAGGGTGAGGAAAACTGGCGTGGGGTGGGTGCAAGTGAGCACCAGTGGAAATGAGAGCCGTAGTGGGGCAACTAGGCACAGGGCGGGCAGGGGGATGGGGCCCTGGAGGCTGGGAGGCTGGCAGCAGCCAAGACCCCAGCCCCAGCCCCAGTGAATCTTTCTGCTTTTTCTCGCTCTCTCTGGCGTCTTCCATGGTCTCACCTTTTCTGTAGTCACTTGTCCTCTCGTATCTGACTCCTGTCTGAGTGACGCCACACTGATATCCCTGGCCTCTAGGCTCATGTGTGCACACTTGCGCATGCCCACACACCCATGCTCAGGTGTCCCTAGTCAGGCATGTGTGCCCCACACTCACAAGCACCCTATGTTAACGAGATCAAAGCCTCAAGTAATGGCCACAAAGGCCAGTGTGTAAAAACCTGACTGACTTCCTTACCCTACAGAGCCTCGCAAGGATGCAAGAATGCCATGGTCATCCACTGAAGGTGGTGACGGGGTTGGGACGGAATTCCATCAACCATGTTAGAAACTTGTCTGGAAGCCTCAGCAACAACAAAAAGGGTAGAACCTTCAAAGCCTGTCCACATGGCTTCATTTAAACCTCAGAATCACCCGGTGATGTGCAGATGAGGGAACACAACTATCTAGACACCTAGGAGGAGACTTTCCACTGGAGTCTTAGGTGTTAGACACCTGTCTGAACCCTTCCTGCTGTGCAGCCCTGCTCCTGCCTTCCTGCAGACCCCCAAGCACCTGGCCCCTTCCTCCACTCCCCGCGGTTTCTTGGGAGACTGGGGTCTGTGATATATTTTACCAAGACAGTATCAGAAAACTCAAGTATTAAATTAACATAATTATCTTCAATGACACTTCAAAAGTAGCTAATTTTATAATGGCAATTCCCAGAATATAAACATAGTTCCCCAATTCAATTTAAATTAATATACAGATAAATAATAATAAAAACAACTGACAACTCATAATTATGTCTTGATCTAGTAAATTCCATTATCAATGCTAATAAAATGCAATGTTACCTATAACCCAAGAAATGAAAAAAAGTATTCGAAAGCATGGTTTTTCATCCTATACATAATTGCTTGTATACGTTCAGGAATGGAATAAAAAGAAACCCTTTTTTTTTTATTTGTTTCCTAGAATAGTTTTAACTCCTCCATTACATTTTCCCTTATTTTAAATTAAAGTAGTTACATTAATTTCTGTGCAAATTGATCTTGCAAACATTGCAGTTTGGACTCTACCTGAAAAAATTTCTTTCTAGATTTAATTTCATTCCAGTCAGGTATTTTTTAACTAGTCAAAACTAATTAACACAGCAAACAATAATTTAGGAAATAGTTTATTTAGATTCTCTTTATTTTCCTGGTTAAATATGGATTCTGCCTAAGTCCTTTGTGTTTTCATTTTACCAAATACAAGAATGGGTTTTGGCAACTTGAAATGTTGGTGAATGTCTTCATTTTTAAAATATAAACTCAAATTCTAAAGCAATTATAATTTGTGTTTAATTGATATTTAAATTCTTGTTACAAGAATAACTAACTTCACTAGTTGGCAGCTCCTCAAGAAAGGGCCAAACACTAAACCTTCACTCCACATCACTAATAGCACCCAGAGTAGTAACCTAAGCGTTGTTTTCCTTCTGCACTCAGTGCTGTGTTTTGCGCCCACAGGATATTGCTTATTACCAAGCCTTGTCTCCTGAGAGTTTGCAGACAGAGGCCGCAAGGCTTCACCCAAGCCTGTCGCCATCCCAGGCACTCTACGAACCAGGCATGGAGCCATCAGCCACTGCTAAGCTGGATGATTTGCAGCGTTCTTGGGAAACCTTAAAGAACGTGGTAAGCCTTTAAAATGTCGAATCGTCGAAGCCCACCAGACACAGATTACCTGAGCAACTCTCTTACAAAACCCATGCGTAGAGTTCTCATATCCGGCCCACAGTTGAGTACCCTCTGTTGGGCCACTGAGGGAAAGTGGTGAGGAAAGACATGTGGTAATCTAGAAGATAAGGGGCTGGGAAGCATTTGGTAATATCCCTTTTCTTCTTTAGATCAGTGAAAAGCAGCGCACACTCTATGAAGCTCTAGAACGCCAGCAAAAGTACCAGGACTCCCTCCAGTCCATCTCCACCAAGATGGAAGCCATCGAGATGAAGCTCAGTGAGAGTCTGGAGCAAGGCAGGAGTCCAGAGAGCCAGATGGCTGAACACCAGGTAAAAATAGCAATGACTTCTGTTCCCTGCATGATTAAAATGGGTCAGTCTGGTGCCGGGTTGGCCTGCCAAGCCTGTGTTGGGATTGAAGACAGACTTTTTTTTTTTATTGCATCAGTTTGTACAGAGTAAACAGGTTTGAAATGAGGGTCGTTTCTACCATGGGTTCACAGAGGTATCTAAGACAGAAAGAAAGATATTCAGGAGCTCAATCTAATTAAACAAAGTGACTTTTTTGCTTTTATGACACAAAAAGTTTATTTCCTTATAGTTGCCAGATTGTTTTTATTTTGTGGTGAGCCATTATCGTAAGAATGAAATGTACCCCAAAACTACCTTCTCCGGGTATTTCTGTTTTAAGCCCAGCACCTGTCCAATATCACTTAAGAAAACAAGTCTCAGATTTCTGTGGGCAAAGAACTGAAGTTGAAGAATAAGGGATTCAAAGTTATAATCTGGTAATTGTTCCTGGCATGAATCATATTATTTTTAAGTTCTGTAAAGCGGACAAAGCTTGAGCTTTACATGAGAAACGATTACATTAACCTGATGATGTTATATATGGCATCAATTTAAAATGTATGCTAAGAAAGTACATTTATTAAAAAATCTGGTTAATGCTTTAGCAGTATTTTTGGGTGTACTATTAATGCACAGTCAGGTAGAAGTGGCATCTAAGGGTTGAGCTGGACCTTTAGCTGAATATTCAGTGCTTGTGATGTGGAAAAATGCTACCTTCCTCCACCAGGTCCAGGAGCATGGGACAACCCCCTAAAAGAAGGGGCAAACAGAGATGTCTTTAGACACAAATTAAGAGTTAAAAAAGCATGATGTGATATGTGTGCTGTTTAATAGCAAAATTCACAAATGTAGAGACTTAATTGACTTTGTTAAAGTCAATATTTTGTTAAAGTCAATACTTGACTGCCTGATCCACGAATCAGGCAGTATCTCATGTAGATTCTGCAAGGGGCGATAGAAAATGGAGTGTATGCATAGACAAGGAAGTGGGGGTGATAAGATTATTAGCAAAAGAAAAATAATGTCCAGTAAAGCCATCTTCCCTCAGGAGCAGGCAGTGTGAGCTCTTATCATGCGGAACACCTCACTGATTTGGTGCTGATTTAGAAATTCCTGATTAATTGTTTAGGCTTAAGCTGTCCGGACAGGTTGACACTGCGGTGAGACTGGGTTTTAAGACCGCATGGGGACCTGGCAGGAAGGATTCCAGTTGGCGCCAGTTCTGTCTGGTTTTTAACAATATCTGTCACGTGCTGGGAAGTTTCTCAGCTTTAGGAGTAAAACTCCATAGTTTTTCTCTCCTCTATGTCTTTATACTTATGGAATCCAGAATATCCTTGGAATACATTGCATGCACATATGTGTCATCTAAGAAAACATGCATTCTTTTATAATATAAGGCATTTCAATACAACATAACAATGAGATAATTTCACCTAGAGATAGCCCATTGAGCAAAGGTGGTTTTAGGTTTTACATTCTTGTCACTTCTTCAGATAGAGATCTAAGTGCTTAGCATCCATTTTTAGCTTTTATTTTGGTTAAACTATCTTCTCTAGCTCTTTCTGCTATCCCTAAGCCACTCATAGTCAACCTGGTTTGGGGAAGATGCTATTCAAGTTTGAAATTCAAATTTCTGTTTACCTAGACAAATTAATGAGGACAGGCAAGGACTTAGGTGACTTCTGTTTTCCTTCAAGTCCCATAGTCCCCTTTGATTGCTGCTACAGTTTCCTAATTGTCAGTGGTCTCCTTATTGTCCTGTGAGTGGGTTGTCTGTGTCACCAGCAGGGTGTCCCTGGGGCTCTGTCTACCCTACTGCCCACCACACCTATATTTCACTCTCTCTGGAGGGCAGGACAACTTCCCTTCCTCTGCTTACAGCTTCCTTTAAACATTGAAAAGGAACTTGAGATAATTATGCTGAGACTGGGTTGAAGTGAGTTTGAATGCCACATACTCAGATAATCTGGAGCCAATGCTCTGGGTCAGGGTTTGCATAGCCTGACTTTCCCTTTCTCTTTGTCGTCTCTGCCTTTGTCCAAGGCATTATTCCTTGCCCCAGCTAGCCGCAGCGTCCATGGTGACCCTCTACTGGGTCCCACGGAATTTATCAATAGGAACTGCATGAAAGCAGATGTTGGTGGTTTGCCCTGACATTCCAGAGTTCCTGAAAATGCCAATTAGCCCCCAGTCATCACCACCGCCCTGCTCATTCATTAGTATGAAATCACACATTAACAGACTGTGGAACAAAGTTACTATTTTGTTCAAGGAATTTAATGGAGAAAACTAAAAACTGCTTGTTAGTGCTGAGTAGTATATATGAGAAATAAATCTGTGAATTTTCTTGTCATTAAAGCCAAGTCACATGACTGTTTGTCCTGTAATAAGTTGGCAGTGGAAATGCTAACAATGATGCTAACAATTAATGCTCTAGGAGAGGGAAAGAAAGCATAAATAATGTATAATTTCTCAGATCACAAATGTAACATTTTCCATCTGACCTATTTTATTTACTTTTACTATCTACTTAAGTTCTACAAATTCTGGGACAGGACTGCCTGCATGAAAAGCTAAGGGCATCACAATGTCTAAATTAGTTCTAAGCTTCTGGATTGATACTTAAACATTTGCAAGCACTGTTGGAGAATTACTCTTTCTAATCTCGAACTGGATATGGCTAAGAGGATCCACTATGCTTTTTATGCCTAAAAATGAATGGAAACACTTTGTTATTTCTTTCCCAAGGCTTTCTGGAAGTATTACTGTTTCTTTAAACATCTGAGCTTATTCCTATATTTCCCTCCTAAACACTTACCTAAACCTACTGAATTTGAGTGGAATTCTGTGTCTTTCCTATTGTCCTCTCTAAATTGAGTTTTAAGCCAGGACTGACCTGTGGCTGTGAGTTATGCCCTCTGTGCTGGGGGCTTTGTTTTCAGGGGCAACTGTAGGTTTGGGGATATGTGCTTTCTTTGTCACACTAAGCTTGGCGACATGTGGTAGGCAATGCTCTGAGGTTCTTTTGTTTTTGTTTTTTTAATATATGTACAGCTGGAAGTTTGAAGCAAACCATGCTGATCTGGACAGTTTTGAAAGTCACAGTAAAATTCACGTTTAGTCTATTATTGGTCCAGACGTGATCCATGTTTTCTCTGGAGTGAGTCAGTTTAGACAAGGTAGTCTGTCCACCATGTAAGCATCACATATACACCTTCCTGGTAAACGCAGCTCAGGAGCTCAGAGCCATGTATTCCGTGATTCTCTGGTTGTTTGGCATGAGGTATTTCGGGAAAGCAGCTGGACACTGGTGGGGACGAGTTGTATGGTGAGAACATGCTAGGCTTCTGATTCGTCTTGTTCTTTACATGGTATAAACTAACTGTCTTAACGTGTACAATTCAACAGCATTTAGTGCTTTCCCAATGTCATATCACTGCCCCTTATCTGACTTCTAATCATTTTTGTAAACCTGAAAAAAAAAAAACCCACCCCCACTGGATCTTGGAATTAAAAACTATCATGACCTTCCAAAAATATTCATTCTAGGCCTCCCTGGTGGCCTAAGGGTCAACTCTCAGCATCATTACCACTGTGGCCTGAGTTTGATCCCCAGCCAGGGGGCTTCCCACATATGGTGCAGCAGACCTCTCTTGTCTTGCTTGCTGCTCCCCTTAGCAGTAAATTCACCTGTTCTGCTCCCCACACTGTCTCAGGTGAATCCTCTCACCCTCCACTTCTCACATCTCTGGTCTTTACCCCAGTTCTTCTATGCAGTTTACTCCCCCTGAAGAGTAAACGGAAACTTTCCTCAAAGAGGTTGAAAACCAACAATTATAGAATTCCTGACTCTACTTACAGAATATTGAGAAAGCTGCTTTAGAAGATGTGAGTTTGAAACAAAAGCTGGTGACTTCACTGAACACCTGTTTGGTTCAGTCCACTCTCTAAACGAGGAGGCTCTTTTCCTGCTTGCTTCCTGACTCAGGCACCTGTTTTATGTACCGTGAATTAGAATGAATTCAACTAGCTGTGTTGACCCACTGCTGTGTGCACAACTGAAATCCACATTTTCCTTGCTATAGGATGTAGAAACCTGTGCTAGGGGTGCAGTGAATTACCAGAAGGAACAGAAAACAGCAATGGATTGTGGGCTAGAGTGGTGGGAACAGATCACAGGAAGCTCTGTCAGGTCTTCTTGGCGACACAGCGGGAAAGGGAGATGTCAGCAGGAGTGGGCGGGAGGCGCTATAAATGAAAAAGTGAGAGTAAAGGAACAGGGGGGGGGGGGGGGGGAGGTGATGGTGGTGTGGAGGAGGGAGGGGGCTTTTCTTGCTGGCACAGACAACACTGCCAGAAAAAAAAGACACAATGAGGTCAGTTTAATTATGAGAAGACTTTATATAACACCAAATAATGTGGATTTTTTACTTTTGAAAGTCAGAAGCCAAAAGATGATTATAAAGTTTATGGAAAATGATCTACTGAACCAAAAGCATTTTGAATATATAAGAAACAAAGGAAGGTCTATGGATTCATTAAAGTCCCATAAAAAAATCTGTGCAAGTTCTTTGGTGGAGATTGCTAAGATAATTCTAAAATGTATTGCAAATGCATGAAAAATATATATATATTTTATATATATAATGAGGGTCAAGACATGTTTGAAGATGAGTCAAGTAGTACGAATTTCAAAGATCCAGGACATATGATAAGTATTACTGTCACAGACAACTGAATGGAGCAATAGGACAGAATTAGTCTCCAGATACTTAGCTGATGTGAAAAACTATTGTGCAGGAAATCTTGTCCTGAGACTATCCACCTGTGTCTATGCAGGTATCTCCTTTTTCCATTCTTATTTTTTCCCTCTAATAAACCTGCCCTTTTATATGCAAAAACAAAAGGAATGGCAAGAAAATAAAGCCTCCTTGTTTAATCCAGTGAATTGGACCAAACAGATGGACAGTGAAGTCATCTTTTCAATAAATGATGTCATAGTAAAAAAAATAATTTGACCCCTTCCTATTCTCGACACAAAAATTAAATTTAGGTAGATTATAAATCTAAGTGCAAAGGTTAATTTTTTAAAAAGTGCTACAGTCTATAGTAAACAAACTTTAAAAAATATTTTTGACCCACCACAGGCCAATATTTTAGTAAAATGAAATAAAATACTGCAGAATAGCATGTGAATGGCAAGTTGTGATAAAAGCTTCTTAATACTTACTTGCAATATCTTTATCTCATCATGAACTGGTGACAAATGTTTTGCAGAACTGACACCATTTCATGGACCACAGTTTTCCTAGAAGATAACATGTGAGAATGTTCCTAGCAGATAACATGTGAGAATATATTCATGAGCTAGGGGTAGACAAAGGTGTCTTAAACAGAACACCAAAAGCCCTAACTTTTCTTTTTTAAGACTTATTTATACAAGAACCAGGGTATAGGCCAGAGATGCAGGGGGTGAGAGGATTCACCAGAGACAGAGTGGGGAGGAGAACAGGCAGACTCACCGAAATACAGTGCTGAGGGGAGCAGCGGCCGAGACAGGAGAGGTCTGCTCGGCATGTGGGTATCTCCAGGGCCAGCGGGGATCGAACCGGCACTGCAGAGGCTGCAGACAGCTTTACAGCACTGCACTCAACCACATGCGCCACCAGGGAGGCCCCCTAACTTTTGTAATGAAAGAAAATATGGATACATTAGATTATAATAAGTCAGGAACTTATATTAATCCAAAGACATCATTAAGAAAGTCTTTTCCCACTAAAGGGCCACCATGTCATATTTGCATACACAGATATTTGCATACAGAGATCAAAAGAAACACAGGCACTCCTATCTAGAACCCATAAATAACTTCACATATCAATAATAAAAGACTCCAGTAGAAAATGGACAAATGATTTTTAGCAGAAGTCACAAAAGAAGATACCCAGGTAACCAATAAGCATAGGAAAAAGGGCTCCACCTGATTAGACTTCAAGGAAATGCGAATTAAGAAATTTAGACAGCATTGAGATGTCACCGTGAACCCACTGGAAAGAGTGACATTGAAAAGATCCACAAACCAGTTGACAGTGGAATATGATACAGCAATGAAAATGAAAAGCTCTTTCTATGTGCAACATAAATGACACAAATCATGACGGAGTGAGAGAATCCAGACACAAAACAAAACATCAGCAGGATCCTTCTCCAGATAGATTAAAAATTGGCAAAAGTGATGTTTATAGTCAGCGCTATGACAGTCTTTGGGAAAGAGGTCTAAGGAACTGGTAGAGTTCTGGAATGTTCTTTGTCTTGATCTGGGTGGTAGCAGAATGAATATGTACATACAATGTGTGAAAATTCATAGAGCTATACATTACATTTTTCTAGATATATATAATATTCTCAAAATAATAGTTTATTTTAAAAAATCAACTGGACATGATAACACTTGATATGAAGGAAAGAGAAATTTTGTTTCCTTATTGAGGCCCACCCTCAGGAGTCCTTGTGCTTACAGTCTGTAGTCCTATGAAGGGGTAGGAATTTCACAAATAGGGCATCTTGAGAACTATAAAGTATTAGTGAAGAGGAATCCAGTATTTCTTTACTCAGCTGACATCCCTAAGGTAAGATCTGTTTTTTTAACCCAGCATTCAACCCTAAATAATATTTTTTTTTGGTCAAGACTCCATCTAAAAAGCAGGTCATACAATATAAAAAATGCAAAATAAAAGCCATGTAGAATTGCAATCAACTTTAAGCAGGGAAATAAATATAGCACTATTGAAGCAGAATAATAGAGAGATTTTTAGTTTGGGTGCTCAGGGAAAAAAACTCTCTGCAGATGTAACAATTAACCTGAGACTTGAAGGATGGAGAGAACCATCACACACAGAGTGGTGAAGAGAGTATTCCAGCATGAGGGCACAGGGCATGCAAAGGCCTTGAGATCAGAAAGAGCCTGGGTGCTAGAGTAACTGAAGGAGGCAGGAATGTCGTGAGTGAGATGAGTGTGCTACAAGAGGTAGGCATGGGTGTGACCATCCAGGTATCTACTCCTTACAAATCAGGACTTTGAATTTTGTTTTGTAGTCAATAAGCAAGTAAGTATTTTAAAGGTGAGTAAGAGGAACTGATTCACCTTTTTAAAAGTTCACCTTAATTACTTAATGAAGAGTGGACTGTAAAGATGAGAGGGGAGCAGACAGGCCCCACCCCAGGCCAGGAGAGCCAGTCCAGTGGAGCTGACCCTGGCACAGGGTGGAGCAGGAGGGGATGCAGATATATTTTGGAGGTAAATGCGGTTGGATTTGCTGCTGGGTTGGATGTGGCAGGTGAAGGGAGGTGTGAAGAATCCGAGTGAGGAAGAGAGTGTGTTCCTTTACAAGGTGGAAAAGACGGGCAGAAGCCGGCTTTACACACTGCAAGAGAGAGAGCGTGAGACCCTCACGTTGAATGTACAAACTGAAATTGAGGACAGACTCTGAGCTTGAGAGAGGCCTTTAGAAGTGTCTGAAAGCCTTCTAAGCCGCGGGGGAGACTGTGAAGAGAGAAAACAGGGTCTGGAAAGTAGCTCCAAGAAGCTGCAAATTCTAGAGTTGCACAAGAAGGAGAAAAACGAGAAGTGACAAGACAGAAACAGATGACTGATTTCTCGCATCTTATATAATCTGAGTTTTGGATGAAAGCCTAGTGCTGTTTCAAACTTGGGAAATATTTTCAAACTTGGGATATTTGGAGTGGGAAAAGTCTCATCAGGAAAGAAATTGATGACTTTTACCTTCCATATAGAATTATACCCCCTTCTGATGACAGATGAGTCTGTTGAAAAGCAGAAAGATTAATGAATGGATTCAAAGTCACTTACATTAGAGACACAGGGAGTATTAAAATCCGGTATTTTCTGACATTCCATCTGCTACTTTCACTTGGGAGCTTAGATTAAGCACCCCCTCTTTGCTGCAAAAATGACTTCAAGGTGAGGTATCTTCAGCCACCTCCATCCCTGGAAAACTCAGCCAGGGGTACCACCGCTTGGTCCAGCAAGAGAAATACACGCGTGTGATTGCACAGTCTTTCCTCCAGGCGCTGATGGATGAGATCCTCATGCTCCAAGATGAGATCAGCGAGCTGCAGTCGTCCCTGGCGGAGGAGCTAGTGTCCGAGTGTCCAGAGTCGGACCCCGCCGAGCAGCTGGCCCTGCAGTCCACGCTCACCGTCCTGGCGGAGCGCATGTCCACCATCAAGATGAAGGCGTCAGGCAAACGACAGCTGCTGGAGGTAACTAGGGCTTCTGGGGGCGCCCTCACGACCTCTTGACTCTTCCCGTGTGCTGATGAGTGTGACGCGTGAGGGCGTGTTTATTGTTCCCACTCGTGAGCAGTGGGCCTTGTGTCTCCTGGAGGCCACAGATGCAGCGCCGAGTCAGCGCACAGCCATGAATGGGGCCTTTCTCTCCTCTCTGCCTCACGTCAGGCATGAAAAGTTGAGAATGTGGAAGGCAAATTCTTGGAAGGCCTGAGCCTGGGAAGCACAGTTGTACAGGCGGGCATGAGGGCTTGCTCTGCTTGATGAAGAGCCTTTTTTGAGGAGTATTACTAATTACTGATACTAGGAAGAATAAATCCTTAGTCACTGCGAGCTAATTCAAGCATGTTCATTCACGAAAATACTCTGGCAGTCTGGTTCTGCTGTAAGAGAACTTTAATGTTATCTACTTTAGAAATAATTTTGTTCACAATAACATGTGTTAAAAGTCCATTTTTTTCCCTTGTCTTTGTTCTCTTATCATTCTTGGCCCTAAACTCATGTTTCCTTTATTGTTAAATTAAATTTAACTTGAGGTTCATGTTGCCGCTTCTAGAATTTGCTGAGGGTGTTTCCAGATATTTCCAGAGTCTAGCAGCTTCTCTGGCAGATAATCACTTCTCAATACATTCTTATTATATGAGCTTAATATTAATATTATTTTACTTAGCTGCTGATTATTCCATAATTTAATTAGCCAGGGCCCCGTTGATGAGTATGTTGGCATTTTAGTTTTATGTTATAAAATTACTCAGATCATATATCCAGAATATGAAATATTTTGGAAAAATTCACAATCGATATATCAGTTCTATTTGATAATCTCTTTTAAACTAATACAAATTAAGTTAAAAAATAAAGCAATTCTGGGCCTCCCCTGGTGGCGCAGCGGTTGAGCGCTGGGCTGCGAGGTTGCCCGCAGCCTCTGCAGTGCTGGTTCATTCCCCGGCCACCGGTGAGGGTCCCACAAAAAATTAAATAAATAAATAAATAAATAAATAAATAAAGCAATTCTAATCAGTTATTGATAGAGTAATTTTTAAAATCAGGTATTTACAATACCAGAATAATTCATTTTTTAAATTCATTAATCTTTCCCCAGTCACCCTATGAAAACCTTGTGGAGTTTCAAAATGGAGTGATCGGCCTCAATTTAAAAAAATATGAAATATTTGACAAAACCGGAAACAATAGTTATAACAAAAAAATTTGAATTGTTGCCTGGACTTAAGACATTAATAACAGTGCACCACCCCTTCTCACAGAGGACCATGGTCCCATAGATGGTCCATATTTTGGAAAATATGTTTTGAGTTTGTCACAGTCCTCACCACTCCCTATAGTTTCCCCAGACATTAAGGTCAAGAATCTATTGCCATTTACTGATGGTCTTATACCACCGTTTTGTTCTAATACTGCCTCAGATTGTATCATTCATATTATCTGCTTAGTCATTTGGGTATATTATTTGCTTTGCTCAACTCAGTGCATAAGCTTTTGCAAAACACTGATCTTGACAAGCACCCCCAGAAATTCTAGTTTGTTGCTCTGGAATGTGGCCTAAGTTCAGGCATTTATTTTAAGTTAATTCTAATGTATAGCCAGGAGTGAGAACCATTTCTCTATTGAGTTAAATCCTAGTAATTTTACCTTAAAGTAACCTGCTACATTCTCCTTATTCACCAGGAGAAGTTAAATGATCAGCTGGAGGAACAGAGACAGGAACAGGCCCTGCAGAGGTATCGCTGTGAAGCTGATGAACTGAATCACTGGCTCCTGAGCACTAAGGCCACTCTGGATATGGCACTGGGCACCCCCAAGGAACCCATGGACATGGAGGCCCAGCTGGTAGACTGCCAGGTACAAAATAGTCACCAAAGAATAGGCACAAATCACAAAGCACATTTTTTTTTTAAAGATTTATTTATTTATGCATACGAGAGCTGGGGTACAGGCCAGAGGTGTGGGGGGTGAAAGAATTCACCAGAGACAGAGTGGGGAACAGAACAGGCAGACTGACTGAAATACATTGCTGAGGGGAACAGCAGGCGAGACAGGAGAGGTCTGCTGCACCATGTGGATTTCTCCCTGGACGGTCAGGGATCGAACTCGTGCTGCGAATTGCCTCATAGTGTGGTGCTTAACCCCTTGCGCCACGAGGGAGGCCCCACAAAGCACATTTTAATTACAGAAAACAAAATGATAAAAAGGCTTGACGTGAACACGTGATATTTCACGGTGTTTACACGACATATATAATGTATATTTTTAATTCATTTTTATTTAACTATCATTGTTTTGCATCCTTGTTCATTTTTTTCAAAATAAGGATTTCTCCCCTTAAGTGTGGTCACTTTATTTATTTAGAGAATAGAAAAACAAAACCTTATAAAAGCTTAGATGAAATCCAAACTTGGACTTAGTCTTTTGAAAAATTATACCAATAATATCTGATCTTTAGAAAATGTTCATTTTTCTAAAGGACAGTTTTTTAAGTGTCTAGCTTTCAGCATACTTCTGGTATCTATATTTAGAGACAAGGAAAACAAACTTAATGAGAAGAATTAGTGAGTCAGATTGTGCATAGACACAACAGGATGTGTTCCTAGCTGTTCTAATCTTGATATTTTTTGTGTGTGGTGGAGGTGGATGAGGAGGAACTTTGAAAAACTGTCAATTATAGGCAAACAAAAAGACTGAACTTGGGAAGGTTGTCTTTTGAAACAGAAGGGCCCTCCCTTTGATGTTAGGTCCTTAGTGTGAGAGCTAATGGCAGGAGGGTTTTTTGTTTGTTTTTGCTTTTTAAAAAAATAGCTACATGAGCTTTAATTGAAATGCAGTTGAAGCAGTTTAAAAGATACCTGAAAGGACTCTGTCAGTACAATTTTAGTCCCCATCTTCTTATCATTTCATTATGGAAACACACTTTAGTATAGAGAAGAGCTAATGGTCTGCCCTGTGCCATGGCTGAACTTCAGTGGTTCTCAGCACACTAGATTTCACTCATGGCTGAAGTAAGCTGTCAAAGCTCTTCCATTTAACTAGGTAGCTGGTCTAGAAAGTGCAACCTCACCTGCCTGGTTAAAATAACATTATGTACAATATCATATTTCTTTCACTTGGATGAGAGGAAATCAGCATAAAACATTCATTATGTTAATAATTTATTTATATATATCTGACAACATTATTCATTTTTGTACAATGTTTGCTTTGTCCTCTCAGGTGTATCCCAGTAAGATTCCCATAACCAATTTACCCTTGCACCATCACCTTCGCTCCTGTGTTCCCTCCCCTGTTTCCATCTCTCTGCCTCCCCAGCCCCTGCAGAATGTCTCTGATTTGTAGCTGGCTATTAATTTTGTTTTTTTTATTTATTGTTATTATTTTTTTCTGATCTCTTACTTGGTTCCCCTATATTCCTCCTATAAGTGGAACTATCATATTTTTCTTTTTCCTTCTGGCTTATTTCACTGAGCATAATCCCATCCAGCTTCATCCATGTTGCTGCGAATGGCACTAGTTTATCTTTTTGATTGCTGCATACTATTCCATTGTGTATGTATACTGCATCTTCTGGATTCAGTCATTGATTTTTGGGTTGTTTCCATATCTTACCTATTATAAATAGTGCAGCAATAAATACAGGGGTACAGGTATCCTTTGGAATTAATGTTTTTGTGTTCTTTGGGTAAATACCTAGGAGTGGAATTGCTGGATCATATGGAAGCTCCATTTTTAGTAGTTTGAGGAACCTCCACACAGCTTTCCATAGTGGTTGGACCAGTTTGCACTCCCACCAGCAATGCAGGAGAGTTCCTTTTTCTCTGCATGCATCCTCACCAACATTTGTTGTTGCTGTTTTTTTTAATATGTGCCATTCTCACTGGTGTAAGGTGGTATCTCCTTGTGGCTTTGACTTGCATTTCCCTGATTATAAGTGATGTTGAACATTTTTTCATGTACCTGTTGGCCATTTGTATTTTCTCTTTGGAGAAGTTTCTTTTTAGCTCTTCTGCTCATTTTTTGACTGGATTGTTTACTTTGTTTCTGTTGAGTCATGTGGGTTCTTTGTAGATCTTTGTGCTCAGTCCCTTATCAGTTGTATGGAGTGCAAAAATTTTCTACCAATCAGTAGGATGTCTCTTTGTTTTGGTTTATGTTTCTTTTGCCACACAGAAGCTTACAAAAAACATTCATTTTCTTAATATGTAATATGCCATTTGAGTCATTCCCATTTATGATTTGAGATTCATATTACTGATAATTATAATTTGGATTTTTAATTTCCTTGGGTAGTATATTCATGTGTATGCAAAACTTTATTCTTCTCTGCCTTGATGGTAGAGAATAGAGAGCCACTGTGATGATTTCCTAGTCTTTATTATAATCTTTTCTAATTTTTTTTTAATCCAAAAAGAGACCTCTATTTTTAGTTTTCTCTTCCAGTGCTTGAAATTACCACATGTACAAGCTTTACAAATTATGTTTTATCATTACTCCCACTTCTTCCTTTTGGATGTCTTATTTTTATACTCATGCATAAAGTCTGTAATTCAGATAATGTATTTCAGGACTTCTACAAAGTATTACAATGGTATTTTGAACATATTTCAAGAAACTAGAAATGTATGGAACTGCAAAAACAACAGTTCCTTGGTGATTTCTAATCTAGTACTTAAACCCAGTTGTGTAATTGTAACTGTGGCTATTAAACAAAATTAGGGTCACTGCATGATTTTGGAACCCTGACCCCTGTTCCTGAGAGTCTCTTCCTCCCTAAAAATTCTGGAGTTTCTTTCTTTTTTTTTTTTATGTAATGTCTGCAATATTTCTATATAACTTTAGAATATACCAGTCTTCCCCCACCCAACATCCCTTATGTGCCTGTCCCTTCCCCTTGCCCTCCCTCTTAACCTCAGAGCCCTCAGGATGTTTGCTGATGTACAGTTTTTTTTTAAGTGGTTTACATTGTCAATCATCTATTGTAGTAAGGTACAATATTTGTTTTTATCTTATGACTTCTTTTGCTCTAGTAATTTTTTTTTTTAAGTTCCCTCTGTTTTGTTGACAATGACAGCATTTCATCTTTGTTGTGACTGTATTATTCTGTGGCATGTATGTATCACATTTTTTTTTTCAATTTTGCAATTGCTGTGGTAAAAAGATAAATATAATCCATGGTGGAGTCATAATTATAAATTTATCATTATTGTCTTTATTTTTTCCTTCTGATTTTAGAAGAAAGAAATATTACGGTATTTTCTTGGCTTCCTGCAGTATCCTTGGCACTTAGGATTGTACCAACTGTGCCAAATGAAAGTTGACTTTGCAAAGAATTATATTAGTGTCTCAAAAGTAATCCTCAGGAAATAAGCCCTTAAGTTTCCATTTCATTAAAAAATTCACTTTTTTGTTTTTGGACTTAAAACTATATTCTTAAGTTAATGGCAGTCATTCTGATTTTGTACAGGAAAATAAGATATATTTTCTCATAGACAGATTGCTTGATTGAGTATAAATTAGAAAGTGCATTTCAAAAAGGAATTTAAAAATAGAACTGTTTCTGCAGAAAATAAAGCAGTTGTTATTTTGCTGTGATTTTTGTCCTTTCTTTTTTTATTTTTACCACAGCGGAAGGAAGACTATTTTGCTTCTTCTCTGAATTTAGTGCCCATTTTAGAAAAAAAAGCCTTACAGCATTATAGAACTGTCATACAAAAAGAAAGTAAAAATTCTCAGAAAACTTGTGAAAATGCAAGGTTAAAGATATTTAAAAAAAATAAAAGGAAGCAAAAAAGAGAAGGAAGCAAAATGAAAAATAAAAATAAATCCAAGGAAATTATGTTTTGAAAGAGAGACTCCTCTTTAAATAGACATGAAAAGGGTCAATTTTACGATATCTTTATTATTAAAACACAGGAATTATAATTTAACTAAAATAAGAAAATAATTATGGTTAACAGTACAGTATGTATGGTCTTTTTGCTTTATGTGTTGGCTACATAAAATGTGCTTCCCATGGTTTTCCCATATGATACTCATTATGTCACAATCAATGTTTAAAAAGAGAAACATCAAGGAGTTCAAGTAATTTTTTTAAATCTGTAGACTGATCTGCAAAACTGGGGGAAACCCACAAAGGCATATCCTTTTGGTGAAACACTCAGGAGAGAACAGGTCTTTGCAGAGGCTGGTGGATATATGACTTCATCCTTATTTCTGTGGTTCCAGAATATGCTGGTGGAAATTGAGCAGAAGGTGGTGACCCTGTCGGAGCTCTCGGTCCACAATGAAAACCTGCTCCTGGAGGGCAAGGCTCATACAAGGGATGAGGCTGAGCAACTGGCTGTAAAGCTGAGGACACTGAAGGGGAGCCTGCTAGAGCTGCAGAGAGTCCTGCATGACAAGCAGCTCAACATCAAGGTAAGGGTTGCACCACAGGGACAGCTGGCCCTTTGCACAGGCAGTACCTTCTCTGAGTCTGTACCACAGAGAGGACCTGTTGAAAATTGATACTTAGGTACACGCCTGCTTTACACAAGCTTGCTGTTAATTTTCAACTAGGTTTCAGAAGACCTGAAGATTATAGTGTGGGAAAAGAAAGAAAATGGAAAGAATTATCCAAATCTATCAAATAAATTGTTTTTAAAAATATTTATGTATAGGTCATTGTAAGAGATCCTATAACATCTCTCATTTATTCCTCCTATATTCTATTTTTTAAATATATAAAGACTGTTTTATGTAGGACCCACACTTTAGATTTGTTACATATGCTAGGAGAATTGAACATTTTTACCATTATGCAGTGACATTCATGTTTCCTAATAGTGATTTTCATTTTATATTACTAGAGTTTTGGGGAGATAATATTTGCCTGATATATCTTTTAACTTTCCTTTCAGTGTCCTTACTTTTAGATTTATTTCTTATGAAAAATATTCAGCTTGGTTCGGTTGGTTTTAAACATTTTTCTAATGAGGAAACCTCTAACTTTTAAGGGCAAGTTTAGCCCCTTTACATTTGTTGTGATTACTGAGATGCTTGGGCTTTTATTTTATTACTTTTTCTTTTCTATTTTTGTCCTGCCCTTTTTCTTTCTCCCTCTTAGCCTTTGTTTTTAAGTAATTGAATGCTTTGCTTTATTTTTCCCACTCCAATTTTTATCATACATACATAATAAACTCTAAATTAATAATAATCTCCCTCCAAATCAATATATCTCCCTCCAAATGCCTTAGGACACTTTCACACACATTTGCTCTCTATGTACCTTCCATGTTCTTACTCTACAAATAACTATTTTTATCCTATATAAAAATTAGTAAAATATTTATTGAGAAACCACTATGTGCCAGCAACTATTCTACATGATAGAATGAAGGATGAAAACCAACCACTGAGCTCTATTTCTGTCTTTATATTTTTTATCTTCAATAGGATATGGTTGTAGGAGACATATAATAAAAAAATTAAAGTGCATTACTATGTCCTATAGAAGATGATCACTTCACTGTAGGTGAAGTACTATAAGGCAGGTAGGTAGGGGAAGGACCAGTGAGCTCCATCTGCAGTGTTGGACGGGATGGCCAAGGAAACCTCTCTCAGGCTTCGTTATAGGAGTGAACTGTGTGAACATGAAGGAAAGTTCCAGCAAAGGTGAAGGCAAGTGCAGAGGCTCCCAGTTGAGACCACTGCTGCTCTGTCCAAGGGAGCCCGTGTGGCTGCAGTGGAGGCAGGGAGAGGAGAATGTTGGCAATGAGGTCAGACAGGTGAGAGGCACAAAGGACCTTCCCTGTAGGCACCTTGGAGACTGGCTTTTCCTCTGAGGAAATGAGAAGCCATGGAGTGTTTCAGAACAGAAGAGTAGCAAGATCAGATTTTAATTTCTGTGGGGGACTGGCTGTGGAAGCTAAGAGACCATAGCAAGGAGGCAGATGTGATGAGAACTTTTATGATACTGGATACATGAGAAGATGGAAACATCTATGGATGAGATTTGGGAGAGAAAGAGTAGTTAGGTCAGTAGTTTAGATTTAGACAGGTGAAGCGAAGATGCTTTGTTAAATGTCAAATAGTGATTGGAATTCAGGACAGAGACCTAGACTAGAATCATCAACCTCTAAATGGTCCTCAAAGGCATGAGACTTGGTGAACTCTGCAAGGGAGCAAGGCTAGATAGAGAGGTCTAGAACCCATGTCCTGGACACTCCAGTGTTGTTTGGAAGATGTGGGAGTCCACAAAAGAGAGGAAAAGAAGAGAAGCAATGATGTGGGAAGCAGGCTGTGATTGGGCTACTAGAAGCCATTTGAAGACCTTCAGATGCTGTGAGGTCAGATGAGGATTGAAAACTGACCACTGGATTTAGCAGCATGCCATGCAAGCCTTCTGTGGCCTCACCAATGGCTGTTTTAGTGGAATTTTCTTTGTCATGGAGAGCAGAGAACTGGGATTAGCTACAAGAAGTGGGTTAGGAGAGATTTGTGTCCTTTTAGAAGTGCAGTGACATGATTACTTGTAGATGCAAAAAACTCAGTCAATTAATAATTTTTGAAAAAGAAGTGAAATTGCAAGTGTAATCTTCTTGGCTAAAAGGAAGGCGAGAGGACCAAAGGGGAGAATGTGGTCTTAGAACCAGTAGGCCAGGAAGATGGACAACGTGTATTTGAGAATGTTTGTTGGTGGGGATAGGGCATAAATATTATGGTGAAAATGTACTTTCCCTGTGCTACCCTGTTTTCTCAGTATAATGATGTTTTTTTAACTTACATATTTGTCAGTTCTTTACTAATTTTATGCTTGTATACTCTGGAAAGCCAAACCTAATCAATAGAAAACTATTAGTAGCAATGGAAGAATTTAGTAAGGTGATTGACTGATATAAGAGAGAATCCTAACTTTTTTTAAATGTTGAATGATGTTGAGCAGTAACTACAATAATTTTCCACCTATAATATCAATAAACTATGAAATATTTTGAGGCTCAACAAATAATGTTAAAACAATACAAATGAATATATGAAAAAATAGAAAGACTAATTTTATTTATGTCCACAAATACAATTTTAAAGATGTCAGTTTTTTTCTCTACTAACACATGAGAGCTAAACTTTGAAGTCATTCTCAACTGAAACAATAATTGCAAACCATTGTTACTTAAATAAAAAAAAAATAGCCATATGAACTTTATTTGTGACCGTTAACTGGAAAAAAATATGAATGCCCTTCAGTTAGGAAAAAGGATATGTAAATTATGATATCTTTATGTAATGGAGTATTACATAGCAATAAAAAAGATGCCGAACTACCACTAGTGAAAAAAAATGAGATAAAATAAAAACAGTGTATTTTTTGGAATGTGACCGAATGACCAGGTTTAACCAAGAAAAAAGCACAAAAATAACCCAAAATGCACAGAATGAGGAGTTATAAAGTGTTAAATAGTCTTTTGTATTAAAATACAATATTACCATATTTAGAATAATTTGATAATGATAAAATTGATGAACAAAAAATTAAGCAGATTAAATCTTCCAGAAAGAGATCCTAATATAATATAATGATAAATGTTTAAGGTGGTATTTCAAATCAGCGGGTAAAATATTATTCACTATATAGATAATAAGAAGTAGGTATACCACTTGAATATGATAAACTTTATTACCTATCCCATTCTTTACAGAAAAAAAAGATCATAGATGAGTAAAGATTTAAATGTAAAAATTAAATCGGAAAGGTTCTGGATGTAGGGGTATATTTTAAAGCTTTTAGATTGGGGAGTAACTTTGCTAGTATGTCCAAATCCCAGAATTTTAATTTCTTTAGAACTGTTGCACAAAAAAGAAGAAGTTCTATATGACCAAAACGATATTAACCAAATTAAAAGATATGGATAAATAGGGAAGAAATTATGCAATCTGCGTAACAAGCAATTAATTCCCTTTAATTTCACAAATGCTTTGTAAATCAATAAGAAAGTTCGGGCCTCCCTGGTGACCTAGGGGTTAAGTCTCAGCACTATCAACACTATGGCCCATCTCGGTGGTCTGAGTTCGATCCCTGACCGGGGAGCTGACCCACATATGACACAGCAGACCTTTCCTGTATCTCCCACTGCTCCCCTTAGCAATGCATTTCAGTGGATCCGCCAGTTATGCTCCCTACTCTGTCTCTGATGTGTGTTCTTCCCACCCCCAACCTCTGCATCTCTGGCCTACACCCCAGTTCTTATACTAAATAAATAAATATTTTTTGAGAAAATTAAAAAATGAGAAAAAGTCATCTAATAGAAATATGGGCAGAAGATGTGAAGAGATAACTCACAGGGAAAAAATACAGGAGGTCAATGATGAGATGAAAAAGATATTAGAAAGCACTCTTGAATAAATAAGAGCAAATTAAAAAATACGTGTTACCTTAAATGTGTATCCTTTGGGCTCATGCAATCTGACTTTATGAATTAAAGTGAAAAGTGTTAAAAATACTCAAATCGAACAAAACTAGGATGATTTTTCCAACTACAAAAGTACGGCATTCACTTAGTTTTTTTAAAAGTCATGACCAATATAATGTATGATGTTTGCCCCCTGTACTCCCATAGTGGTATGCTAATAAATTTAGTCTCTAAAGAAACCAAAAGAAAGGGAAAGACAGGGCCTCCCCGGTGGCGCAGGTGGTTGAGCCCTGGGCTACGAAGCTGCCCGCAGCCTCTGCAGCGCCGGTTCGATCCCTGGCCGCAGGCGAGGGTCCCACATGGCGCGCAGACCTCTCCTGACGCACCCGCTGCTCCCCTCAGCAGTGTATTTCGTCAGTCTGCCTGTTCTGCTCCCCGTTCTGGCTCTGGTGAATTCTCTCACTCTCCTGAGCTTCTGACTGTACCCAGTGCTTGTATAAATAAATCTTAAAAAAAAAAAAAAAAAAAGGGAAAGACAGAAAGGTTTCATATCTGGACTGCCATCATTACATGGCTCCTGTTGCCCTCCCCCACAGGCAGGTCAGAAGGTAAGGGGCAGCTGGATCCCTTGGGGACCTCATGGGTGCGGGCACAAAGTCTAAGGCTCTGGCCAGGGAAGGGCACGCTGATGAGGGAAGCAGGCCCGGTCAGTCATTGGCCAGCCTGTCCAGTGTCAGAGAAGCAGCCGTTACTCAACCCACCCATTGTCCTACAAGAATTACCAGTCAGTATTGCTGGGTTCCAAAGAAATTTGGATTTATATCTAAAGTTTCTCAATTTGAAAACATTGGCATCTTTAAATAATTTGTGTGCCAAGCCAAGCATACCCAGAAGCTAGACCTGGTTCTTGGGCCATGACTTTGGAAACGATGCCCCGAAGTGTCCCAACTTGGTTGTACATTAAGAACCAGGTGACCTGGGGTAAGACCTTCGAACTTCCTTCAGTCTTTCTTACAGATCAGTTTTCCCCTCTGGAAAATCGGGATAATAAATATTTAACTTAAAGGAAAATTCTGAGGCTGTCAAGGCAAGTACTGCTTAGGGTTAGTGCTCAAATTCCAGTGAATGTTAGACTTAATAATAGCCAGTTAATTCCAAACCACATTCTTTGGGAGGAAAGGAGCTCCTGCTGGGTTGAAGTATAAGTCGGACACTGGCGAGGTTGGGCGAGGGGCCACCTGCAGTGCCTGTGTCCAGAAACCCTGCTGAGAGTCCAGACTGCCCTGCTGGCCGGTGTAAGTTCCATCTTCTAAAGTGTAAATATCATCGGACAATGTTTCACTGCACTGAAGTTGATCATTGTTTATTTTATTTTATTTATTTTTTTAAGATTTATTTATTTATGCATACAAGAACTGGGGTACAGGCCAGATGTGCGGAGGGTGAGAGGATTCACCAGAGACAGAGTGGGGAGCAGAACAGGCAGATCTACTGAAATCCACTGCTGAGGGGAGCAGCGGGCGAGACAGGAGAGGTCTGCTGCGCCATGTGGGTAGCTCTCTGGCAGGCAGGGGGATTGAACTCGTGCTGCAGAGGCTGTGGTTTGCTGCACAGTGTGGTGCGTAGCCCCTTGCGCCACCAGGGAGACCCCATTGTTTATTTTAAAAATATCTGTAAGTTCCACCGCCTTTCATCAGGTAAATTTCCAGCATATAAAATATTGATGATTTTCTAAATTAGAGTTTGTGAAGGTGATTATTTTTCCAGTGGCAGGAATAAAAGGAACCTTGCTTACATTACTGGTAGCATGAAAAGACTCCTTTTCCTTTGTGTAGCAAACTTAATTCAGAGTTGATGTGAAATTAACTAATAATGTTAGAGTTTGAGCTGAAGTTAACTAACATTGATTGGGAAAAATGATCTTCCACTGAGTGTATAAGAGGTTATGCCCTTCTTTTGGGTTTGAATCATTCAGGAAGATTGGGAAACCTTCTTAAGTCTCGTGTGGCCCCCCTCACACAGGATCAGTGCTACTATCTGTAAATGGTCATACCTGTTATGTGTCTCCCTGTTAGCTAACCGGATTTTAAGCATATCAACAAATAACCAATCCTTTTGTTTCCTGCCAATAGCTTTCTTCTCTATAAGAAGGGACACAGACTGAGTGCCTGTAATACTATCTCTTTAATTAAGTCTTTTCCACACATTATCATTCATCAAAGGAGAGAGAGCTTGCTCCTTTGATGAAATGGTTTATAGAGAAGTGTTTTATTTAATGTTTAGCATTCCCCCAATCCTCACTAATCTTCCAAGGAATGTTCCTGGCAAAAGTGGTTGTGGTTCTAGTATTTCAGAAATAAACAGCTTATGTAGCCTTACCCAGAGGGGAAGTCTGGGGCCAGAAGATGCCTTACTTCCTAACCCCTAATAGGAGAGAAACTGTTATCAGATCTCAGAGAGTAATTTACCATGGTTTCTTTCCTTCTGTGGTGCCTTCCCTTCCCAGGGAGAAGGATGACATTTTGAACTAGATTCTTTTTTTTTTTTTTTAACAATTTTTTTTTAAATATTTAAGCATATTTATTTATTTATTTATTATTTATTTATACAAGCATTGGGTACAGTCAGAAGCCTGGGAGGGTGAGAGAATTCACCAGAGCCAGAGCGGGGAGCAGAGCAGGCAGAAGGACCGAAGTACACTGCTGAGGGGAGCAGCGGGCGGGCGGCAGGAGAGGTCTGCGCGCCATGTGGGACCCTCCTCCGGTAGCCGGGGAGCAGCCGGGGATTGAACCGGCGCTGCAGAGGCTGCGGGCAGCTTCGCAACCCAGCGCTCAACCGCTGCGCCACCGGGGAGGCCCTGAACTAGATTCTTAAACCTTTTTTTGCTTCCTGTGATCCAAGTGTTAGGTTGCAAAATGACTAAGTCAGTAAGAGAAAAACTCACCAACTATAAAACCAAACCTAACCACATATACTAGACATCTGCTTCTGAAGCTGCATGCTACTAGTTTCTCGAACTAATAGTTATGGATTCAATCAGTCAAATATGATTTCCCTGTTAAAGTCTTAAGCTCTGAATGGGTGTGTGCGCATGTACATGTGGCGATGCTCTTCTTAAGACCCAGGCTTTCTGTGGCCATTGATCCAAACACCAATTTGGTGTGAGAATTTGAAAGAAACGTTCTCAGTCAGGCAGTCGTGGCCAGAGCAGAGGGTGTGGTAACTTGGGGAGAAGTTACTCAGGATCTCAAGTCTGGGCTCTGAAAAGCAAACCCTTGCTACAGAGCAAAGCAGAGAGGAAGTGGCTTGTCCCGCAAAGGAGAGTCAGCATGCCAGCAGGTCATGGTCACGGCCACTGTTTTGTCAGCTGGAGCCGCTCTGCTTGGGGACGTTTTCAACCTTGGGCACTGCCTTCTTTGGGGTCACTCTCTGCAGGTGCGCTGCGATGTGCTTCGTCCTTGCCTGGAAGATTCAGGGTCTTTGGAGCTTATTCTGAGCAGGTGGTACATTCTTAGGAGGGAGGGCACTGTTTCAAGCACAAAGTGTGGGCATCTGTGTGGCAACCTTCAGACATCCCACCATCAGGAAAATCACTGCCTGTCTGTGTGAGGCGCTCCTGGGAGGGTGAGCATCGGTGGCTGGTGTCTCCAGCCAACCATTCTGGAGGGTCTGGGAAATGCAGCAGTGTCCATCAGACCACGGCAGCCCCGTGGTGCTGCTAAAACCACAGAAGCTGGATCCTCTTCTTAAGGGAAAGGAATACCTTGGAAGCTAAGGCGGATGCAGATTCTCGGTGTGGATTGTGTGAATATTATCTGTAGGCTTCACGCTTTCTTTCTGCTGATTTCACTTGACAACATTGCCAAGTTCCTCATCTCAAACATTTTATAATTGAATCAGGAGATTCTGATGAGCAAAGACAGAAGGGTAAACAGACCCCATCAAGTTCCCTGTAAGAAATAAGGATCCATGAAGAGAAGGGCCTTTAGGGGAAGAACTTTTAGGGTCAGATTTGGCAAAGACAGGCCAAAGAACAGGGGAGCAGCAGCTCCAGACCTCAGCTCCAGACCTAGAGGGCAGAACTCTCCTCTGTGGAAGGATTTTTAAAATGTCCACTTCTCCTCTGTGCCGGCTCCAGCCACGCTGGCGCCCTCTTGCTCTCTGGGGTGCTGAGGCTCTTCCCCCTGCACCAGCTGCTTCCTGGCCAGGACTGCCCTTCCTAGGCCCTGGCCTGCCTTCAGCCACGTTGACACCCCTGCAAATGCCCCTTACACCAGCCCGAGCCACCCCCCCTTGCCCTTTCTCTCTATCACCCAGTTTCCTGTTCTTTGTGGTTTTTATCACCTTCTCAACTCACTGGTTTTGTTTATTGTCTGTCTCCCCAGCAGGGTCCAGGTCTGACTTCTCTTGACAGAAACCCCTTCCCCCCCCAGGGCTTAGAATGGTGGAAGACACACAGTGGGTGCTTTAAAAGCACCAAGTGAGTGAGTTCTAGCACAGTTGATTTCTCTTTTGACACAAAATTACGTGTGCATAGAAAGGCTGGCCTTCAGAGCTGGTTCCTTTCTGATGCATCGTATTTTTTTTTTTTAAGATTTATTTATGCAAGAACTGGGGTACAGTCAGAGGTGCAGGAGGGTGAGAGAATTCACCAGAGACAGAGCAGGGAGCAGAACAGACAGATGGATTGAAGACACTGCTGAGGGGAGCAGCAGGCGAGACAGGAGAGGTCTGCTGCACCATGTGGGTTTCTCCCTGGCCGGCCGGGAATCGAACCTGAGCTGCAGAGGCTTCGGACAGCTTCATAGCGCGGCACTCAACCCACTGAGCCACTGGGGAGGCCCTGCATCGCATTTTAGGGTCTTTTAGATTCCATCAGAATAGTCAAGCAGGATGGATAAACACCTGCCTATACTAAGTGCTCCGTTTCTCCCCACTAGCCTCGCTTGAGAGCCTGCCAAGGCAGCACCTGACAGGGGTGTGGCCCCAAAAGTGGTGGGAGAGCAAGTGAACAGCATCTTTCCGAGACCTTTACCCTATAATTATTCCCCTGCTTAGTCATCTTTTTGCATTTGTGAAATGGCAACCAGATGCATCAAAGGTTTTCTTTGTTCATGTTTTAACTATAATGACTTTGAAAGACAGTTATATATAAACTATATTTGAGTGGAATCTGTCATGATGTCCCAAGAGCTGCACCCTTATGGCTTCTCAAAGATGGTGAAGTCTCTTTGGTTAGTAACCTTTTAGCAAAACTTGTAAGAAACAGATATGAGACCTGCATCCGCTGAGTGGAGCTGGGTAGAGAAGGTGACATGCCACGCAGTGATGTTTTTGCAGGAGAGATTAGGAGGGGAAATAATCATTGCAACAAACATTTACCTTTGCGAGACTCAAGAAAGCTTCTAGAGTTATATTTTTATAGGAAAAAATTCTGAAATAATATCTGGTAACAACATAGGTGTGGCCTCGAAGTTGACAGTTTCGATCCTGAAATATTTTCAGGCAGAATCATCTCTTTATTGTTCTCCCTCCTGCCGAGGCTGTGAATTTGAAGGATTTGGGTTACTTTTTTTAATGTGGTTTTCACTTCTGAATGGAGTCACTTTGGTGTCTTTATACACATCACACTAAAGTGATCTTCTCTCAGTTTTAGGTAAGGTTTTCCTGTGGGTATCTGATCCTTGATTTCTGCCTCCTTAAAAGCAGGGAACCGCACAAGAGAAGGAGGAGCGTGAGGCTGACCTCACCGCCGCGCAGAGCCCCGGGGTCCAGGAGTGGCTGTCCCAAGCGCGCGCCGCGTGGACGCACCAGCGGGAGAACAGCCTCCAGCAGCAAAAAGTACGGCATTTTCTACCTCTCTTCCGCCGCAGATGTAGGAAGCCAGTGTGAGGACATTGTTCTAGAAGGACAAGTTGCTTCTGTATTAAAGTCAGGAAGACTTTTCCTTATCTTTGGATAGAAGCAAGATCTGTTTGAGTGTTCTTGTGCCCAGGGGTATGGTTGGTCATTTGAAGTCTGGTCCTTAAGGAAAATTTGTGTTTAGGTCTGTAAATATATATGCATATTTATGTAAATATATAGCTCAGTTATATGCTGCCTGATCATGGATACCTAGTCTATTTTCAGATTTGCTCCAATTTAAGTCTGTTATACGTATATATGCAAATCATCATGAATTGGTGAAAGTCTGAATTGCATCTTTTTCAATAAATGCAGTTTATATCCTACTTTCAAGTAGATAGCATCACAGCATAGGATTGCATGTTGTTGCCTGGTGAAACAGGTGAGCTTTGATGAATGAGAATGATTTTTCATTGACCACTTTATGTAGAGGGCATATGAAGAATTTTTCTGTTCTAAGAGAGGAAAATATTTATGATAAATAATGAAAAAATAAAGCCAAATCCATTCATCATCCAATTTATCAAGTAAGTGGACACTTAGAGAACTTGCTCTCAAGGACCTGTCCAGTTAGAGGAGGCAATAGCGATCGTGAGAAGTAAAAGAGCCTTTTGTACCACTTGAGGGCACCATTGCCTCACAACGTTTTCATTTTTTATTGCTTTTTCCAAGCTCCTGATTACCAAGCCAAAGGAAACTAGAGCGTGCTCGGCTATGTTTGCATATTTACCTAACCACACCTTTTATGAAATGTGCAAACTCAAAAAATTTTACTGCAAAAGTCCTCTGAGAATTTTGTAGACAGAATCACCACTTGAGCCATGATCATAAAGTAACAAAGAGATTTTTATTTGTCCTTTCCCTTGAGCAGGAGTTGGAACAGCAGTTAGCAGAGCAGAAGAGCCTCCTGCGATCCGTAGCCAGCCGTGGAGAGGAGATTCTAACCCAGCACTCGGCAGCAGAGACCTCTGCTGGCTTGGGGTAGGTTTCAAAACACCTCATCTCTCCTGTCACTGTGTTTTCTTGATGTTCGAAGAAATGCAAACATCTTTCATTGCCTATTTATTATGATTTTACAGTTTATTTCTTTTCTTGCATCACTGTTCATTTTTGGACAGTGCTTCATGTCTCCCCTCAGGTGCAGTCCCTGTAGTTCCACCACCACAGCACCCGTGACCATCACCACAGTCCCTGGTGCTCACCCCTCACTTCTTGTAGTCTCTTCTCCTGCCCTTCCCCTGCTGGATGCCTCAGATCTATGGTCAGCTTGTAGGGTCTGTTTTTCTCCTGACCCTTTGTTCCATTTCTCTATGTCCCACATATAAGTGAAACCATCCAATATTTTTCTTTTTCCTTATGATTTAATTTTGCTTAGCATCATCCCTTCCAGCTCCATCCATGTTGCCACAAATGGCATGAGCTTATCTTTTTTGATGACTGAGTAGTATTCCACTGTGTATATAGACCACATCTTCTGGATCCATTCGTCTGTTTGGGGGCATTTGGGTTGTTTCCATATCTTTGCTGTTGTAAATAGTGCTGCAGTAAATACAGGGGTGCAGGTTTCCTTTTGAATTAGTGTTTTTGTGTCCTTTGGATAAATTCCTAGGACCGAAATTGCCGGATCATATGGCAGATCCATTTTTAGTGTTTTAAGGAACTGCCACACAGCTTTCCACAGTGGCTAGACCAGTTTGAAATGTAAACACCTTACTCACATTTTTATCTTAAGCATCTTCTGCAAAAATATAGGGCTTTTTTTTTTTTTGCTTTATTTCATTTAAATGACTTAAATTTTGAATATTTTGTTGCACACACAAGTATAACTCGACCTTACAATGGCTAGCTTGTTTGCTTCTTTGTAGTATAGTCAGCATATTTGTCCAGAGAAAATGCTTATGGGTACATTTAAAAAAACCTCAAATTAGGAAAACATTATAAATTTAGACCCATGATGTTTCTAACGGAATGTTGCGTTCTAACTGCCAATTATTTTCCCTCCAAGTACCTGTTACCTTAAAATCATTCTGAAAAATAAATGTATATGTCTGCTATCTTGATTTTTTTTTAAGATTTATTTATTTATGCATACAAGAGTTGGGGTACAGGCCAGAGGCACAGGGGGTGAGAGGATTCAACAGAGTGGGGAGCAGAGCAGCAGACTGACTGAAATACACTGCTGAGGGGAGCAGTGGGCGAGTCAGGAGAGGTCTGCTGCGCCGTGTGGGTAGCTCCCTGGCCAGGGATTGAAGTTGTGCTGCAGTGGCTGCGGATAGCTTCATAGGTTGCATCTTAACCCTTGTACCACCAGGGAGGCCCTACTATACTGATTTTGCATGATGATCTATTTCTCTCATTTTTTCATGTAAAGCTACTAAGCTTTGACTCTTGGTTTGAAGGGAAACTGAAAGGCTTTTGCAGAGAAAAGTAAAATGTTAAAAGAACAAAATAAGGAAGTTGGAGAACTTTCAAGTTGAAGTTTTTGGTTTCCAAGGTCAGAAGGTGAAGGGACTGAGCAGAACTAGTATCCCTGTAATTTGAGTCAGGTCTCGATTTTACTCCAATTTTTCAGCTTTCCCCCGGGAAACAATAATTCATCTCTGAACCTCATTTGCTCAACTCTCAAAATAGAGTAATAATAAACTGTTTCCATCATAGAAAAGTTGTGAAAGTTTGGTTAATCAAGAAGATATATAAGAAAACTTTCTTTAAAATCTAAAATGTTTTTTAAAAGTTTGAGTAGAACTTTTATGTTCATGTATTGCTAAAGATTGTCATTTAAGAGTGTCCCTGGCAACCAAATAGTGCAGATAACTTTTACTTCATTTCTCACCTAAGCCTTTGTTGGAAGGAAATGCCTCAAGGAGAAAATAGAGATCACAAAGATGATTTTTGAAATATTACATATAACAATAAACAACCGAAAAGGTAAAAATGGCCATTGGCCTAAAAAATCCAAGAAAAATTTCATGCATATGTGATCTTAACAAAAGACATTCAAGAAAAACAAAGCAAAGCAAAATAGTAGTAAAAATATTGATACTACCAATTTTAAGGAATAGGAATAACTATTCTTATGATATCTGTAATCAGAAGTTGCATTAAAATAGGACCTCCCGGTGGCGCAAGGGGTTAAGCACAGCACTGAGAAACTATCAACAGCCTCTGCAGCAAGAGTTCAATCCCTAGCCAGCCAGGGAGTTACCCACATGGCACAGCAGACCTCTCCTCTCTCACCTGCTGCTCCCCTCAGCAGTGTATTTCAGTCTGTCTGCCCGTTTTGCTCCCCACTGTCTCTGGTGAATCCTTTCACCACCTGCACTTCTGGCCTGTACCCCAATTCTTGTATGCATAAATAAATATTTTTTAAAAATAAGTTACATTAAAATAACCCTAAAGCTATAAAAAAATAACTTAAAATATTAAGAAAGGAGTTTAAAGAAATCTCCATTGTTGCTCATGCTTAAAAATGCTGACAAGGCCATTAAAATGTATGTGATGACTCAAAGGTGTGATAGGTTTTTCTTTCCCCATGACTAAGTTGAGACTTGCCTTCCCTTTGCATTTTCCATTCTTTCCGATTCTTCTCAAATGTTTATTCACCCATGACCCTTCATAGGTTTTTGAATCTTTTTTCCCAGCTTCAGTTTTGAAAGAATTCAATTTTGAAAGAACTCATGCACACCTCTCATCATCTGTATGGGTGCAAAGAAGCAGGAGGAATCTTCGGCAACTTTCTTGCCATGAGTTTTTATGACTCTTTCAAATAGAAAAATATTTTTTGAGAGAAATTTATGATGCAGTACTGGCTTTCTATACAAGATTCAATTTCAAACTGTTTATAAATACTATTATTTTTATTCAGATTCTTTAGGAAACTCACCTTTAAATTTAGTTCCTTGTAGTTCAGCCATGCTTTGTAATTTCACATGATGATACCAAGTAAACAAACCTTCTCTCTATAGTAAACTATGTAGAGAAGTCAAAGGAAAAAGTACATCTCTCTATATTTGAAAGATCAAAATGACATCAGTAGGGAATAGGACCTTATAGTCAGCCTTTAATTTGTTAGCTGACTTTTTAAGACTCATATGTAAATAGGTTTATGTAAGGAAGCTTAATAGGAAGGACAATGGGTGTAAGTTGAGTATATGGAGGATAAATAGCATGTGACTCTTAGGAGGATAAACAGAAAGCTGCTTCCAAGATTCCTGAGGAACATCCCTGGAAATTAACTGATGTAAACATCAGAGGGAAAGAAGAATATTGTCTGTCGGAAATGCTAGATTATCATCTATTTCTAATTCATCTGGTGCATCCATAATCAAATGCAAGAATATAGATATTAGCTGTCCCTTCGTTTACAGACATAAATGAGTTAGCAGTGATGCCCTCAGCCCACCTGACAACAGACAGCATGATAAAGAAACTTAATCTCATAAGGAATTTAAAGCTTGTTTGTTAATTAAAAAATCCTATACACAGAAAAATCCAGAGATTAATATAACAAACAAAAGTAGAAGTATTCATTTGTTTGGGTTTTTTTCACTGCTTACTTTCTTAGCTCTTTCCATGCTAATACATACAGACCCATCTTTTGCATTTTAACAGCTTAACACTATTTTTTATCTTGTGAACTTAACAGTTTGTTCACTCATTTCCCTATTGATTGGTATTTACATTGTTGGCTTCCCCCCACCCCGCCATTATTAGCATTGTTGAATTTACCCTTTACCTTCTTTGGAGTCTCTTAGTAAGTGCACAGGTAGGCGAATTCTCTAAGTGATAGCCTAGAAGTAGATGTGTACATCATAAACAAACTTACTCAAAGAAACTGTTGTGTTCAATGTGTATTCTGAGATTAGCTTGTTTATGGTGGAGTGTATACTATTATTCTGCCAATTAAGTTGTTAACGTCTTCCCTCTTGAGCTGAAGGTTCTGTCAAAATCATAATTGCGCAGTCCTGGTAAGCCTTCAACACTTTTGATAAATCAGGATCTGTGGAAACTTGGGTCCCCAGAGTCTTACCATTCCCATTAGAATGGACCCCATTTATTGAGTGACTCTTCTTGGCCAGATAAGACTGTGGCAATAGGCATCTCTTCTCTGACCCTGACTCTCATAATTCTGCAAGATAGACACTGCGTCCATTGTAAAGAGGAGAAATTTAAGCTTAGAGAATTGAGACATACTACTCAAATTCAAAAATTTCATGTGCTGAAGCAGTGATTTCAACCCATACTGTCTCACCCTAGAAGCTATAGACTTTCTCAGATGCCACATAGCTGCCTGCCTATAAGGATAATTCTGCAAGATCCCCACCATGTTCTGAACTCACTTTCCATGTCCTGAAACCTGCTCCATACTGTTCTCTTTAAACAGAAGGTAAACACTCTAGTCAACAGAGTAGGTGGTGTTTACCAGGGTTTTTGAATGAATTTGTGGACTGTTTGTCAAAGGATACCAGTCCAATCATACACTATAGTTTGTGTTTCTACAAGTTACAATTATTTCATTTTAAATACTGAGGTACTTTTAAGACTTTTAAATTATGATTATGCTTTTGTTATGAGTATGAATATGTTTCATAAAACATATTAATCTCAAATTTTCTCTTCTAATTTATATCTTTGAAATATAAGCTAATGACTAAAATGATCTGGTTCCAAGTTTAGAGACCAGATCTAATAGAAACAATAAATTACCTAGAACTTATCACCTTTTTGCACACATTGTAAACTTAGATTATTTATTCTTCTAATAGCGAAAAACCTGATGTGTTATCCCAGGAGTTGGGGATGGATGGGAAGAAGTCACCTGCTGAAGACCAGATGAGAATGAAATGGGAAAGTCTCCATCAAGAATTTAGTACCAAGCAGAAACTACTACAGAATGTTCTGGAACAGGAACAAGAGCAAGTGGTATCAAATATTTTACTTTTATGTATTAAGCAACATAAAATATATATAGCTTATGCTAAGGAAATATAACTATGTAAGAATCTATATATTCATTGTCAATCAAAATAAGACATGAAACAAATTACCCTACATTTTACTTAACAAACCTGTTTCACATTTCCCTCAATAATTATGCATTTATATGTGGAAGTTTATTTCATTTCTAGATACTGTTTCCCTCTGAGATGATCACTACCTGATTACTCATTAACATAAAACATTTTGTTTTAAATAGCCCCCCGATTTTAATAACTTTGAATATTATGGAGACAAATCAAGAATTTACACATATGGGGCAAAAAATTGCCACAAGGCTGACAGTAAATTGTCAAGTTATCTAATTTCTCATTACTGCTTCCAGTGTTTATTGATTTCAACTCTTAGTGAGTAGCATATTGGAAATGCGATGGGTCAAAAAGGAAGAGGAAGCCAGTGTTCAGATAGAAACTGACCCATCTGTAGACTGGCTCTCAAGATGGGTGCCATTTGATGTTGGGCTCAGTACCACCAACCATGCCAAATGGCATTGATATCATTACAAAAGGTTCCAGGTTGGTAATAGCTACTAGTTTACTCCAAGTGGAAGCTAGAGAACAGCTGATAGTTGATGGAATCAGCACCTTAGTGAGCCAATGAGTAAGCCAGGAACCCTGCAATCCTGCCATGTTTCCCATAGATGTGGCCCAGCAAGATTATGATGATCAAATCTAGTCCCAGGTCCTGGGCCAGCAGTGCTAGTCTGGGTCATTCCATGACCCTAGTTTCGTCAGAGTAAAGTCTGTCATCTTTACTGTGGGTGTGAGGAGCTGCTGTTCTTGCTGCTCTGGCCAGGACTAGCTGAGGGGCTGGGAGAGTCTGAACCAGAAGGAGGGTTTCAATAGTGTGGTGCATCTGAGTAGGGAGTCAGGCATTGACCAAACAGGCACTGGAAAGCAGATACAGCCCGATAGCATTATCTGAAAGGAGGTGGTTGCAAGACCACGTGTCCCCTGGTCTGTGGGGAACCAGATACTATCCCTGCAGGGTTGATCATTCATCCCACTTTGCAAATTCTTGTGGCGTGCCAGGCTTTCTGTACTCACTCCCCTTTTCCAACCAGGAGACTTCTCTGCCTCTGTCCACAGGAATGGTTGCCAGCTGTGGCCCTGGGGACTAAAAAGCCTTCTGTTCCTGGAGGCAGCTGTCCCAGATAATACCCCACCCTGCAAATGGTGCATCTTTAGCATGGACCTACTACCTGTGTTGCCCTGATGAGACATTCCAGACACATAGCTTGAATTCTTGATTTCTGGTGTAGGTTTTCTGCCTTTACTGCAGGCTCACCTTCATGCTATAGCAGTTCCCCACTTCTTTGGCTACCAGGGATATTTACTATCCTGAATCAGTGAATGGAGTCTTTTTTTGTTTTGTTTTGTTTTAAAGATTTATTTATGTATTTATACAAGCACTGGGTACAGTCAGAAGTGGGGGAGAGTGAGAGAATTCACCAGAGCCAGAGTGGGGAGCAGAACAGGCAGACTGACGAAGTACACTGTTGAGGGGAGCAGCGGGCGGCAGGAGAGGTCTGCACCCCATGTGAGACCCTCACCGGCGGCCGGGGATCGAACCGGCATCCCCGGTGCTGCAGAGGCTGCGGGCAGCTTCGCAGCCCAGTGCTCAACCTCTGCGCCACCAGGGAGGCCCCCAGTGAATGGAGTCTTTTTTAAGTCTCCTACATCATATAACTTCAGGACATTTCTGCTACTATCCCTGCTTACTGGTTCTTGGCCATTCATCATCTGGTCAGTTCTTGGAATCCGCTTGGCATCTGCACACCTGCGGGTCTCACACAATGCCTGCTCTCACCTTGAGAGCTGTTTTTCTCTCCGTGGCGTCCTGAGACCTCACCCTCCACTATGGAGATTACTGCGGAACCCTGGTGCCTCTCCCCTTCCTGTAAGACATGAGGACCATGAATATTTAGGTTCAGCTTCCTATCTCCCTAGCCCTTGGAACCACATGGAAATGATTATGAGGACAATTTTCCCACATTGGTGTCTGTCTAAATAGGAAAACCTGGACTTGGCACATCGGCTCTTCAAAAGCTGTCGTGTATGTTTGCCTTTTAGCTTTACAGCCGGCCAAACCGGCTCCTGTCTGGCGTGCCGCTGTACAGAGGGGACGGGCAGACCCAAGAGAAATCTGCAGTGACCTCTCTGCTGGGTGGACTGAACCAAGCCTTCGAGGAGGTTTCTTCCCAGGTAGGGTGGTGACATCGCTTCACTAGTGGATCTGGGTGTCTGGAAAGTTATTTCTTTTTTTAAGATTTATTTATGCATACAAGAGCTGGGGTGCAGGTCAGAGGTGTGGGGAGTGAGAGAATTCACCAGAGATGGATTGGGAAGCAGAACGGGCAGATCCACTGAAATACACTGCTGAGGGGAGCAGCGGGCGAGACAGGAGAGGTCTTCTGCGCCATGTGGGTCAGCTCCCTGGCCAGCAAGGGAATTGAACTCATGCTGTACTGGCTGGCCATAGCTTGAAGTGCTGTCTTTAACCCCTGTGCCACCAGGGAGGCCCCTGGAAAGTTATTTTTGTGCCCAAACTGGTGAGACCCAATGTTGCTCAGCCCCAAAAGGATAAGCCACAGCCTGGCCTTTCTTGGTGTCTTGGTGTTGATGTCTTGGTGTCCATGACTGCCAGTCACCTTTGTGTAATTGTATTGCCTCATTCCTTTAACTGTCAGGGATATTTAGAGTCCTAAAATACCTCTGACTTTTCTATGATTCCTCAAAACACTAAAATCCACTCTTTTGTCTCCCTCCCTCACCTTTTTCCCAGGGTGGCGGGACAAAGAAGCAGAATATTCACTTGGAACAGAAGTTATATGACGGGGTGTCAGCTACCTCCACTTGGCTAGACGATGTTGAGGAACGTTTATTTGTGGCGACTGCCCTTTTACCAGAAGAAACAGAGACTTGTCTCATCAACCAGGAGGTAATTGTGGCAGCTTATGTCTGTGAGTGTGTGACATGACAAAGCGTTTGGCATTTTTTGTTAGATAATATTATGTATAAAGATGGCTAAGCATGAAATGGCTGTGTTAAAATACAAATCAGATGTATTTCCAAGCAGCCAATGCAGAAGAGAATTGCCAAAATATGAAAAGCTCTCAAAGATATTATGTTTTACATTTTGATTCTTTGTCTTGCCTAGGTAGGAAACCCTGTTGTGTATATCACAAACCCTCCACGAATGAAACACAGGCTAAAAACTTAACGCATGGATTTCTAATAACACTTTATAAAACTCATCTCTTTTTTTACCAAGTGTATATTACTATTAAGTAATGCTGTATTTTCTGACAATAATCTCTTGAACAGCAATTTGCCTAAAATGTATAAAAGTGCATGAAGATGGCTCAGCTTACCTCAGATGTAATTAAAACAAAACAGTAAGAGAAACGTGGACTTTCTCTGAGGCTATGACTTGATTTGTATAGAGATTTATGGGTCTAAACATTGGAATGAACTTTCTCTTTTATCAACCATAGACTCTTGCCAAAGATATTAAGGAAATGTCTGAAGAAATGGATAAGAACAAGAACTTGTTCTCCCAAGCATTTCCAGAGAATGGTGATAACCGCGATGTCATTGAAGACACACTGGGTTGCCTCCGGGCCAGATTGTCCTTGCTCGATTCAGTCGTAAATCAGCGATGTCATCAGATGAAGGACAGACTTCAACAAATATTAAATTTCCAGGTAAGCATTATTAGGAGATATCTGACCATTCTGCAGCCATTTTCAATAATAAGTGGGATGTCTTATTGAGGTGTATCATTGGGCCTTTCTGTTTCCCCAATGTATAACGAAGAGTGAGAACACTAAAAAAAAAAAAAAAAAAAGCATTGACGTCAAGGACTAGAAAACTAAGGGTTTTACTCTCTGATAAATGGAAGGTGGAGAAAACCCAAACAAACAAAGAGCAGAAGAGAATTTAAAGTTCAACAAATAAGTCATATTTATGGTAAATTGCAGTTATAATTTTCAATGGATACTGTTGGAACTTAAATCATGTTTCCAAAGAAACCTGCAGGATGTTTTGACATAGAGTGAACCCTAGTAGAATCCAGTGCCCAGTGGGTATGGCCTGATCACATCTATCCATGCTATGAAAGCATTGCATCACTCCACAGTCCTAGTTCCTTACACTCACTGTTGCCTTTTAGCCCCAGGTTAGAGTTCCGTTGCCAAATGAATAAATGTGTTTTTATGAATATTTTTCTATGACTATTAACTTCAGCCAGTGCAAAAGCCAGTGCTAAACTCTTAGTGTTGATTTTCATTTCTAATAAAAGTACCCTGTGGAGATACTTAAGCTTTAATTGAATGTATGTATGTATCAGGTCGATATTTATTCATTAGGAAGTCTGCTCGACATCCTTAGAGGCATCTGTTCCATCCACTGGGGACTCCCTGCTCTGGGTATGCTGGGGTAGAAGAACGCCTCCCTTGGCTGCAGAGATTGAGGCATATTGCCTTCTCTGGAGGTTTCTTTGCTGAGACGGCTCTTGTCCACCTTTGCCTGGTGAATTTTGTTTTTAACAAACATAGAAGATTTGGAAAATAGATTCATAGAGAACTAGGGCCAAGAGTTTGATATAAAATTTTGATTTACAAAACTATATTGCAAAATATCAAGTAAATGTAGCATTAGACAAAAAAGATAGAATTTTCTAGATATGCATCTAGCAGGGTGGAATATCACTGTTTTCCAGTAATTTACATTCTTAAAATTATAGAATAAAATTATTGCAAATATTTGTTATCGTTTTTAAATTCACAGAAAGTTTATATATGTAGTATTGCCTTTACTTTTTACAATATTCCTATTAGGGAAACCTCATTCTGACATTGATTTTGCAAAGTCTGAAAAAAGGAAAAATTAAGAGCACAGTGTCCAAAGCCAGCCTTCTTGCGTTCAGATTCTGGCTTCATTACCTTCTGGTATATAACCTTAGCCACTTTACTTCTCTGAACCTTCATGTCCTCAACTACTAAATCTCATCCATAGCAATGGCCTCATAATGTTTGATGAGGATGAAATGAGTTAAAGTGTGTCAAATGCTATGAAGAGTGTCTGGAACTTAGTAAGCATTTAGCAAGTTTTATTATCATTGTTTCTATGAATAGTACTATTTATGTTAACAGATAGGGGACTTGACACCAACAAAAAAGTTAAATTACAGCCCAAGGTTATTCAACCAGAAGCACTAGAGTAAAGAATTGGCTCAAAGAATATTTTCATGCTTTATGTTAATGGGGTGATGGCAGGGGAGATGGAGAATATGGACCTTCTCGGGATATATTTTGAAGGCACAATTAATAGAACAATCGTTGATGGTTTGGATAGGGGGAGTGAGAAGAAGTGGGACCTTGGAGGAGCTCCAGGGACTCTGGGCTGTGCATCTGGGAGGTATTTGCTGATTGTGAGGACAGGTGATGGTGGTGCTATTGACCATGAGCACGACTGGGTCACGGGTGGTACCAATGACTGAGAGAGGATGTGGAGTAGAATTCAGATTTTCAGGTGAAGGGCACAGCATAGATGTTGGTATGCAAATCTGCAGCTTAGAGGAATGACCTAGACTGACTATTTGCATATGTATCTGTTAGGTTGAATAGTAGAGAGGAAAGAACATTTCACTTGGAGGCAGAAAAGCTGGAGTTGATTATTTGGGTATTCTGTTTTGGATGCAAGATCTGATTGAATGTTGTTCAGCCATGAATGAAGTGGGTTAAAAGTGCAAATGTGTGGAGGCATATTTCCTGTTTGCGAATTGCATTTACTATGCTAGTGTCTTTGGAAATTGTAAATTTATATTGGTAGGTAGAACCAGTCAGAGTAAAACGTGAGCTAAGCATGAATGTGTTTTGTAGAAACAAGGCAAGAACATGTAGTCATTTAATTCTTTTTAAATCATTCCCTCCTTTTTTTTCTACCAGCAAGGTTCTACTACTTGATGGCCAGCTCATGAATAAAAACCGACATTTCAAAGTGTTTACGTAACAGTTTAATTATGAGAAAGAGTTCCAATGTTAATATAACTAAAGGTCAAGTCACAAACCATTTTCTTTTGCTTTGCACCAACACTAACACCAATTCTGGTATTCTGTCAGTATTCAGTAGTTCCTAGAGTACTGGTATGACTTTGTTTTCATTTAGCCTGTGAGTTTTAGCATTTCCAGACTGCTGGCCTTATTTGATACCCACCAGGTGATCTGGAAGAATGTAAAGATGTTATGTATGTGTGTAGTATCTACGTGGAATCACAGCTAGTTAATACCAACTACATTGTATTTTTTAAAAAGATTTATGTATTTATGCATGCAAGAACTGGGGTACAGGCCAGAGGTGTGGAGAGTGAGAGGATTCATCAAAGACACAGAGGGGAACAGAACAGGCAGATTGCTGAAATACACTGCTGAGGGGAGCAAAGGGTGAGCCAGGAGAGGTCTGCTGCGCCATGTGGGTAGCTCCCTCGTCAGGGATCTAATTCGTGTTGCAGTGGCTGTGGATAGCTTCATAGGTTGTATCTTAACCACTTGTGCCACCAGGGAGGCCTAACTACATTGTGTTTTAAAAGTTTATACTGTAATAATCAATCAATCAGTAATTTTATACCCATAAACTTAACCCGAAATAAATTTCCTAGACATGTGAAATAATATTTCAAGTGATTTTGAAAATGGAAAATGAAAGAATTAAATGAATAAGGTAACACAACTGATTTTAAAACTTGAAATGTCCTATGGGTCTCTTTCTCAAACAGCTAGAATTCTGGTATTTATGTCCAACAAGCAGTTCCAATGACTTTAAGAAAAAAATTGTGATATCTATTATGTGTGCAATACATAGACTCCCTGATTATCCCACTGGATCACAAGCATAGTAATAAAGAATTTAAGCCTTTGGATTTCATTTTTTAAGAAAATGGCAATGTCCGTGTTTTAATGGACCTCTTCAAGTTTTTCTTTGATCATTTTAATTCATTTATAGTCTCTGCTTGACTCTTTCTTGTCTAGTATCTTCTAATAATCAGTGTGCTTTCCAGAAATGTGAACTCTTTTTTCTGTTACCTTGAGCAGATTACAATTAAGACAAGAAAATATGCTATGAAAAATATAAAGATGAAGTACAAGACATATACACCCTCTTCATTTCCATCCCATTTAATATTATTTATACTTATTTATACTTATACTATTATATTATTTATTATACTTATACTATATTATTATACTTATACTATAATATTATTTATACTTATATTATTTATACTTATGGATTAACTGAACTAATGTTTTTTTTTTTTTTTTTTATAGAGGCATGTTCTATTTATTTATTTATTTTATTTGTTTGTTTGTTTATACATGCACTGGGTATAGTCAGAAGTGCGGGAGGGTGAGAGAATTCACCAGAGCCAGAGCGGGGAGCAGAGCAGGCAGAGGGACCGAAGTACACTGCTGAGGGGAGCAGCGGGCGGCAGGAGAGGTCTGCGCGCCATGTGGGACCCTCCTCCGGTGGCCGGGGAGCAGCCAGGGATCGAACCGGCGCCGCAGAGGCTGCGGGCAGCTTCGCAACCCAGTGCTCAACCGCTGCGCCACCGGGGAGGCCCTGAACTAATGTGTTTCTAAATGACATAATGGAGACTTTATTTCTTGTGAATCTGTTAAAATGAAAAGTCTTTTCCAACTGAGTGCAGACATAGTTCTCATGACCCACGTGGCCTCACCTGAAGGCAGTGGAATACTAGAAACACTGTCATAACTCATCTGCAAATGAGTTATGACTGTTTGTCCAGTTTCTTATTTATGAGCACCACGCTGTAGCCAGTTCTGCTGACCAGACGCTCTACAGTTTCCTAGCTAATCTTCCATTACTTTTCAGTTTGATTTGGGTTGTAGTTAATAATGATTATTGTTCCCTAGATTTATTTATTTATTTTAAAGATTTATTTATTTATGCATACAAGAACTGGAGTGTAGACCACAGGTGAGGGGGATGAGAGGATTCACCAGAGAGAGTGGGGAGCAGAACAGGTGAAATACATTGCTGAGGGGAGCAGCAGGCCAGGCAGGAAAGGTCTCCTGAGCCATGTGAGTTGCTCCCTGGCCAGCCCAGGATTGAACTCATGCTGCAGTGTCTGGCAATAGCTTCATAGCGCTATGTCTTTAACTCCCCCTATGCCACCAGAGAGGCCCCAGTTCCCTAGGTTTAGATACTATTCTTGAATTCTCAAGTTTTTTTTTTTTTTTTGATTGTGTAATTCATGCACTGTTTCGCTTTCCAGCCTTGCATGTTATATTATTTCCGCACATGCTTAGAGAGGCTCATTCTTCTGAGGTGTGATTGTCCTCCTCAGGAGATGGTCAGATTTTTTGCAGGTTACTGCCTTGCACTCAGGTAGGGCCAGTCCTCATGAAGGGTGTGTAATAAGCTGAACTTCAACCTCTGATCAACAAGCAGCCTGTCACATAAGTCTGCTGCCTAGTAAGGAGTAGAGCTTATGCACTGACATTTCAGGGGGGAAGTATTAAAAATTGTATAATTCAAATTTTCTTCCAGTTCATTACTCCTTTAGAACTGAATGCCAGAATTCTGAGAGTTGGCTCCTTTCTGTGCAAAACTAACTCAATATAAGTGTGTATTTGAACATTTAAATCAGTAATGTCATTGAACAAAGTCTTAGCTAAGATACTTTGTGTTGTTTCTGCATGTCTTTGACCATGGTGGATAATATTTATCTTTTTAAACTTCTGGATGGCTTTTTATAAATGTGCACAAATTCTTTGAAAGTGGCAGAAAGAAGGAAGGTGAGGGAAAAAGGAAATCATTCTTAATCATGTGTTTCCCAAATCAGGATAATACCTAAAGGGTATTTTACTGGTTAATTAGAAATTATTAGTGTAGAATTTCTGTTGCAGTGTTTAAATGTGCAGATTATGTCAGATACACGATTAGGGTGACCAGTCTTGCTTTATTTTTTAATTAATTATATTTTTATTTGAGGTGACATTCACATACTTTGATGGCATTGGTATTATGCTGGAAATGCCTGGTATAGCAAATTCTTTAAAAGTCAATTTAGTACTTAGGCAAATCGTTGCCAGTTTCTTTCTTCTACAGAAATGTAGAATATTTTTGGGCCTCCCTGGGCGGAAGGGGTTAAGCGCAGCGCTGTGAAGCTGTCCACAGCCTCTGCAGCGCGAGTTCAATCCCCTGTCATCCAGGGAGAAACCCACATGGCGCAGCAGGCCTCTCCTGTCTCGCCCACTGCTCCCCTCAGCAGTGTGTTTCAGTCAATACATCTGTTCTGCTCCCCACTCTGTCTCTGGTGAATCCTCTCACCCCCGCCCCCGCATCTCTGGCCTGTACCCAGTTCTTGTATGCATAAATAAATAAAATGAATCTTAAAAAAAATAAAATAGAAAATAGAAAGGAAATCTCACCATTTTCAAGGATGGACCTTGAAGGGATTATGCTAAGTGAATTAAGTCAGAAGGGTTTCACTCACTTGTTAATACAAAGAAACAAAATGCAATTACATTTTAAATAAAAAGCAACCTACTAGACTGTGACAACAGAAAGGTGGTGACCAGAGGAGAAGTGGGGGAGGCTGGCTGGCAGGCAGGCGGGCGGTGACTGGACACTTGGTGGTGGGGAGACACGTGGCCACCGGGGGAAGACATTGCACTAATGCCTGACGGCTGCTCGGTGTCATCAGCTGACATTGCCTCAATCAAAAGGAAAAAGCAGGGGCCTCCCTGGTGGTACAAGGGGTTAAGCACCCCACTATGAAGCAATCCGCAGCCTCTGCAGCACCATTTCAATCCCCAGCCGGCCAGGGAGCTTCCCCCATGGCGCAGCAGACCTCTCCTGTCTCGCCCCCTGCTCCCCTCAGCAGTGTATTCCAGTCAGTCTGCCCGTTCTGTTCCCCACTCTGTCTCTGGTGAATCCTCTCACCCTCCCGTGCCTCTGGCCTGCACCCCCAGTTCTTGTATGCATAAATAAATAACTTAAAAAAAATAAAATCTTAAAAGAAAAAAAAAAAGAAATGTAGGACATTTTTGTTTCTTCTGGAAATTAAATTTGACACCTCTATATTCCTGTTAAGAATGGGTGTGGTGTTTACAACCATTTGCATCCTGTTGCACATGTTAAGTCTCCTATTGTTTGCCTCCTTAGAATGATCTGAAGTTGCTGTCTACATCACTGGCTGACAACAAGTACATCCTCCTACAGAAACTGGCAAACGTGTTTGAACAGCCTGTGGCAAAGCAAATGGAGGTATTTACAACTGCTCTTCCCCCACCACAGCAAATGCACAGAGTAGAGCTAATTTACTATGAAATTTCAAATGTTCTATGGAAAGTTAATGACTGGCAATAGCAGTTTTGTACTATGTTTTGTTTCTAAGTGTTGGGCTTGCATCTCTGCCCAGGTTCCACTGGCCCTGTCAATTGCTTTTGCATGGAACTTGGAGATATGAGATAGAAAAAGGTGTCATTGACAGACACTAACACGAGGTCTGCACCTGACCATGAGATGAGATGTGGAGGGAGGGGGCAGACATAGCCGTGTGGACATTCAGGAAAGGACAAGGTTGAGGGCCACAGGGTAGGATGAGGGAAGATTTGTACATTCAGATTTTGACTTAGAAGTTTGTATACACAGAGACTGGGGAGAAAGGTATAAAGAGAATGGCAAGGACAAGGGCAGAAGGTTAGACAATTTAGCACACTCCTGGAGGAAAGCAAGTAATACTGTCTAGCTAAACTTACAGTGAATGAAAATGATTGAGGGGAAATAATTTGAGGCAACTTGCAAGGCCTGTTGAATATCAGAGAACTTGGATTTTATTCTATAAGCTGATCTCTCAGCTTTACTGATGTATTTGTATTTATTTATAATTTTATGTGGCTACTGTTATTCATAAATAACATATACATAAATGAAAATTAAAAATGAATGTGGTTGAATATAAATGAAAGATGTAGTGTTTTATCCTCATAAGATCTTTTAATGAACTTTTAATAGAATTTCTTAGGCTAATTTCACTAAAACCCTAAGGTTTCAGTGAGTGGACCTTAAAGAATTAGATGAAATAGAGATCACCTGAAATATTTCTCTGTATAGATCTAATTATCTAGATCGGCCAATCCATCCATCCATCCATCTGAAAGAGATGACCTGAAATAGTTTGCATTACTTGATTTTCTACTTGACAAGCAAGCTTTCCCTTACTGTGCTGTAACAGTTTCCCCTTCCCTCACTGAATCTCCAAGGATCTAACAACTGCATGATTGAAATTCAGAGCATGATCCCCTAGAGAAGCTGAGGCAATTTTTTTTTTTTTAATTGCGGTAACATTGGTGCACAGCACTGTATGTGATTCAAGGGCTTAGTCTCACACCTCCTCCGATGCCTGTCACCGCGCCCGCCACCAAGGCACCCTCAGCCCTCTGCTAGAGTCCATTCTGTCCCCTCCAAACCCCATCTTATAGCTTCAGTTCCACAGTCAGATTTCTGTGATTTGGTTATTGGTTTGGTTTTTGTCTTCGCCTTTGTTTTGCTTCCCTTTATTCCATATGTAAGTGGTACCACCTGGTGTTTGTCTTTCTTCCTCCAACCTATTTTGCTTAGCACTATCCTCTCCAATTCCATGCAAGTTGTCTTAAATGGCAAAAGTCCATCTTTTTTTTTTTTTTAAGATTTAATTATTTATGCATACAAGAACTGGGGTACAGGCTAGAGGTGCGGGGCGGGGACGTGTGTGAGAGGATTCACCAGAGACAGGGTGGGGAGCCGAACAGGCAGATTTACTGAAATACACTGCTGAGGGGAGTAGCAGGAGAGTCTGGAGAGGTCTGCTGCACCCTGTGTGTAGCTCCCTTGTCAGGGATGGAACTCATGCTGCAGAGGCTGCAGATTGCTTCATAGTGCTGCGTCATAACCCCTTGCACCACCAGGGAGGTCCCAAAGTCCATCTTTTTTATAGCTGAGCTGTGTCCCACTGTGCATATATACCATATTTTCTAATCCCTTCTCTGTACTTGGGCACTAGTTTCCATAACTTGACTATTGCAAATAGGGTTGCAATGCATATAAAAAAACATATATTCCTTTAAATTAGTGTTTTTGCATTCTTTGGGTAGATACCTAAGAGTGGAATTGCTGGATCATATGGTAGATCGATTTTTAATAATTTAAGAAATTGCCATACTGTTTTCTGGCAAATATTTTTTTCTATGTCCCAAGTCAGCCTTCTCTTTGGGGTGTTACTATTCATGAATTCTCTTAATTGTTTAAGGAAATCCTTGTCTGCCCAATACCCTCCCTTCTCCCCTTCTACATCCTTTTAAGATAGCTGATCTGTAGTTTAGTAAAGGGTTCTCTTTTCTATAGAATAGACAGGCACAGTTTTTATGTTGTATTAAAATGACTCTTCATGTTTTATGTGCACGCAGGAGAAGAACAGGGACTAGACAGTCACATTTGATGTGGGAAATTATTAGCGGGAGTTTTAATGAATGTCATAAATCTTACTTAGGCAATACAAGAGGCTGAAGAGGGGCTAAAGGAGTTGGATTCAGGGATCATTGACCTAAAGAGACGTGCTGACAAGTTGCAGATTGAGCAGCCTTCCCTGCAAGAACTCTCCAAACTGCAGGTACAATTTTCTACTAATAGCTTTCAAGGATGTACTAGTACATCTTAACTAGAAGTCAAGAAAAAATAATTTTCTCTAGGTTCTTGAGTTTTCTCTATAAAATTCATGTCACCACAAAGAAAACATTGGGTAAGACTTAGTCCTCATTTGTGAGAAAAGCTCTAAACAAGATGGGAATAGAAGGAACCTATATCATAAAGGCCATATACCCCAAAGCCAACAGAGCCCTTAATGGGGAAAAACTAAAAACTACACCCATAAGGTTGGAAACAACACAAAGATGCCCCCAGCCACCACTTCTGTTTAACTTAGAATTAGAAGTTGTGGGCAGAGCTATCAGATAATAAGAAGAAAAGGGGAATCGGAGTTGGAAAAGAAGTAACGTAATCATTGTTTGCAGGCAATATGATATCACACATAGAAAATCTAAAAAAACTGCCAAAAATTATTAGAAATAATAAATGAACACAGCAAAGTAGAAGGTTACAAAATCAACACACATAAATCTGTAGCTTTTTTATATGTAATGAATGAGAAGAAAATCAAGAAAATGGCTCCTTTTACAAATGCTTAAAATTCATGCCATGGAGAGCCCCACTTCCCAGAAACTTGTAGGAAATTTCTAAAACCTTTGCCAAATTTAATGGACTAGTAAATTATTTTTTCATGTTTCCAAGATCTATTTGTTTCATTTTCCCCTGACATTTATTTCATTATTCCAGTGGCTACCATTGTGGTATAGTTTAGATGTGACATGTCATTTTCTACTCTAGAAAGTATGGTGTCTGTCTTACCTAGAAAAGTTCATATAGGACTGTAGACTCTGTAAGATGTCATATTCCAAAAAAACTTTTAAAGAAAAAATACTCAAGCTAATACTTCTTAAAAAGTGATTTTTCTTAAGTGCTCATAACTAATTGTTTTATTGTTCATACATGTTTGAATAGAAGAGAATCATTATTTCAATTTAGGAATTAAAAAAAAATAAACTAGAAGATAATGGCATCTAAACAACCTGCCTGGAATCCTTCAGGAATACAGAATAACCCTTTGGGTCAATTTGTTTTCTTAGACCTGGCATCCAGGAAACTAATATGTTGGGGTGTTAGGAACATACTCAGATATGAGACCAACAAAAATCTAGCATCTGATAGATGACAGTTACGTTAAAGAGGAAACTCTTTGATGACATCCGTACATTCAATTGCTCCTGAATTCTTTATAACAGAACAAGTGAGGGAGTAATAATGTGGTTCCTGCACAAGGTCACGAGCCCCTTCTTTAGAAAAATAAAATAGCTCTTATTTTTAAATGAACATTTTTATTGAAACTGTCTCATTCCAATACCGAACATTGCATAATGTCATGAGACCACTGCCCCCACTTTGTCCTTTTTGGACAGTTTTCCAGCAGTGCTTAAATGTCAGGTGTAAGAGTCCACCGTCATAGCTGTAAATAGGCATTAAAGTTGAACTTTTCCAGATTGAACCATTTTGGAGTACTAACCCTTAATTAATCAGGTCCATGTGGCTCGAATAAATTTTGCATCAGTGTGTCATCATCTCCTAAAATGTCTTTCCAGTTTAAATAGTTATTTACTCCACCACATTTGGCAAAAAAATACTGCCTTTTTAAGCCCTAATGTCTTTCTGCTCTGTTTCTCTGGCTTTTTGTTTGAGGAATAGTCCCAAATCTGATAATTATTTAGCAGACAAAATGTTGAAGGAAACCCTTTTGAATTTCTCTGGAATGATATAATCATTGAGAATATTATTTTCAAAAGCTCTTCTAAAAAAATTAGATTTATATTTTCTATGACCTCTCCCACAGTCACATGAGCAATTTTTCAACATTGTAACCCCATATTATATCATAAGCTATAGCCATCCCAAGACACAGCTGTCAGATCCACCTGCTGGCATGGTAGAGGTGAGTTGAGGTAAGAATCCCCGTCTCTCTTTTGCAGGACATGTATGAGGAGCTAATGGTGACCATCGGCTCCCGGCGCAGTGGTCTGAACCAGAATCTTGCTCTCAAGAGTCAGTACGAAAGGGCCCTTCAGGATCTGGCTGACCTGCTGGAAACTGGACAGGAAAAGATGGCAGGAGACCAGAAAATCATTGTGTCTTCCAAAGAGGAAATCCAACAGCTACTTGACAAACATAAGGTAAGGGGGGGAGTGGGGAAGAAATTGTGGTTATCAGAACATATTTAGTAAAACCAAATATAAATCTTTTATAAATCCCTATTTGTCTAAATAACTCTCAAAAATGATCCACAAATGTGTCTTCAGTTCCACTGGTAGGCAATAGCATAGAAAAATGAGAGCAGATATGTTTCAGTTATGTTCTAAGGGAAAGTGAATTCCAGCCTTAGCAGACATGTTCATGACCAGCTCCTCAGTAGAGTCAACCAAGTCTTCTCCGTTTGCAAATGGCAACCGGTGGGAAACACAGGGGCTGTCTGTCTCATCAGAGGAGCCTGGTCATTCTTAACTCTTTTTTTCCTTTGTGTTCTTTTTGCCCACTTATTCACACCTGGCTCTGCTCTGGAATTCAGAGCTGCCTTCCCAGCTCTGGGCTGGGGTCTGACTGTCCATTGCTTAATTCTTCTGTCCCTCATGCAAGAGTGTCTCCCTGGGCCCAGCAAGCCCTTTCTCTGCATCGTCAAACTTGGGAGGCCTGTGACTGCCCCGTCCATGCAGGCCACAGCCAAGTGCAGGACAGACATTGCTGCTTAGTAAGAAACAGCTGTGTAATGTGCAGACACAAATAACTTGTTATTAGCAGTGATGACGGAAAAAGCGGTTGGCCAGACCAGAAACCCAACCTCCCAGGCTGTGGGAATTTCCTTAGGGAAACTTAAAAAATCCCACTGGGTTAGACATGGTTAACATCGTCCACTTTATGTGACTCTATGATGGCTTAAAAAGGTAGATTTTTTAATTTTATGGAATTGGAGTTCTTGCTATTTTTCCCAAAGATTTTTGTCCAAAACTTTGTGATTTATGAAACCCTTATCATTTGGCTTTGAAAATATTGCTTTCAAGTTCACAGCTGGTTTTTCTCAAATCTTTGACCATAGCAATAAAGTATCATCCTGAGTTGTTCCAGAGGGGAAACGAGGATCAATGAGTATAAATAACCAAGAAATAAAATTCAGTAGATGAAGAGCTGTAGCAAGAGTAGGCGGTTCGGGAACAGACAACTGTCCTGGCCATGAGAAGTCCATCCAGGCCAAGAGGGTGAGAGGGGGTTGTTAACGCTGTATTAGCTTTCGGTGACTAGCTTTCGGACTAAATGACCTGCAAGTTCTCTTCCAACTTTAAGGTTCCCTCATATAATAATTGTTAGTTAAAAATAATGACTCCAGGGCCTCCCTGGTGGCACAATGGGTTGAGCGCAGTGGGTTGAGCGCAGCTGTCCTCAGCCTCTGCAGAGCTGGTTCGATTCCCAGCTGGCCATGGAGATACCAACATGGTGCGGCAGACCTCTCCTGTCTCGCCCACTGCTCCCCTCAGCAGGGCTATTGGTCCGTCTGCCTGTTCTGCTCCCCACTCTGTCTCTGGTGAGTCTTCTCACCCTCCCGTGCCTCTGGCCTATACCCCAGCTCTTGTATAAATAAAAATCAATCTTAAAAAAAAAATAATGACCTCAGTTCCTATTCACCAGACCATTTCCAAGGAATAGCTCTGCAGTGACCTTGGACATGCCTCCTAGACTGGTTCAGTGCCCTCGTGGTTCATCCTAGGTGGTTCAGTGTCCGCGTCTGTATAACTGCCTCCCTTATTGAGGTGTGGTCAGGATTTAGTGAGTGAGGTCAAGTGTCTCTAGGGTTCCCAGCACTTGGTAAGCAGTGTTAGTTGTTGTGATCCAATCCCACTCTGTCAAGTCTATCCATGTTCTAGAAACAAGAAATGCAGTAGGCCCTTTCTTTATCCTCCGGGGCCCTTTAGACATAAACAGTAACACATCAAAACACACTTGTAGGATTATGCAAGGTCTATGGTCTGTTGCCTGTGAGCCTAATACGAAGGAACCTTTAAAACAGTTAATACCGATGGGTCTGTGTCGAGCTGTGCTTGGCAGCAGGGAGGCGGCACAACGGATGCTGCAGGACCTCAGAGAAGCAGAGCTGAGCCCAGCTGCAGCAGAAGGGAGGTCCTGAATGTGTCAATTGTAGATGTCCTGGGAAGCACGGGCTTGAACAGAGGCCAAAGATTGGGGGGGGTCACTGTGTCCAAAGGACAAGGGTGCAGTTTGTGTGTCCCCATGAGCGGGCAGCTGTATCAGGAGAGGAAGGAGGCCTGGTGCGAGCACAGGTTTTAACCGCAGTTGTCACATAAAAATGTCATTTGTTTGGGGGACAGAGTGCTCACAGGTGAGTGTAGATGTACCTCACGTGTGTTTGTGGGGGTGAGGTATGGGTGTGGGGGGAGGGGCCTCAACAAAGGCAATTAAGAGACTAGAGCCGGGCCTCCCCGGTGGCGCAGCGGTTGAGCGCTGGGTTGCGAAGCTGCCCACGGCCTCCGCGGCGCTGGTTCGATCCCCGGCTGCTCCCCGGCCACCAGAGGAGGGTCCCACATGGCGCGCAGACCCCTCCTGCCGCCCGCTGCTCCCCTCAGCAGTGTCCTTCGGTCCTTCTGCCTGCTCTGCTCCCCGCTCTGGCTCTGGTGAATTCTCTCACCCTCCCGCGCTTCTGACGGTATCCAGTGCATGTATAAACAAAACAAACAAACAGCAAATAAATAAATAAATAAATAAATAAATAAATAAATAAATAAATAAATAAATAAATAAATAAACAAACATGCCTCTATAAAAAAAAAGAGACTAGAGCCAAAGCTCAGCAGGAGGAGCTGAGAAGCTGGGGGAGGTGGAGGCAGGGGTGGAACCACATGGTTCCTGCATTTACAGAGTTTCATCAGCTCTCACATTTGAGGTGGTTTTTATTGCCAGGTCATATGTGAATGATCACTGACTCTTTCCACCTGAAAAAAATTGCAGGAATACTTTCAGGGCCTGGAGTCTCATATGATCTTGACCGAAACGCTCTTCAGGAAGATCATCGGCTTTGCGGTCCCACAGGAAACTCAGTTTCACACAGAACTGATGGCTCAGGCTTCTGCTGTGCTAAAGCGGGCTCACAAGAGGGGTGTGGAGCTGGAGTACATTCTAGAGGTGAGTCTCCGGATGTCGCGTCTCTGCAATAGCAGAGTCCCTACTGTGAAACAGACCAACGGGCCGCCAAGGCAGCATGCACTTACCCGTGTGATTTGCCTCCTCTGACCTTGGAACTCTCAGCCTCGGCATCCTATGCTGCTTTGCCCTTCTTTTAGCTTCTGTTTATACTTCCATGCAGACGACTCTGCAATGCCACACCACGAGTTGGCTAGGTAAATACAAATCCCAGACTGGACATGCTCTTTGGGGTGTTGGCATTCAGAGTGATAAATTAATAAAGAGAATGAAAAATGTAGACATACAACCCCGTGTCTATCCATAATATAGTTGCCCTCGGGGATAAGACTTGTAAGTAGGTTCCAGAAACCAGAGGCCTAAGCCTTTGAGCTCCAGAAGCAGAAAATGGTGAACCCTTTAGCACAAGACAAGGAACGCAGGAATGAAACCTGATAATCTGGGTTTAGATCACACAAGCTCTTTGTACCATTCTCCTTGGTGACAGCTCTGGATTCTCCATCCTGCTTATCACCCCAGGATAGTGTGAAGACACATTCCCTCATCATTTAGTCAGTTTTCATTCACTTGTTCATCAAAGCAAACATCCATTTCGGCATTTACCAAGATGCCACCAGTTTCCCAAGCCCTGGGAAACCAGAAACAAATATGCCCAAGACTCAGCCCTGGGCCGTCGGGTCTTTGAATAAAACAGAGTGAATCTTTACAGGAAGGAAACAATATCCTATACACGAGGTCTTATAGATGACAAGGAAGAGGGAAGTTTTCTATAACCAAGGCCTGAACTTGGGCTTGGGCCATGGGCCAACTGTGGGCCACTGCCTGTTTTTGTAAATAAAGTTTTATTAGCACACAGAGAATTTTATCAGTTTATGTGTTGTCTGTGTTGCTTTGTAACTGGAGGGCAGACTTGAGCAGTTGTGACAACACTGAGGTTTGGAAATATTTACTGTTGGATCCTTTACACAAAATGTTTGCTGGCCTCTCCTCAAGCAACAGCTTCACCCAAGTTATGACCTTGAACACAGTAGGAGCTTGGTGAGGTCTTACTGATCAGCTGTCGATCAAGCCCCATATAGGGTTAATATAGCAGACCCTTCCTTGTAGTAAACACGTCAGATGCCCTAAACTGTCTCTGCCTTTGCATTCTCCCTGTTTTTCATGAGAGATTTAGGAATTACCATTCACTCTGTTCATTCTCCCCCTCTCTACTGTTACCAAGTTCACCTGAATTTACTGGATTATGTTTATGTTTCTTTAAATCCTGTCTTCTTCCCTGAGTCTGCTTTATCACAGCTCACTAACTCCAAAATTTCAGTCGTGGAAATCCCCAGTGGACTGTATTTGGGACAGAGATGTATCTTCAACATTTGAGTGACAATTCAAATTGCTTTGTAACCATACTCATTATTTATTGCTCTATCAGGTCCCCAGCTAGGCCTTTTACATTGATATGACTCCATCCGCTCCTTCATGAGTCTCTAGGATGGTATAGTGAGTCGCTGTTTTCGGTTCAGCAATATCTTATCTCAGCAGGTGATTCACTGGGGTGACCTGACATGTGTTTCTCTAGGAGACCTACCCATGGGTCCCCCTGAAATTGCAGCCCTACTGCCTACATCCCTGGGCTCGCCCTCCTGCACCTGCTCAGCCCTATTTTTCCTTTCATCACCGCATCAGCACTTTTGAATACACCATAAAACTTGCTGTCTGGTTTCTGATTTATGGTTCCTGTTGACTGCCTCTCTTCCTTGTCTCTCGGTCTCCTCTTTATGGAGAATGTAAGCTCTGCTAAGGCAGACATTTCTGTTTTGTTTACTGTTATATCCCTAGATCTAGAATAATGTGGCAACGGGTAGTATTTTGGAAAAAAGTGTGGCTTGCTATGTTATACCTGTTCCCATTCCAATATACACACATTGGAAAGTGGCTGATATTTGCTACACATTGGAAAATACTTCAAGTGATCAAAAAAAGATTTGCCAATTTTAAGTAAAACACAAGTTTGAATTTAGAAATAAAATGACTTGGGATTGCTCCTCAGTAATATGTCTGCACCAGGTGTCATACTTTCACAGTGTCTGTTTTTTCAATTGCAAATGTAATGTTTTTAATTCATTTGTTCGACGAAGTAAGCACTCCCGTGTCCCTTTAACTTAGATCATCCCTATATCATTACTGGTAATGAATGAAAATGTGCAGATCCAATGCCTACTGGGTTCTGGGTCCACTGCATGCATTTTTCCAGTTAATCCTCACCACGGGCAAGAGATATTATTATCCCCTTTACTGTTGAAATATGAGAATCAGAGTTTAATGTGCCCATGGTCATCCAGCAAGGTTGCTGCAGCTGCAAATTCCCTTCACAGTTGTCCCCTCTGGGTAAGGAATCACCTGCGCCGAGCCTTCCCTTGTTTCCCAAACTGAACTTCCAACACAAACATCTCCAACATAACCTTAATGAGTCTGTCTTTGCACAAAAAGGGAGGCTGTGCAGCTCACAGAGTGATGTTGCCTTTGTAGACATGGTCCCACCTGGATGAGGACCACCAGGAGCTCAGTCGGCAGCTGGAGGTGGTGGAAGGTGGCATCCCGAGCGTGGGCTTGGTGGAGGAGAGTGAAGACAGGCTGGTGGACCGGATCGCCCTCTACCAGGTCAGCACCCCAAAGTCATGTTGGTATCAAAGTGGCTGCATTTCCCTTTGAAACTTTCATATGGTTTTAATAGACCCTCACAAACTAACAAATAATCTATTCAGTACTTTTATTTCAATTTTTTATTGAACTATGAAAGCAGTTTTTTAGGTGTTTGGGTTGTTTTATTTAACTTTAATTTTTAATTTTTATTTATATATTTTTACATCATCATTCAGTTTTAAACTATGTTTTATAGAACATGAGTTTTATTTTACATAAGAGCTCTTTTTGCAAATTCAGCCTCCATCATGCATTTCCTGTGCTTTATGCTATCACACTATCCTGAAATAATTATAGCTTATTGTTTTATAATAGGATATTAAAAGGCCTTTTTTTATTTTTTAAGTGAGAGTTGTTTTTGAAAAGTCAGCCTCCACCAAACATTGTCTGTAGTTTATCGTGGTATCACACTATGCTTGAGATAATTATAGCTTAATGATTTTAAATGCACCTAAAGTTACTACCAAAAAAGAGACGCATCTATAGTTAGCGGTGAAGCCTCTCTGAATGTCCAGTGTTACTTGGGTGCAAATAATTGAAGTCTGGCTAACATGGAAGGGGGAACATCATAGACACCAGAGAAATTGCCCTTCAAGAGGAAGACGGCCTCATCCCACCTTTGACCCAGTATTTTTGATCCTTTTAGCATTTGAAATCCAGCCTGAACAAGCACCAGCCCAAATTATATCAGCTCTTGGATGATGGGAAACGACTCCTGATGTCCATTAGTTGCTCAGATCTAGAAAGTCAGCTGAATCAGCTTGGAGAACACTGGTTAAATAATACCAGCAAAGTGTCTAAGGAACTTCACAGATTGGAAACAATATTGAAACATTGGACCAGGTAATACAATGACTGTTTTAATTTTCAGATTAGGATTTCAGAGACTCTGGAAGGCTGGTGGGTACCTGACTTGAACAGATAATGCCTCTCTGTGAACTTATCTCATAATTTAACTTATCTCATAGTTCAACTCTCCAAATGGATCCTTGTGTAC